GCAGAGCTAACGGGACACCCCCCGGTGACGTACAGAATTTCAATCGCGACCAGATTCACCCTCTCGCTCTAGCTCCACGCTTCGCTCCTTTCGTTCATTAACTCGTAGGCCTGACCGGCCCGAGAGCACTCTTTTGAACTACAACACCGCCACACAGAACAACAACTCCTATAGACCCCGGGCCCCCTCCACCCTCACCGATTCCATTCATTCTACCAACCAGCCGGCCTGGCAGTCCCCTTCCCACAACAATCGTTCTAGTGTCTCTTATAACTCGAGATCCGGCAGACAGACTAGCCAAATGGAAGTCGATCGTACTCGCACTCGGCGAGAGAGGACATTCGTTGGTAGTGAATGCGCCGTTTGTGAAGAGCCGCTGGAGCATACTCTGCGCGGAGAGCGTATTCTCCAATTATCATGTAGTCATGTGTCCCACGAAGCATGCTTCTACGAGTATATCCGCGAAATTGACTCGCAATACTGTCCGACCTGCAATGCGCCGCTTGGCTTAGATGCGAGTCGAGGTGGAAATGTCTTAGATGTCGGTATGTGACAAAGGAGATCGATCTCCAATTCTGCCCCCCCCCCCTAACGCGTGTGAATGCGAGGCAATACAGTGTGACTAATATGGAATGTGACCTTTCACAGAAAAAATATCCAGTATCGTGCGCTCCGTGACGATGAGCGATAGCGCGACAGCTCGCAGTGGCCTAACAACCCCCACCCCATGGGATCAACAATCGTCCCGTCGAGCACCCAGTGAAGGTGGTAGCCGGTATAATGGTCCAACCCAATCGACCTATAGTCGTCAAGATAGCCGGAGAGACAGTCGTGACACCACTGGACAGCGGGAGCGCGTTGAGCGGCTAACTGCAATTTCCCACTCTCACTCCCACGCTCCTTCCACTTCCGCTTCCGCTTCCCGACAACCTCATTCCCGCAATGGAAGCGCCGCGGGCTCGTCAGGCGACTACCACAATGATGGTCAGCATACGAGTAGCGGACGTCGCCATGATTATGATGTACAAGCGATGGAATCCGACCTCAGTCCCCGTCCCGGAGTTGCGAAGAATCCCATCCCCGCCCCAATTGTGACTGTGCGCAGCGAGTTCCCCACCATGAACCGATCCCGCCAGCAACAATCCCTTACTTGCTTGATCACCGTGGAGGTACCAGAAGGCAACTGGCGCCCTGATGCGGAGGACCTGCGACACACCCCTTCTGGTCAATCGCAGCCCGATGAGCCATTCTCTGCCCGATTTGGAGGCTCACAAGATGCTCGCTCTCTTCAATATGAACCCGTTGAGAATCTGGACGAGATTGCGGAGGAGCTGCGGAACCGGGTGGATAATTGGCACGGACTCGAGTTTCAACGATTTGGCAAACTCCGCCTGCACGGACAAATGCGCGTTGGCAAGGATCGGGAGTCATGGCAAGAATTGGAATGCTATCTCTTTGGGGAGATGCTCATTTGTGTCAAGGAGAAGAAGATCGCCGACTCTCGCAACCAATACGAGGACTCGAAGCCCAGAACTCGGTGCACTCTGAAGGGTTCGATTCTGATCAAGAAGCACCTGAAATCAATCGAATCTGCCTCCGACGAACCCGTTCTGACCCTCAACCTTTCCGTTAGCGAACTGCCTTGCTTCTTCCTGCGTTTCCCGAACCGCAATCAGCTTGAGATGTGGCGCCGTTCGCTGATTGATTTGCACCCGGTAGAGAATATCTCTCGCCATAATGACTATGATCTGGATAATTCGGGTGCCGAGGAAGATGACTACCGCACCAGCCGTATTCAGCGACAGGCATCCATCAACTCTTCATATGGCGCCGGCAAGTCCAATAACACTGCTATCACCGACTACACCAACCCGGACATGGAGAGACCGTCTATTGATTCATTTCACATTCCCCTCGATCTCGTCGTGGTTATCCCTGTGTCCTCGTCTATGCAGGGCCTCAAGATTACTCTTCTCCGCGACGCCCTCAAGTTCCTCGTGCAAAACCTCGGCTCCCGAGACCGCATGGGCTTGGTGACATTCGGCTCGAGTGGTGGTGGTGTTCCTTTGGTGGGCATGACCACCAAGTCTTGGAGCGGATGGAACAAGATTCTGGACTCCATCCGACCTGTGGGCCAGAAGAGTCTCCGTGCTGACGTTGTGGAGGGTGCTAATGTAGCCATGGATCTACTGATGCAGCGCAAGTTTAACAATCCGGTTTCGACTATCCTCCTCATTAGCGACTCGTCGACCTCTGACGTGGAAAGTGTTGATTTCGTGGTATCTCGGGCTGAAGCTGCCAAGGTCAGCATTCATTCTTTCGGCCTTGGTTTGACGCATAAGCCGGACACGATGATCGAGCTCTCGACTCGTACTAAGGGGTCTTACCTTTACGTGAAGGATTGGATGATGCTGCGGGAGTGTGTTGCTGGATGCCTTGGCGCCCTGCAAACGACTTCCCACCAGAATGTCAAGTTGAAGCTACGCTTGCCGGAAGGGTCTCCCGCCAAGTTTGTCAAGATCAGCGGTGCCTTGCATACTACCAAGCGTGCCACTGGCAAGGATGCCGAGGCTGCGCTGGGAGATCTTCGATTCGGTGATAAGCGTGATGTTCTAGTGCAACTGGTTATTCAGCCAGACAATGCTACTCAAGACAACATGCCCCAGGACCCCTGGGAGAGTTTAGTTTCGGGTCTAGAGGCCCTCGGTGGAGGTATCGATGGGGATGAGCAACGGGTTCTTAGCGTTGAGGAGGTACCACTGATCCAAGCCGATCTCACCTATGGTGACCTCCTCCGCGACGGCCACCTCACACATTCGCCTCGTCCCTCTCTCCTGGCTATAACGATGCTCCCTCCAAACCCTAGAGCTAAAGGCGGTCGCCCATCGACGCCTCCCATCCCACCCCACCCCTCGATCGTGCAACGCCGCATGGAGCTCCTCACATCCGACATGTTAACCCGGGCCCTGACTCTTGTTTCCCGCGGCCAGAATGATCGTGGCCAACACCTGCTCAACGAAACAAGGAGTATCCTGAAGGGTCTCGGCAAGGGAGGTCTCCCTCCTCTACCCCCAGGAGCTTCCCGCTCTGGAACCAGTGACTCCGGCAGCCGCACCGAGACACCGAACTCAGCCTCCCCAACACCTTCATCAAACTTCGCCGAAAGCCACGCCTCATCTGCCTCGGAGGCCAATACCATCACACCGAGCTCCTCTGTCGATGCCCAGACCATGATTGCACTGAACGCGGACCTCGACTCTGCCCTTGAGTGGATCAACCACCCAGCCGTCTTCAGCCGTGATTCTCGAAAGGCCGTCCTACAGAGCATCGGTGTGATCTCTTCCCAGCGCGCTTATACGTACCGCACTCCCTCGGAGGGACACTGGGCCCAGCGCATTTCCGGCGTGCGCCGATTGACAGATAAATCCAAGGATTGGCGTGAGATGGGCGACGATGCATTGACTGAGGAGTGAGATTTACGATAGAGTCTGTTCTTTCGTCTCTTTTCTCATCCATCTTTGCATCGCATCTATCTATACGCCATCTCGAGATTTCGAACGCATCTTCGTCAAGCCGGTCATGATCTTTCTTTCTTATATAATACCTTCCTCACTACTACCCCCTCATGCTTATTATTTTTTCCATTATTCATTTTTCCTTGCCATGATACCACTTTGTTCCCACCATGACTGCGCGGCATGATTCCAGGGGCTTTTTGTTTTCGACCTGTTTCCGTTATGCTATGGCCTGTGGGTTGATCGTGTTGTGCATTTTGTCTCTGATCTCTGATTTCCTTCTGTTTTGGTTTGGTCTGGTCTGCCAGAGCCTTGGTGCTGGTGCGAATGGTCTCTTTACCTGCTATGCCCCTATTTCCTTTACCCTTATTACCCGAACACCCTTTTGGATTTTTCCCTTCTTGGTCCATTTTGGATCAATTTGGCGAACTCTTCATCCTTTTCCTTGGACTTTTTTTGGATTTGGTTTGGCTTTTCGACTGGATGCTTGCATGTGCGTCCCGAAAATATTATGATTACTGGATTCTGGCTTTTTTGTTTATAGCTCCCCCCCCGACCCCCATCTGCATAATTGACTGCCCCCGCTTGTGAATAATGACTGCATGTGTTGATTTAATTGAAGATTTATCTGTCTGATTTATTTGTGCGCATTTCGTGGCTCAATTTGTTGGTTGTGCTTTTCGATGTAAGCGAGTAGATGTCAAACTTCGTGGCCTTCACCCGAAAGGTTCTTGCTAGGGCCTTGTAACTAGTTAGTTTGGAATTTCTTTTGAGGGATCACTAGGTAGAGCCCAGAAGGGAATTTCTTACTGGTAAGGAGAACTGTTGCTAGCTGCTTGAGTAGGTCCTCCTGAAGCTGACAATGTAGAATTCCTTCTTTGACCGAATTGGAAGTTTATTCAAATACAACCGCGAAGCTTCAAAGAGAGACTGGAAACTTATTACTAGACACTGGGGCACTGCTGAGGCATATACTCTATGCCTCAGGCACGTCAAGATCGCCTATAACTAACTATCGGCATCCTTCCTTTGTCTCTAGAATCCGCACAGCATTCTTCTATCCACCTATAGCTGTCCTCATATCATCAGACACTATAGTTGTGGAGCATATATCATAATTAATTATTTAAATTTGATGAAATAAAAGGACGAGAATGACGAATTGCCATGAAATTCTGCAGTGATCTGGTGTTTCCTTCATAGAAGACCCTGGAAATTTGCTAAACTAAACGCCGGAAGTGGCTGCTTATCACCGGCCGCAACCCCATTCGGACTTTCATCTCCGCAGCGACTCTTCCTCTTCCACTTGACTCACTCCATTACCTTCACCTCCAGTTCACCACTCTATCTCGTACCAAACCACCTACACCCGAAATCCACTGATGCTCACACAACTGTCCTTGCGCGCCTTACGCGCCTCCCGAAACACCCGTCTCACAACCCCCAAAATACCTAACCTTCACCTCCGCCAACCTCAACCCGCTCATGCTCTCGCACTCGCGCCTAAGAACACCACCACCTCAAATAGCACCACGATGGCTCACAACATCCACACCCCAAAGAACAAGCCCCAGAATCCAATCCCAGCTCCACCCAATCACCCTCCCACGCCCAACACAACGCCCATTCACCTCAACGCCAATCTCCCGACTCCGCACCTCCACCAAATCCAGCTACCACCAAAGACCAAACTACAACCGCTTCAGCGGCTCCCAGCGCACCTCACTATTCCGCACCCTCCTCACAAAATCCAAACCGCATCACTTCGTCCTCATCGGAATTGGCATCTCAGGCCTATACCTCTATAACACAGACGTGGTAGAAATGACCGGCCGCCGCCGCTTCAACTGCATATCCGCGGAGCGCGAACTAGCCATGGGCGCAGAAAGTTACCGCGAAGTCCTCGCCTCCGAACGAGGCAAGGTCCTACCAGACTCCCACCCACTAACGAAGAGCGTTGATCGCGTTCTGCAGCGCCTCATCCCTATGGCGGATATCGAGGGTGCGGAGTGGAAGGTGCATGTTATCAAGGATGACGGGAATGCGAACGCATTCGTATTACCGGGGTAAGTAACAGCAACATCTAACACCATCACTCATCCATCCATCCATTACTAAAATTCCCCTTCCAAAACAGAGGCAAAGTCTTCGTATACACAGGCATTCTACCAATCTGCCAAGACGAAAACGGCCTCGCCGCCGTCCTAGGCCACGAAATAGCACACGTTGTAGCCAGACACCCGGCTGAGCGCATGAGCACGAGTTTCCTGACGCTGGGCACTGTATTCCTCGTCTCGATGCTATTCGATGTTTCGGGGCAATTGTCGTCCATGATGGTGAATTTGATGTGGAGTTTGCCTAATTCGCGGACGCAGGAGGCTGAGGCGGATCATATGGGGTTGATGATGATGGCGAAGGCTTGTTTTGATCCGTCCGCGGCGGTGAGGCTTTGGCATCGGATGCAGATGCAGGAGAAGGGGGTGCCGTTGCAGTTTATGTCGACGCATCCGTCTAGTTATAATCGGGAAGAGGCGATTCGGGGATGGTTGGAGAGGGCGGAGGGGGTTTATTTGGATAGTGATTGTGGGGTTGTTGGGGGATTTGGTGAGTTTTTTTGATGGTGTTTTTTGGGGTTGAGGATTGGGCTGACCTTTTTATAGTGCCTGGCTTTCGGAGTGCGGTTAGGGAGAATCGTTCGGTGGTGTGGTGAGGTTGGAGCTTGAAGCTTTCCCGACAGCGGGTATAATATATTCATACTTCCCAAGGTTGTAAACTATTATCATGGCATGTGGACAATGTTTGTTCAATATATCAAATATCCATGGATGGCACCTGATATTTCCTGAACCTGCACGCCATAATACAAAGACGTCATTCAGAAATGGTGCAGGATCACTATCCATTTCATGGACCGAATTGGCTTGATGGAGGGCATATTACTATAAAGTCACGCCCAAAGTTATACGGGCGTGTCCAAGGTTCATGTTCACCTGAGATTCGTAATAGTACTAGTACTACTATTTCTTTGCTGTATGGATTCGAGTCACTGTAGGTATGTCTATACCTCAGGCTCAGTCTTACTACTTTGGGAATGCATGTCGCTCGCATAGTTCGGTAGCGTGGTACAGCTTAAAGCTTGGAGTTTCCCCATGGACGCAGGTGTGATATATCCATTCATTTACACTATCATCGTGATATACAATCAATTGATGCATTTTTTTTCTTATATATGAATTTTCTACCAGTAAAATAGTAGGACAATATACTGGGAGATACTATACTAGTAGTATACGGAGAGGATGGCGGGGCGGTCAACAGTTCCCCTCCGTGCAAACGCAGCAAACCCACCACCCAAAAATTCCCCGGGCACTCTTGACGAGCTCATCTTCCCCTTTTGAACCCCCCTCATATCCAGTCAAATCCACATCGGACGCGACCTTTCACAATGTCGCTATCCATCCCTGGGCCCTCTCAGCAGGGCCTCTTCAAGCAGGGGTACCAAACGTAAGAAGATCCCTCCTCCCAACACATCCAAATCCCACCTCCTTATCCGCTCGGAGGGGAGGTTGCTCCAAATGGAAGCAAATGAAGCTAGCCAGCCAGCTAATCACAATTCCATCAACACAGCCATGACTCTGAGGATGGAGCTGTTATCCGCAACATCGAGGCCTGCCAGGCCATCTCCGGCACCGTTCAGACTTCCCTGGGTCCCTATGGCCGCAACAAGATCGTCATCAACCACCTGCAGAAGATGATCCTGACCTCCGACGCTGCGACCATTCTCCGTGAACTGGATGTTGTTCACCCCGCTGCCAAGCTGCTGGTTATGGCTAGTCAGCAACAGGATGCCGAGATGGGCGATGGCACAAACCTGGTCATCGTTCTGGCCGGAGAGCTGCTGAAGAAGGCGGAGGAGCTTATTCGCTTGGGATTGAAGACTAGTGATATTACTTCGGGCTACGAGAAGGCACAGAACTTTGCTTTGAAGACCCTAGAAGGTATGTTGGGTCTCCTCACTCTTATATTCGAGTCTGGTGGGGATGTCGGGATAGGGGAGGGTCGACTCTCACTACCGTTGTCACCAGATTTGAGGTGGATAATTTGCTAACCAGTACCTTTTTTTTTTGCGATAGATCTCGAGGTTGACCGACTCAAGGAGATGCGTTCCACTACCGAGCTCAGCAAGGCCCTTCGGACGGTTATCGCTAGCAAGCAGTCTGGCGTTGAGGATACTTTGGCGGAACTGGTCGCGGAGGCTGTTCTTGCCGTACTTCCCAAGAACCCCCTCAACTTCAACGTGGACAATGTTCGTGTCGTCAAGATTATGGGTGGTAGCTTGGAACAATCCAAGGTGGTCAAGGGTATGGTTTTCGGACGTGAGCCGGATGGAATTGTCAAGCAGGCCCGCAAGGCCAAGGTCGGCGTGTTCAGCTGCCCAATTGATATCTCGCAGACCGAGACCAAGGGTACGGTCCTGCTGAAGAACGCCCAGGAGATGGTCGACTTCACCAAGGGCGAGGAGGAGCGTCTGGAGGCCGCTATCAAGGAGCTTTATGACTCCGGTCTGCGCGTTCTCGTTGCCGGTTCTACCGTCGGCGACCTGGCCATGCACTACCTCAACCGCTTTAACATTCTGGTTATCAAGATTCTCTCCAAGTTCGAGCTCCGCCGTCTGTGCCGCGTTGTCGGTGCTACCCCCCCTGGCCCGCCTCGGCGCCCCCATGCCCGATGAGATGGGTACCGTTGACGTTGTCGAGACCACCGAGATTGGTGGTGACCGTGTCACCGTTTTCCGTCAAGAAGATGCCAACTCGGCCACCCGCACATCCACAATTGTCCTGCGCGGCGCCACCCAGAACCACCTGGATGATGTCGAGCGTGCCATCGATGACGGCGTGAACGTCGTCAAGGCCATCACCAAGGACCCCCGTCTCGTCCCCGGTGCCGGCGCCACCGAGATCCAGCTCGTCGAGCGGATCTCCGCCTTCGCTGACAAGACTCCCGGTCTGCCCCAGCACGCCATTCGCAAGTTCGCCGAGGCCTTCGAGGTCGTTCCCCGTACCCTCGCCGAGTCCGCCGGTCTCGATGCCACTGAGGTTCTCTCCCGTCTGTACACCGCACACCACCGCAACAACACGGATGCCCAGTCCGAAGGTGAAGAGGAGGGCAGCTCATCCGAGGAAGAGGAGCCCTACTGGACTACCGGTGTGGACCTGGAGGTCGGCTCCGGCGGTGACGGCACTCTCGATGCTGTTGACGAGGGTATCCTCGACTTGATGGCCTCCAAGAGCTGGGCCATTCGCCTCGCCAGTGAGGCTGCCCGTACTGTTCTCAGCGTCGATCAGATCATCGTCGCTAGACAGGCTGGTGGGCCGAAACCCCCAGGCCCCAACCCTAACTGGGATGAGGATTAAACGTTTGATTATGAGGCTTCGAGACCGCTGGGACGTTGATAGATCTACGTACGATATCACGAAAAAAAGTCGGCTGGTGTGTATAGCAGAGTATGATAATACATCCCTACCTTTTGGTCAATCTTCTTTCTTTTGTTTCGTAGCTGTAGCTTAAAGCAGCCAATTGCTGAGTGTATTCGTCGGCATATTTCCTAGAGATACCAGTATACCAAGGTACAAAGGCAGGGCTTTCTGTTGCCCTTGTCTTCTATTTATCCCGAGATAACGTTGTATTTCAAAAATTGAGAATTCTTGGCATTTAAATTCGTTATCACCATGGATAATACTAGTAGTAGTAGTACTATACTGTTGATAGTCCCCATCTGGTACTCTGTTGATGGCTTGTATATGATGACTAATACCACGTGACACCTAGATTTTCCCCGAAACTCTTGCCATTCTTTTCGTCCGCATCGCGGTTAGAGCTGTCCTTCCCCATTAGTCCCGTCCACCCTCAATTGAATTTAATTTTGATTCGGAGTCTCCGACCCTCTCACGCCTTCGCCATGTCCTTCCCCATCCAGTCCGCAGCTCGCTGCGCCAGACAGCTGTCCGGCTCCGTCCGCCCATCCTCCCTGCGCATCGCGACTTCATACACAGCCCGCACACCCAGCTACCGACGATGGGAATCGACCGAGGCCGCTGCCCCTACCAACCCCAAGATCACACAGATTGTCGACCAGATCAGCACATTGACCCTGCTTGAGACCGCCGACCTCGTGTCTAGCCTGAAGGTTGGTCCCGAACCCGTGATGCATTAGATATGGAGCACTCTGCTGTTTCAATCGCCCATGATCGCTAGAAATACCATTTGCACTTTCAATTGCTGACTCTTCTTCTCAACAGACCCGCCTGAACATCCCTGACCTTCCCGTTGGTGGTTTCGCCATGGCCGCCGGAGGAGGCGCACCTGGCGCCGCCGCTGCCGTCGAGGAGGAGGAGGCCGCCCCCGCTGCTGCCGAGAAGACCCTGTTCAACCTGAAGCTCGAGGGCTTCGAGGCCGGTTCCAAGCCCAAGATCATCAAGGAGATCAAGAACATGCTCGGCCTGTCGCTAGTTGACAGCAAGAAGTTTGTCGAGTCCGCGCCCAAGATCATGAAGGAGTCTGTGCCAAAGGAGGAGGCCGAGAAGATCATCGAGACCCTCAAGGCTCTGGGTGCTAAGGCTGTCATGGAGTAAAGGAAGAAGACACACTGATATACTCGGGATACCAAAAAGAGCAGCAAGAAAAAAAAAATCGTTGTTTGGGCCGGGGATTCATGCAGAAAGACTTGTTGAGATTCTTACTCCCTCTTTCCTTCCTACCTGTGTTTTTTTATTACCGAGGACCCTTTTTTCTCCTTTGCACTTGCACAGCTTGAGCTTTGCGGAGATCTGAGCGTTGTTTGTTGGCCTGGGCGTGTGAGGGCAAATGTACATTATACGCATTTTTGTTAAGGACCCCGTCTGTTAAAGAGGGTTTGTTTGATTAATTTATGCATTGAGCATGTTCAAAGTATTACTTCCTCAACTATGCCTCCTAGTGTAAGCGTAATTAGTTTAATTATTCCGAATTGAATGGATGATGTTACCGAACTACGTAGACCAGGTGGTGCTCTCCATGAAAGCGGACTCGCCAATTCCGACCTCCGCGGTTTTTGCTCAAGCTCCGCAGCAACTCCAACTCCAATTCCTCCCCCAGTCTTTGCGCACACCCAAACCACCGCTGTGGCCCACGACATTACGCCCACAATGTCGAGATCCACGACTTCTCTAAAACAATGGCTGCACCTGCGGCAAACATTGTCCGCGCAAATACCCTCAACGATCAGCCCACGTGCGCGCAATCTCGCCCTCTCCGCTAATGCGTCCCGATCAACAACGAGCAGTAGTGACACGGTTATGTTGACACGCTCGCTTCACAGCACCCGGTATCGACAGGCTGCTTCCCCGAGACCTCGCCAAGCACCGGGCACCAGGGACAGACAGAGGCAAGCAGAGCGGCAGGGACAATTGGAGCAGAGAATCGGCTACAAAGGAGAACTTTTTATGAAGTCGAGTGTGCAAAACCGGACGAAGAAGAGCATGGGCGAATGTCTGGAATTGCATGAGAAGATTGCAGGGGTGATTTACGATGCTGCCATCGTGGACGGCCAGCTGCCGAAGGAAATCAGCTTCAAGACGTATAAGGATATCGGAGCGAAGTTGATCATGGCTGCATATGAGAATGAGGTTTCTGCGGCTGCTATTCGAGCTATTTCAGTTGGTTCGTTCCATCCTCCTCCATGAATTTTCCCCAATTTACTCCCAAGGACAAGAGGGAGTTGTTTTGCGGGGGGGTTTTATACTTCTGACACGGCTTGCTAATACACGCTTTACAGATGTTGACGCCGTCTTCCGTATCGGCTACATCGTCGCTCTACCACTCGAAGAACCCGGGATCGCAGAATGGATCCTTTCCTCCTGCGCCAGAGCCAAAGCACGCATCGCACTAGTCCTCGTGGTGAACCGAGCCATCCACAGAGATAAAACGGTACCAGCCCGCACGCAGTGGACAGACGACATCGAGGAGCTAGCAAAGACAGAATACCCGCCCGCAATGCTCCTGCACGCGCAGATCCAAGGCCGGCGCGGCAAATACGACTCTGCCTTCCGACAATTCGAGAATAGGATCCTCCCCCGTCTTTCGCCGACCCGCAAGTCACCGAACACATTCTCCAGCATCCAAATAGGAAAGGAACTGGATTCGCCGTACCGGACATATGCGCTGCTCCGCGCCGCGCACGATCAGCAGTTCGATTCACCGGAGAGTCGGCAGAAAGCGGACGAAGCGATTCGGATCGCGGCGGTGGAATTTGGCGATCCGGAGGCTTTGACTGAGTATGCGTCTGTCATGATGAATGAGGGTAATCTGGATATGTACGAGGAATGCATGTGCAAAGCTGCAACAGGAGGCCATGGAAAGGCCTCGTTCTACCTTGGAAATTTCTACTACTTGACTTTTCTCGGCAAATACAAGACTCGCGGGGAGCGCGATTCTAATCAGAATAGGTGGCCGCCGGCGTGGGTAGCGCGGCTGACGGGCTTTCATGACCCTGCGAAGTCTTCTTCGATTCTGAACAAGTCGATGACATATGTTGCCTCTTTCCTGAATCGTTCCATGCCGCAAAAGGCGTATCATCAGCTCGCTTCGGATTGGTATGAAGTTGCTGTGGCTCAGGGTCACCCATCTGCTTGTTTTATGATGGCGCTTCTTAAGCGTGAGGTTGCTCAGTCGGAGGCGGAGTTGGAGGATGCGGGTATTTTCTTTGAGTTGGCTAGGTCGATTCAGGATCTGGAGTTGAAGAAGACTATAGCCGAGTTGGAGAAGAACTGGTTTAATCGCGATTTTGAGCCTACTTTGCCGATGAAGTTCATGGCTGTACGATAGTGTCTCGGGTTCGTCTGCCTATGGTGGATTAGATCGTGCAGAGAGTTCGGAGAAATAGTATAGTGTATCATAGTTGCATTGCATTGATATCCCAAGCTTGATCTAGCATGGGGTAATTCCGAATGGCTCCCTAGGTAAATGGTATAGACTTTAAATTGGTATGTAGCTAAAGACTGAGAGTTGGGTATGAAAAGGATTGACATTGGCTTTATTAGACAATGCAAGTTCTAGATAATGGCCGAATTCCGTCGACATGCTTGGTGATCATTGCTGCAAACTTTCGAGCTCCAGGTGACGAGGAACCATGTACTGCATTTCATGGGATCCAAAGTCTTTGGGCCTAGATAGAAGTTTCTCCTACTAGGATAGAAGAAGACTGGCGCGGTTGGTCTTATGAACAAGAGTCTGCCATTTGAAAGCCAGGTTGGATACACCGTTGACGCTTATAACCCAACGTCTGCTGCGGAAATAGCTGTATCATACCTGCGCTGCCTTCACTGGTGGGGGTCGATTTTCACAGGGCGCGAATCGAATCTGGATATCAATTTTCCGATGGATTGGCAGTTATGAGGTCGATCATCTCTTTTTCGGAATGGAAGGAACACCCTCAGTCTCCCTCAACTCAACCAGCTTCTTCTCTCTTTCGACCAAGCGATCCTTCTCCTCCTTAATCATCTGCTCAACCGTCTTCGTCGCCTCAGACATCCTATCAAGCTCCTTGTTCTCCGTCGTCTTGCTGTAGGGATTCTTCGGCGTATCACCCATCGGAATATCCGCCGTCCGGCCAGCCTTCGCATTCTTGCCCTTGGCCCTAGGCACAGACCCCGCCGGACCACCAGTGAGGACCTCGTAGAACGGCTCGACGGGCTCATTGAAGATAACCTCCTCGTAATTTTGACTTACAACGACCTCCCGCCGCTCCTTCATACCCTCCGCGTCCGGGCCGTAAGGGTGCAGTTTCAGACTGTGCCATAGGGTCTGCGGCTTCTCGTTGGATTCGGGGACGAAGTAGAGCTTGATTTGGATTTCGAATTCACCCCAGCCTGTTTCGACGACTTCGAAGGGTGGTTGTTCGATTGTGCGCACATTTTGCGCGTAGGTCTCGTGGAGCTTGAATTGGACTTTCTTCAGCCAGTAGGAGATGTCTTCGTCGTTGACGCCTTTGACGAAGATGCGCCATTGGTGCGTGTGGTCTGTTGGGGCGTTGGCGGGGCGCTTCTCCGGGTCGAAGAGTTGGGCTTCTGTGCCGAAGACTGTGTATTTGTTAGCTCGGGGGTTGGTTGTAGGGTGGAGATCCGTTGTTGTCGAGACATACTGAACGGTCGGAATGCTGATACGCCCTATGAGTGTGCCGTGAGTGGAAGGGCTCGTAATGGGAGGGGGTTTTAGTTGGCTATGATGAGCTGGGTACTCACTCTGACGCGCTTGTTTCCAGTTGCAGATGGCATATTTGAATCAGGTCACGAATTATTAGTAGCAGAGTCGTGAATCGCAGAGTTAACTCGAAAGTTGCAAGGGCGGACTGCGCGGCGCGAAGAGGCATTTGCGACACACGTGACTCGGTGACGGCATGCGGGAGCTGCCATAGCTTTGATGATCTGATCGGATTCATATATCTGGATTGATCATGCCGTTTTCCTTTTGACGAGAATCTCGACCTCTACTTCCAATTGACCGTGATAGCAAACTTTATCTAACTCATACGATGGCTGCCAAACGACTTGTCGTTGCTGGAGGAAGTGGTTTCCTAGGTTCGCACTCTTCTAGCCTGCGCATAGGCCAATGTTCGCCATGCTAACTTGCTGCTTCAGGTTCCAGGATCTGCAAATCTGCAGCTGCACGAGGCTGGTCGGTTGTTTCGCTAAGGTATTTCGCTCCTTGAGAATCAAATTGATATTTCATTTCTTCTAATCGCGTGTCTTTTAGTCGATCCGGAGAACCGCGGTGGGATGCCGTGACAGACTCCTCTGATCGTCCTAGCTGGGCAAGCTCCGTGGAATGGGCCAAGGCCGATCTCTTGAAGCCAGAGAGCTATAAGCCTTTCTTGACAAATGCTTCAGCTGTTGTGCACTCAATGGGGATTCTGTTGGAGGCCGACTACAAGGGTGTTGTACAAGGAAGAGAGCCTATTGTCAGTGGGCTTCAGCGCGCATTTAGCTCATCGAAGCTGGGCAGCCAAAACCCTCTCACACGACATGAGGGCGAAGCTTTGGAACCAAAGGAAAAGGATGGCCAGTTAACTTATGAATTAATGAATAGGGATTCCGGTATGTCCAAGTCCAACTGTTATGGTTTATTTCTAGATACTCGAAAGCTAACCCGTTGTTATTGGCGAAACTTAGCCATCGCATTAGCCCAGGAGTCCTCAAGCGAGCATGTCCCAGCCTTTGTATACATCTCTGCCGCGGCGGGTGCACCCGTCCTTCCAGCCAGGTACATCACCACCAAACGAGAGGCCGAGGCCACCATAACCTCCACCCTTCCTGAGCTGCGGAGTATCTTCATTCGCCCGGGGTTCATGTATGACAACAGCCGAAAGTTCACGCTGCCCATTGCGCTGGGCGGATTCGTTGCCTCGGAGTTCAACACTTTGCTAGGAAATAAACTTGGCTTCCTCGGGGCCATGGCCGAAAAACCACTAAAAGTCGATATGGTGGGTGAGGCTGTGGTTGAGGCGCTGGAAGACGAGTCGACCAGAGGTGCTGTGGGAACAAAGCAGATTGAAGCACTGGCAACAAAAGCCTGGAGAAAATCAATGCTTTAATTCGGCCTTGCTATTATTGGCCCGTTTAACATGGTACACATTAACCTCTCGATATCGAAAACCGTGCAAATCAGTCAATAATCTTCGCTGGTGATGAGGAGTGTCTTGCACCATGCATGACACAAAATGTTTTGCATGTACATTAGTATGATTTTTTTTTCATGTAACATTAGATCATGGTGCCGCGCTCGAAACTGTCCCGAATTTCGGTAGTGTACTAGAAAACAACGTTAGTGCATTCGCTCCAAATAGTTGCGATTATATGTAAAACATACCTTGTTGTAGAAGCGCGACAATTTTTGGTTGAACTGCTTGTTCTTTTCGTTGATGTATGTGACGTCTGCCTCCTCGTCGCCACGGCGCTCCTTACGCTTCTTCAGGCGGACCTCTTCGGCCTTGCGGAGGTCTGTCACCAGTCTGTCCACGGCCGCACGGTCCGGCTTGTTGTCCGTAAAGCCCGTACTGTCTGCGGTGGAGTAGAAGCTGCCGTTTTTGTCGATAGCAATCATTTCCCCATCAGCGGTTTCGACAATCTCCAGGTCGCCATTAGCAGCTGCCTTCTCGATGGCAGCGATCTTGTCCTGCTCATAGGCCTCTAAGTTGGGCTGCAGCTCCCGCATCTGGCGATCATAGACCTTGCGAGCGTCTTGAGTGTAGTCCTGGAACGCAACATCATCGCGGTGACGCTGCTTCTTCTCTAGACGGCGGTCCCACTTCTCCGATTCATCCACAGTCCAATCCCAGGCCCTCTTGCGTTCGAAATCTTCTCCTGCAGCTTCCGTGTCCGCCTTGAGGAGGTTGTGGGAGGCAAACGCGTGTTTGCGGGATAGATTGTTCAGCAGTGATGGGTCAGTCGCAAGTCGTTGTGTCTCTGCTGCGGTTTCCTTCATGTTGCGCTCGGCGCCAGATTTCTGATTTGGAGTCAGTTTTCTCTTCAAGTCAAATAAAGGGTTCTTAAACATCTCCCTTGTAGATCAAGTACAAAAGCGACTTACCGCTCGCGCCTGAAGAGCCTTAAATCTCTGTAGTCTCTCACGCGCCGCATTAGCCGCGGTATCTCCGTCCTCATTCTTCTTGTCTGTCGTTGGCTCTTCTGCGGCTGGTGGGTTTTCGGGAGCAGCCTCCGTCTGCTCAGGATGGTCGGAGACCACCTCTTTTTTGGCGGCCTCTTGATTTCGTGTTCTGGGCATTATGTTAAGCTCTGAGACACAACCTTTACCAGTTGAGGACGAAGGTGAGGCGATGAGGAGTGTTTTGATAAGGAATCCTTTGCGGGCAGGATTTGGGCCCGTGGAGATCATCGATAGGTCGAGTCGACCGCATTCCACACCGCCTTTGTCACCGCCCAAGAACTGCCGCCCCAGATGGTGGCCAACCTGTCGCTTCTCCACTCGTGGGTCGTCTCCGCATTCCCGTTGTTGACTTGATCGATTACACTCACACTCAGTATGGGGAGTCTCTTGCGGTTGCTGCAAAGACCGCGGCGTCAATTAACTCGGTCACTTCTGCAGCCATCATTACATCGTGTCTCTTCTCTCAGCAGTGGTGTTGCTCAGTCTTACGGCCCGTCCCCATCAGGGCTTCTACGTGCTACACTCTTGGGGCCGATCACCTCCAAGACCAACAATGAAACTAATGACGAAAGAAACGCCCGAATTCTTGAACTGCTTGATTCTAAATGGGAATATGGTAGACCTCCCTCGTCATTATCGTTTGCCCTCACGGGACATTTGTCTGCCGGCTATACACAGGGCCATGGCCGGCTTCCCTCAATTGGAACTTTATCTTCCCTTCAATACGTGACAGAAAGACTCGCTGTGAATAACCAGGGAGCCGAGCTACTACAAGCCGATCTAGAGAAGATTATCTCTCGCTGCCGCAGAAAACATCAATGTACAGAACTTCTCTCAACTTTGGGAGATATTGTTGTGAGGCTTCAACGACTAAACCTCTTCATTGACCCCAAACTCTACGAACTCGGAATGTGCATGGCTGCTCAGAGCCTTTCGTCTGCGAATTTTCACCGTTTCTTCACGGGTCTTCTCAGACTGACCCCTGATCAGTTGCAGTTCGAGTCTGGCTTTGATATTGTTCAAACGCTATATGAAACTGTTCGCCAGGAAGTTTTTGAAACCCCGCATTACGATACCACACATATTCTTGCTGAGATCACCGGTGAATACGATGCTATCCCAGAGAGTGATACTGTCACATTTCATGATATACTCTGCTCAATGCTCAAAGACGACCGACATTTGACTAGCTGGACCAATTATCTCTGCTTATTATCCAGACTTCAAAGTGGCGAGCCTTTAACCAATTTATGGAAGGAGTTTCTCGACAAATTTTCAGAGAAGAGCCGAGAGAATTTGCACTCGATGTACAGCGTTGTACTGGATTTAGTGCGGGCCAGGCGTTCGGAAACTGCTGCTAAGTTCCTTGAAGGCATTTCGATCCGCAATGGAGATAACCTGCCGCATATTTCAACGTTCCCACATTTACAAGAAATATTTGACGACTCTGTTGTCTGCGAAACTTTGGCAGATGTTGGAGGAGATCAATACGATGTATTGCTCGAGATTGCCTTTAAGAACATGGAACAACGTTTAGGAATTCGATGGGAGAAAGCCCAGCAACCGGAAGACGAGGCCCACATCAGCATCACCGCAGACTCGCCATGGTCAGTATTCGAAGACCAGCCTCTTCTGTCAATCGATGGTGATTGTGCCGGCTATGACGACCCAAGCCGACTGTATGCCGAGCTTCAAGCCTCGGGCTGTTCTCGCTCGCCAAACCAACTGGGCCGAATTGTGGAGCTACTTCACGATAATGATGGGATTGGCCTCAAAGTAGTTCTACAGGGTGATCATAAACTTAATCTACCAGAATTTCGATGGTGTCCTCGACATTCGCCTATTGAATTCTCGCACGCTGAACTCCCAACCTTGTCAGACCGCTCCCGAGAATGGACACCGGCCTCACTTGGACTAATATGGGTTCGTCCCCTTATCAATGGCGTGCCTCAGCCAAGAGAAAAGTCCTTTCATCTCATGCAGCTTGGTTTCCTGGATATGCGGCGCGGATCACATGAGGCGTGGCAGTCATCGGGTTACATTGTCGGCTGGGACCGTCAATCTGGGCATATGAGTGCAGTATTTGTTGGGACAGACCGCGAAGTTATCGACCGCGGTCCCATGCCATCAGATGCTCCATTTGGAACTCTGCTACGTATTCGGCCCTCTCATATTCCAGACTCCGGTCTTTGGAGCTCTGTGGATCCTTTCCACTTGGATCTGGACCCAAGCCTAGACCTAGGCTTTCGATAGTTTCTTCCACCCGGAATGCTACTGCATATAGTTTGTGGGTTCGATGTGAACCTAATGTATCAACGTGAAAATGCCGTTGGAGACATCTAAGCATGGACGGACGATCTCACATGTAGGAGAATGGATGGAATACCCACATCAATATGAATAGCCTTGTAGATCGGGTTCATCCTATGTCAAACCCCGAATTCTTGTCCCTCGCTTTCTTTCATCCCGATCGACAGCACACCAACATACACGCCGCACAAACCCACTGTGGGACATTCTCGCTCCGGAGTCCAACGGGGATTGGCCCTGATCGTGAATCTCTGTCAGCGATCAGTTGATTGGATCGGCAATTACCATGATCGGCAGCGACGAGTAAAACCCAGCAGTTTGGTACACCATCCTTTCCAGGTTCATCCAGGCGCCACAGCGTTTTCTATCACCAAGTATGCGTCTCCGGTAGGCACCCCGACTGCTTCTACTGACCCTAAGACGGGGCTAACAAGAATCGACGGATGGGATGCGCAAGCCACCGGGATCGGACACTCTATTTCGAACGATGGTGCATCGATCGCGGCCTGCTTCCACTTTTCTGCCTTTTCTCTACCCTCTTCAACTGCATCTGGCTATGAATGGAAGTCTTTAATTCCCTGCCACGATGAATGTATACGTTCTGCGCATGGCTTGTACCCCAGCGACAGGTTGAGCGCTGGGGGGGTTCTCGCGTATGCTATTGCAGTAGCTCTGCAGCAGTGGATGCCTTCGCAAGGCTCACCACCATGAGGCAATCGGGGCCACCGTCTTGATCCTATCATACTTGCGATATTCGGACCTGGGTGGGGCGCGCGGTTACCCCTCTACCTAAGCTAACTTTTCCTTGACAGCCCATCGAGCAATTTCCGCGGATCTCGCTTGCGCTGGTGGGGGCAATTCTTCTTTGACGTGGTCCCACGGCCGACTATTTGCCGACAAACATGTCCCTTTGAGTCGACGGATGGCAAGAACAGGGATATGTATGAACAGGGATATGAACAGGGATATGAACAGGGTACAGGAATGTGCTAAACAGGGGCAGTGGCAATTGACAAGGATTGCTGAAGAGCTGTCATTGACGGACGATACATCCAACCACCTCTGTTGAAATTTGGAATTCCGCAATCTACGCGATAATATCTGCAGTGCCGTGAACTCAGATTGCATCTCGGATGCGACAAGCGAACGATACGAACTTGGCAACGTTGCCTTGGTGCTTGGACCCTCCGCACCGGCCATTAATGCTGATGATGAAGGAGAAATAAGAAAGAACATTGTAGCAGAAGAAGTGAAAAGAGTCTGCCTTCATTACTTGGATTATGGCTGCCTTTGCCGATCAGATCTCAACTGACAGTGTGTGTTGCTCCATGCCATGCGAGGGATGACTGGCAAGCACTGCCGTGAAACAATGATCTACTTTGATTTCCTGGAAACCAATGACATTAGAGACTTACCGACTGCTAGTGCCCGCAATCTTCCCTAGTGGTTCTCTTCTACGGAGTACATTTCTTCCTTTCCTCCCGGAAGCTTGCCACCTTCGATGCACGGACGTCGTCAGAGGAGGCCTCGGTGCAAAGCCAACCCTCACACCCAGGTGCCACAGACACATTCGCTCAAATCACTCCACTGTGGGGGTCTTTTGGGAAGATCGTTGTCTGTTTTGATTTTTGACTCGCTTGCCAAGCCCCAATGGAGAGCACGCCAATAATCGGGGGCCGGACCTGCAGAGCCGTCCGTGACCGGGCGTGATTTCAAAATGATGCTTGAGATGATCAGCTCCGACCATTCTGAGGGTCGGTCAGTATCCGATCGACGGGTATCCCCGTTCACCTCCCGCGCAGGTGGTGAGTTGTGTCCACTCTATAAAGCGGAGCTCTGAGTTTTTCTGCACTTTTGAGGGGGACCCCGTTCCCACCGTTCCATGGGACACACGGCCTCTAAATTAGGAACCAATCCGCGATATACGGAGTATGGAATACATACAGCAACTAAGGCATCCCCTGCCTAGAGTTCATCACTAGGGTCCCTAGCTGCTGGTCAACCGTGTGCTGGCTAAATTTGTGCCTATTGCCATCACATGGAAAATACAGCCCCTTCTACAAGACGTTTTGAGGAGGGATTTGCTAGGGTTTCTGGCCCCATCACACCCATCACACTCAAACCCCCTACCATCCCCACCCCAAAACGGGCTGGGGCTCAGGCGACTAGGAGCAAGCCACTTTCACCTCTTTCGCATGCCACAGCTGTGGGGATTGATCTCGACTGCAGCATGGATGACCATGTAATCGTGCCGGTTGTTTGTTGACCGTCTTTCACAGGCTCTATCCTGAGATTTTTGTTCCTGACAGCAACTGATGCCCGAGAATCAAATTCGTGAGGCCGCAGCAACACACATACCACACACAGTGGTACACAGGCCCTTACTCCCCTCTCTCTTTCTGTATTGAATCTCCACCGTGGCTGTGGCGAACAAACGATTGCTCGGCCCGTCCCCCCGGGTTTCGTTGCCTCAAGCAGGACCGCCAATCGTATACGTTGGTAGTGATGGGGCTAGTTGGGGCCGACTCAAATAGAAAATGCCCAATTCGCAATTTCTCTGATATCTGCAAATCACTTGAAATTACTCAAAATAAAATAAAATAAAAATGAGAGAAAAAAAAGGAACGAATCCACACAGCCTCCGCTCCATGCACGCTTCGCCTCGTTGATTGGGCCGCGCTCGGCGCTGCACCGGCGAGGGGAAAATCCGGTGCGTCCAACATTTTGATGGACAGCTGAACCTCTCCTGATCTTCCAATTCCTTCAGTCGTGGTCATAACTCTCTATTCTCCATGGCGTGCCTTACCTGAAAAAACAGAATCTAAAAATAAGAAAAGAAAAAAAAGAAGAAGGAAAATCTGGATCTGCATCCTGCGGTTTATCAGATGTCTTGATCGTGGGCCGAGCAGATCCAGGATATGCAATCAACCTTTCAGGTTCAAGTTCCTATCTCCACCGTGGTCCCCATTATATCAAGTCAAGATTAAACCGAAAATCTACATTTGAGACATCGACTCCGCTTCGACGTGGCTGTGACTGGTCTGACCGCTCCATGTTCAATGCCTCTGGCGCTGAACTCATGAACCCACCGTTCCAATACGGCACGACTTTAAAATCAGCGCAACGGCCCGCATCTACGGCGCCTGCGCGATCCAGAATAGATGTCGAGGACTCCGTCGCAGCAATGCGGGAACCCTCCTGACAACAGGGCCTACGACCCTCGCTCCCAACCAAATATTCCCATGGCATATGAACCATATCCACGCCATGAGCCTCGTCACTTTGTCCCACCGGATGTGGGCTATTATCATCGGCCCATGATGGCAACACCACCGCCGCCGCGGTTGCCTCCATTAGGAACATTGCCCGAGACAAGTACGGACCCGAGATATATGCTCTCATCCGACAATGGTTACATGGCCCGCCATTCTTTACCGCAGACGCTGCCGTTGCGGATGCACCACCAGGACCCTTCTTCAAAGCCACAGACATATCCCGCGCCTTATGAAGAGAGATCGAATCCGATGTTGAGCCATAGTCGTGAGCTTGCTGCTTATCGGATGCGGACCTACGACCAAGAGTCCCAGTAAAGTCCCTTCCTTTTTCTTCATTTTTTGTCGATCCAACCATTCTACCTGTCAGTCCACCCGTCCTTGTGCGGCGTCCTTGAGGTATCATATCAAGCTGTTGCTTTTGAGTTCAGAATGACAGAATATCATTCAACCTGCTTGGAGAATCACGAATACAAGACGAGTATATACTAACACTTTATTATTACTTTAGGCATAGTAATAGTTCCACCAATATGCCGAGCCCTGTATACTCTGAGAAGAGCCCAATCTCATATCCTGCATCAGCGAGCATCACGCAAGAACCGAAACCACCACCCAGGAATCCAGGCTATAGCATGCCCCACGGCTTCGACAAGCTTCTTCACCTCGAGCCCGAATCATCACCCCCTCCACCACCCCGCCGAACCTCTACACAATCACGATATCACCTCCACGTTCGCCAGCAGCCCATCGCAGCCCGAGCCTGCGGCGCAGGAGACCGAGACCGTCGCCCTGTAGACCCACCCCCAATAGTCCAAATCCTCCTCACAGATTTTGACCCAGGGTCCCAAGATGACAGGGACATTCTCGAAGACCCCAGATTCACAGTGGGCTGTCTTCTCTTCCCCGTCTCCGATTCCCCGCCCTACCTGCCCAACACAGACGAAGACGAAACCCCAGAAGGAGGTGACGGCGACGGCGTCGCCCGCGCAGACGATACATTTTCAACCCCACTCCTCTCCGGCAAAGCATTCATGTCCCCCTTCTTCGTGGACGCAGATCCAGACCCCAACTCCGCACCCACACACCCATCCTCCGAGAATCCGCACCGAGTCCCATCGCCCGACCTCTCCCAGCCCGAGAACCTCCGGAATGCCTCGAAACTGCACCAGCCGGCGACATTCTTCATTTTCGCCGATCTGTCGATTCGCTCGGCGGGATTTTATCGGCTGCAGTTTCGGCTTATGAATTGGGGTTCTGTTGAGGATACGGGTCAGTCGATGCCGATTCTTGCGGAGGCGTGGTCTGATCCGTTCCGTGTGTATCCTGCGAAGGATTTTCCGGGGATGAGGGACTCGTCTATTCTTGCGGAGGGATTGAAGGAGCTTGGGTTTGTGGAGTTGAAGACTAGGGGGGAAAGGGAAAGGGAAGGGGAGGAAGAGGTGGTGATTTGGATTCTTGACTTTGGTTTTTGGTTCTTTTTCATCTTTTCTAAATCCTTACTCTTTTAGGTCATATTGACCCTGCAGCACCGACAGCATAGTGGGCAGTTCTCACATGACTTTATCTCGATCTCATTGTTTTTATTTTTTGAAGGTGTCTTTCGGGAATTTATGGGGGTTGGAGCACAGATGGCACGGAACATCGAGGATGAATAGGCGTGGCGTTGATTTTCTTTATTTTCCTTCTTTTATGCTTTGTCTGTAATCGAATATCCGATTATGCTAGGGGCATGGGTCACCATGGTGTTTATTTCTTTCGATATGAGATATGAATGATGAAGCGAGATATACTTTTTTAAGTCACGTTATGGCGTTTGGAGCATCGGGGAATGAAGTGCCGGGTACTTGATTCGTCCTTTTTCGCCTCTTTCCTAAGTGATCTCACATCCATTACTTAGGTGTCGAGCAGAAGTATGGTTGCATCGATTTGCAGGATTTGGGGCTCATTCTCACTAAGACGACTCCTATAATGCTTTTGGTTGGCCAGTCTTTTGGTGGGGAAATGGAGATTCGCCTTGCGTATAGTATTGCATCGCATAAAGATAAAAAGGTGAATCAGTTTCTCCAATTGATCAGATCGAGGCTAGAAATCATCAGAGACTGGTTTTGATCAAGTGATCACAGATACTCAGTTTAAGCGTCACGGTATGCGGGGTGAGTCCTCTACTATTTTGAATTCGATCCTTCAGCACGAACTGGTAGAGGCGACTCCGCTCAGCCTACTAGTAGAATACACCACTAAAATTTACTCTCCGACACATTCTCACATTCACACATGGCTTCCCTGAACATTACTTCCTCCTGTAAGCTTCTTCTGAGGGACTCGAAGCCTCAGGCGCATAGTGTGCTGCTGACTCGGCCCGCTCCCACCAGATGTAGATAGCCTCAGATTGTTCCTTCCATAGCCATATCACACATCATTCTATTTATTATCCCTTCTGTCTACTAGCTCCCACGAAGGAGATAGCAAAAGTCTTACTCAACCCTCGTCAAGAAGAGAACTTCTCACACCGCTAGAAAAACAGATTACTGCAATTTGAGCCTTGTTTCTTTCTCCCATACAACGAGAAGAGCCTCCAAGACCGCTATCCCATCCGGAGTGGCAAAGAGATAGATCTACTCAAGCCTGTTCCTAGCGGATCCGATTCCGCTCTAGACCAAGCATGCCAGGAGTATCCGCGCAGAATAGAGGAAGGAATCATTTATTGTGCCAAAAAACTCCATTAAGTATGGCTTCGCTATTTCGAACAAAAAAAGACAATGCTTATGTTCGTTCAAAGGTAGCTCTTCAGTACTATTGCCGTGAAACGGTTTCAGAACTACCATATCCACCTGCTCAGTTCAAAATATCCATCTAACAAAGCATATCAGGACTTTTGCTAACATCGTAGTAGGTACCGATCCTTTCACTCCTTGGGGAACACCATGTTCGGATTCTCAAGTTGTCATTTGATGAGAAGAACTTCGTGATACAGTACTCACAGATGCGGGATTGCTGGGATGAGAAAAATCCACCTTTTAGCCTTCTTCTTCGTTATTCCCTCAGTCAACCGGCCAGGCCTGTCAAATAATTTGAGTTGTTTTACTTTGTCGTTTCATATCATTGCTTCAATCTAGATGTTCGCTGTACAAGATGACTACCCCACCTTCTCAGGGCGCGGCTGCGGCAGCAATACGGTCATTATACCCCCGTTACTTCAGCAAATTGCATCAGCTAGATACGAACAGGGCGTTATACACTCGAGCAGTTAAGAAAAGCGGAATCTCTGTTCCAAGTCATTAAGTCATCAGATCACATCTACCCATCTAAGGATAAGGAAGACAGGTGTAAAAACAAAAAGCAAAAGGTGCCATCGCCATGATTGTAACTAGCAAGTAGCAGCCTTTGTATCATCTCTTGTCTGCTTCAAGAACGGAATCAAACTAGTTCCACCCGTGCCATAAAGACCTGTAGCATTTTTATCGTCCAGCCCTTTCATCTGTGTACTAGCAGTGGCTAGATTCACCTTCTCGTTCTTCAAAGGCACACCGTTTCGCGCAGGCTTTATTATATACCGCGAAACGATCTGGATGTGCGTATCCCGGAAGGAACTCAGTGACAGGACCGCGGCATTATAGGATTCTTTTAGAGCTTGCTCGGTTGGCGAGGAGAGTATATACTCGCGGATATTTGAGATGACAGAGAGGGTTTTCAGGAAATTCCTGTGAGGAGCAGGCATGTATTTGCGCATTTCCTACTCGAATGGATCTATATTAGCATCATGATCACGGTGCGGATACTAAGATAGCGGGCGGTTTGCTAGATGGACCTACCTGAATATACCCGGTTCCTGCAGGCTTGACATCCCCTGTAGCGGAGTGATTGACGCCGAGGAATATATCAAAGGTTTGAATCAATGAGCTTTGAGCATTGCTGCCCCCGCTATACTGGTGCCAGTCTCCTTTGCCCTCGCCGATATCGTAATATACGCCGTTGGGCAGACCCGCGGCGCTCATGTTCTTGCTTCCAGCAAGGAAGGGACGAAGCTGGTGGAAGAAAACATCCGGTTGGTTCTTCTCGTACATTCGCCGGAGAGTCGAATTTAAATCTTCGAGGATATCGGTGAATCTGTAAAGAAGTGCGGTAAGACGCGGGATATCGTTGGCGGCGGCTGCGGCGATTGCATCTAGCATTAAAGAGATGATTCTGGCACCCTTAGCCTCTATGGCAACGGATATGACGATGAACCATTCTTCATCTTTGGTTCCGGTAAAGGACGTCAACAGAGAGAGGTTGTCTGGTTCTGTGATGTCTGCTTCTGGAACGGTGGTATAGTTCCATAGAGTGAGGGCTGCATATGTTGCACACGGAGGTAGACCCAGATGAGCGGAGATTTCGAGTAAGGGTCTTGAGATGCAGGGAGGAAGAATCTTTTTGCCGGTTGATGTTAGAGAAAGTAGATCTAATAAGGTTATTGAACAAGGGATTTCTGCTTACGTCTTGGGGTTTCTCGCCGCCCCAGATATATGCGTGGGTTAAAAACCCTAGTATGCTATATGCGCGGCGCCATTCCGGTTCAGTTTGCAACCATTCTGTTGTCAGAATAGGGAGATTATCGACTAATGACCTTATCTCGCCGGTTTGAATGAGGGTTGGCAGCCGAACAGCGAGATTCTCCCACGGTGCGTAGTAAGAGGAGGGTAATTGTTGTAGTGGAAGTCCTCCTGGAAGGAAGCCATGATCTGGAGAGATCGCAAAATCTTCCAAGTTGATTTCTGCTGATTGAATCATGGCGGCGAGTAATTCCAGGGGAAAATAATAAGAATGTTCTGGATGGATAGTAGAGCCGAGCTGTTGTTCAACGTTTGTTCAACGTATCCAGGCCAGAAGTACCTTGGGACAAGCGGAAGTTAAATGAAAGACAACTTAGATACGGTGCACCCTCCAGCTTGAAATAGGTCAACGTGACGGAATTGCAGACTGGACGGCTTGGTCCATGCCGGGTGGCATCGGCCCCAGGGCATTGCTATCTATGAAACCCGGAATTAAGCCGGATCGCCATCCGGCCTCCGGGTTGGTTGATGAGGTCACTCGAACTAGTTTTCTGCAGGCCATAGTACGGCACTCATAACACACTATAGATCGGGGATTAGATACTTTGCTATCACGTCTTTATCGACTGCCAGTGTTCAATGCCCACTGCACCTGCACTGCACGTCTTGCAGCTAGCCTATATGCATCACACACGTCAACTGGTCAAATTGAAATTTGGAAAGTTACTCCCAACCAATGAATGAGTTTTCCACTACGGTGAATTATGTAGTAGATTTATCACCTCATATCACAATTCTTCACCGACTTCCCATCCCATCCAGATCCATCCTATCCACGTTATCTTTTTGCGGGGGATAAATGTGGGACCGGATCAAAGAAGGCGGAAGCGGATGTATCATCCGGCCTGCGACTTCCCCCCGCGAAGAAATGAAAAGAAAAAAAGAAAAGAGGTTAGTCGTATAAAGTGGGAAACAGCCGAGTCCGAGTAAAAGATTCTATTGTAAACCACCTGCTCCGTGTTCCCCCTTGTGACCCCCCCTTGTTATACGAGCCACTCAACTTCCCTGTCTACTCCATACTCTCACTTCCAGTCCCAGTCTCAGTCTCAGCCCCAGCCCCAGTATGAACGGCACCAACGGCACCAACGGTACAAATGGTACAAATGGGGTCAAATCGCCCAAGCCCATTTTCCCCGCAGAGGCGGTAACCAGGGAATACGCATTTTCCTTGGATAAGACAGATCCCCTGCGGGCACTGCGGGACGAATTTATTATTCCCTCCAAGGCCAACCTTGCCAGTAAGGTACTGGCTAAGCCAGGTAAGACAAGACAACCATTGGGATTTAAACAACTGTCCTCCGTGTCCCATAATTCTCGTACTCGCTCTAGCGCTGATGCTGATGCTGATGCTTCACAGGTCTTTCCAATGAGCCGAGTATCTACTTCTGCGGTAACTCCTTGGGCATTCAGCCCAAGGCAGTCGCAAAGTATATGGAAGCTCAGCTGGATACGTGGGCTGGCATTGGTGTTTGCGGTCACTTTACTGATCTCGAGGGGTCCCCACTGTCTCAGTGGCAACTGCTCTCTGAGCAAGCTGCGGCCTCTATGAGCAAGATCGTCGGGGCAAACCCAGACGAGGTCGCCGCTATGGGCACATTGACCATGAACCTGCATCTCTTGCTGGCATCTTTCTACCGACCAACCGAGACCCGGAGAAAGATCCTCATGGATTGGAAGGCGTTCCCGAGTGATCATGTAAGTGTGCATCTTGCATCAATCAGTACCACAAACATCGCCACAGGCGATCGGGGACGGATCCCGAGAAATGCATGGCTGACGAGAGAATAGTATGCAATCGAGTCGCATATCGCCTGGCACGGCCTCGACTCCAAGGATAATATGGTTCTCATCGGTCCCGACGAGGACACTTATGAAATCCCCACGGAAAAGATCCTCTCGTATATCGATCAGCACGCCCATGATGCCGCCGTGCTCCTTTTACCTGGCATCCAGTACTACACCGGTCAGCTTTTCGATATCCCACGCATCACGAGGTACGCGCAGGAGCGTGGCCTGATCGTGGGCTGGGATCTTGCACACGCGTACGGAAATGCGGAAATCAAGCTGCATGACTGGAATGTTGACTTTGCAGCGTGGTGTACCTACAAGTACGGGAATGCGGGCCCTGGTGCGATGGGTGGTCTATTCGTCAACGAGCGTCATGGAAAAGTCGACTATTCTGATGGGGAGGATTCACCCAAGTTTCGCCATCGCTTGACGGGCTGGTATGGCGGTGACCGATCTGTGCGGTTCAAGATGGATAATAGTGAGTCTTTGATATGCCCTACCGCTTTACCCTTACCCCGCCTCACCTCACCGAGCCAGAATGGCGAGCCATAGACCTAGTTCCACATGACACTAATGCATACCACAGAGTTCAAGCCGATTCCCGGTGCCGGGGGGTGGGTGCTCTCTAACCCCTCCGTGATTGATTTGACAACTCTCTGCGCGTCACTTTCCGTCTTCGACAAGACCTCCATGAAGGAGTTGCGCCAAAAGTCCTTCCAATTGACCGCTTACCTGGAGTTCCTGCTGCTGAATGATTCCACCGAGGAGGATCGTCAGTTCCAGATCATCACGCCTTCTGACCCCCACGCTCGTGGCGCACAGCTGAGTCTGTTGCTAAAGCCGGGTCTTCTGCACAAAGTGGCGGATCGTTTACAGAATGCGGGTATCATTTGTGACAAGCGTGAGCCGGATGTTGTTCGGGTTGCGCCTGTGCCGCTGTACAACACTTTCTCTGAAGTCTGGCAATTTGTCGAGGTTTTCAAGGGGGGCTCTTTCTTCGTGATTTCTTTTTTTTTCTCATACATGGATGGACCCTAGAAGGAAAATGGGTAGGCCTTTTGTTTTCTCTTCAAATTATTTTATGCATAGCTTTTTTTTCTAGCAAAATACCATCTGCGCTGGTCCTTTACTGATATAATTTGCTTTCATCTGGAGGTAAAAGGGTTTCTATCAGATTATAGAGGTGAGTAGGAGATATCTATAGAAGAATATTTGCCGAACATCCAATTAACAGTCAACATTGTTCGCGCAGGGAGAGATGCCCGATCCATTGGAAAGTTTCAGAAATTCCCAACAGAATCCCAATTTTCTCCACTCCTCAGGAATTCCTGCCCCTGTGAAAAGAAATTTGACGCCAGGATTGAAAAGTCATCATTCGACAACGTCAATTGCTGCGGCGAGAGTAGCCCACTTGTTGAATAATCCTGTGTCCCTGTAAATGCAGTATCCGGCCCCGCCCCCGTACCTGTTCCGAAGCTCTGCTGCTGTACCGCCGACGAAGGATGCTCATCCGACGCATTCAATCGGCTCGGGGCGGGTAGAGGCGAGGTCTGCGAGACCTCCGCGGCTACAGGCGGCGGGCCGGAACAAAGAGAGTCGCCGAATAAGCGACGTGCAGAGTCTGTGTCATTATTGGATGAGTATTCTAGGATCTCCCAGAAGCGGGATAAGTCGATGAGGAGGCTTTGGTTCTCTGTGTCTGGGTCTGGTTGGTAGGTTGCTGAGACGGCGTCTTCGAGGTGTTGGAGTCGTCGCGCTAGCCGGGCCATGTGCGGCCATCTCTGACCGATTCTTTGGACAAATTGCACGCATTGGGTGAATCTTTCGCGCTTTTGTTGCCGGATTGTGGGGTTGTCGGTGAAGCTTAGCTGGAGCTCGATGGTTGCTACTACTGCGGCGCTGTAGCCCAGTAAAGGGTCTGAGACTAGGAATGACTTTTCTTCGAAGTAGTTGATGAAGTGGATGATCCAGGTTGTGTGTGAGGAGATAAGGTCCGAGGTATGTTGCAGGAAAATTTCTGGGATGGTACTTCGGAACGTGCGTAGGCTCAGAGATAGTAGCAGTGGGTGATTCAAAAGGCATAGGATGGTGTGATACATGAATTGGTTTAGGAACCAAGGCCCCCCAGTACTCCCGATGAGCTTGGAGTTCTTCCAACGACCTGTCGCTGAGGTTTGCAGGTTTGTATCGATGTTTTAGAGGCATGCGTGTTTCCATTTCCATCTGTATAGCGAGGATTTTGGAGTACTCGGAGTCGGGGGACCACGGCGGGACATTGCTGGGTCTTCCTCGGAGCTGCACGTATTTCGCAGTCCGGGCAAATGCCTCGCTAAGCATTATCACATATGCATTAATTCCCTGATCCTGGATCGTGCTCCTTCGAGTCCCTGAATTTGATGGCCCGGGTGACATAATCCTTGGAGGTCTTGATGGGCTTTGCGGATATTGTGGACCACCCACTTCTAGGGAGTCAAGAGTCGAAAATTCCCCGCCATGCAGGCGCTTAAGGAGACATATACTCCAGAAGCAACGCCGGCGCTCTTCCCGAACTATTGGGTCTGATGGAGGACGAGTCTCCATGCCAAGATTAGCGCACTGGGCCAAATTCATGGCAAGGCTGCTGTGAATGCTCGAGCGATGCGTATTGCCATCTATTCAATTTGTTAATTTGCGCCAGTTTAATTCTGAGGTGTGTCTTACTGGTAAAGTCGACCAGGCTCAGCAAGCATAAGCACTGGAGTGTTGATACTTCAACTGGCCCTTCCGAAACTCGTTTCATGACGAGACCGCGTGCGACTTCTGCATAGCCATTGACCTGCTCCGTCAGATCCCGGCTATTATGATATGTATCCGAAAAACGGAGAGTCAAGGCGAAGATCGCATAAATGATTTCGACATCACGTGTAGGAAGACTGGCCAAAAAGCTGCTCCGGTGGAATAGAGGCAGTGGCTGAGAATCGCAGTATAACAGATACAACTCTGCAATGGGCATAATTTCATCCCAGGGCGGCAAGACAGCCGAGAAGCTTGTCGCGGGTGGTCCCATAACTGGAATGAGAGAATCTGAAGATCCATTCCTTGAATTGGAGCTGGTGCATGGACTTGTGTTAATAACCACAAAGTTCTGGCTTGTAGAAAAAGGAGATATACCCAAGATGATCAAGGACAGCTCCAAGTTTGCCTTCTAGGCTTTTTAACCTGTCCTCCTATACTGGTATATTAGATGACTTTCATCAGGGCTTGGATCCTATATTCTTACCAATGTGTGCGATGCCGGTAGAGCTACACTGTCGCTCCTCGATGCTTCCTCTGGAGCTGGCCGACGCCTCTCTTCCGCGTAAACGCATTGCTGCCTGAGTCTAGCACAGAGCGAGCAAACAGGTTGCTCACCGGGGCATTTTGCTTTCTTGCGCCTGGGCCTTCTGTGAGCGTCATTCTCTTTGAAGCATGGTTGGTGTTCTTACCTGCATGGCTCACAGGCCTGCCTCACGCGTTTGGAGGGTCGCTCTGGATAAGTGGGGTCTGTCTGGTCCATTTCACAAGTCTTGGCTGTCAACTGCCACCAAACATAATTCTGGGTCTGCTTTTAGCACAGGATAGAAGTGTGGCATTTATCGATATGTTTGCATGTCCGGCCTTTTTAACGAACGTAGGCGTGTTGGCGTATTCAATAATGAAAGGTCTCAACTTGTATAGCCGATCAGACACGGAGCTCCGCTCTGTTTAGTACGACTTAAACCCAGTCGAAATCGCAATGTTGTCTTGAGAAGTTGAAATTGAATTGCAGTCACCGAGAGACAGTGATATGGATGACTAAGCGAATTGTATCCGGCGGTGGATGAACTCAAGATCAATGAAGCGTATGGTCTTGTTGGAATGATCAGCTGTTCTCCATAGAATAGCTTTCGAGATCGTCTAGGTTAGTTTATGTACACCGGAGGTATTATTTTACAAACTAATGTTGGTAAAAATGATATGACGAGTTCCTTCTCGGCCCGATTAGTAGGCCAACTCGGCTGGACCAATGACGCGCTGCAGAAAGTAAGCCCGAACAATATCAGATAAGGAAACCACCAGAAAGAGCTTGACAGCATTACTCTACATCTATCTGAATCCAATGAAAATAAAATACTGCATCCGAGGCAACAATTCTGGAATTGGCGCTTGAGTTGGTATATGTACAGCCCCAAATCATCCATGTGCCTGCAAACCCGTCTATTCCATCACCGGAGTAGAAATACACCACCATCCAATAGACAAACAATATCTTCCGCAACCAAGCCAGTTGAAAGAGGTGGCATCATTTATTTCTCGCCGAACCAAGTCTTGTGGCCCTGTAATAAAGTCAGTATACGGCCCGGGGAAACTTCCACTAGGGGAGCTTGTAGGGGGCGCTGGTGTGAACGAGCAAGGGCTCAACTTACGAAGACCATGCGGCCCATGGCGTAGGTGGTAGCTAAGAAGCGTTTCAGTTAGCTCGTTGTCAACAATTGCAATTCGAGATAGGTCCACTCACCAGCACCGAGGCCGTAGACGGAGATGAGGTAGGGGTACATGATGTAACCGCTACGGGAGGTCTGTAGAGTTCGAATTGTATGTTAGATTATCGATTGCTAATTGCTGTGTCGAGGGGCGATTGAGTCGGGGACTGACCTTCCACCACTGACGCTTGCCGTCGTGGTTCTGGAACAGACGCTGGTAGAAAGGGACACGGTTCTCGCGGAACACGAAACTGAAGACAAACAAGGCGAGTTAGCAAGTGTTCATGCCAGAAGTGAAAGTAGTTCGAGGTTCGTGGCGCGGCCAATTGCAATTGACCAATTGCGATGTCCCTCGAAGACTGCTTCACGAATTTCGGGGCACCCCCGGGATAGGCGCGGCGCGGGCCCGGCGACGTTGAGATTTCAGGGAGCATAAATCGAGGGAGACGTACCCGGCCATACGAGGCGCAGTGCGGAACATTTTGGCGGTTGGAGGGGAGGTAGGGATTGAGGTGGGAGGAGGGAAGGGCGATGATCGTGCCATCGTCGTTGTGAGGGAGCTCGAGTCACCTGACTTCCCTCTTCTTTCCGGGATGACTAAGAATGCCGAAAAGGGCAACGCGGAAAGCGTCCAATCATCGTCACCTAGTTTGAGCTTGCAATTATTGTTGTTCACTTCTTTCTTCCTCTTTGTCTTTCCTGATCGTTCCAGCTCCATGCGGTGGTTGACACCGGCTGTCATCCTTTCTCGCCCAACCCATGCGACCGGCTCTCCTTCGACTGCTGAGGAGGCCTTTCGCCGTCTCAACCCTCGACACTCTCGCCGCGACCTCGATTGGGATCGAACAATTGGAGTTTGATTACACGCGCCTGCGCGGTCAACCACAATGCTTGCGACATTATTCAAGCGCCAATAACCCCGATACTCGCCCTGTTGAGCGCAAACACTGGCCACGGCAGCGTAGGACGCTCAGGAAGCGAGATCTGCCTTTGACCGTCCATGAGATTGAAATACCGACAAAAACCAATGCGATAGCACCGCCACAACTTCCACCTAAACCTCATTCCGAAAACGAAACGATAATTGATTTCCCTGTGAAGACCTTGCGATTACACCCAGAACGGCTGGAGTTCGAATCGAACATCGGACACACCCGTGATATTGGGACGCGGTTAGTGGACCAGCCGGAGCATTCGAGCGACTTTGAACTCTGGGAAGAGCTCCTCAATCACCGACAACGGCTCTATGGAGATCAAGGCATACAAGAGATTTGGGAGGGACTGACGGTTCGCTTGCAAGGGGTTCAATTACCCGTCACTGGAGCCCGGGCCGATTTCCTATGGAAAAGCTTTGTTGGTCTTGGGTTGAGGCGCGAGATATATCTTTCGGGTGTGCTCCAACATGCGATTGACCTCTACGAGCGTGAAGGCGCTAGCTGGCCGCATCTTTATGAAAGTGTGGTAGGTGGACTATTGGACCAAGGCAGGACCAGACAAGCTTCCGCATTACATCGACGACTGCAACAGTCAGGAATAGCCCAGCCCAATGACCTCGTACGGGTGGTTAAGTCGGCCTTCCGCCCTGCATGTCTACCAACTTCTACAGATCCGCCACACTCGATAATAGCCCAACGGCGGACAATCACTCTCGGGATGACGGCCTTTAAAGATATGTGTCGCTGTACACCGGGTCATCGTATCTACGGGCCAGTAATCTCGGATTTAATGCAGAGCGGCTTTGGGGAACATGCGCTGCGAATGCATAACTTCCTGGTGAAACACGATGACCATCCGCAAACAGCGGAGGAAATGTTAGATCTTCTGGAATACGTCAAAAGACATGGCAGTCGACAGGAATTTGACGCCATCCGAGACTACGCCAAAGACAGAGAATTCGAAGATTTCAATATCGACGCACCCATATCAAACGATACAGCATTAACTGGCAACGCAAAAAAAACAACAGGCAGGAGATATAACGACGACATCGGCGCAAAGTTGATCTCTACACCTCCCTTCAATCTAGAATGGGTCATTGGGACTCTCAAAATGCTCGGCATCTCAGCAATCGGACCCCGTACTATTCGCGAAATTACCATCAGAGCCAACGGCAGCAAGGAGGTCCTGGATCGAATTAAGATGATTCGGGGATCCGGAATCACGATCGAAGACTCCGTCTTCCCAAGACTGGTTGAGAAGCTTGCCAGACAGCACCGCAGTATCCTACTCTCGGATTTGCTGCATAGTGATCAGCACCCTGATGTCCTGGCAGACGTGAAGATGCAAGAATCGTTCCTGGTGTCGCACTATATGACCCAGGACTGGCGCCAGTATAACTTGGCGCAGGCGGTGTTGGCAGAGCATTTTCCAGGCACGTCTGGTCTTTTGGATATACACTTCCGCAAGCACATTGCAGCCGGGGAATATGATGCCGCTTCCAAGGTGGTGGATGAAGTTGCCATACATGGCCAGAAGTTAAGCGAGGAGAGCGTGGATTTCATGGCTGAAAAAGTCCTGACATATCGCCAAGTGACTAAAGCCCCTACCCCGGGCAAACAGCTATCGGCTAAAGATGAGGTGATGTTTGTCTTTAGGGTCCTGCAACGCGTGGTCCCTGCCGGGAGCTATGTCAGTGCAGCATTTTGGGTTGAGTTGCTGAAGCGGCTCGGCATGAGTGATAATTGGGATGAACTCAGCGAAGTGTGCCAATGGTTGGTTCACGAGTACTCATTTCGTCACCACGCAACGCCCTCGTTGTTCCCCTCCAAGTTGCAGCCTACTGGGCGAGACGGCCGAATTCTCGATCAAATATTTACCGAGACAATGCACGTGGCGATTGTCACCTGGGGATTTCGACCGCGCATCGACGAATATATCGTCAAGGAACAAAAGCATTATTACGAGCACCCGATTACTGGCGGAAAGCATATTCTCTGGATGCGGGGCATCATTCTTCTTCGAATGTTGAGCAACGCCGGCCTGAAAGTCGAGGCAAATTGGGTCCGACAAGCGACTCGTCGCCGATTGGCCATTTTGTTCAGCAAGTATTCACCCTCGGCGAAACCAGTCAACCGAACCCTGCGACGACTGTGTCCATTCACTCTGTATGAACTGATTGCCGCTGCAAAGCGTGCTTGGGGTGATGAGTCTTTGTTCCGTGGGGGAGAGCTCTCGCGGTCTCTTTGGGGTATGGCAAATCCATATCGGACGACGAGCAGTTTCCGCCGTTCTTCGAACGTCCTACTCTCACGGGCAGAAATGGGGCACCTACGAGAAAAGGTTCGACAAGGCGATAGTCGTGCTTTGCGTCAGATGCGCGAGTGGCGAGATCAACGCGATCGCTTTCCACCGAAACCACGGCCACACTCATAGCTGTGTTTTTTGTATATTATTTTGTATTTATATTTTGTATATATCACTATAGAGATGAATGGGTGTACCAATAATTGACAACCAAAGAATACAACTTGAACCCTCTCATTCCCTCTGTATCAGCACTCCTTGGGGCACCCTTGAGGTAGAAATCCATCGGACGAATGAAGATGATCGACAGGGTGCATCAGTAGGCGCGCCGCTCCTCGCGTCAGACCGGGCTGTGCGACTGACGTGGATGTGTTCCCCTATAATTTGAGTGTTGCCTACGAGTAGTCCACTGAAGAGATTTCATAATAAGTCTGTACTCTACTCGTAAAGTAAGTCTAGGCCAACGAGTGCGCCAAGCGTGGCTGGACAGGCGATCCACGATCTAAGAATAGTTGAGACGGCAACGCGGCCTGGACCCGCTTAATGGATCATCAACATTCCACTTCACTTATTGACACCCTTTTTCCCTTTCCATATTTCATTTACCCCGACTTTGACATCTTTCAAGTTCAAGTTCAACTCTGTCAACTCCTGCCATATCCTCAATATGCAGCTTCTCCCCTTGCTGGCGCTGCTCCCCGCAGCCCTGGCCAACCCGCTAAACATCCGCGCAACTGCATGCAACAACTCCCCCGATCTCTGCGACAAATCCTACGGCGACATCACACATCTGGGCGCTCACGACAGTCCTTTCGTGACTTCCTCTTCCTCAAGCTTTGCCCTGGCTGCCAATCAGTACGTTTGGCTGTTCCTTCTTCCCTTCGACCAATTCGTCTGACGTCTGACAATTCTCCAGATATTACGATACCCCAACCCAACTCAGCGCCGGCGTCCGTCTCGTGTCAGCCCAAGTACACAAGAGCAACTCAAAATGGCACTTGTGCCACTCCGACTGCGGCCTGATGGACGCGGGTCTCCTGAGCGACTGGCTCAAAGATATCAAAACCTGGCTAGACGACAACCCAAACGAAGGTACAAACCCAATCAATCCATCTACACCCCACGCTCCATCCAATCGCTAACCCCTCCACGACACAGTCGTCACAATCCTCCTCGTAAACTCCGACTCCGCCACAGCCTCAGACCTAAACACCGAATTCGAAACAGCAAACATAACAACCTACGCCTACGAGCCCAAATCCCTAACAACAGCCCCAACCTCCTGGCCCACCCTCCAAACAATGATAACATCCGGCAAACGGCTCGTCGTCTTCGTCCCCAGCCTAACAACAAGCTCCTCCTACCCCTACCTCATGAACGAGTGGGACTTTATCTGGGAAAACCCATACGACGTGCAATCGCCCTCGAACTTCTCCTGCGACGCTAGCAGACCATCAACAGACACAACCACGCAGCTTTCCTCGAACAAATTGCCCCTAATGAACCACTTCCTCTACTCGACCGACCTCTCCGAGCTGGGAATCGAGTATCCGAACACGAGCTACGTCGCCACGGTGAACGCTGCGTCCGGCGGAACAGGCAATCTCGGCTCCACGCTGTCAAAGTGTAAGAAGCAGTGGAGTCGGGCGCCGGCGTTTGTGCTGGTTGATTTCTTCAATCGCGGGCCTGCGATTGATGCGGTCGATAGTATCAATAATGTTACTAATGCCGTTGGTCGGACGTCGGTTTCGACGGCGGCGGGGTCCTCGAGTGATGGGAGCACGATCAATAATGTCTTCAAGGGGCTGGTTGAATTGGCTAGTTCGGCGAAGTCGGGGGCTAGTCCGTCGATGGGGAATTGGGTTTGGGTTGGTGGGGATTGGAGTAAGATTCTTGGGGGTGGGATTAATTTGAGTTAAGCTGCTGCTGCTGCTGCTGCTGCCCCGGGGTAGCTAGCTAGCTTGGTGTTGCTCTTGCTTTTCTTCTTCCTGCCTGGCATCCGTCTCTCACGCTTTGGGTTTCCGCTTGTTTATTTCTTGTGCAGCGTTTTTGTTCTCGCACTTTGGTTTTCTGGAGGTTTGCCTTTGCGATTCCCTTTTCATACTGGTATATAGAGCATGGGGTATGGTGCCGTTTGTTTCAAGTTGGGAATGGGTTGTGTCGGCGTTGCATGACCGCAAAATGACCCGGTGTTTTTTTGTTTTGTTTTTTTTTTGTGGTTTTTTTCTTGGAGATTGCTTTCTTTTTCTTCCCTTGGCCTGCTTTCAATTGGGGCTGGGATTGGAATTTGATTCCAAGGTGGAATGACGACATGACCTGCAGAAGGGGGCTTTGATCTCCCTTCATAGTATATAGAATTTGGATAAATTGAATAATTCAACTCATTGAGACTGAAAAATGATCGTATCCGTTGACATGCTGGATTCTTATTACGTTTTCATACCCAGGGCTAGTACTGGTACTACTAGTACTGCTAGCTGGAGTATTCCCCGCGATATAGTAGAGCCGCCTGTCCCCGCACTTTACAGACCAGACTTCCAACCCCAACTCACTGGTCTTTCCTCAGAAGCTGGCGCACCTTATTGACTTTATCTTCGGCAGTCTGCTCCTTATCCGTCCTGTTTGAAGACATGCGTCAGCTTGAAGAAACCTATATCAAACACAGCTATACATATCCCGCACGGGATATAATACAGCTTCAGCCGATTGGACGGGGATGGGTGAGATTGAATTGCCCGACGCAGGGGCCATCATCGAAATCAAACTGCAGAATAAGATGGTTTCAACACACCTTGATCCCACGCGGATATCCGTCTGGATACGGACGATCCCCTGTTGGTGGAGTAGGGTATGCGCCTGTCCGATGACCTGGTGGACCCGGTCCCAGGAGCCTTCTGTATGACGGGGCTGATTAGCGATCGGACGAGCTGAGGAGGGTCATCACCCCTGTTCCAAAGGTTTCAGTTGAATCTTGCAATTGAATACTGGTACATACCAAGGGTGGTGCCGGCGGAGTGGAGGGTGTATTTTACGCCTGAGGCTTCGATTAGTCGCTGGACATCGGCGATTTGAGCGGAGACGGAGGGCGAGGCTGTGCCGATCTGAGGTATGGATTAGGGGAGAAATACAATTGAGGGTTGGATCTTTGGCATACGGGAATTAGACAAAAGTCTGCGACGCACTTAGCAGGGGTGGGAAGTTCCATGATGGCGTGAAGTGTAGAGTGTTGTGCAGGGAAGAAGTGGTGGGGCAGAAGGGCAGAGTAGAACTGCGGGCTACTTTAGTGGCAGGCGCTAATGTCAAGCTGCAAGTACATCCACCTACTTTAGGGTCTACCTTATCTACGTATACTAAGGTAGGGTGGGAAAGTCAATTGGCCGGTACCTCTGTAATTAAATACTGCAATGGCCACGTCAGAATGGGCAGAATGTGAAGCTCTTGCGAGATTGCCCAACCCATGAGGCCACCACAACGGGAGAAGCTATTTAGAAAGCCCAGCTCTACGATTTTTAGATCGCGAAACTAAATTAAAATAAGAATAACCAAAAAAAAAATATTAAATAAAATAAAAGCCCGCAATGTTGGCTGACTAAGATAAGAAAGCGATGGGCTTAAACCCGCGTGACCAATCGTCTCTCCGTCTCGCCAACAAAAAAAAGCAATCCCCACTTATCAGCCCCCCTGCAACCCCGGACTAAAAAGAGATCCAAATCTAAATCTATTTCTATAAAATTCGCCTTCCTTTCATCTCCCCAAGTCATGCCCGGGAGACTTTCTCCTCTTCCCCGAATGACCAAACCCAGTCTCCTCGAGCTCCCACCAGGAGTTCAGCTCGTCTACCTCGCCGAGGGCGGAGCAAATGTGATATACCGCTTTGTCCCATCCTCCCATCTAGCGGTCGAAGATGAATCAAGACAACCGTTCTCATCATCATCATCATCATCAACAACAAAAATCCCTCACGATCGAGACCCCCCTCATCGAGAACAGCGCGGTGCCCCTCCCCGCAATCTTCAAAGGCAAATTACTTCGCCTCCGCAAACAGACCGCATCCGACCTCCCCTACAAAGAAATAGTAGCAAACTTCAATACAAAGATCCGCCCACTTTTCCCCGCCAACGAACTAGTCGACCAAACACTCATTCGCCTCCCGACCGACCTTATCCCGCACTGCAACGAATCACTCCGCGCCGAGGAACGAGACGGGTCCAGACCCGCCAAACGCCACGGCAGCTACCTATGCCTAAGCGAACCATTCGGCCTACTAATCACAGACATGACGGTCTTAAACGACCCCTCCGCCGCAACACTAGCCGAGTTCAAGCCGAAATGGCTTCTTCAGTCCCCCTCCGCGCCTGCTAGCGCAGACCGGTGCCGAACCTGCGCGTTGCGGGAAATGAAGAATCGCAGCGCGCGAGGCGGGAAGGAGGTACGGTCGTTTTGTCCTTTGGATCTTGTTTCTGAGCGTTTTGAGGATGTACTCCGTGCTGCGGCGTTTGTGAGGAGAGCTGGTGGTGGTGGCAGTGAGTATGATCGGGTCCGGCTTGCGAAGATCTTGTTCCGGAATTCGACGCTGCGGAATTTGCTGTCGAAGCAGAAGTCTTTTCGGGAGGTGGGGTTGTTGGGGCCGGAGGTCTTGTCGAGGGAGAACTCGTTGGATATGACGCTTCGTGATTGTACGATGTTTGTTAAGGTATATCTTTCGTCTTTCCCTTACTGGGAGTTTCCTGCTTGTAGAGCCCGGCTAATATTTCTCAGATTCCCCGCGACGAATTATCGCCCGTGGAAATCCGGCTCGGCGATCTCGATCTGAAAACGGGGGCCGGCGGCAAAGCACAGTACTGGCGAGATCTGGAGCACCAGTTAATCGACGGAGGCTGGTACTCTACTGCTGGTTCGGACGACAGTCAGAAGCACGAGTGTGCACTAAGTCTTTCCCGCGATGAATTTAAGGGCAATGGCAATGGCAATGGCAATGGAAATGGAAATGGCGTTCGTTCGGGATGATTGTATCATTCAACAGGCTATCGACTTTTTCGATTGGCGTTTTCTTTCGGTCTTGTTTCGGTTTGGCTCGGTGCATTGCATTAGTATCCCATTCATAAGGGGAGTCCTGATAGACTAATTGTAATAATGGGTGGTTGGGTTTGGAGACTTAATATAATTTCCTTTCCTTGGCTTGGCTTGAGCTTGACCTCGACTAGGCTTGGCTGAGCTTTGTTGGTAACGACTTTTAGTTCGGGGATGGTGGCTTTCTGGATTTATTAGACACATATTATGATTTCTTATTCATGACCAGATATACATTGTCACATCTATGAAGAGTACAATATTAAAGGTCCAAAGTCTGCTATGGTCCTAGTAATCCCCCAGTATTGAGCGCAGTGAATCTATATAAGCCTAGGCCCCATTCGGCAACAGGCCCACAGCAGAAAAGTGGGAACAACAAACAAACACATTTGGGAGGCACGATTCACTGAAGGTAACAGCAACCAGCAAACAAAACAAAAAGGGAAGGAGGCAAAAAGAAACAGACAAAAGAATTCCGAGTGCTGAAATCGATCTTCTGACTTGGACAAAAAACAAAAGTGGCAAAAAGGTGGTTCAAGGCAGCTACTAGCGTTTCATTAATCAACCTAACCACTCTTCCCCCCAAACGGGTAGGGCCAAAACCCCCAGACCATTCGGAGCTACGATGCCGGGATGGACAATTATTCAATTCATAACCAACACCTTACCTGATTCCCCTTGGACCCAGCAGCTACACGTCGAAGCCCTTCACGGCATGGATTCGGAGGAGTAGGGCCGTCGGTCGTTGCTGATATAGAGCGCTCATTTAGTACAGGGTATACTATTACAGTTTAATTATCGGCAAGGTATAGAAAACCGTAATAAAAACTCAGCTCACCATTCTGAGTGATTCTTCGATTAATTCCTATCATGTCACATTACATTACATCACATAACATCACATCGAGCCATGCAGCTCGCGACTATCGCGAAGCCGGATTCCCAGGCAGACCCCCCCCAATCGCCCATCCTCACAGCAACAACCTTATCTCTCTGAACCGATCGCTGATGTCTACTCCACAACAGAAAAGCCCCAGCCGCCACAAGCGCAATTCCCGCCAAAGACCCAATCACAATCCCAGCGATCTGGCCACCCGAAAGACCCGAGCCCTTCGAGGAGGAGGAGGAGGAGGAGGAGGAGGAAGAAAGGCTCATCGCAGTTGGTGAAGCGGTACTGGTACTAGTGCTCCCACTCGTCGTCTCAGGAGCCGTGATATTGCGGCAGAAAGGTACAACCTTAAACGCGCTCAATTCGACGTATGTTATGTCCGCGCAAGCGTAGAAGGTCTCGTTCTTATCCGTGTCGAAGGCGGAGACGTATGATATCTGGAGAGTGGCATTTGCTCCTGGGAGAGTGTTTTTCGGGGGGTTGGGGATGTCGTAGCATTCGTGTCCTGGGACGAGATCGGGGAAGTCTTCCAGGGCTGTAAAGTCTTTGTTTGAGGTTGGGTCTACAATGGAGCGAAGCTGTCATTATTACATTCTTCTGTTGTTGCTTTTCATTTTGAGCTGCCTCTCACTGTTTTCGTAGGAAATTGCCAGGTTTACGTTGTAGGATTCGTCTTGTAGGACTAGGGATGCTTTGCCGTTGGCTGTGCGAGATGGGGGCGTTAGCAATGATGGGACTTTTCGTATGAGTGCAGAGATGAGTGCTCACTTAGAGGTAATTCGGTTCGGTTGGTCACGCCGGCGGAAGAGCCGCAGGGAGGAGTGTTGTCTTGTTCGGCTCCCCAGGTGCGATCTGGAGGCCAGAGGAAGGCGGCAGGTCCCATGTCTGCGGCCATGGGTGTCTCAGCGGCGTGCGCGAAGAAGAGAAAAAGGCTGGCGAGGGCCAAGAGTACTGCCAGTTGGTGCATGATGGTTGAGGTTGACTGCAGGTTTGTTGGTTGTAGAATGCGACGTCTGTTGAGAATTTGGAAGGGAAGAAAGTGCAGAAAGTGGAATGGTGGGATGAGTCAACTTGAATGCAGCCCTGGAGGTGAATAAATTTGGAAGGAACTTTAGAAGAGAAGATTGCGCCGCAATGAACTCGGGCTTTCTTGTTTACCATCAGCTATAGTGGAAATATGAGCAAGATAATCGTCGTTTTTATTGTTTGCATATTGGCATTATGAACCATGACTACTGCAGCACATATTCGGTAATATACACCGAGACATAGTCTACGAGGTGGAGAGAACCACGGATTCTACCATGAGAGGACTTTCTCTGAAGCGAGTACTACCTTACCAGTTTTTGAACGTCGCCAAGCCATGCAATGCTTCGCTTGCACAGATAGTCGAACGAAGCGGCGTGACAACTGTATATTAGCGGGTGGACAGGGACGCAGTTCATTGGATATATACTATATTAAATGAGTGAATTGAGGTGCTCGGAGCATTAGCGCCGCCCTAGCTCGCTTCCTTTGCTGCAGGGTTCCGAGAAAGAGGGCCGGATGGTCGTCCGCCGGGTGGGGAGATTAGATTGATAAGATTGATTGGCGCCGAGGCCACCTTGAGGCAGGCCCAACTACTAACTAAGTACCTTGGCTACCTAGGTAATTTGCTCGTCATATTTTGCATTTCTCACGCCGCTTTATGCCCCTCGAGTAGAAGAGAACATCTGATCATGGCCAGGTTGCATTTACCCCAAACCGACTTATCGGCTGGTCTTTGTCTGATCTCTCAAGTAGACTGGATCACCTCCCCTGTATCATATCCGTGCATGACTTTTTCTCAACACACTCGACTGGGACTATCTGAAGAATTTTTTTAAATCTGCCATATATGTATTAACTTCATTGGTCTAGGTAAAAAGCTTTACACATCAAGACGATTTCGCCATTCATCAACCCGATTTATCCAATCACGAACAAGGACCCCAAAAACACTCCTCTCCGAGTCATCAACAGGAAGACCATGCGTACTCCGATCAAGAACAACATAGCTTGATCGTGGATAGAGCTCCAGCAGCCGAAGGCTATCACGATAGCCTACACTCTGGTCCTGTCGGCCACACACGATAAGCGTAGGTGCAAAGAACCTAGCACTTTCATCCAGTAGTGCAGAAGATAATCGGTATCGATCTGGATCAGCGCGGATGGGGTCCAACGCCTCACTATCCGCTGCATTCCCCGCCGGAAGGTAAACATCCTCGTACTTCGCTTTCAAAGCTTGAATATAGGGCGGTGTTTGAACGAGAATGTCTCCAAGAAGAGCCTTGTCTTCAGCTGATACATTCGACATGAGAGTCTCGTTTTCAACCAATGGTTTGAAAGGATCAAGATCACGCATACTGTCTTTTGGTTCGATGAGTGGTACGCGCAATAGTAAACCATCCACTTGGCCGGCGTACTTTTGGGCTATCGCGCGCGCGAGGTAGCCGCCGCATGACGAGCCGATGAGTAGAAATCTCGAACTTCCAAGTCGGGCGTCGATGAATTGCGATAGGCGGTTGTACATGTCATCTAGATCTTTGACATTATTTGCGGGCGTTATGCCCATGCCTGGAAGGTCGACGTAGATTCGTCGGTGGCCTGGTATTGTGCTGAAAATTGGCTCGAAGTCTGGTTCTTCGGCTTTCCCTTGCATTTCCCATCCGTGAATGATTATTATGGGGATTCCTTCGCCGATTTCGTGAGCTGATAGGATGGACTGCATTTTTTTTTGTTTGAGTTTATTTCCTTGTGGGTGTTTGAGGTGTAGAGAGGTGAAGTTGAGTGTGGGGGAGATTTCTATGATTATAATCACGCTATCTTACTATGCTGACAAATTGAGTAAATTGCGGAACATGAGCGACTAAATTCCCCCTCAAGCTATGGGAAAGCTGATAACTGATTCTCTTTCAAATATCCCTGTTCATTTTTAAGTCCACGATGTTCCGTCATGTTTTGTTATTCGACTCGTCGGCGGAGAGAATCCAAAAACTACTTTGATCAAAAAGCTATATGACAGGACAGGCCATCGAAAGGTTACATCAAGCTTACAGGGGTAGCTCAGCATACTGAAAGCAGAATAGGGGTTAATGTGTGCCTCCGACTATAGCATAGCATGACTTATAGTCAGTACAAGATTTACTCAGAGGCCCTGTCTCCGAGGGCCCTCATAAAGCAGCGACAGCTTAGACAGGACAGCCCCACCTGCCAAAAGAACCCTAAGAAACCCTGGATTTTGGTCCCACTATTTACTTGTGGCTTGCACTAGTTTAGCTTCAAGGTGTGATCGGGGATGACCGTTTTTTTTTGGCTAAGTTGGAATACTGGTGATGGGCCGGCGTACTTCAGGAGGTTCGGGAGCAAAATTGACAGTTTGCCCAGGAGGAAATGACAGAGGGTGACCTCGCCATGCCAAACCGCAGTATCCGATTCCGGTACGCTGGACTATAAACAACTCTCATTCACCTTTCCTACTCCTTCCTCTTCCCTCTTCTCCTCACCCCTCCGCCTTTAACATTTCGTTCCCATTCCAGCATTCCCATCTCTTTTTTCATTCTTTCGCTTACATTCTCATCACCATGTGGTCCTTTTCGTTCTACCCAGTGGTTTTATTTGCCCTTCTCGTGTCATCTGTGATTGCGTCCCAGCTTCCAGACCTGTTCCCGCGCCAGGAACCCGGTTCTCCAAGCTACCAATGCCATGAAGACTGCGGTAAGCACTTGCCAGATCCACAAATCTGAGATATTTGGCTAACAATTCCCAAAATCTAGGCCTGGTCACCGCGTATTGGCACAAAGGCGGCGACTACTGCGACACCGCTGACTTCAAGAACCACCTCTCCAACTGTCTGAAGTGTGCTTTGACCCAAGATGTCTGGCAGTGGTACGGTGAAGACGTCAAGAACGCTGCAAACAAATGCCATGTCGATGCTACCCCCAGTACCTCCTCTGCCGGTGGGTCATCGCCAAATACTGCGTCTGTGACCATCTCTGGAGGAAGTACTTCGTCTCTCGCTACTGCCACTAGTGAGGCTTCAACTTCAAACACCGTATGTCCTGCAGTTCATATCTCTCACCTCTTTCCCAAACTAATATTTCCCATAGGATACTTCTTCCTCGGTGTCTGCATCCACTTCGAAGACTTCAGAGTCGGAGACTGTATGTCAAGCTTTTGGTCCCACCAGATGTTTCGTTTGACTGACTGGACTGATAGGGCAAGCCGGGTACAAGCACAGCCACTGCTGGTGAAAGTTCCTCCTCGGCCAAGACAACTGCTGAACATACTTCGACCATTGCGACTGCTTCGGGAACTCCCCATGTTTCATCCTCTGTGGGTGCTTCAGGCACTGCGCATAGCTCAACTTCCTCAAAGGTATGACCGGTTATTCTCGCTACGTGTTTTGAACTTGACTAATTCCACCATAGGGAGCTTCTCCTACATCCTCATCGAGTGCGTCGCCAGTGTTCAATGCCGCATCATCCATCCAGCAAAATGCCGTTCTCACTGCGTTCATGAGTGTTCTTGCATGGGCATTCGCCGCATGAGTCTTGACAACGGGATATCTGAGGGGTTAAGGACATTGCAGCGGGAATCTATGGATACTATCTAGTAGGAATAGATCAATATCTGCACATGCCATGTCTACGCTAGGCCGCACCCTTGAGGCTATGCTCGGGAGTAGCCTGTGCGTGGCAAGGATACGTGGATTTAGTCGGCCCTTGACCCTGTATGATGGATAACTCTTGTGATACTGAGTCAAAAGGCTAATACCAAAATTTAATTCTCCCCTTTCTCACTAAGAAGGATTTACCCCTAATGTGGATCCGAGCCTATCTATTCCATGGGATGTGTAAATTTTGACGCATGTGGGTTGCATGTAGTCCCGACCCCTGGTATTAAGCGTAATTTGATATTCTGGTTCGAGTTAGTTTAGTCCGGCTTCGCGTGAGACTGAAAGACACATACTCAATCAGGTTTCCATCCGGATCTCTCACGTAAACGCTACGAATCTTCCCAACTGCTCCAGTTCTCTCTACAACCCGAGAATCCTCAAGAACCTGTCCTACATTAGCCAAAAGGAATACCCCATTTCCCAGAATTCAGATAACTAACTTCGATTCTAGCATCTCGGAAAGCCTGAAGAACCTTTTCGACATTCTCATCCGTCAGGAAACACAAATCGGCGCTCCCGGGCTTAACATTTTGCGCCCTGGGCTCGAACTCTTTACCCGACAGGTGGAGGTTGATTTTCTGGCTGCCAAATAGCAAAGCGTGTCTATTTCAGTCGTAAGTATCATTATACATATGGGAATAAGTTGTATGGACCTTACCTTTCTACCGAGGGGTCCTTGGGCGAAGTAAAGACCTCATGGCGCATCCCTAGATTCGTCGTATAGAACGCGACGGCTTCCGGGATGGAGCGCACTGTTAGGACCAAGTGGTCCAAGCTCTTGACTGCGAATCTTGCGGTCATTTTGGTTTTTCTAGATGGTGTGAAGGTATGTTCGGTGTGTAGAGAGAGAAAGTTGAAGGTCCTGCCAGGTGCAACTTCTCGGCGATTCGGGATCGGTGCCGATCCGCCGATCCCGATGTCAACCATATAGCCTATCTGCAATAGAGTTTGATTTTAGGCAATGTCCTGACCAGTATATGAACCACGGAGAAATTTAAGAGTCTGGTGGAAGGGACAGAATCTCTCGTCTTCATTTTAATAGCACTGGAGACATTGGAACAGTACCGTACGCTTGAAATACCACAATACAACAACGATAATCCAGGGAGCCGCCGATTGATATGTCCGTATTTGGGCGTCTCTGAATATGTCGAACAAATTCTCCAACGCCAAAGGGTTGGATTGGGCTGCATACATGACAAGCTCAATCATTCGCATTTAAAGAGACCCGGTGTTATTTGCTTATAGCCTCAAATGCAGTGAGCAGAACGATGAGCGACACGGATACCAAGCGATTGAGAAATTGATTCTGGATCTTCGAAATCTAGCTCAAAAGTGTGGTGTTGAGGCTGACGAGGCTGAGAGAAAGGCGAGAATGGAGAGGCTGCGCGCACAGATAGATTTTCCACTGGAAGAGTCTGCTATAAACCCCTCTCCACTGAAAGGGCTCACTATTTTACCGAGTGCCAGGATCCTCTTTGATGAGGACCTGACTGTCCCGAAGCCGCGCTTCGGAAGAGTCACTCAATTAAGAGTAGTAGTTTTGGGCTCCGCTGATACTTCAATGATACTTGTTTTGAGCAAGATCTCGAGGCTGCCGCAAATAGGCGATGATACACACTCCTATGAGCTGGTAAAACGGGTTAGTCAATTATCTTTGCACCTATCAAACACATTTTACTGACCATGATGTGCATAATTTCACCCCACATTCATTAGGCCTAAACTTCCGAGCATACTCCATCTCGCGTGTAGCACGATTTCCAAAGAGCAATTCCTCCTGGTCTTTTCTCAGTTTGGCAACAAGCCTGACTTGAAACTGGAGAGCACTAGCCTCGCAAGTGCAGAAAGGCTTTTGGATACCGTAAGGAGTATCGATGGAAAGTTTAAGGATCTAAAGTATGGATATTATCGCTGAGCCTTGTTAGAGATACCGGAAGAATAAGACGAACCGATGTAATTATTATGTGTTTTCTGATGCCAAATCAATGAATCTATTTACAAGTGTTGACCAATTTAGGCATTAGAAACACCATAGCTCTTAACGAACCAGGATCTCAGTTATATTCAGAAAAACTATCTGTTATTATCAAGATTCCTATTAGGGGTCTTATACTGGTGTTGGTGAGAACTAAAAATAAGCCAACCTAATCGGCAGCCTATTTGACCCCGCATTCGAGACCGTCAGCATTAAGGGATTCCGAGTATCCTTTCTTTCTCTTTCACAGTTCTTTAGCTCTCATCCCATGTGATCATTGGACCTAGATCAGAAATTGCCTTTTTAAGAATGGTTTCATCCTCCAAAAAGCCCCTTGACATTGAGTATGCGGAACAAATGCAGTCCCACCCATACGGCACTGCCCTGTATCGCCCTCAACCCCGCGACGTATTCCACCCCGGAATGGCGGGATATTTCAACGACGACGGGGATTGGAATCCTATAGTCGATCTCTCACAGCGGCCACAGCCAACGTTCACGCAATCTGCTTTTACAGCATCACTCGCACTCCCCGATGATCTTCCCGCCATGGCGGCCCCAGAGGACCATACCTGGGGCCCGAAGTTGGGTGCTACAACAAGCGTTCGCCAGATCGATCTGACTGCAGGTATATCGCAGAACGTGCTCTTGGCCGCGGCGGGTGTGCCCTTGAGTCTGGGGTCGTGCTATCAATTCGAAAATAAAGAGTCCACTGGCGCGGTACTTATTACCGGCTCCCCGATTAGGCATGAGAGGTTTTACCACGAGACACCTTTCAAGAAATGGGTTGCGTCGAATGCTAAGCGGCTTTTGACTGAGAGGGCTGAGCTGAAAGATCATGCGCTGTGGGTTATCACGAGTATCTGGACCGCGGAGGAGGCGGCTGTGAACTGTTGGCGGGAACGCCATCGAGCTGTTAACGTCGGGTTCAATGTCGGTTTTGTGGAGATCGGTGAGCTTGCGCCTAAAGGGGGTTGGGTTGATAGCGGGTCAGCAGAGGGGTGGATACGAGTAAAAGGGGATGAAGTATGCTTTTTACCCCTATCTTGATTTCTTCGTGCTTGAGCTTGGAGGTGTTTTCTTTTTCTTGAGGGAGCAACGTTTTATGCTGACATTCTTCTAGGGCACAGGGGGGTCGAAGAGTAGTATTCTTTGGAGGCCTAAAATTTAAATACAGACCTATTATTGGGGTACGAATAGATATCGATCAAGAACTCCAAATAAGAGACTGCCTACTAACGCTTCAAATAGGGACTCGGGTCGCAGAATAGATCCACTAAATTCAGAGGGCACGGAAAAGAGAAGGAGACTGTGGAGGCCTCCCTGAAAACAGATGATGGTGCGGAGTACGATCTTTCTTGCGAACCTGTTCTTGAAGATGCGTCTTACCGCTCTCCTCAAAATGTGGGTGCGCAAGAAGATGAGCCCGATGAGCTCGAGGTGGATCATGATGACGATGATTGGTGAAAATCAGAAAATCACAAGATCTCAAGTTGCATAATATAAGTAGATACTTAGGTACAAAGAAAGAAGATAACTGTCAAGTTATACTAGTAATGAAAAGCAAAGCCGTCAAGGAAACTACGGACCCAAATGTATGTATGTAGCCCAAAGCAATGGGCTCGCACCCGAATCTCTCATTTCAACAACAACTTGTCGAAGCACTTTGGCCGATTGCGTGGGATCACAGTTTGATCCCAGCGCACCAAGTGACTGATAGAACCGCGCAGCCATGTCGAAGCTAAATGTATCGTCCGCGCGCCAAAGGCTAGCAATGACGTGGGGAACTCCAGCCATTTGAAACCCACCAGCTAGATGCAGCCCTTCGTCGCGGAATTTAGACTTATTTGATGCACTCTCACATGCGGAGAGATACACAAGCTGCAGTCTCATATCGCTCTTGTTCTGTTGAAGGAGACATTCGACATCCAGTGGCTTCGTCTGCCAGTCCGTCAGACGGAGCGCACTCCGGGCAGGATCATCTCCATCACAGACACCATGACAGGCGAAGTGGGCAAAGTCTGCTCGATTGAGATGTCGTAGGACCTCGGCGCGACTTGGACTGTGTAGGAGTTTACTTTTTCCTCCGCTGCGATTGACGATTTCTTCGATTTTAGTTACTTCCCTCGAGGCGCCGGGGAGGTTTCCCTCTTCGCCCATCTCTGGCGTCGATTCCATTGAAATCAAAAGTGCACGCTTATCAGGTTTTGCCGGGTCATCTGGTCGGGTGCTGCGTTGACTTCGGGTGTAATCAAGAGCGCGGAGTCCATTGATGTAGGATGGTACAGTCCGGTCGAGAACGTTGCAGGAAGCCCCCTTACGAGGGTTTCCTGCAGCATGTAGTGGAAAAGTTCCAATGCGACCAGTTGTAATCCACCACGATCGTGGAAGATTGCTCCCTTCTATCAAGTCGCCACCAAACCCGAGGCGATCAAGGATTGGCTCTGCAACGGCATCCCAGATCCATTCGAGAAGTTGGTTCATTTTCTGGGTTGCGACAAAGAGGTCGATACCCATGATGCTGAGGGCTTCCAAATACAAATTATCATTTTCTTCCAAGGCCTGCCCAGTGAGCAATGGGAGGGAAATTGACTCCACTCCTTCTTTTGTTAGAATAAGGGCATCGCTACGGAAAAGTCCGTAGTTCACAATTATGACAGGACCTTCCTCTGCATATCTGGCCAGTGCAGACATATCTGCTGGCAAACATGTGAATCTTTCAAGCTCTGGATGTGATTCTAGCTGGTCCCAAAGCTGCTGGTATTCCACCCCTTGTCGGTATATCTCATGCTGTTGCACTAGCATTCCACCTATCTCACTCACTGATGGTGTCTTTTGCGAGCCCTTGGTCCCAGCGAGAGGCTTTATCACTTGTGCCAGTCTATCTCTCAGTTCGGGGAAGTTCTCAATTTCTTTTTCTCGGAGAGTCATTTTGTTAGAAAGCACACTGTCCCACATAACACTGCGCACTTTGTCGAAGAGCTCAAGGGCCATATATGGCGAGTCCCCTGCAGCTAGTGAGCAGGCGATGGCAAAGGATGGAAGCCCGGTGAAATTTGCGAGGTTATTGAGGATATCCCTGCGATCAAAACTGAGAAGCATGCTCTTGGGTAGAATTTCGGCCGTCGTTCGGATCACATCACGAGCAATCCCTGGCTGTTTTGCCACAATGTGCTGCGCAATCGCTGCAAAGATATAGAAACGGGCAATAGCGGAGCTTTGGAGGGTTTTAAAGTGAGGAATAAGTGTTTTGCTCGCGGTCAAATAAAGTTGCCCAGAGGTAGATTCCGCACTGTAGCCTGAATCCATCCAAGAATCGAGGATAAACTCCAGCATGTTATAGATAATTCCGTCCGTATGGGAGTGATCAGTGATGTTTGGCATGTTCCCTAGATAGCTGAGGCTTTTTGTGAGCTGAAGCAGAACAGCAAATTGGTCCTGGCGTTGCTTTGTTTCCCTGGCCTTCAATAGTAAAACCCGGGAGAGGTTGACTGAGGCCGCTACCTGAAAGTCAGGGAGGGTGCAACCTGTCGCATCAGCCTTGCGGAAATGCTCTGCTGCATAATTCAGGTACGAGGGCTCTTTGAGCTCGATATATGAGAGTAGAAACGCTCGGCCAAGATTGTTGTGCATGTTACATCGGTTATTTGGGTGCACATCAAGACCCCATGCGAGCACTTCAAGTAAGACGGTTTGAGACTTTTTCACGTCTTCAATCTGTCCCGTGAGTTTGTATCGTTCTTGGTAGGCAAGGGCGAGATTATTGGCTCGAATCAGACCATGTATGGTTTTTTTCGCGGCGCCCTGAAAGCATTTCTCGTAGCAAGTGATAGCGCGGTCAATGTCTTGTTGCTGTTGGGTGACCTCGAATTGTGCAGTAAGCGAGATGGCCAACCCGTGGGATATCATTAGATTGTCTTTCTTGGAATCCTTCCTTCCACTTTGCTGGAGCTCGTGAAGAGCAGTGTCATACCCCCGAATCGATTCAGAAAGATCCTCAAGTAGTAATGTTCTCTTAAACTTGAAATAATACGCGTTCGCAAGATCGTTGCGAACCAGATGCTTGTCCTTGTCGCTGACCTTTTCCAGTGATAGTCGGTACTGCGCTATTGCCTGATCAAGGTGTTCGGGTTTATTGCTCCACTTGTATCTTGCGTTGGATATCAGCCCCTGGACACGAATACAATCCCCTTTTATGGACTGGCGGGTAGTTTCCAGAGAAAAGGCCTTGGTGGCCTCGGCTTGAGCTTCATCAAGGTCATGTTGTTTCTCAAAGGCCTCAAACCTTGACAATAGACACTGAGAAAGTTTTAGAAGATATTGCGCTTGATCCTCTGCTCGGCCATGTGACCGATCAACCAGCGTGCGGAATCGCTGAATGGCAACTTCAATATCCTCAGGCTTGCCTGTTCTCTTAAATTGCTGCATAAAAGTCAAGGCCTGGGCATCGCTGAGGCTGTCGCTTGGATTTTTGCTCTGGTTGTAAGCCTTTTCCAATATATTTGCCGACTCCGTGAGCATCTCATCAGAGTCCGCATAATCGGCGAAGATGCGAAGATGATCCGCAAGGCTCTCTATCACCATCATCGAGTCTGGCTCGACCTGCAAAGCTTCCTTCAGCATAGTAACCGCAGCTTCGCCTTTTTCCAAATCTCCACTCTCTTTGAACTGAAGCGCATTCACTCGGCCAAGGTCGCGACAGGAGCGAAAACGGTCATTTGAATCATGCTGAGGAGCCCCCCCTTGCGAAACCGTATATCTTACTCGCTTTTTCCAAGTCCTCCGGCGAATTTGTGAGTTGGTAGCGTTCCCACATGGCGGTTCCCAGATTCCACCAGATACAGCTAATGGAGACACGATACTCGGCATTATTGAATGCTTTGCTTTCGCTCCTAACAGCGTCCCCTAATTTGGTAATGTACTTGCGCAGCATCTCCTCTTTTTCGCAGCCTTCAAACTCGTCCCGTTCACGGATCAATTTCGCCCAACGGAATAAAAAAACTGGCTTTCCAGCAGGTTTCAGTTCAGAAGCTTGTTGGAAGCTCTCTTCTGCCTCCGTGTAGTCAGTATCAAGATGCTGCCGGGCGTATCTGGTCGTTAGTTGTTGGCCAAGATCATTGAGATGCAGCGGTCGGTTCCATCCCTGAGGATCACCCAAAGTGACAGATTTGCGACAGTATTCTATGGATTCGTCTCAGGACCCGATCGTCCGCTTCGTTGGCCTGAGATTGGACGAGCAGCGATCGGCCAAAAACGCTAAGAAGTGCCCCGCGAACAGAATTCTCGGGGTCGAGTAAGGTATGGTAAGCGACCAAGGAGCCGATAGCGATACCGGTTTTGAGGTCTGATGCTGCTTTGGTTTTGAAATATGACATAAGGTGCGCTTCGGATTCTTGAGCAAGCAGCATTGGGATCACGGTATGTTCGTTTTCGAAATAAATTTGCAGAAGTCGTTGCACCTCCTCATCCCCAAACTGTGCCAAGAAGCCAGGGCTGCGGCAGTATTCTCCGTCGCGAATGACACTGTCATTGTGGGGGACGGTATCAATCAAATCTTGAAGCTGCTGTCTTATCTCCATGGTCGGTGGTCCGGCGTGTACAGACATGAGGAGGAGGTAAGTGTATTGGGGTGGATATTCAACTTGGGGAGCTCTGAGGTGAATGAATAATTAAAGTTGTTTGGCCCCGGGGCTGGGAGAGAAGTAAGACATCGATAGCTACTATATACTACTAGTATTATTGACACCTGAGATTTAACTTGCTCAAAATAAATCAGAGAACCCGTGGACCTCGTATATGTCTGACTATTCTGTAGCTGGGCGTTCTGTGGACTTCGAACAGCAAAACCGGAAATATAAGACGAGTGGCTGACCCACCCCTGGTCTAGTTAAAACTTGAATGTAGACAGTCGCATGTCAGCGAGCGAGAGAGAAAAGCCGATCCGGGACCTTCTGGCTTTTACGAATTGAAGTCGCAGTGCAAATGAAATTTTCAGCTTTTGGAGGAGAAATAAATGATTCAATATCTCAATGATCTGAGAGAGTCCTACGCATACATAGAGTAGGAGAGAAGCGAGTTGCGGAATCCGTTTTCCTCGTGACGCTGGCTGTTTGATTCAGGTGTAACCGTTAAGAACACTGGATTATGCTATAGCCATGATGATCCCCAACATAGCCAACTGTAGGTATTGGGGTGGCTCTTTAATCTGCGTGCAAGGCCAGGATGATAAAAAAAAAAGTCATAAATGGCCATGATCATACCTCGCATCTGGTATCTATACTAATCAACTAGGAGGAAACCAGATAGAAAAAATACGCAAAAAAAAGAACCATTTCAAACGGGTAATTTTAAAATATTGAAAGCTCACTCAATAAGCGTAATTTCGGCTCATTGCATCACTTTCCAAAATTTCTCGCCTCTTTTTCGACATGCTACTTCGCCCCCATTGTACCTCCCGCGCTAGTACGGCTAGCCCGATGAACGAGCCTCTTAGCACAAGCATCACCGAACTCCGCCCAGCTCTAGCCCCTTCCCCGGCACGAAGGTATCCGCGAGCAAATCAGAACTAAACGGCTCATCTGTTCCTGAGGTCATCGGGCACACTGGATGTAATAGCCCCCCTTGAGGCATTTTAGCATTTTTTACCACCTAGCCTGCAGATCCAATACATCCTCCCCTCCCAAGTCCCGAGAAAGCATCTCACCACCAACTCTTGCTCAGTACTAACTAGTCATGTCTTACACCTCATACTCCGATGCGCGGATATCGCGTGCCTTCCGGCCCGTTCCACGCCTCGTCTTGAAATCTCCAGAACGCGAAGTCGCTTTTCGAACCGAACATGTCGTGCGAGCGAAAACGACCTTGATCCTCAAACCCGCACGCGATGATAGCTTAGAGGTCGGATATCGCATCGTCCATGAAGATAACAACCCCGCATTTACCGTGACCGGTCGGAAATTCGGCGATCGCTCTTGTCGAGAGTTTCGCGATGCGTCGGGTCTGCCTTTGTTCGATATACACAGGTGGTCGGCGCTTTCGGTCCCGTTTCATTGGTATTTCACTATGCCTGGCAGCGACAGGAAATCGAAGATAGCTACGGCTGATACACAAACGTCGTTGAAAGGCGGTGATTTGAAGTTCACTTTTCAAAATCTGGCTGCTAGTGATTTGAAAATGGAGAGCGAGAAGGATGTCACGCTCATGGTGAGGCGGCATGGGGAAGCACTGAGACTCTTTGACATTATTGATGGCGATCGGAGGATTGGTGAAGTGCGAGAGAGCATTCGTCACAATGAGAAGCTATATTTAACGAAACGCTCGAGGCGGCAGGGATTCCGACCGGCTTTGGAAATTATCATTGTTCCTGGTGTAGATGCCACCCTGGTATGAGCGCTGAAACTAATTTACCAGTCATTTCATCTAACTTTAGGTCTAGGTTGGAGCCATTGCAGTAATATTGTCTGATTGGTATTTTGGAAGCGGTTGAACATGATACCCAAAGAGTAGTTCTTTTATTTTTTGACGAACCTGTTTCAGATCTGATTAGTTCCTTGTTCTTTATTGCACCGAGTATTCGTCGATCTAATTGTAAGACAACGAAAACCGACTGAGATTAAATTCCTGGCCAAATGCCCAATAATCAGGTTATTGATGTTCTTTTGCTTACTATCCATAAGTTTATGTGAAACTCGTGATGGGTATGATGGATTGAAAATCCAATAATGCACAGCCTAGCGTTTTGCGCTGGTGGACACAACGCACTGGGCATTCCAAGATCCTGAGCCAATCTTTCATTGATTCATTAGTTGATCCACTAAGAAATCAAATTTTCATACAACTTTTGGCTTTCAACTGGGCACGGTCGACAAGGCGCTTTCGGCTACCGCCACAGTCATAAGTGTGGCGGTGCGCTTTGAGAAACAAACAACGCATCAGGGCGCACAGTCAGGCAACAAAGAGCTTGGTCATACTTATATCCATCACATTCTGGCTCTGTCTCTCTTCTTAACAATTCAACAGATCTACTTGTCCTGAAAATTTCAGGTGAGGATCAAGTCTAGCATCCATCTCTGAGGTTTTCTTTTTCTTGACCGCAAAAAAAGTACCCCGCTCTACCCACCCCTTGCAGGGCAGAATCGATCACAATCTCAACATCGATCTCAACCATCATTAATTCAATCATGGATCCCAGGGTCGGAGTCGGTGTCTTTGTCCTCAACTCCGAAGGCAAATTTATCATCGGCAAGCGCAAGGGAAGTCACGGTGCCGGTAAGTCCACCCTTGATGTGCACTATTACCCACTTGCATTTCACAATGGCACCATATAGCATGATTCTAACCTCTTTTTTCTTGAATATAGACACATGGGGTCTTCCAGGGGGTCACTTAGAATTTGGTGAGGATTTTGAAACATGTGGTGCGCGTGAAATCCTCGAGGAGACTGGCTTGGAGGTCCGAAATCTGCAATTCTGGACAGCGACGAATAGTGTCTTCAAAGATGTTACCCCCAATAAACACTACGTCACCATATTCCTTGGAGGTGTCGTCGGAGATGAAGGGGCTCAGCCGCAGGTGAGTACGGAGTACATAGCTTCGCAGATCATGTGTCGCTTCTGAATGCGCCCCCTTTTTCGTGCTTCGAGTGCCGTGCTAATTAGCCAATCAAGATCATGGAACCCAACAAGTGCTCGGCATGGGAATGGGTGTCTTGGGATGAACTCAGAGCAGACGCAGAGAAGATGATATCAGGTGCAGGGTCTCCGGAGAAGACGCTCTTCCTGCCCTTGGTGGAACTGTTCACCCAGAGACCTGACTTTAGCGTTTCGAAGGACTCGGTGGTTTGATGAAAGACGAATTTAGTTATTCAGTATCGATCTCATAGAATTCATGGACAACATAAGATCCGAAAGCACCGCTCATCTTAAATGAGCTACCCTTTTTGCAAATATGAAGACTTCTAATTGTGCAACGAGATGCCAAGGTGCGATTAAGCCTACGCCTTTTACGGCCCGTCCTATCTGATGTGTATGACCACCTGCCGATCCTTTATGCACCTCATCAATCAAAAGGAACGATAATGGCAATTAGCATAAATAATCAGACATCCCTTGATAGACACGGCAAGCCATCTATTCCTTAATTCCTAATCGAGTATTCCATTCACTCCTTGGTTTCAAATTTCATTCATATATTAAAGCTTAGTATCATGTCCTATACCTGATTCTAATTATCCATTCGCAATTTCATTTTCGTTCGTGCTTTTCACTATGCATTTCAAGTATTTTCTTCGGGTCAGCGGGCTGGCCCTTTTGACTGGCGCCGTTAGTGCCCAGCTGGATACCGATGCTGCCGGCCTCAATCCTGTACTCGGAAGCCACCCTCTCGGCGGCAACACTGGTGGCGCAAGCCATTCTGTGAGTCCAACTTCAGCTCCAGCTGCAACGAGCTCGCATGTTCCCTATCACAAACCATCCAGCAATCCCAGCTTCCGACAAACTGCGAAGAAAGAAACCGGGAGCAACATGGGCGACAAACCCAATGGGAACTTTGTGGGAAGAAAAAGCTCGGCTTCTGCGAAACCATCGTCGTCTATTGCAACGCCTACTACCAGCCCGAGTAGAATTCCAACCGCGGTGAAGGGAGTTCATGCACGATTTGACGGTAATTACGAGGCTGACTCGGTGATCCCGGTAAACTTGGCTCAACTTCTCTCAGGAAGAGATAACGGCAACCAATACGAGGCCGACTCGACCATTCCGGTTAATTTGGGCCAGCGCTCGGGAAGAGATACAAGCAGCTCCGGTGCCGACTCGAACGTTCCAGGGAACTTTGATAGCTTGTTGGGTGATGGAGACTCGCCGTCTGCAAAGCCTTCTGAGGGCCGGAAACCCAGCTCAAGTGGACTCCCAGTCAAGAGCGCCCCAGCAAAGCACGCCCCAGAAAAGCATGCACCAGCAAAGCAAACTTCTGCGAAGCAGACCCCGACAAAGCAGAGTCATGCAAAGCAAACTCAGGAAAAGCAGACTTCTGTGAAGCAGACGCAGACCCCTACAAAGCAGACTCAAGCAAAGCAAACTCAGGAAAAGCAGACTCCGACAAAGCATACCTCAGCAAAGCAGACCCCAGCACAGCACGCCCCAGCACAGCACGCCAAACCGTCGCCTAGCTCAGGTGGATTCTCGAAGAATCATGCTAGCCCATCCCCCACCCCTACGCCCTCGACAATCATCAGAAGACGCCGCCGTGGTAACCTGGGAGGCTCTTCAAAGGTCCCTGCTCCCTCAGTCACGCCAACCTCTACCGCCTCAGCGGCCTTTGCACCTACTTCCATGAAGACAAAGGCCCATTCAACTCCGCTGAAAGTTTCCTCGAAGGAAACCAGCATCCCTAAGGGATCCAATCAGGCTGCTCCCCGGTGGAACTAAAGTTTGTACGATCCTCATCTTCGCAACTCTTCAGTCTGCAAAGTCGCTGACCATTTAACAGCCTGAAGCCATTTCTCAGTGAGAATCGAGATCTGGAATTATCTCGTTAAAATGGTGAAGCATAGAACGAACTTGAAGATAAATACTGTGGATTAATGTACCCGAATGAAAGACGTGGAAGTGTTCGGGGTTTATTAGAAGCTCAGATTGGTGTGGATAGTAGGGATTTCCTTCGACATAAACCCTTTGTGGGCTGTATATTAATGTCTCTTTCGGATTTTATGAAAATTAATCTAATATAGATACTTTCAACGGAGCTTATGATTGCAGAATTGGTTGTATCGTCGGTATATGCAGAATGTTGCACGTATGATAAAATTCCCTTTTTGGACTCGGAGACCCCTGCAAGGGTGCCAATGTGATCGGCATCGCCAGGTGTCCGACCGCACGGAGCCCGTGGATACCTTTTCCGCTATCAAAGTACATCGAAAGAGATACCGAGCTTTACTCAGCAATAGGAACCGAAATTCAGTCCCACTGGTGATATAGCATAAACCATATCGAATCTCTATAGATGACGGCCATGTAAGGAACTTCGAGCATATACGACTCAGTTTGAAGAACCTGAAATATCCCCATGCAAAATTATGAAAGCATTCCCAAGCCAGAGTGCCGTGCGCGAAGCAAATGGTTCATCCCTGGTCCTCCGAATTTTCACGAATATCCATGCCCGTTTTACATGAAAAGAACCACTTTTCCGTACCCACATCGATGCACAGGCCGGTTCATGACGCCATATGTTTCTTCAAAGGATTGAAAACAAGGATGATGAAATGTAGGGCCACTGCCCTAGCCTGACCCTGAGAGAACCGTATAAGAAGCAATCAGAAGCTCATGTAACAAAAGTTTTTCATCTATCAAAGCATCCGAAATGGCTCTTGCAATGGAAAAAAGGATCCCATTTGGCTGATTTTTGAGAGTCCGGTCGAACAAGCCGCAACCGTTTACTTGGGTTGGATTGCATATCGCCCAAAGGCGACCGGGGCTACCTAAAAAAAGCCATGTTCTTTAACCAGAGCCAATGGGCCCTGGGTATATCATGAAAATCATGGTCTGGATAAAGAATCCGCGCCACACCCTTGTTCCCGCGGTGGTTAACCCCACTGGCGGGAACGCTCCGACTGGTCCAGGTAAGAACGCGCCCCTTGCCACTCCCCTCCAACCCATACACATCTGTTGTACACCCCCATGATCGCGCAATGCGGTCGCAGTTTCGGTGATGATGACCTACGATTTCCCTTACCAAAGAAATCTTGAGGAAAAATAGTACCATTACTACATTTCAAGACGGGTCTCTGATTGAAGCTGCTTTAACAAATTATTTTTGTTGTCACTCTGTCTGGTTTGAATTATGGCTAACTGGTGATCAGAATAGGACTTGTTGAGGCTTGGATGAATAGCTGGCTCAATTTGGTGGCGTGCTCGCATATGACCTGGTGAGCAGTGGTGGATGTAGAATTTTGCAGATTTCGCAAGCAGCGAAAGGTGGTTGCAAAATCTGCTCACGCGACCCAGTAGAAGATCTATCTTAGCTTTAAATAGAATGACCACTGTTTTATGTGCTTGTCACCCCCTGCTTGTACAGTATTTTAGGTTGACATTTCCTAAGTTATCTTTTTAGTACAACTAAAGTAGTCATTTACGAACATTTCTTTCTTGCTAGTAGATCTAGTCTTCACGCCCGAGAATTGCTATGCTAAATTCTCGGGTCACTCACACCCTTTGGAAACCCACTAGGCTACAGAAAGACTATCGGTCACTTCATGTAATTTAAATATGGAGTTATCTAAGCACTTGACGATTTTTATTGTCAGTTTCAATCAAAATCTAGTGTCGCAACACTATTTATAACTAGAGAACCATGGGACTTTTTAAGGTTGGCTGAACAGCCGCCAATAATTACACGTCTCGAACTTGAAACTGATGCACCCTCTTTCACTCTTCGCTCTTCGAGGGATTCTCTAGCCCCACTCCCGATAGTATGCACTAGTCTATATTGGGGATAATCCCAGAATATCAATATTACAGTGTCTGTATCAATACCATTATCTTCTTCATTAAAACACGCTGTCTTGTCTCGTAATTGTATTGGCGACCCAAGGGAACTACTTATCACGGTGCGAGCTTAGGATTCGTACTCTAGAAACAATCAAGTAGTATCGACGATTATTTTATCATCAGAAGGTCCTCCAGTTCAAATTCCACCTCCTTCGCTTGGGCCTCTATTTCTAGGTAACCAGGCGCGATCTCAATAACTCGGACCCATAGATCCCGAGATCCATAGCCTTGGTCGAGGAACTTATCAGCGCGTCGGGTTGACTCTAAGAGTTCGAGGATAGGAAGGTCCATATCCAAGCGATAATTCTCATTAGAAGAAAATATAAAAAAGCAGGAAAAGAGGTGTTCTCAGTTAGAGAGAGAGGGGGGGGGGGGAATTTACGGTTCATTATACTGCGGCGGGCCTCCGATACGAGACTCGGCGATTTCGCTGAGATACTGACCCATCTGCTCGAAGGACATAGTTTGGCCCATATTCCAGGGCCGACGGAGGGTAGAAACGCGGATATTCCCGTTAGAGCCAAATTGAGCGAGAGTGAGGCGCCCGTTGGTTAGCCCAGGTTCGTCGATCACGAACCACGTCAGGCCCGGCCCGGAGGCGAATACCACCGTGCCGTCTCGGGTCATGGAGAGGACAAAGAGATCGGCCGTGTGAAGGTAGAGCGCGGGCAGGACTTCGCTGAGCGTGATAGGTGCGCCGGAGCCCGGGTTGAGTAGCTACGGGATGTGGGAATTGGGGGCTTGGCCCGCCCCGTGTAGATCGAAGGGGTGCGACCCATACCATTCATCTTGATGAACGTTCATCAATATAAGAAACTTCACGAGGTGGACATAGTTATGTCCGTGGGTCTCCCGGTCTACAGAGGTTAGGCATAAGAAACGTTTGTCGGGTCGCGCGGTGAGGTGTGAGAGTGCTATAGTCGGGTAGTCGAGAGCCGAGTTATAACCCGGGGCACGTTGATAGTAGGACTGTACTGCTCGTTTGTATTTTTATAATTTTTCTATTCATTCTCAAGCACTTCAAAAGATGGAGGAGGGGGAAAATAGCGTAAAATTAGAAAAGGCTTCAACATTAGGGGTGTTGCTATACAGACCTCGCGGAGCTCCTGGCTAGCAGTAGCCCATCTCTCGATTAGGGCTCGCCGGTGACGCAGCGCATCTGCGGGGGTTGACGTGTGCTGGAATTATTCCTCTAGAAAGTACATAAGATCAATCGTCAATATCAATCTTATCATCAAAGAAGAATGCAGTCATATAGATTATCATACCCGTACGAACAGCAACCACCCCTTGGCTTCATCCGTAAGCTCTTCCGAGTCTAAATCGGTCGAATGCAGGCGGATCTCGGGAATGCCCGCTGGCCAAGACGCTTGTGATGATGGCTGTGACATCCTATATGTCTCGATTACTATTTTTGATTTGTAGTTGTTGTGGGGTTCGATTGCAAGACTGTAAAAGAGAAAGCAGAGCCAGTGGACACGAAAGACGCGGGGGTGAAGTACCCTGCAACTTGAAGTCTACCGAGTTCGATTGAGAATAATTTTCAAAAGAAAAGACAAAAAGGGCCTGTAATATTTCTTCAACGGCCCTCTGTCATCTCCGATGTAGATAGTTCACCACTACAGGCCATATCATAGATAAGCTTTTGCTTAGGGGTACCGAGTGGCAGATGTGTTGAATTCACAACCGAATAGATTGTTGTAATTAATATGTAATCTATGTCAACAGCAATACTCGTCTTATTGACAGAGGTACTCCGGAAAACATCCAAAATAGACTAGTGTATCTTCGCGGTGGGGCTAGAGAATCTCTCGAAGAGCGTATGTAGGAGGGTGCACCAGTTTCGAGACGTACTGTATCCTATTAACCAATCTTTTCTTCGGTGGTTGGTGCGATAAAGACCATTGTCTTCATGGCTTTTCATCATCCGATCTCGACAATAAATTCTCCGTTAGCTGGCCGTGTATTGAGGGCGGGCTAAATACAGAACGATACTACGGACGTGAGACATAGGCAGTGTTTACCCTTTCAAGCTCTTCGGTGATCCTGATCTCTATAAGTGTCGCATGTCTGCAAAACTCAACTCCACATTTTCACCCGGTATAACTAATCATACGATGTGATACAGCATAAATCCTTGTTCGGAGACTATGCCAAAGTACCAACCCGCCCACCACCCACCCCGAAAATACGCTCTGTGATAGGTGGAAAGGGTTACAACGCGGGGTATCGGTGGCACGGGGGGTTAAGCTATTCTTCAGCGCGATCGCTAATCGGATCTGTCTGTCTAATGCACATTACTACCCCGTGACTACTGGGCGGTGGCAATGTATAAATAAGGGCGGAAATTGAATTGGGCGTCGGTCCCTACATGAAAGGGTTCTGCAGGGGTCACGGTTCACTATGCCTTTTTCGGGAAGGCAGTTTGAAGTGAAAGTCGGGATTAAGGCCTGGAACAAGGTTCTTATAGGGGCTGGGCCTGGCGAATACGAGTATTTTTGAACGTTGCTGTGGGAAGAGTTGACCAGCTTCGGGGTTTGCCCAGGTGGTCCATGTTGAGTAAATTGGAAATGGAGACCCGAGACTTGAAATGGATCGACCAAGTGTGTTGTCGGTCAATGCTTGCTCCAGAGCTAACCCAGTGCTAATTCTCGATCGTTGACAAGGATCATACGTCTAGTTACTGCTTGACACCCTGTTATCGTATCCAATCTGGATATCCGGAGTACTAACTGGTACTCAGTATATGTGGATATAGTATCTATCCATTCTGTCGGGTTGAGGTATAACTTGTCCACGTCACACCCTATATGCAAAGGAGAAAAAAGAAACTTTGAATACAAAAAACTCTGCGACAAAGAGATCTCCATCTGGAAACCCTCAACCATTTTTGATCCGTGCCCAAAGACCTTCTCCAATGGGTTACCGACAGAGTGGTTCAACTCCACAGTGGCGGAAGCATCATTGGCCAAAGACACCAAGGAATGCCACTCCTCTTGTGGATTGACGACTCCTCCCGTACTCCTCTCGCCTAAGAAACCTTTCTGGCCCCGAATGGCTGGTCCTATAACCTTCGACCGCCTAAACGTCTATGTAGGTCGATTAATGCTGGAACCGGGCGGTCCGGGTTATACATTTTAAGTCAAGCTGTATCTTAACCTTCTTAACCCTCCCTCCCCGCCCAATCCATTCTCCTCACCCTCTCTCCGATTCTCCGAAAGTCCCCTTTTTTCAAAACTTCCACTCTTTGTTTGCGCCACCCCACTTCCAGCAAAGGGTCCCCCTTAGCTGTGGCCTTCCCTCCGGTCGGCATGACTGACCACTCCATCTCTGACGGGGTATCGATCGATGTGGTATGTTTGCGATGTGATGACGGAAACCTGACCCAAACTGTCGGGATATTGAAATGTGCTGACCGGGGGGAGTGGCCATCCAGGATCCCGAATTCTATGACAATGACAGTGCCTACGGCGATGATGACTGGGCATCGTGAGTATTTACTCTCTTTATCTTTTAGATGTTATATCTGCTTTTTCTTTTTTTCTTCTCCCTTTGTTTGCTTTTTCGGATACGCGGCGTTACGCGTGCCCGGCCTGGCCTGTGCGTTTCATCGGGTCTAACAACCGCTTTTGTTTTTTTAGCCTTAGAGACACCACATCCATCAAATCTTCGATTTATCGGGGAATGATGGAAAATGGCAGGAGGTAAGTGTTTTAATATTGGCAAGGAAATATTACACAAAATTCCACCACCAGGTTGCCTTTATACTTACTGAATCTACAGATATCAAAGTCTCCGAAACAAAGAATACTGGTAAGGAAATAATGACCCAACCTCGACCTCGGTCTACTTCTGCAAAGGGGGCAAATGTTAAAACTGACACCTTATCAGCCTTCCCTCAGATGAGCAGCAATTTGAGGCCTATGAAGCAGGGTAAGTTCCTCACTTGTATATGATATGATATCCCGTCGAAACCCCACTAATTATCTCCAGGCACCTTGTGGATCTCATTCTAGACTCCGAGCGAGAAAATCCGCTCTTCCGCGCGCCATGCGGAGATGATAAGGAAGCGCCCCTTCATGTCTTGGATATTGGTACCGGGATGGGTACTTGGGTTATGTATGCCGACTCCGAGTCCGAGACAACATGTTTCACATCAAAGTACCTAGAAAACTCGCAGCTAACCATTTCCTAGCGATGTGGCCGATATGTTTCCGAATAGTGGGTTCTCTCCAAATTATCCCGGGGCCATCTACTCACACCTGAAAGAAATCCTCTGACCTAGTAGCAATAGGTATTGTTCGCGGTGTGGATCTCTATCCACCACCCATAACCTGGATGCCGCCAAACTGCACAATCGAAGTAGACGACGTGCTGCAAGAATGGACATGGCGGGAACCATTCGACCTCATCCGCATGCGCAACATGATCGGATCCTTCGACCAGGCTGAGTGGGACCGAGTGTACCAGCAATGCTACGACAAGCTCAAACCCGGCGGCTGGATCGAGCAGTACGAAGTCGGGCCATTTGTCGAGTGCGACGACGGCAGTTTACCCGAGGACAGCGTGCTTGCGAAATGGGGGCCGAATATTCGCGGCTGTGGCGAGCGTGCGGGTCGGACGTGCGATGTGATTTTCACCATGGCGCAGAGTATTCGCGAGAAGGGCTTCATCGATATGCATGAGAAGAACTACAAGTGGCCGATTGGTCCTTGGGCGAAGCATCAGAAGTTCAAGGAGGCTGGTCTGCTGAACTATGAGCATTGGATGTCTGGGATTGAAGGATGGTGTATGTGGTTGCTTACCAAGTTCGGTGCGCCGGAGCCATGGAAGAAGGAGCAGGTGTATGTTTATTGTGCGCGTATGCGTAATGATATTAAGAATCCGGCCTATCACACATATCATAGGGCGTAAGTGAAGCTCTGAGATCGACGAGCCGTGGAGTCCGTTTGTTTTGGAATGACTAACGCAATTTTATAGGAAGAGGATATGGGCGCGCAAACCGTTCCCTGGCGAAGTTTCACAAAATATGAAGGCTACCACGGAGTCACCGGAGAGACCCGGGACTACTAATGAGTGACGGACGGATGGCTATTCGCATTTAATTCTGGCAAAGTGGCGTTGGTCGGCTTTCTCCTTGTATATACAGCATACGACTGCCCAGGTGCAGGTCACGATTTGATACCCGGTTGGTTGCAAAGGCAGAGAACTACTCAAAATGACTCAACTCTGTCGCAAGCAGTTTCAAGTTCAAAATTCGAGGCACAAGTGATAAAAATGAAAAAAAACCCCCCCTATAATATACTCAATACTCATACGAAGCTATCTCGCTTAAAGTGACAGGCAATGCTAATGAACTCGTTGCATAAAATCATGGTATTCTGAACTAGGGTATCATCAAATTTTGAAAAGCTCCTTCCTTTTAGTGGGAGGTCGACGCGAAGCTAGCGGCGGGGCATCGATCCCACTTAACACTAAACCTCCACCTCATATTCCTCCATCTCCACTTTGAAGTAAGGCTCGACCTGTCGCTTCTCATCTGCAGCGCACTGGGAATCGATCGTGAATCGTACAGCCGCATCGCGACCGCGTTCACTCGCCCCGAGACGATCCCCGTTGGCTGCAATTGGGGTTAACGGATGCTGAGGACGCTGTGGGGTATCAGGTTGTTTATCGTTGGATCCGTTGCTCGCGGAAGCATTTTGCTGACGAGCTCGGTCGACCCATTTGTTAAATCGGGGGATACGCTGGGAATTGGCTTCTTTGTTAAGCGGGATGCGGACAGTCAGAAAACGAGGCGCTTGAAATTCGGGTCCAACGGATGTTAAGCCACGGTAGTCGGTGTAAAGTTCGAGGAGATCGAAGAGAGTTTCTATTCAAAATCATTAGTACGAGTCCAGTAAAAGTAAAGACAACCCCCACTTACCCATCACTTCTGTGCGATTCGTCTCCCAATGCGTGTAGTCCGCTCCCGACTCGATATCCTCGATTCGCTGGTCAAGAAGCCGCCCTGCTAATTCGAGGCAAGCGAGAGCCATGGTCGGTGTCGTTTGTTTGAGAGGGGAAAATGTTCGGTAGAGGTCTAGCGAAATTCGATATGCCAGAGAAGAGACCTTGGAGTCCGCCTTGTACTGCAATGACATCTTTGCCAGGGTCTTCTCCGGATGTCGGGTACGGAAATCAAAGCCAGAGCACTCTAGCATGAGTCGTTCCAGACCAATGATGGCTCGAGAACTCGCTTCAAAAGCCTAGCAACCTGTCAGCCAAATAACCCCATCTTATATGTCTGAAAGTACCGTACTTGATCGTCTGCTGAAAGATGCTCGGAGGGTAGGTATTTAAGATTGTGCGCCGCGCATAAGATCTCGCGAGACTTTTTCAAAGTGTCTTCGATCTTGCACGCAGTGAAAAGAGCCGCGGCCGCGGTATCCTGCGAAAGACGTTAGAGGAGGCCCTTTTTTTCTCCGAGATAGCAACACAAACACACCGTAAAGCTATATTCGTTATCTGGGCGAATCAGTCGGTATCGGTGGTAATAAATAACTGCAGTATTGAAGGTCCGGGTCGGCCTGTATTCGAATTAGCTTCCTTTCACTCCACGCCGTCGTTGCAAGTCTTTTTGGCTCGGGTTCTCGACGTACAACCGCAGTGCCTTGCGCACATTGTCAATCCAGGTCACTCCTTGTAGACGCTGCGACGCCTCTCGCGTGGCATCCAACCCCATCGCTAGGATACAATCCCGGATTGTCTGCTCGAAGAGGTAGGGCTTGGCAACCAGGACAAAGGACGGGTGGATGGGCGGAAGTTCTGGCGGGCCATGATCTGATTCCGAGCCAGGATGAGCCCGCTCATCCCGAGTCGCGTGTGCCATCGCAGTAAAGGGGCGCCGGATGCGATTGAAGAGCGACTCCTCCGTGTACGCGGGGATGGGAGAGTCGCTGGAAGCTGTCGATTCGATATCCTCCATATCACGTGCTGATAGTGAAGTTCGTTGCGGAAGAATGCTGATCCGAAGTGTACAAAATGATGGGGTGCCCAAGTGTTATGGATGGAGTTATCAATGGAGTCATGGATGGAGTTATGGATGAGGAATAAGAGAGGCAGAATTAAACAGTCTTGAAGTTTTATTTCTAAAGGCAAAGTTCAGTCGGGCTGAGTTCAGTGATGGTTCACTCATCTCCAAACTTGAAGGTGAATGCTCGAGTCCCTAGGTAAACGGCACCAATTGAATTGACAATAGTTTGATGGAAGAGATCACAAGCTCTTAATGGAAGATAGTCTAAGCATTTCAGGCTCTTCATTTTAGACTTATTTGTAGGTCGGAATGCTGCATGTTCAACATGCTGTATTCCACTCACCTTTTGCATGGGAGAACGATGGTGTTGGGGAGGGGGAGGAGGCCAAGTGAAAGTAGGAGTGGATGGCAATAGTGGACAAGGCATCGGTGCCCAACAACTTGAAAAGAGTCCATCCTGGTATCGTAGCTCCGAATGGTCTAGGTGTCTTGGCCCTACCCGTTTGGGGGGAAGAGTGGTCAGGTTGATTAATGAAACGCTAGTAGCTGCCTTGAACCACCTTTTTGCCACTTTTGTTTCTTGTCCAGGTCAGAAGATCAATTTCAGCACTCGGCATTCTTTTGCCTGTTTCTTTTTGCCTCCTTCCCTTTTAGTTTTGTTTGCTGGTTGCTGTTACCTTCAGTGAGTTGTGCCTTCCAAATATATTTGTTTGTTGTCCCCACACTACAGAGCCACCATTGTAGCCTCGGGCATCAATATTCCTTGCTCTCTTGCCTTCTGATTTGTATCTTCGAATTACGTATGCTTCTTCAACCCTTTCTATTTTATATTCCTTTAAGTGACTCTGCCTGATAACCTCAATTTGTGGACTTCAAACTCAAAGCGAAACTTGATTCTAGCGTGGTTCAGCATCTGAGTCCATGATGAATCACTGATTTTATGGACTCGCATGGACTATTTGATGCTCTAGTAACTCAATCTACAAGTACTTATGTAGTCCAACCTCAGGAGCCTTCCTCCAAGGCTGCCCAGGTGGCCTAAGCTAGAATTCGTATAAAATCAATCTCCCTGTCAGGCTTTGATCTGACGAGGATCCTTGCTAGGGAACAGATTCATACATTGGTACATGCAAGGTTCCTAGTATTCCCTACTCCCTCGATCTTCTTCCTCTTCTTCCTCTTCTTTAGTCTCATGTGGGAAGTCTTTTTTTAAGATTCTCAAAACGCAGGCTGTTGGTGATTTGCGCTTTTTATTCACCTTTTTTCAATGAATCAATACGGTGGCTCTCGTCCGGTTCTCTTAGTGCCGATTTTCACACGTGCTGTTTCTTTGTTTTCCAACCTCTTCTTCAATCTAGGAGGATATTTATGCGTATTATAACCCGTATAGATACACCATAGCTTTTGGGGTAAATTTTGAACATGGGTCATTCTTCACTTAACTTCTGGGACCCTGAAATGGCTTATACACAGTCATGCCAATGTAGCGAAAAGAAATAGCCTCCAGTGTTTTATCGCAGCTTGGTCAAACTATGTACTCCTCTTTGCAGCAGATAGTATCTTGTTTCCTACTAGTTAGACATTTGCCAGTACCTGTGTGTATCTCGTTGCTACTACTTCCACGGGTTAAGTCAACTTGAAGGCACCAGTGATCCATTTTCCCAATTAGCACTCTACTACTACCTAGGTATACTCCGCTCATTGAGGCCTCCCTCTTGCATTGTTCCCTCTCCACCCCCTCTAGCCAGTTGGTATCCGACGGCTCACTATTCTCTTTCCCATTCTGATTTTACCAACCTCATCACCTCTTCGAACTGACCGTCCGTTAGATCTATCAAAACTCCCCCCTCCTAATAAAAGGTCAGTCTAACATCGATCCTTCTCTCTTCATCTTATTCTTGTTCTCATTTCTCATTTCGCTGAAGCCAACGACGCCGCGTCGACTGAACTGTCTTTACTGTCCGGTCGCAATCTACTTCTCAGTTTCATTCGAATCTCATCTCTTTGAAGGTCTCCACACGCTATCTCTCAGTTTTATGCTAGAAAGCTGTCCCAAATGGCGAAGTACGTTCCTTTTATCTCTTTGATTCTCACTTCACTTGGCAGATCTAAATTGACTTCAATACTTTGATAGTCAAAATGGCCCGCGAATGGGTAAGCCGAGACGCGGCTACATCCCTCCCATGATAGTCTCTGGCTCCGATAGTATCCATGTTGATCCCCTTCCCGACGGATGGGCAAGACGTGTCCGGGATCAGCCCCCAGTCTCCGATAGCTGCCGGCAGCTCGCCGCTCTCCCAATGCGACGGGAGCTGGTGTTCCGAGAAGGTTACAACCTAGACGATCCAGAGCTGGAAAATATTCTCGATCCGGACTTCAACATCCAAGAGGCAGAAAACATACAAACCACCTTTCTCAATGCCTTAAATTCTGTGGGACCCCAGACCCTGGCTGAAGCCGAGCTCCTCGCTCAAATTAAGTGGGAGGTCGAAGAGGATATGGCCGCCGTTCAATCTGAGGAACGAGCTGAGCAGAGGTACATGATGGGCGTGCGGCAAGAACCACACGAAGCTGAGCAGGAAAAGCAGGAAGGGAGAGACCGATTTGCCGCTTTCCAGAAAGAACTTCGTCAACTGAGAGAAGGACAGCGTGACAATACCACTCAAGCTTCCAATTAGTTCTCCAGGATGTCTCCATCCCAAACACGGGCTTTGCAGCCTTGTGTCTCATCCTGTCTCATTTCTTTCCGCCCCATCGGCTCCTTTATGGAGCAACTTTCTTTGCAAAAATTCAAATTCCCAAAAAAAAAGAATTATTCCGTTCCAACAACCGCAATCTCTCGCAAGAAAAAGTTTCATTCATTGCGCAAGTTTTCGTGGATTTCTGCTTGTGCTTCTTCTTTCGTTCGATACGGCGACGCTTCGTGGAATTTCCATGGATGCCTTTCTCTTATTTTATTCTTCCTTATTTTTCCTTTGATTTAATACGACATGTTTCTCGGAATTTTTATGCCACAGGCTCTCGAAACTGGCTCCTTTTTCTTACCCTTTTTTTCTATTTGATGGGCAAGCTTTCTTAGGGCATAATTTCATACATTTTTATTTTATTTTTATTTAGTCTTCTTCCGCTTTGAACCTACCCAAGAGATCATTAGCTCTGTATGGACTAGTGGAGGTCGGAGCTTTTACCAAAAACTTCTACTAATATTGCTCCAGATGTCAACAAAAGATAAGCATTCGCAAAGAAGATATCAAGAAACACGATGATGTCTGCTGCCCATACTACCTCTGCGGTGCTTGTAGGGATAATGTTCTTAAAGCGAACAAGGAGTCTCACAAGCCTGCCTAGGTACATGTTCTGATATATACGGTCCATGTAGGAAACGCCTGGGAAGATTCGAGAAAACCAAACTTCCACTGGCAAAGCACGAGAAGGTTACCCGTCGAAGACTTCCCGGTGTATATGAAGACCTGTGAAATGCGGTCTTGCAATCCATGTGGGAAACGCTTTCACAAGGAAAAGACCGAGACGCTCTAGTACTCTAGAAAGAAGTTGGCCCCGTTCCCTCCTTTTTTTCCCGCGATCGATAACCATTGCACTTGCCCTAGGGTACACTCTGCGCACGGTAATGCCTACTGCCTCAGGTCGAGTACGCTACAAATCGACCTGGTGGGTTCAAGTTCAGGTCACGTCATGTTTTGACCTCCGCTCTTGCTATTACCCCAGATTCACTAGGTGTTCGATCCACACACACACACACACATCTTCTTCACTTCACGTCCATTGTTCATATCCCATAATGACTTCAAAACTACCCGCCGCTTTTCAAACAAACCAGGCCAGTAAGCGCCTCGGTCAATTTCCGCTGATTTGGAGAAGAGTAACTTGTTTCTTGGTCACGACGAAGTTATGGAGAAGATATACTCCAAATTTTTCTCTACTCAGGGCATGCAAATCCTGCCGGACGAGCGGCCAACTTGGAAAGCTGGAACTGAGGGTATTAAATCTCTACTTTGATTCAAATAATAGTCTTTGTCTCAACTGACTAACAAATGACAGTGACCAGTGTAACCCAAATACCTACTTGGGTAGCTACCGGCAACCTACGAAGTCCTACACTAGTAGGCTATTCACGATTCCAGTCCTCGGACAGTATACAGGCAAAATCTGGTTCTTTTTTTAAAAAAAAATCTATTGATCTGCAGGATTAGAGGCTTTAAGCGCGTCCAATATCGCAGAGCTATGGCAGCCTCCCGAGGTCTGTCTTGGATCAAACAGCAACATCAAATATCCAATCCTCTTTCACTCAAGTTCTGATTTATGGGCTTCGTCAGCTGGCTCTTCGACTTATCATCAGGAAGTTAGAAGAAGTTGCTCTTGCTACTGCTCATGATGAGGTATCTGGAGACCAGGAACCTACTAAAGTCATGATATGGTCTATCCGGCGACCTCTTCTGCAGCATAATGAAGATTTATTTGTCCGTGTATTCCTGCCAACTTCCTGTTCATCAAAGTCACGATTGTGTGGGCTTTTCAAGGCTTTAGAGTCCTTCTTTCTACCCCTTCTGTAGAGTCCGGACAATAATGCTAGCTGATGACCCGTCCTGCACACTGATTGGGCATGTTAGATCTCATAATGTCTTTTCCATTCCCTATAACTCTTTGTATGGTTCTGTATATGGTACTACTCTGTGTTCATTGGGATTTTCGACGGCGAACATATCGTACTGAAAGCGAGCCCACGATGAGAGCCTTCTCGCGAGGAGGCAAGACGATAAGAACTTCTTCGAGTAATCTATCACTTCTGGTAACTCTTGCTGGTTTGCTGAGAGTCCTCACTACGCCTCTCTGACCGGAATTTTTGATAATCAGCGCCAATATCGACTCATCTACTGACATGGCATTCGAAGTTGTAGTCCAGGGAGTCAGATCAAGTTCGCCGATCTCCTGCTATATGTAAGGATTTATTTCAGTTGAAAGATGCAGTGATGTGTCCCGTACTGAATGCCCACATTCACTAAGTCGACTTTTCATAATAGAGACAATATCACCATCGACTAAATTTCCTACAGGAATCCCCTTGTCTTCTTCTTCCCTTAGATCATCCTTGTTCATCGTGCAGCCCCAACCGGTCGTCGTAATAGTGGTCCTTAATCGTACTTTGACAAGAGCCTCGGGGGCTTAGAAAGTAAATGCGGGACAAAACTGTCAGCGGACAAAGATGAGAGGCCTGAGAGATGTTGTACCCAAATCAAAGATGCAGTAGTGGGATGGCGGGGTTGGGCGTCGAGCTATCACCTGACCTGTGTTATGAGGAAGTAAGCCACGTCAGTCGGTCGCATAGTTATCAACATTGAGATGCCTCGGACTTGAAGGTCGAACTGCTGATTGGGATTGTGGAGCGCTATGCAACAAATTCAGGCAGAGTGTTTTTTTTTCTCGCTCCCCCAAGCAACACTCACTTGAAACTAATTCAGGCGGTCACATTGTTTTGTAGATGAAAGTATGGTCACTCAATCTCCTAATTGATACTCAACGATCGGTTCTCATTTATCACATAGGTAAAAAAGTGACTGGTCAAGTTATTTAGGTGGCACGAGATTAATTGGCATTCTGAGATTGCAGCTGATATTATCAAGGGGAGCTGTGTAGTTTAGCTATTGTGTATGAAGCGGGCAAATTGCTCGAAAGGTATTACTAGTAGCAGATATGGGCAAAATAGGAATGGGGCAAATGAAAACGAAATGGGAATGCCAAACCTGCTGATTACTACATCCCTACTAGTATATGCGATGCGTAAGCCCTATAGTATACTAATATACCAATAGTGAGCATGGAAATACTAGTACTAGTATCCATGGATACGTAGGTACAGAGTTATACATTCTAAGGTTTAGAATTGTAGTAAGCTTATTCGAAGGTACTAGTAAATCATATCTTCGAGAACTATATATAATATGGGCAAAATTATCGTAAACTCCTAGCAAAATAGGTAGCCTCATACGCTCCTGGAGTCAATATAAAGTAATTAGAAGGGAAGGAGAAGCCACTACAATGGTAATTAAAGCTTGATAGGACTGTCAAGCACTTTAGTGGCTCATACAGAAGTTTGCGAGGACGGAAATAGACCGATAGACGCCGAAGCTTAATTATTGAAACTGGATTCAAGGGCTCGGAATTTAACTCGGTTTGATCATCCTAAGGATAGCGGATTTTATCAAGACCACATGAATGAATTCGCTATTTCACGTAGTCGATCCAAATGCGGGTTCGAGCTCATGAGCAGGGGTCTTCTGGGAGGCTACTTGGGCCATGGGCCGGGTAGACCTCTTCAAGGTATTGGAGTATCATATCCGACTCGTAAAGTGGCTGTAGACATAGCTCGACTCCGCTGGGAATGAGAAAGTTGGCTAGACCACGGGATATTCACCATAGACACCATGATTTCTAATCCATTGCCCATTGCATTTTTGGGATTTTCTAGCTCGTTGTTCAAAAAGATACCCAACTTGACTGGAGGTACAATTTACTTTCCGTCGCCATACTTCCGGATCAGCTTTTGCATAATTGACACTGCTCCCGAGCGATACCCACCCCCGAAAATAGCATGATGATTCAAATGGTGGTACCTGGTCATAAAGTTAATCAAAGCCCCAATTCAAAAAGATAATGAACAAAAAGAGACTCACAATTCATACAACCTCACCCGATCATCATATTCCCCCACGGGCTCCGTCTTCGGCACAACGCGATGATATTTCTCAAAAAACCCAGCCCCAAACCCACCAAACATATTCATAATCCCCAATTCAAACTCACTATGCCCATAACAAGCCGACGGATCATAAACCACATCTCCAGCTTGATCCTCTCCAGACCCAGACCCAGAACCCAGAATCCTCCCCCAACCCACATTCCCACTCCACAAATCCCCATGAATAACAACAGGCACGATCCCCTCCCCTTGACCATCAGAATCATATCCCAAATGATCATCACCCAATAATCTCGGCACAACACTATGAACAGTCTTCTCCACAAGCTCACGCAGCCCCGCATCAGAACCATTCCTATCCTCCGACGACCCAAGAATAGTAAGTAACCTCTCCTCAGCAAAAAACGCCGCCCAACTATCCCGGAATAAATTCGACTGCTTCGTGTCGCCGCAGAACGTCGGGACCGGGAATCCGAATCGTCGACGACCACTCTCGTCGATTGGTGCAGGCGTGGTGTGTAATTTTCCCAGTCGGTGCGCTAACGTAGCAGTACTCTCGTCATCATCGCTGCTACCAAACCGACCAGCGCGTAAATCAATATACTCCGTCGCGAGAAAGAATGTCTTGCTATTGCCTTCTTCTAACGGGCCCCAGGCTAGTGCCCGTGGACAGAAGCCCGGGACGGAGGTTGCGATTGCGTTTAGCGATTCGTATTCGCCGCGGAACATTTCTGAGGCGGAGGGGCCGGCTGGAGAGGTTTTTATGAAAAATTTGAGTTTGTCGGGGGTTTTTGTTGTTTTGTTGGGGATTTTGGCGTCGAGGATTGCGGTGTTTGTGAAGCCGGAGGCTAGGTTGGTGGATAGAGTTGCTTCTGTGTTGTTGGGGAGGGATAGGGCTTGGAGGATTGGTTCTGGGACTGGGGACATTTTTGCTTTTGGGATGAGTTGAATTATTGTTTGTTTGAGATTAGAGGAATGAGATGGTGGTTTACGGTGCTAGGTTGATGTTCTCGTAGGGATGTGAAGTGCGCAAATCAAGTACTATGACGTTAGTTTCCCCACACGATTGATAAGGATCTGAAAGTACCCTAGGGGCATCATAGCAGTAACTAGTAGTTACTTATGAGGAAGGTAGGTCAAATTCCAGCTTGAAGATACGATCATGGATATCTGGATTGATCTAAGCATTTTTGCACTGTCCAAACTGACCTATGCAGAATCATCGACTAAAAACTTGAAGACAAACGCCGATCCTCCACAGGGCTAAATCAATATCCCAAACAATACAATCTCATGAAGTAAGTGTATTCAACAAATGCACCGCCGTCTTCGTGCGCTCCCTCACATCCAAATCAGAATCCTCTTCAAGGCTAACCAACCGCTCAACAACGCCCAGCTCCTTAAGCCGGGCGGCTCGTTCGCGACACCCTTCATGGTCGCTCTGGTCCTCCTCGTAGACTAGGTTAATCACAACCCAGACGCAGCTAACCCGGACCTCGCGATTCGGGTGGTTGAAATGGCCAACCATCGAGACGAGAAGGTCCTTGTGTGATACCAGCAGTTGACGGTGGCGCGGGAGGCCAGCGGCAATGTGGATGACGAGGGCGCTAACAGAGCTGAGGATCTCGACGGGGACCTGGATTGCGCGAGTGGGATTTTCACGGCGGTGGGAGAGCTGGATGCTGCGCGGGCGGAGATTGTCTGCGAGAGCATCAAGGAATTCTTCCTGGCCTACTTCTTTGAAGAGGAAGTCGATCATCTCGTTTGCGCCGGGGCCGCAGATTATGTTGCGGATTAGGTCGTAGGTTTGTTCTTGGACGGAGATGTCGTCTTGGCGGGTTTGCGTGGACTGTTCGATTGTTCCGCGGAGAACGAGTCTGCGTCTTCGTCGGGCGTCCGGGAGAAACAGGTCGAGATTCATTTTTGATGGGGGCGTGTCGGTCATTTTGAAGTCTTCGGCTAGTCCGTCGATATCTTCCATCGGGTTGAGGATGTCGACTTGTTCGCCTGCTGAGTTTGCTCGGCCCATGGCGACGCTTGCGGCCTGGTCTGTTTCTTCGTCCACGTTGCGTCGAGCGGCGCTGGTGGTGTCTTGGCTGACGACTTGTCGGATCCAGGTTGAGCCGAGTCCCTCGATGACCTTCATTTTGATGTCGTTGGCTGTGTTGTACACCACATGCTTGAGCGCCCACAAGGATTCAATCTGTAATTTGGTATTTGGGGAATGGGCATGTTCACACAAAATGGGAATGATGTCCGCTGAAATGATTGCCTGGGAGGATACATTAGATGAAATGCTCTCTCAGAAACATATTGTTGACTGACCTCTTTCATAGGGCTAAAATCCAAGGCTAAGTTACAAATAGCCGCAGTTGCCGCAATCTGGACTTCCAGATCATGGTGCTTGAGGAGCGCAAACAGAGGCTCGGCGACTCCTGCATCAACAAGGCTGGTTCTGAGAACACTCACGGATCTAGTTAGCATTCGAGTAGCACCACAAGCAGCCAGAAGTGTTGGCGTGGGGTTGCCATCTGCTGCTGAGTTCTTAGGCATGGAAATGGCGTCGGCCGGGGCATCACTCGGCCGAGGCTTGAGAGAGTCGATGATGTAGGGGACCACGCCATTCTCACAAACGGATTTGCGATACTCGTCTTTGAACGGTACCAAAGCTGCCAATGCTTTGAGGATGCTCTCACGATATCGCATTATATGACACATTGTGGGCGAGTATCCAGAAGGTCCAAGCTGGCACTCAGGCGACACTGTCTCAGGGTCGCGGGCCGGGCTGTCTCCGCCAGCATACCACATCGCGCGTAAGTTCTCTGCCACTGGATTATATGTTTCCTTGAGGATTTGAGATAGACGCTTGAGCGCATTGCCGTTGACTGCATGTTTTTGAAGCTCTTGGTCGTCCATGACTAAATTAGCTAACACGGCTGGTGCCTCTTCTTTGGCACGCTGCGTAGGCGTGATCAGCCCATCATCATTGGAGCCTTGTTCATCTGGCAACTTGAAGTCTCGGTCCAGCATTCGAATGAGGATCGGGACTAACAAAAACCCGAACATGGGGACTCGATGCTTCCTAGCGAGTCCTAGACGGAACAGGACAGTCACCAAACGTGCGGCCATCAGACGGGCAATTCCGGTTTCTGATCGGAGAATGCACATCAGCCATGGGATGATTGAATTCTCGTCATCTTCTGGGGAGGGCGTCTCGGCCAGCGAAAACGGAGTAGGATAGGAATGACTTTGGCGACGTTGCGAGCCGGAGTTGCCCAAAGGTGGAAAATTGGCTGAGTTTGGAGATGACTTCTCGTGGGTCAATGGAACCGACGGCAAGAGGTGATCCACTGGGTTTGCACCGGGATGGCGAGGAACTGCCGAACCGGACAGATAAGTTGAGCCCCAAGGGCCTCGTTTGACATCGACTGCGGCAAATCCAGGAACCTGCTTTGGGAATACCGTGACCAGGCCAGGCGAGGAGAGGAAATGCTCTGCCCTCCACTTTGATTGTTCGATGATGGTCGTGATTGCACGAAGGATTGGCGCCAAGCGGGCAGATGCCGGTGCTGGCGCCGGTAATTCCCCCAGCGCGCCGGGCTCTTGGAGATGATACTGAGCACCAGGCAGAACAAAGCCCTGTGCCACAACGAAAGAGGCCAACTTGACGGACAGAGCATCCAGCACTCCGCATTCCGCTAGTGTCGTTTTGTGTACCTCCTCTGAGCATAACTTGCCAATCAAAGCAGCTGCCAGCTCAATGCAGGCTTGGTTTTTCAACCTGTCATAGTCCTGTGCGATGATCCGCCTCAAGGCGCCAACATTCTCGCTTGAGAATACAAGGTCTGCTAGGCGGGTATCTCGCGGCCATTGTTCCTGGCTTTGTAATGGTAGCCGGTCGGCAATGGTGTTGAGCAGCCGCAATATAGGGAGACTGAAAGATTGCGGGCAATCCGGTGAGGATAGAATAGCGAGGAGGATAGAAATGATTTCACTGGCGAAGATCGGAGCGAGGAATGTCGGGCCACCTGTTTGAGATGATTAGCGGCCAATCTGGGGTTGCCTTATAGACTTGCAGATTGTAGATCATGCTGCATCACGTACCTTGCGCCACACTTCCCACAATCAGAATTGATTGCAGACATGCCTCATATTCACTGGAGGTGCGATAGTTTACCGGATTAGGAGCCGATCCATTGGGATCTGCTGAAGCGACTCCTCCAGGTCGATAGGTCGAAAGCACCTGGGCCAGAGCGGGGAGGACCCCCGAGGTCACATAGGTTTCTTTGCGCTGGTCATGGCCGATCAGCTCGTTCTTGAGGGTGCGCAGAGATTCCGCCTGTGAGGACACCGACTCCGAGCTGTGCAGCTGCAACAGAATCGGCGGTACTGCCGCTCGAGTCATCTTCCGAGAACCACCGCCTCCCAGTGGGAGGTCCGCGAATAAATCGCGCACTTAGGGAAATCGTTCAAAGGTTGGGGCGAAGATCGATCTCGTGCCTAAGAAAAAAAAAGGATTGCCGCGGGGGTATGGGGGGGCCGTATGGTCGATGGGAGCGGGACACGGGGAAGAGAGTTGGAGAGGGGAAGGCCGGATTCGGGCGTCAGGTCGCGTGTCCGACGGGCGAGCGACGGTGTCAAGGAAAATTGGAAAGATGAATCAGCCGGACTCTTTCAAGAATGGAGATTAATTGGAGAGGGAGATGGGTGTCTCTTGGCTTTGTTCCTTTAAGATTGCAAGTAACCCTAAGCTCCCAAGCTTCCTTTGAGGTTCCCCCGGTCTCCGCATGTCATGATAAGTGGTTACGTAACCAGTGATATTGGCCTGAGGCAGCAATCGTACTGCCTAACTAAGGTAACTCACTAGTTCACTAGTCACTGTTCAATACTAATACCTACATAGACTAGCTGCATTCAAAGCCACTCAGACTAACTCCGATGAATGTTAGTCAATCTGGTCCCTCATAATGATCAGCCACTGTCTGACATGGCCCCGCCCGATTCAACTGAGCCTCTAGATTACGTGGTGATCTTGGTCATCTATCACTCTATATCTATATACTACCAAATTTACCAATATGATCCTATGTAGAAACTGTACACAATCTACTTTCACTTATTCCATACTGGAACTCCTGGAACTGCGGACATCCGAGTAGATCACATGATCGGAAATCAGCCCTGTAACTTGTGTACTGTCACGTTTTGTCATCTCCGGCCCGGCCAGCCAATCATCACCCTTGAATGACTACCAAACCCTCCCCCGGAGTTCACGCCGGAGTGCAAAGTATCAGATGGGCGCCCCTCACGTACAAGGCGTATTACATTACCTCATGGCCAAGAGGAAAATCCTGTAGTAGTACCCGGGTACTAGTAAACTCGTCTGACTCTTCCTTCTCCTTTTAGACTCATTACAAACTCTTCCCCATATCTTTCTTCATCCCCCCTCACCCCCTCTCCTCCTCCTCCACCTCCACATTGCTTAAGAGACCCTCCGGATCGAATTCCACCCTTGGTCTCATCCACTCATCCTGTGTTAAGCAAGGATGAGGCCGTGCGCCAACGCCTCCAGCTTCGCCCCGTTGACTCGTGCGCCCACGTGGTGCCAGCGTGCACTCCGAGCGGCTGCTGGACCTCAAATTCCTGCATTCCCAGCCTAAACACTAAACCCTATACGATCACATTACGGAGTACGGATACCTACTGTACACTGTACAATGTTGGCCTCCTCCCCTTCGCCCTCCACTACCGCTCTGCGTTCCCCACGACAGCAGGCGGGCCATTATGATCCCCCGGCTCCACAGTTCAATAGTCCTCGTTCTTCGCGCTTGGCCATTGAGGAGTTGCGGACCGCGCTGAATCGACATACCGTCGATCCCTCCTCTCCTGAATCTCCTGCAGTCGGTCACCGCAGGCGCGCTTCTGTTTCCACCTCCGCCACTGCGTCTGCGTCTACCCATCCTTATGCCTCCGCGTCTACGTCTGCTTCCGCCGATTCCTCCATTGTCTCCAGCAGCTTAGCAAACACCGTGACTATCTCTGGTTCTATGATCCCTCCGCCTCTTCCCCCTACCACCCCTTCCGCCTCCGCTTCGGCTCCGGTGAACGTGAATTCTTCCTCCAATTCTTCGGAATCGAAGGTCTCAATGCCCGCTCCTGACGGTTCCGGGTCCAATAAGCGCAACAGCCTGACTGATCACCACCCGTCAGATGGTGCCCCGTCGGGCGCTGGTGATCCTGAGGGGCAAGTGTCACAGACCAAGCGCCTGCGCCCCTCCAAATCGGAGGCAAAGGTCTTGCCTGCCCAATACGAGGACGTCGACCCCCGCGATCTGGTGGTGCTGATCTCCAGCATGCTGATGGAATTAATCCGATTCAACGACAAAATTCCCCTCAATGAAGGCCGGCTAACGCGCTTCCACTCTCGATCCCCACCTCGCATCTCCGTGCAGGATTACCTGCAACGTCTCACCACCCACGCCACCCTCTCCCCTCCCATCCTCCTCGCCATGGTCTTCTATATTGACCGTCTCTGTGCGCTATACCCAGCATTCACCGTCTCCAGTCTCACCATCCATCGTTTCCTGATCGCCAGTGCAACCGTTGGCAGCAAAGGGCTCAGCGACAGTTTCTGGACGAACAAGACATATGCCCGTGTGGGCGGTATTGGCATGACCGAGTTGGCCATGCTGGAATTGGAATTCCTATTCCGTGTGCAGTGGCGCATCGTTCCACAACCAGAGGTGTTGGTGGATTACTACCAAAGCCTAATTGAACGATGCGATGGCTTCGAGATCGAACGCCCCAGTGGCGACGACTCTTCTGTCGCAGCGGCGACCTCCAACGCCAATACCCCTTCTGCATAGAGCCCCGGGGGGGCTACTTCTTAGAACTTGCTCAACCATGGCCGCATCGCTTCTCTTTTTCCCCGCCATTATCATTTATCCATTATACCTTACGAACTAATTCGGGCTGGCCTCGAGAGTGGTGGTGCAGGGATGAGAGATGTGAGAGCCAATTGATTCAAACATTTCATCCCCTTAGATTCACCCGCGACGCGATCTTGATGAAACTATGATTGTTTTGCATCCACAGAGGGCGTTATCTGATCGAATACCCCCGTCATGCTCGTGATCTTTGGGGTTCTGCATCAATCGGCACGGTACACTAGAGTGGTCTTACCTACTTAGCATACGCAGGAGAGGGTGGTGTTTTTTGTATCATGTTTTCAGCGTTTCATTTACTAGCAATATGATCCGGCGTTCTGATGTCTCATGGGATGATGCGCTATCAATGAAAATACCTATGGCCAATGTTTTTCTCCATTGTCCGCTTTTGCTCGCTCCCTTTTTTTCCCCCTATTTAACAATTTTTTTATTTAACTCTACCATTTTCAAAACAATCAACTATACACAATACAAAATACAAAATATAGAATACAGGATAAAATAATATACTTCATATTCTATCTAGACGTGGCGATCCTACTAGTTTTACTAGTTAAGATGGCACTTGTCCATGGTTGGAGATTAGGGCATAGGGTGCGGGGTTAGGGCAGGCGCAAATCTCCTCAATCTTTAACTCTTATCTGTAGGCCAACTTTAAAGGGACATCCCATACCACATACTGCATATTGTACTATACTACTGCATACCAGCATTCACTGTTCCCCGGACTCTCCGCAGTCGGACTTTCCTGTGCGGCATCGCACCTCCCTCATCATCGTCCCCCAGTCATGTGGTCGTCTCCTCGCACCTTCACCTTCACCTTCTCTCTTTCTTCATCTCTCACCTCCCTCTAACCTCTACACTCACAACCACCCGTTCACAACAATGGATGCGTCAACTCACGGCTCCCCAGCCGCGTCCATGAGGTATGTCGTTGAGGCAATTCAGCCTCTAGATGGATATGTAGTTCCTATCAAGTCCATCCAAGAAGTCAACCCACCTGAAGATTATGGTATGTGATCGAACCCCAACCCCACCCACCATTACCTCAAGCGCGTCAAGACTGACTTGACTCTACAGATGATGCTTATGTCGCTGAAGTCGATATCAAATCCGCTTCCAGAGTGATCAAGTATGTCAACTTCTCATGGTTATACTACCGACAAAGCACTAATAATCTCGCTACAGAGCTCTCGATGCTTCGTTCCCTCGCGACGCTTCTGCCCTCCCACTCAATCATCTGCGCCGCTTCTGCAAGCGCGAAAATCTGCCAGAGCCAGTGAGGCAATATGTAGATACAACCTATCCTCAGAAGACTTCCATGGCACCAAGCATCTTTGTCTTGCTTGGAATTTCTCTTCCTGATATGGAAGGAGTGCGCGCCTTGCTCGAGCCGTTCATCCCAGTCCCTCGTCCTCGCTCCCGTGCTTCACAGGAGCCGCAGGAAACGGCCTCAACCCCCAGCACCCCAGAGCAATCACCAGAGCTTCTTATTTTCCGCACCAAAATCCCTATCTATCCACCCTCAAGCACCGAGGTTGCCAACCTATGGAGCCAATCTCTGTGGCCAGTCACCTTCAATCCTGCAGCTTCTCGATCGACCGTCGCACCTAATCCCCAAACTCTCAACCGTGACCAGAAGTCCATCGAACCTCGTGCTGGATATTACGTGTCTCTCGCACGAGAGGTCGCACTAGAGGCAAAGCAGTCAGGCCGCGGACGCGGCGTAGGCGCCGTGATAGTCGACCCCCGAATCGAAGCGCAGATTGACGAGAAAGCTTGGGAAGAAGGCTACGATAGCCGAGAGCGCTGGCCACAGGCCGTTGTCGCTGTTGCGGGTGACTGTCGCTTCGCACGAGCTGAAGCTGGCGGGCCATCACAAAGTGACCGACATGATAATGTCGGTCCCAACCCGGCATGCGAGACGTACAACTCCGACTACGAAGGTGGTCCAGACCTGCACGCACTAATGCGCGCGGTCGAATTGGTTGCGCGGTCGAGGAGAGAGGCCCCGGAAAATGAAACCGATCACGCGGCCATGGCCTGCCAACCTGTTGTCCACACGGATCCTCAACTCTCAAAGCCACACCAGCTCAGCGCCCTGGAGAGATACTTCCTCTACGAGGTCGGGAGTCATGTCATCGACGATGAGTCCACCTCATACCGCCCTTCGCCCGACACGAGTTGCCAAGTCTCGCCTCGAAAGAGGAAGTTCGCAGCGCCGAACCCTGAGGCAGCCGCCGAGTCCCTCGATGCCCTAGCAGAGACTGAACTGCCACCATCAACCTCTCTCCCCGCCCCTCCTCCCCCACCACTTGCGAGCCTTCCCCCGCCTCCCCAAGAAGCAAGCGGGGAGTCGGAGGGGCGTTCGCCCACTTCCCGCATTCGAAGTCGGGCGGAGGGCGGATACCTGTGCACGTCTCTGGACGTGTACCTCTCCCACGAGCCGTGCATCTGCTGCTGCATGGGCCTCCTCCTGTCCAGATTCCGAGCCGTTATCTACCCGCGCGCCGGCCGTCTGAAGAGCGGTGGTCTTGCTTCGGGCCCCATAGAGGCCCAGAAGGCCGTCCTAGCGAACGGAGACGCCAACGCCAACACCAACGGTAGCCAACCAGGCGAGGACCGGGAATACTACGGCCTCCACTGGAGAAAGGAACTGAACTGGCGCGCCCTGGGATTCGAATTTGTGGAGGACGAGGCCGACGAGAACTTCCCTCCGGAGGAGGTCGCCTTCCACGCCTAGTTCATCCACCATGTCCTGTCCTGTCTAGCTCGTTCGATCCCCTTACGCATGACCACGAATATGAGATGTAAGATTAGCCCAACACTATCCTATCTACGACGTAATGAAGAGAACAAGAAAATAAACTTGAAACTTCCTTTGAAATTTTTTTGGGGCTATAAAAACATTGCTTTTTGGTTCCGCGTCCTCCTCTTCCTCATCTGTAGCCCTTCCTAGAGTTCATATAGTATCGTCTTTCTTCTCTTCTCTGCTCTGAGCAACGTTCTCTCTTTCTCGTCCCCTTCTTCATATTCATCTTCGTCTCCGTCTTCTACTTGCCTTGTTTCTGGTTTGGATTTCGATTTCGATTTCGATTCCACTCTTCTTTCTCAACGCCCTCTCCTTTATCCTTCACGCTTTCTGTCAAAGATACAGCTCAAGTAACAGCAATTGTTTTCACCTGGCCTCCGATAATGCATAGCCCACTAGCAAAACAGTTCCCGGCTTCCCTCTCTGATATCCGTCTATTGAGGGGGAGAGGGGGGGAAGGGGAAGAATAAGACAAGGAAATTCATGACTCCATCGTTGGTCCCTTTCTGCGCTCGCGGTAGTAGGGATGTATGTATGAAATAGAGGGCCGGGATATTGAGCTGAGCGAGGCAGGAGGACTTGGAGGAAAGTCTGGTTTGGGTTTGTTTCGCGGGCGAGGTGAGGTGAGGTGGTAGAGGGAGACGTAGGTGTGGAGTATATTCGTTGTGTTTTGACAAGTCGGGTCGGAGGGTGGGTAGGTGTCGACTTATGTTCGATATTTGTAAAGGTGGCCCGGTCAAGCTAGGATTCAGTGGTGGTGTGGTGTTATCGGGATGTGGTTGTTTGAGGTTGCTGATATGCGGATGTTGTAAGACTGCCACTGGGGATGTTGAGTGCGGTATTGCTCGCGTTTTTGCGAGTGGAGGGACGTGTCCTGGGGAGCTTGTGCGGAAGTCACGAGGCAAGATGGTAAATATTTTTTTAGAAAAAAAACCTGGGCCCGCCCTGCCCTGGTTTTGCATAGATACTCTTGCCGTCGTGCTTTAGCCAGCGTCCGTGTTGTTTGAGGGAAGCTTGGATTTGCTCCCGTTTGTGACTGAGGTCGGCCCGGCGTGGTATTTACAGCCGGCTGACGCACAAGGCCTGTCAGTGCCCTGCAACGTTGTGAATGGAAGTCATGCGTGAAATTGAAGAAAGCGCCACTAATGTGGGGTATGATGCTGTCGCAAATAAACAAATGTTGAAAATAGAAATGCGTATCTCATGTAGCCAGGGGCTGAGAATGTCGAGGCGGTATGAAGTTGAGTATGGAATCAATTCTGACCACTTTCAATGACATGGTTATGACAGGCGCTGGTAGAAGAGGAGGTAGGCGACCTTGTTGTCGCGAGAGCCATATCTTCCAAGGGGAGTGCGCACCCCAGATGATGGGGCAGAAGGAGGTGCAACTCCATTGATGGACTTCTTGCTTGCATGTCCATTGGAACCAGTTCCGTTCACTTGACTCCAGCCCTTGTCATTGTCGGCGGCCTCGATTTCATCTTGGTGGTCAATGTGGTCGAAGATGTTGGTGTGGATGTTCTTGTCCTGCTTGTTGTGTTTTTCAAGCGCAGCTGCAAGCACCTTGGGATCTTCCTCGCCACCAGCTTCCGCCACGTCTTCACTGCGAATGCGGCGAAGGGCAGTGTCATCCATGCGGATCCACTCACGGCCATCCTGGCGCCTAACATCGACAGTGTAGTGACCACCGCTAGCATTCTTGCCGTGATGGTAGATGACTCCCATGAGGCGATACTTCGGGAGACCACCCTGCGCATTCATGGCGTTGCGGCGGTGTGCTGGGAAGACTTCTCGTGGAAGCTCCAAGTCAAGGGGATATCCAACCTTCTTCCATATCTTCTGAGTAGCACCAGTCACACTGTCGTATTGGAAACGCTTCAGGTGAAGAATCAAGACTGGAGGTAAAGTTTCAATGAACATCTGCTTGGTAGCTGTGACGTTGGGACCGCGGGAAGAGTTGAAATCGCCTTGGATGTTTTCAGGCTTGGTGAGTCCTCGAAGAGCATCAATGATATTGTGGACTTCGGGAGCACCAATGTCGAGCTGGAGGGGTTGATACGGTTCCATTGTAACGGAAGTCTTATTGCCGGGAACCTTAAACTCTGAGCGCAACTTACCCCCAAAGATTCTAGTGACCGGGGATTCAGAGGCGATGTGACCAGAGGATTGAGTAACGGCCGACTTTTGCTTGGCGCCGACTTCGAGCCATCCGTCTCCAGAAGAACCCTCAGTGGAGTCTTGGGAAGCTTCGGTTTTGGATTTTGCGGCACGGTCACACTCTTCATGCATCTCTTCAAGAAGGAAACCCAGGAACTCTTGTGCATCTTGTTGGTGGCCACGCCGCATGTCCCTGAATCGAGGAAGCTGTCGAATCATATCATAAACAAACTCAGGAACAAAGGACTCGCCATACTGCTCAAGCTCGGTGGGCTTCAGTCGCATTCTCAGTTGGTCCTCCGAAGTTGCAGCATCAATAACGCGGAACTCTCTCATAAACATAATCAAGGCATCGATGAGGGGCACGTCGCTCTTGAAGCTGTGCACGGCCCGCCGACCAACATGCTCAAGGAATTGGTGGAATGGGACGCATGAAACCAAGATTTGCAGGACGGAGTTCATATAGCACATGTTTCCAGTGTTGACAAGCCCTCGGGGCTCGAGGAAAGCGATTTTGTCGCTGTATTGGGTGACATCTTCTCCCAGGCTGCTCAGTACGTCTCCAAGAGACTCGCTCTTCGGTGCAGCCAACGCTCCTGATTCGGTAGTAACTGGAGCGGCGGCGGCAGGGCTTGCGGCGGCGGCAGCTGCTGCAGCTGCTGCGGCTTTGGAGCGGACAAGGTCGGCCCATGACTTGGGTGCTGCGCGCACAGGCGAAGCCGTTTTGACTGAGGCTTCCGTAGTGTCGACAGAAGGTGTCTGCTCGGCATCAGGAGTGGCCGACTTGGGTGTTTCAGATCCAACGCTAGAAGTGTCTTTGGCGGTTTGGCGACGGGGAGTTCCTGGAACATTTGGCACAACAGGAACAACAGGCGCGGGCTTTGTATTTTTCTGCGGGGTCTGGGATTTCGCTGTAGAAGAGGGAGTGGTTGGCTGTGTCGAGTTTGCTTCCGATTGAGGAATAGAGGTGGTGGGAGTTTGAGGTTCAGAGATCACATTAACACCAGTATCGGCAGACTTCGTGTCTTCTGTAGGCTTCACATATTCCTCATCCTTCCTCTCTCCGATGATATGTTTGCCATCTTTCTTAGGGAACTCGACAGCAGCCAAAAAAGGACGAACTGATCGGCGTCTGGTTCGCAGTCTTGGCGGGAAGGACACTTCAGGAACTGAGAGCCAGGGGAGCTAGTAAGAGGTTAGTGACTGCTATAAGTAGATTGGTTGGATTTTGAACTCAGCTTACCGGTGCGGCAAAAGGAAGTTTCGGTTCGGGTTCGATAACTTCAGCCTCGGGGAGAGTCTTGGGCTCCCATCGCGGGGGTGGAGTCGCGATGGGGTAGTGCTGGAGCGGTTGCACGGGCATGACAGTATGGTCTTGCAGCTCAGGATGAATATGAGCCGCGTGTACTGACGGTGACATCGTTGGTTGTAAAGGCGTTGATGTCCTCGGCTGCATTGGTAGTGAATGAGGAGGAATATGGTTGGGTGCCATGATTGGCTGTGAGGGCGGATAGGAAGACACAATCATAGGACCATAGTGAGGTTGGGCTTGGTAAGGACGAGGAGGAAGTTGCATATGACCATAAGGCGGATACCAAGGAGGAAATTGTTGAGGTGAATATGCTGGGGGCATGTGGCCGTTCATACCATTCATGCCGTTCATGTGTGGGGGATACCCCATGTAAGGTGGGGATCGCATGTTGGGATGACCAGCGTTATAGGAGAAGTCCTGCTGCCGCCGCGACTGCGGCATAGGCGGCTGCCCATGGGGCATCGGGGGCAGGTGGTGGTTCATCTTGACGAGGCTGGAGATAGTTGTCGCCTTTGTTCAGCCACGCGCTGCCTCAACGGCAACCATGCGCTATGAAAATCAAGATGATCCAAAAACCTGAAGACTAAATTTCATTTATGCAGCCATGTTGGCCTTTATCGAAAACCGAGTGGATGTTGGGAAGGGGGGGTTGGGTATATCGGGATCGGGGAGTGTGAATCGCTAGAGCTGGAGATTTGAATGTTAGACACATTGCGCGGGATGAGGGACGCGGGTTGGGTTTTGATTTTTTACCTCAATAATCAAATCAAAATAGAAGAAAATATTTCATGGGGATGCAGACATGTATGTCAGTTACGGTGAAAGGAAAGGTGGTTGAAAGAGCCGTGGTCCCTCATTCAACGCCTGCTGGAAGCGAAGCTGATGAGGTGCAGACCTTCACAAATCAAATGTTAGTCAGCAATGCTGAGTCACCGGCACGTGTGCCGGCGATGTCATGGCCCGCCCCTCCTCGACGCCATCGCGATGTACTCAGCGTGCCAATCCTGGTCGCCATCTCTATCTTTAGATGGCCTTTCGAGGCTTGGCCTATTCATACTTTTTTTCTGCATTCTCAGACTGACCTAGTACTCTCTGGGCACTCTGGATGGACATTTTTCTGCCCTTCTTTGTTGGTTGATCGCCCACCTTATCAGGTATCGCATTGAATTAGGACCTACAGAGAGCCTCACTTTCAAGCTTTCCAAACGGTCATCCAGGCTCTACGCTCTTTCAGTCGTGTAAAATCGACGTCAAGCTAACTGACCCACGGGAATTGGTTTGGAAATGTCGTCAAGTGGTGGGCAAACTCCGACTCCTTCCAAAGCGGTAAATATCTCAAATCCCCCCCGCTGGGCCTGCGACCTATCACTCTACTACCTCCAACGATAGCGGCTCCCAGCGACGAGCAGGAGGCTCTGGAAGCTTTGGTGCCGGGCTATCGTCGAGGAACTCGGGGGCGCCTCGCAACAACCAAGGTCGAAAGAATCAGCACAAACGACAAAAGAAACCAGGACTTTTGGATGATGATGATTACAGTGAATCGGTGGGTATCCTAAATTGGATGGGTTTCACAGACACCCTGCTGACCTATCATTCCTTGTCTAGGCCGTCATGAAATCTACCAACAGCCGCAAAGGACAGACGTCCATTACTCATTTGATGAATTTCTCTCTCCCTCCTCGACCACAATACCAGGCACCTCCTCGCAACATTCGGCGCTATGCATCATCCGGTGCAGGATCCGGTTACCATGCAGTGGACAAGGCGCGATATGTCCATGCCAATTACCGCTTCATTGTCTCTCCGGATCTCAATTACCATGCCCAGGCAGCCAATGCAGATGTACATCTAGATTGGGCATCTGTCCTTCAGGTCTTGGTTTCCGCCCAGACCCAGGCTGCCAGCTGTCCCATTTGTTTGTCTATACCGGTCGCACCGCGAATGGCTCGGTGCGGACATATATTCTGTCTTCCATGCCTTATTCGTTATATGCATTCGTCCGACGGTGAAGAACATGTTCCCGACAAGAAACCCCGGTGGAAGAAATGTCCAATCTGCTGGGACTCAATCTACGCCTCGGAGAGTCGCCCTGTCCGATGGTTCCGAGGCCAAGAAGGCGATCTCCCTGTGGAAGGCGGAGATGTCGTTCTAAGACTAGTCAAGCGAGACGCTGGCAGCACTCTTGCCCTGCCTCGTGACGGCGGTGAAACAATTGGCAAGGGAGAGGATATCCCCTGGTACCATGTGGCTGAAGTGGCCGACTACTCTCGAATCATGAAAGGCGGCGAGGACTACATGGCTGCTCAATACGACACAGAAATCGAAGACCTTCGGAGACAGGAGGTTGAAGACGAGCTGCTGTTTGGAGATGAGAATACATGGTCCCGGAAAGCTATCCGCGCGATCTCTGAGGCAAAGGAAAAGCTTCAGGGAATTGGCAATCCACCTGCCATCACTCGGCAAAAAGCCAATTCCAGACCCGTCAACGACCCCGTTGTCGTATCTAACACCACAGAAGATGCGGCTCCGCCGGCTAGTGGCTCTTCCGAGGAATCAACGCCAAGTTCCAGCACGGACATGACACATCCGGTGGCGGAACCCGCACCAACACCAATCACATCTGATGACGCGGATCATCTCCCGGAGATTTTGGAGAATATTAAACTCGAAGCCGAGCCCAAATTGCAGACTCGATCGAAGGGCCGAGGCAAAGAGGCACAGAAAACACCTCCGTCCGACCAACCATACTACTTCTATCAAGCATTGCCTCATTTTTACCTGTCACCCCTGGACATCAGGATTCTCAAAGCTGCGTTCGGCGAATATGCTCAATTCCCCGCGACCATCCTACCCCGAGTAGAGCACATCTCGACCGGTCATATTGTCGATGATGACCTGCGCAAGCGTGTTAAATATCTTGGACACCTACCCTATGGCTGTGAGGTGAACTTCCTTGAGTGCGACTGGAGGGATGTGGTAGTCCCTGAAGTCCTCGCGCAATTCCGTACAGAGACCGACAGAAGGCGGAAGCGCAATCGGGACAAAGAAGCCCGCGAGGAGAAAGACCGCATTCGCGCGGAGAAGAAGGAAGATGACGAAAGATGGGCCGCTGCACGTCGCAAGCGCCCAAGTATCGGAAGTTCCAGCGAAGCGCCTTTCAATGTACAGGATTTCCAGCCGCTGTCCAGCAATGCCGATTCTGCAATTTTTGACGCTGGTACCTCCTCAGCATCCCCGCCACGCGCATCGTCCCAATTCGGGGCGCTAGCCTCGCCTTCCAGCAGTCCGCCCGGGGTTCGTACCGTTTGGGGCACAACGGCTATCACATCAACATCTCCTATTTTGGAGGCCCACCCCCGACATGATGGATGGCTAGCAGGCTGGGAGGATGAGCTCTTTGCGCAGCAGGAGTCAGCAGTCATCGCCCAAACGGCTCCCGAGAATCAGGAGTCGGGACCCTCTTCATCCAAAGCTGGTAAGAAGAAGAAGAAGGGCAAGATTACATTAATGTCGACCAACAGCCACCGCGGCGCATAGGCTTGAAATACTTCATGTCCACCGGATCCCGGGCTTTGTTCTTATTTTATTATTTTCCCAGAGCGAATCGTGCAATCTGATTCTGTGGTATTCAAATCATTTCTCCTGCAAGATGTTCTCATTGCTTTCCTGGTGGCATTGCTTTATTGCATTATAGTATCGATTGTCTTGACATCTCCGCGGGGGGGCCCACATTCCAGTCCCAACATTTTCTTGCGGTGTTAACTATCTGAAAGAAAAATAAACATAGACATTTCGAGTCACTTGTCCATAGAAGCTTGCAGCATGAATGTCCTACAATATCTGAGGAGAAAATTAAATAATCAAAGAATCGTAACCATTGTTAGTACTATACTCCGTATGTATGATGCATTTAGGATTTCCCGTAAGACCAGTCAGATTGAGGGATGAAAAGGGAACGACACTCTTGGCGCAGGGATCGCCGCTGCAGGGAGAGAAAAAAAAATAAGATAAACACCCACGTCGACTATGCATAGGAAGAGAACCGGGGCTCGGGGTTTTGTGAGGTGCGACTAGAAGCAGTTGATAACTAGCAACCACCTATGATGTGGTAGAATGGCAGTACCATTAGTGTAAGTACTAATTAACCGGAAGGACAACAAGCGCAATTGTGGGGGAATAAAACAGGCCCACGCAGCCGGGTGAGGCGCGAGCCGGACGTAATCTGCAGGTAATTCAAGGTATTTTTGCCGTCCCCACGCCGCTTTGCTCCAAGTAAACATTCAAGTTCCCGTTTTTCTTACTTGTCCTTGTTTTCACTCCTCCCAATACCTCCCACTCTCCTTCACCCTGAGTCGGATCTCGGATTTCCGAGTAGGCAACCATGACTTTAACTCGCTCTCAAACGGGGAAAACCCCCCAAGTACGTATTTTCCCTCCATTGGTTCTCGGTTCTCGGTTTCTCCCCTTTGCGATCGAATCCACCCCGTCGCGAGGGTATATGATGCCCCCTGTCATGCCCACCCGCGCCGCAATTGCACTCGACCCTTCCGATTTTATTTCTTTTTAATCGCAATCGCAATCGCTAATCCTTTTACTCTCTCTTTTCAGGAAGATGGATCGCCCCGGTTACATCGAGACCCCTGGTCGTCGCTCCACGCGCAAGAGCTCTGCGGCCTTCGATGAGGGCCTCGAGAACGGATCTCCTGCTCCCCGATCCCGGTCCAAGTCTGCCACTCGCCGTCGCACTTCCACCAAGGTCAAGACTGAGGATTCTGAGGAGGACGAGGAGAAAATTCCCGCTGTGAAATTGGCCACCAATGGCAAGGCCTCGACCCCTAAAAAATCACAGGCTAAGACCCAGTCGCGCATTGTTGACGGATGGGAGGAAGGACTGGACCCCAAGGTCGACTACAGCGGACACAAGGAGTTTGGTGGCTCAGCCGGTGTCCTGGCCATGATGATCGGTTTCCCTATGCTCATGTACTACATGTGGATCGGCGCAACCTATTACGATGGCAAGTTCCCTACTCGCGCGGAGGGGCAAAGCTTCTCCGAGTTCTTTGCTCACATGGCCAACCTTGTCTACACCGGCGCATTCCCGTCTCTCAAGGCATGGACTATCTACTGGGTCTTCTTCATCTTCGAGGGTGCCTGCTACGTCCTGCTCCCCGGTGTCTCCATGATGGGACGTCCTTTGCCGCACTCGGGTAACAAGCAGTTGCCTTACTACTGCTCGGCTGTCTGGTCCTTCTATACCAGCATTATCCTAGTTCTTGTTCTACACGCGACTGGCCTCTTCAAGCTGTACACCATCATCGATGAGTTCGGCCCCTTGCTGAGCGTTGCCATTCTGTCTGGCTTCATCGTCTCGTTCATCGCCTATTTCTCGGCTCTGGCTCGTGGTGCTGAGCACCGTATGACCGGCGCTCCCATCTATGATTTCTTCATGGGTGCTGAGCTGAACCCCCGTATGTTCGGTATCCTGGACTTCAAGATGTTCTTCGAGGTCCGCCTGCCCTGGTACATCCTGCTTTTCCTCTCCATGGGTGCCGCCGCCCGCCAATGGGAGAATTACGGCTATGTTTCTGGCGAGGTCATGTTCCTGGTCATGGCCCACTTCCTCTACGCCAATGCCTGCTCCAAGGGTGAGGAGTGCATTGTGTCCACCTGGGATATGTACTACGAGAAGTGGGGCTTCATGCTCATCTTCTGGAACTTGGCCGGTGTCCCCTTGAGCTACTGCCACTGCACCATCTACCTGGCCAACCACGATCCCTCCGAGTACCACTGGAACCGATTCTTCCTGGCCTTCCTTTTCGTCGCATACCTGTTCGTCTACTGGGTCTGGGACACCACCAACAGCCAGAAGAACCGTTTCCGCCAACAGGAGCGCGGTACCATGGTCCACCGCAACACTTTCCCCCAGCTTCCATGGCAGACTGTTGAGAACCCCAAGACCCTCACCACCGCCGACGGCTCCAAGATCCTGGTCGATGGCTGGTACGGCAAGGCCCGCAAGATCCACTACACCTGCGATCTCTTCTTTGCCCTGAACTGGGGCCTGATCACCGGCTTCTCTAGCCCCTTCCCCTGGTTCTACCCTCTTTTCTTCGCCTGCATGATCTCCCACCGTGCGCTGCGTGATATCCAGCGCTGCCGCATCAAGTATGGCGAGACCTGGACCCAGTACGAGCAACAGGTTCCCTACCTGTTCATTCCTGTGAGTATCAATCTTTTTTCAAGCACACATACGCCAGAGCAACTTCTAACACCTTCTCCAGTACGTCTTTTAAGCATCCACGGGAAAATAATAGGGCCCCCATTTTTGCCCACCCACCTTTTTTTTCTGTACAGCAGCTCCGGGCGGTTGTGCTTTTCAAAGTCCTGCCCAAATAGATACGACACAACTTCTGGGGTACCTTTTTGACACCACTCGAGATATTATCTTTAATGCTTGCCATTGCGCCGTTGATCGCGGTGTCTTGTCTTGAAAATGAACGCTTTGCAGCGGCTCCATTCGACATTCAGTTCAGTTCCATGTATATTATTCAATGGATTCCTCGGGTTCTTCAAGTTTTCTTTTGCTTTTCTTTAATCTAGTTCAATCAAAATATACCAATGAATCTATTTCGAATTTTTCAATTGCGTTGAGGTGCAGTAACATCATGATTTCGTGTATACTGGGATCAGATGACTATTACCTACCAGTAGGCACTAGATTATATCAAAATTTGAAGTCGAAGTTGCCATTGACGTTGTAGATATCCCCCACCTGGACATCAACGTTCACCGGGCGCCCGCACTTTGTCAGCGCGGGCACATGACTGGGGCCCCGCGCTTCCTTATCTTTTCTCCAAAGCTCAAGCTCAAGCTCAAGCTCGCGGCTCCAACACTCTAGTCTATCCCAATTGACTTTCCCAGCAAACAAAAAAGCAAAAAAACCAACATCATGCTTGTCCAAGAATCCACCGTCGACGTTCCCACCAAGGCCGATGGCCAGGGTAGCATGCGTATGTACATCATCCGCCCCTCATTTCTCCAAGCTACGCCACCTAGCTTTTAGCTTGCTTCAGCGTTGGAAAAATATGACCCTTGCTTTTTTAGTTTTCATTTTGGGGAAAAGAAATTCTGGAATCTCGATTGTACTAATGCTAATTATGCATTGAATAGGCATATATGTTTTCCACCCCACTATCCCAGGATATCCCAAAGCACGATTCCCGGGTGTCGCTATATTCAGCGAGATCTATCAAGGTAGGGAGATCTCCCAGTCCAAGTTTCAATTGAAACGAATACACTGCTCTCCAATCATGCCGAATAAAACAATGATCCCATACTCTCCTCGATACTATTGAAGGGCGGTTCCAGATTTGTGAAAAAGAAGAAAGAAGCATGCCCGGCAAAATTACTAGCACCAAAAGTCACTGGCATGGCATGAATCTTACTGACAACTTTGAACTTGACCTCAGTCACGGGCCCCGTGGCACGTTTCGCCCGCCAAATCGCTGGACAAGGCTACATCGTCGCCGCCCCATCGAGTTACCACGAATTCACCGGCCCAGAGCCCCTGCAGTATAACGCCGAGGACACAGATAAAGGCAACGAGTGGAAGATTGCCAAAGTAAGTCCATGCTCTATCTGATGGAAAATCTCACCTGGCCTAGTTATGGCTTATTGCCGGTGCTGTGCTGTGCTGTGCTGTACTGCGCTGACTCGACTCCGACAGAAACTATCCGCCTACGACGAAGACGCAAGCCTGACTGTTGATTATCTGCTCTCCCTCGCTACATGTAATGGCCGCGTTGGCGCGACGGGGATGTGTCTCGGTGGCCATCTCGCGTACCGCTGTGCACTGGATAGTCGGGTTAAGGCGGCTGTGTGTTACTTTGCTACCGATATCCATAGCAAGACCCTGGCCCGGGGTAAGAATGATGATAGTCTGGCTCGGACGGGCGATATCAAGGGTGAACTTTTGATGGTAGGTTTGGCCCTGCACTGCCCTACCCTGCGGTGCGGTGCGAATGCGCAAGAAATGAGACGGGGTTCAAGCTGACGCGAGGCCTTTCGCTTTTGTACAGATCTTCGGCAAAAATGATACACATGTTCCGCCCGAGGGCCGGGATTTGATTCGCAAGACGCTGCATGAGAAGGGTGTTTTGTTCAGTTTTTATGAAGTTGCTTGGGCTCAGCGTGAGTTTGGATGATAAACCTGGGCACACTTGTGCCGTTGGTGGTATTCCCTGATGCTGACTTTGAGATTATGTAGATGCTTTCATTCGCGATGAGCTCAGCAAGGGCCGGTATGACCCTGCTATTACCAAGTGTTGCTTTGAGATGTTGCTGGAGTTGTTTGGGCGTACGCTCAAGTTGGATTTGGGAGAGCATGATGGCAAGGAATTGGTTGTTGAGGATGTGTGTTAGGTCGATCGCATGCGGGTTGATCCACTCTTGAGGGAACGTGGATATATTCAATTTCTCATTGAGGTTTTTAGAATGGTACCTACTAGTAGGTAATTGCCGATGAACCCATAAGTTTTGCGAATCCATATACGGCCGTGCTTCTAAGGTTGAGTAGCACTAACTCGTGAAGAATCTGAGCTTAGATGTACTCCGTAGAGACGATCCTGTCGATCGAGTGGCGGCATCTCGGCGGGTCGCCGGGTCGACCAGTTGAGCAGATCGGTTTACGCCACGCAAGGGCAGCGATCACAAGGTCTAGAAGGTTTCTAATGTTTAGATGGACTCCGTGCATGAGAGTAAATAGTACAGAGGGATAAGGTATACCCTAAGGTAGTCCTGGATACCACAAACCATGGATATAGTACAGGTGCTATTCTTAGACGAGGCGGACCAAGGTTGAAATCACCCAGAGTATCCGTGGATCATGAATGTTATGCGCCGACTGAGGATGTCCCTGGCCTGAACTTCAATAATTTCCCTTTCAATTGGAAATCCACTATCCCAAAATTGAGAAACCAACAAACTATCTCATTACGCCCAAATCCAAGCTAAGCACTAGCGTCGGCCATTCCCTGATCGAGAGACTGCCTGGTCCCGACCGCGCACTGGCACAACTCCACTTCGAACATCCTCAAGACTCCCTCTTACACCTTCACCTTCACCTCACCTCCACGACACCGAGTTCTCGCCCTATAGTGGCTCGTCTCTCTCGAAGCTAGACCTCGCCTCCTCCACTCCACCCTCACGATCTTCCTGCACGCTCCCCTCAGCACACGCGGGTCAGGGGACGACTGAGCCCCGTCCGCAATACAACCTCCAAGCTTGAGGACTTTTTCCACGACTACACCTCTCCCTCATCCCTCCCCAGGGTTACTGGCTTGACATTCAACCATGGGCTCAACACAATTCGGGAATTTCCACGTGAGTTTGCCAATCGCGCCGCCCCTGGATTCTCCGAATGCCCGCGCCTTCTCCGCCCCAAGACCCAATTAGGCAGACTCTGACCGCTGACCTCCAATCCCGCTATTACAGGACTTCTGTCGCGACTCGCTATTGCCCGTCTGCAATGTTCGTCAACCTCCTCTCCTTGCTCGCTCGATTTCACGATCGATATACCCCGCATGTACTGATTATTGTCTTTTCTTCTCTCAAACAGCTCTTCTTAGACAACCAGCCGCCGAACGCTGGTCCCAATGGAACCTTCGATGGATGCCCTCTCTACGGAATCGAATTGAGTGGCGGTCGCTACCTCGCTAATCTTGGTATGTGGCGCTCTGGAATGCACGAGGGTGGTTTGTGAAGCTTTCATGTGTGGCTAATGCGGGATATAGGCTCCATTCTACTGGCTTTCTTTGCTATCCTCGTTTCTCTCGCTTTGCTATGGAGGTCGGATAAGAAGCATGCTGCTGTCGGGCGTCGGTATGCATTTATCCCCCTCGTTCTCCGAATTAGAGTCAATTCGGTGCGCGCGACAAACAATTGATAAACTAACATCATCCAGTGAGATGCAATTGTTCCTCCTGGGCTTTATTGTTATTCAGATTTGCGAAATCTTCACCGTTGGTGGTATCCCGCTCCACGACTCTGTTCGAAAGGTGAGCATTGAGACCCTTTTTTCTCTTTCAACTGTATTGCGGTGACATGGGCATTTTGCTAATTCGGATACAGGGATTTTCTGCCGTTCATCTAGCGGCGATCACTGCCACGTGCTGGATTCTTCTTATGAACGCGCTCGTGGGATTCCAGTTACTTGATGACGGCACTCCCGCCTCGATCGGTCTCATTTGCGCTTCGTCCGTGGCCCTGTTCATCGGTACCGGCTACATCGCTTTGGATACTGCGTTCGACTGGACTGGCCATTTCGCATCTAGCACCGGTGCCGGCAACAACAACCGCAACATCGGTCTCTACGTTCTATATCAGCTATTCCCGCTCGTTTGCCTGGTTCTATTCTACGCTTTCGAGGCTGTATTGGTACTCCGTGTACTGGGCGAATTCCGACCAATGCGTATGTTGAAATTCAATTTTCAAATTCTCATAGAAAGGCATTTACTGACGCATCTTGACACAGTTTATCTCACTGGCGCGGCTCTCCTGTTCGCCATTGGCCAAATTTTCCAATATGTGATCAGTGTCCACCTCTGCGAGGCGTCCTCCGGCAAAATAAACGGCACCCTATTCGAAACCCTCTTCACGCTGCTGTCCGTTATCGGCGTCTGGTCCTTCTGGAGCAGTATCACCGAGGACGACTGGCCCCTGCCTACTGGGGGTGGATACAACTAATAATGCCCTAAGTGGTTTCCCCGTTGCGTCGATTTGATTTATTGTGCGCATATTCTTTTTCTCACTTCTACTTATCTGTTTGATACATACGTACGTACACACACCTGTTCTGCTTTTTCTCCAGGCTGGAGGGCGTTCAGTCAGTTCTTTTCTGGTGGTGGCGGGATTCTGCCAACATTCTGCCAACGACGAAAAGAGCTTTTGACGTTGTGATACCACATTCCTCTGGGTCATGTTTCACGATTTTATCTGTCCTTTTTCTTCCCTTCTTATGCTCTGTGCTGTGCTGTGATGTTCTGTGCCCCTCTGCGGCGGTCTCGTCCTTTTCTCCTCCCTTCTTCTTGGTATCCTATCCATCCGTCCGCCTTCTCGGATGGGTGATCTGTGATCTGTAAACGCGAGGTCACTTTACCTTGCCGGGCATATTTCTCAGCCCCCTTTTTTGCTGTTATTGCGCAGATATCCTCTCCGTCATGTATCTATGTTCTAATCCTGGTTGATAATCTAAAGTTCATTCATAATCAGGGGTCCATATTTGTTCGTTCGCCGAGCGTACTTAAATTCAACACCATCGCTGATCCCAAGGCCTGACTGAGGTCGGACAGTCAATCAAATATGCTGTCACTTGGTTCGCGCGGAAGCAGCATCATTTGCACGTCGGCTTTTAAGACCGTTCACTTGAAAGGTCCAGTATGCGTGGAAAGGGGGCCAGACGAGAATCTCGATGCGACTCGGTGCTACGTGACGATATCTTAATTCGTCCAAATCAACCTCCTGAGGTGTGACATCCGTCCCTGTAGCAATCGTTTCCGCTGCAGTGGCAGTGTGTGCCCCTGCCGCATGATTTGAGCAAGTGGTTCTTTAAATTTGCGAAGCAAGAAGCGTTGTCCATAAATGTAGCCTGTCTTCAACGATGCAAGTTCGACTTTTCGCTGGTTTATAGTATACCTAACTCCAGGGCCTGGGCATGTTTCTATCAGTGTGCTAACATCTGCACTGGTCTTCGAAATCACTGCATATTTGAAACTTGAATCCATTCTCCAGGGCCTCATTTACCTCAATCATCTTGAAGGCTTCCACCATGCGTTTCCACGTTCCTATCCTCGCTCTCGCGGCATTAGCTGGCCATTCCGGAGCCCATATATCGGATACGGTCGATAAGAAAAATGCCACGGTAGCTTGTATGTCTGCTTCAAGTTCTTTCAAAATGCCTTTCCTTTCCTCTCTACTCGAAATCTTACCTGTCTGCATTCCAAACCATCTTATCATCCATTACTCGTCATCGCCGTCGTCACCCCGCAAAATGAAATATCCACACTAACCCATGTTTCTCTAGTACGAGAACAGAACCGCCTCACAATCGACCAAATGCCCCCAGCCTGCAATCTAGCCGCATGCCTCGGCCTCTCCGGCACAGCATCCTGCATCGTCTCGGCGATTTCCAGCGGAGACCCGGCGGCGTTGCAGCGGTGTCTGGTTAATGGATTAGCTCAGGTATGTGTTATTCCATCTTAACGAGCCCCAAGCATCAATGTACTAACATTACACTTTTCTTTTAGATATGCTCTTGTGCGGCTTGCGTCCCGCTTGTGGACAATTTCTTGATTTCTCTCGGTGTTTGTGTGTCGAAGCCCGGTGGTAATGAGACGGCTGTGCCTGAGGCGGCCATGGCTTATTTTGAATCTTTTATGACGAAGGGGAAGACACGGGAGGAGGGGGTGGATGATCTTACTAGTACGCGTGAGCCTGTTGGTAGTTAGTTAGGTACCAGTATAATATGCTTTTGGGATGGAGAGACTTCAAGTTGGTTGACTTGGATTTGAGTTGGATTTTTAGACTGATATGTGGATGAGCATATTATTTGGATTCAAGTTCTGTTGATATCGTGGCTATTTCAACGGCACACTAGTATTCTCCCATTACTTTGGGACTTATGCTCTTTTCTATGGTTTGAGCAGCTGAGCACATGCCCACTATGTTAAGTATACATGGCAGCAATGCCAGTGTGAAAATGCAATAGCTGGGAGATCAGACTGAAGGTCACTTCTTACTACTCAGGCACGGGGATATAGTTGGTACCACTACTAGTAGCATGCAACCGTTCCTTTACATAACCATTGAATCATTAAAAGGCCATATAATATGTACAATACAGATTTGAACCAACCGAGACGAAACGACAGCCATTCATCAGGAGTAAAAAAGCAATCGTCTCAAGCAGTGAAAATGCACAACTGCCATCCAAATCCAGACCGCAAGTAAATGGAGACCATGCAATCCCATCCCAGAAACTCCCCCGCATGAAAATCAAAATCCACACTGTGTTTCAAAAACAGCGCTTTTTCAACCCTTCTCTAGAGCCGAACTTTCACATCCACACAAGGCAGCGTCCATTCTCGACGGCCCAGCACATCACGCAACCACTCCAGGCCCACGCCCGTCCATTCGGCCGGCTTGGAATCCACCCCGAGTCGGGTCTGGGCACTTTCTACCGCGGCGCTGGCGAGTGCTTTGGCGGTCGAGTTGAATGTGTCGAAGACGAAGCCTGCGAGGCTGTCGCCGGGGATTGGGGCGGCGATGGTGGCGTTGTTGGATAGGGTGCTTGGGTTTGTTGGGCTTGAGCTGTAGCGCGGTGCAAACCAGTTACTGCGTAGATCGAAGATGCAGCGGTCAGACCAGTGGCAGGAAGATGCGAAGAGGATAAGAAGGAGGGCGGAGCAGTATATGCATGGTCGGTGGATGATGTAGGTTAAGGCGACGAAGGAGATTATGAAGAGGGGGGAGGCGTTTGTTGGGATGAAGAGGAGAGGGAGCCAGCTGTAGGTGCATGCGAAGAATGTGTTTAGTCTCATCTTTTGTTGATATCGAGAGAGTTCTCAGGTTTGGGTTTTGTGTTGTTACCTCCGTAGACAGAACATGGTGAAGTGAATGGGTGGCGCGGTGATGGGGGGGGATTGTTTGGTGTCTCCAGCCCGGTGTTGACGAGTTGAATTATTGTATATTTGGTTCAAGTACACAAGCCGAGATTCCGGCTACTGTGATATCCATATAAAGTGAATAAATCGATTTGGGGCAAGGTTGATGAAATGATGAGATGCAACAGGCGAGGGCCAAGGCCCGATTTAGTTGGGCGGTGACCCTTTAGAGCCACAACCAAGCGGCATTTCTTCGCTGCACTCCAAATTGAACGACTTCCCTTTCTCCATCCACCATCCTTTTACTCTCTTCTTTCATCCCGTCTATCTTTTGATTCGCAAATCATCCAATTCAACCACTTACTTTGACTGCGTTATATCTACCTATTTTTGTTTTCTTTTATCTCTCGAAAGAGAGCTTTTTAGAGCTCACAAAGCTTGTGGTGTTCGTGTGCGGAGGTCGCCTGTCACTCGAGGCGAGAGGCAGAAATGTCCACCCCCAACGATCTGCAAGCCCTCCTGGCCAGCATTCGGCCTCGGCCATCACCACCGAATGCCCCTGGTCAGGAGAACTTCCATCAGCAACGTCCCCAGCAGCCATACCCGCCAGGCATGTTCCCGCCTCATCCGCAGCATCCACCGCACCCGCCGCCGCCCTATGATGGTCCGAGCTATCCCCATCCCCAGGCGCACGGTTATCACCACCCCCAGGTTGCGTCGGCGATGCATAGTCCTTCTCCTTTGAATACGCCGCCTCACCATGGCTCCGATATTATTAGCCCCAACGTGCCCTCACCTTACCCCGAGTGGGCCCAACAGCCGCAGCCGCCTCAGCAGCACCAGCAGCACCAGCAGCAGCCAAACAACCCTGATCGTGCGGCCAACCTGCTCAACTTGCTGAGATTTAGCCAAGGTTCTGGTGCTGTTCCTCAGCCTGCTGCTCCTTCTCCTGCTCTTGCTCCGGAACAAGCTCGCTACCCGGCGGCCCAGGAGGTGACTTCTCCCCATGGACGAAATATTTCCGCGTCGGATTTGGTCGCCTCGATGTTTGGCAGACCTGATGCTGCTGCTGCCCCAGCCGCTCCCCTCGTCACCCAAATTGCTGACGAGTCCGGGGCCCAAGAGGAACCGCGTGGACCCTACGTTAACATGTTGATGGAAATGCTCGCTTCCGGACCCAAGGCCCCTGCGACTGAGGAAACTCAGTCGGTCTCGCCACAGGCCCAGGCTGTCACCATCGAGCCTCTGATTCAGGAAACTGCCGAATCTACCGTGGAATTTGAGGACTCTAGCCCTGATGCTGCGCAGCCGGAGACGGTCGCAGTCTCAGCTTCCAACAATTCCATCTTCACTTACAGCAACCCATTCGACCAGCTTGCCGCCATCTCCCCTCGCAACAAGTCTCCACAGCCCCCATCGCGTGGCGAGACCCCGGCTGCTGAGGTCGTGGAGAAGACCACTGTTCATGTCACCGCAAACTTGGGCGTTGGGGAAGCTTCTGAGCCAGTGCAGCCCAAGAAGCGGAACCAAGAGCCTGTTCTGGAACCCGAGCAACGACAGGCAGTCAATGATGTCGTTGGTCGCCTCGTGGACGAGATTGGTCGCTCTCTTAGCGCAAGCGAAGCCCAACCGTCATTCGAGCCAGAGGCTGTATCTCCCCCCACAGAGGAGGAGTCAACCCAGGCAGTTCTCTCCTCGATCGCCAGTAACCTGCGGGAAACCGCATCTGAAGCGAAAGAGTCCGCCGATTCAGATGAATCGATCAAGCAAGCTGCTGCTGTTGCTGCCGCCACGGCCACAGTTCTTCTCCATGGCAATGAAAACACCGACGCTCTTGCTGATAGCTGGGAGAGCGCCGAGGATAGTGCTGAGAAGGAGGAGGAGCGCATTGTTTCTGTGCACAACTTCCCCCTGAAGCCTTTCATCTCCATCAATGTCAAACCGCAATCTGGAAAGTCTGCGGTCTTCCGTGACGACGGTATTATGGATATCGCTCGTCTCAAGAAGGACTTTGATCAGCTGGATCGCTCCCTGACTGCTGCCACTTCCGAGTACATTGTGTACGCTCTCGCAAAGACTGGTGGTATTAGGATTATTCGCCAGGATGATGGAAGTGACCGACAGGTCTTCCGCTCTACTCGGGACCGTGTGTTTAACGTTACCTTGTGTACGTCTCCCCCAACGACCGGATCTTCCGACGTGCAGGCTATCCTTGGCATCGGTGTCAGCGGCACTGTCTACTGGGCATTGATCTCGCGCCATGCAAAGGACCTGTTTGAGTTGGATGCCTTGGAGAGCGAGAGTCTGATTTTCCCTCCTTTCCCGGCCTCTGACGAGAATACCTCCGGCGGCCAGCTGAAAACGCGGGCCAAGCGGAGCACTCGTCACCCCGACTTGTTCGCTATCGGACGTGGCAAGAATATCTATGTCGTTTCTCCCCAGGCTGCAATGAATGCCAGCTACAGCGTGACTGGGTCTCAGCGCACCGTCAACACCGAGAAGTTCTTTAAAGAGCGCGCTCTAAAGATTTCTACCGGTAAGGCCGGTAAGGATTTTGCCTTCAGTGAAGACGATACTGTGATCGCCTCCCTGGATAAGACCGGCCGTCTTCGTTTCTGGGATATCCGTGATTTCCTGGCAAGCGCTAGCGTTGTTGAGGGTCCTGCTCCGAATGAGATTCGGGTTCCCTTGAACACATTTGTGACAGGCTCTCCCGCTGAGAAGTCCTGGCCTACCTCGGTACTTTTCCTTGACAAGCTGCGCGCCTACTCGCGCTCCATGGCGCTGCGCTATGTCCTTGTTGGACTCAAGCAGAACCACACCTTGCAGCTCTGGGATATTGGGCTTGGCAAGGCCGTGGAGGAATTGAAGTTCCCTCATGAGAACGAGTCGGATGCCATCTGCAGCGTCGCCTACCATCCCTCCTCGGGTATTATCGTTGTTGGACACCCTACTCGCAACTCCATCTACTTCGTTCACTTGTCTGCGCCAAGATACAACCTGTCGCCGATGTCACAGGCGACGTACATCAAGGCTATCGCCGAGAAGGACAGCACTTTGCCCAAGCCCGACTCGACTGCATGCCTGAGTGGAATTCGGGAGATCTCTCTCGGTTCCAAGGGCCAGCTGAGAAGCCTGGAGCTCCTTCCGGTCACCAAGACTGCCACCGATAAGCGAGGCCATGAGGAAACTGGTCTGTTCGAGCTGTATGTTATGCACTCGCGCGGAGTCACCTGCCTGAACATCAAGAAGGAGGACCTGGGATGGACCTCTGACAACAAGGTGATTCGTCCAGTTGACGGTCTTGAGGAAGGTACTATTGAAATTACCGACCTCCAGTCGTTCCCTAGCTATGTCACTGATGACCCTTCGGTCAACGGTGACGCTGCTTCTATTCCCTCCAGAACCTCCAAGGAGCCTACCAAGAAGACTGACCTCGTTGACTCCGCTGCTGGTGTGATCGCGTCCCGTAACGCGTCTCCCACCAAGACTCAGAAGAAGGAACAGGTTGAGAATGTGCCTGTGCCTGTGCCTGCGCCTAGCGGCGTTGAGAAGACTGAGAAGGTCGACAAGAAAAAGAAGAAGAAGAGCGTTTCTGCCTCTTCGGCCATTTCTGAGGCAACCGTGAAAGCGAAGGAGCCAACCGCAAATGTCGGTGCCGAGCCCCTTCCCACTGACCCTCAATCTTCCGGTGAGACCACCCCTTCATCACTTCCTTTAGCCACCCCCAACGTATTTCTTACCTTTACCTCCTCAGGAACCACTTCTACTTTATCGATGGCACCTTTCTCTCTTGACAAGCATCTTGAGAGTCTTCAGAGCACTGTTACCCAGCAGTTTAATCAGAGCTTGGGTCGTGAAATGGAGGGAGTCATGAGCCGTTTCGATGAGGAACGCCGCAGCTGGGACGCTGCCTCCTCCGCGAAACAGGATCAAGTGCTGCGTCTCGTTTCCAGCACCCTGTCTGACAATGTTGAGAAGAATCTGGCCCGCATTGTCTCTGAGAGCATCAAGACTGATGTCCTCCCTGCTATCACCGAGGCCACTTCTGCCGCCGTTGGGAAGCAACTGAACTCCGTCGTCTCTCAGCAACTCGGTACCTCTCTGAGCAATGAGATTCGCCTCGCCCTTCCCAAGGCAGTCAACAGTGCTTTGCCTGCTGTCATTAAGGCCGCCTCGGATAACCTCGCAAAGCAAATGGGCCCTCTCATCGGGGCTGAGATCAACAAGGCTCTGCAGAGCTCCCTTCTCCCAATGATCGAGGATATGGCCCGTGGCACCAAGAAGTTGGAGACCGAGATGGAACGCCACTTCCAATCCCAGATCAAACACTTGGAGGCGCAGCGCCGGAATGACCAGGCGAAGATGGATGAAATGTCGGCCATGCTCCGAAGCCTTTCGAGCACTGTCAATACCCTTGTTGCCAACCAAGGTCAGAGTCAAGGTCAGGGCCAGGTGCGCCAGAACGAACACCCCAATGCCAGACAGGCCCCGCAACAGCAACAGCAACACCATAACCAACACCAACACCGCCCTGAGAATCGCGCGCATACCCCCCCAGCGACCAGTGAACCGAAGCACCCCTCAGCCCAATGGCCCTGCTCCCCATGCCGCCCCTGTCGCGGCGCCCCCGGTTCCTACTCAGCCCCCTGTTCAGGCTCAGGCTCAGGCTCCTGTTCAGGCCCAAGCTCCTGTTCCTGCTCCTGCTATTCCCACCCCGGAACAAGCCGAGCTGACAGAGATCAAGCGGATGTTCGAGACAAACAAGTGTGAAGAGGCGTCGATCAAGGTTTGTTTGCCGCATTGCCCGAAGCCATGTAAACCCCTGCTAACTCATCTTTTTACAGTGGATTCAATCCAACCAACAGGCCGATCTGTTCGATAATTTCTTCATTCGCGTCAACCCTCAGTTCCTGACCAGCCTTTCCGCTATCGTCATGCTCTCCGTTGGTGTGGCTGTTACCTCGTCTCTCTCAACCAACATTGGTGCCCGTCTCGGATGGCTTCACGTGGTGCTCAACAACGTGAACCCCATGGTATGTTGCTACATGAACTTCCAACCTGTTATGTCACCTTCTAACTGAATTACAGGACAACGATCTGCGCGAACTTACTCCAAACATCATGAATATTCTCGGACAGCGCTTGAACAACCTGTACATGGCAGTCGCCGAGCGCAACCCTCAGGACCCGATTCTCCGCCTGATCGCTCCCCTGTCCCGTCGTGCCCGTGAACTTCACGGCGGTATCTAAGCAGATATATTTGCTATCTCGCCTTTTTATTTCGTTTTACATTTTTATTGCCTGCAGTTTCCACACGTTCTACGATCATATGATGGACGCTAGCATCTTTGTCTTTCAGCATGACGTGTAACGACATCCCCTGCGTACGCAGCCCGAAGAAAATGAATGGAGGAAATAACGGAAAAGGACGGACGGACTGGACTGGTGTTGAAAGTTCTGGAAACACGATGCGTTTTTTCTCATTTTTTTTATTATGAAATGGCTTTTTTTCTTTTCGATTTTGGCCGTTGGACATTCATTGCTCCTGGCGCCAGTCTTTGTCTAAGTAATAGTTTGATGCTTGCGTACCCTGGGTATTAAGCATTTGGGGCGGGTTCTTCGGGCAATAATTCTTTCTTATTGCATTCATATTTCTAGTTCTTCTTTTTTCTCTCATTTCCATTTCTTTTTTTCTTTTCATCGAGGACCGCGCAGAATATCGATGGCATTTTTTTCACGGCATCGTTCTAACTGTTTTATGTTATGTTCTTTATCTGCCCTTATGGTATCTGTACGAATGCATGGCGCTGCTTTCTATTGCTCTGTACAACTTGGCGTACGCTTTGACTGTCGGGGCTTTCTTCCGAGACTCATAACGACTCGGATGAACCCTGCAAATCATCCTATATACTAATTCAATACTGGATCCCCAGTTCTTCCCTCCCGTGCATCTCTCCCAAAAATCCCTTCACAATCTCCTCAAATGCCCGCTCGGTTGCTGCATGCGCCGCAGGGCTTTCCTCCGCTAGAGGTGAAGAAACATGTCCGGTCACAATATCCCAGATACCATGCACACCTTCTTGACCCAGTCGCAGAACTTCAGCGCAAGACCCTCGCCAAGCGATATGTGTATCCGGTCGAACGAGAACGAGCTCCCTTTCCCAGATCCGTCGTGCATGAGGCTCGTCCTTGATGTAGACATGTTTCAGCGGAATCCCACGGGATGACGCGGTTGACGTGAGTATATCGCCGGCTCTCTCGCTACTAGTAGTGCTGTCCTCAATTTGAAGATTCCCAGTCCCGCCGTCAACTTGTCCGAACTGAACAAGCGTAAAGTCCGTCCCAAAAAGATCATACACGCTCGTCTCCCCATCTTCCAAAAATACATGCGGCGCCCGCGATCCAGGCCGCGTACTGGGCGTATACCTCCCAACCTCCCAAACCGGCTCATCGGATCGATCCTGGTACACAATAGGCGAATGGTAATACCTCAAATCGAACTCGATTCCGCGATCTCTCGTTTCGGGCGCAGATTCTTGCAAAAAGGCGTGGATTTGGTGCCGCAGGGCTTCGCCTTCGGGAGTGGGTGCGTCGAGAAGGTCTAGTTTTGAATCGGATATCTGGGCCAGTTTGACGTGCTCGAATATGTGTCTGTGGGAACGGACTAGAGCTCGTATCATCATTGGTCGTCTTTCGATTGTGTAGGCGGTTAGTAGGAGAGAACCGCCGTAGCCTTTTATCATGGCGGCGAGACGCCAGCCTAGGTCGATGGCGTCGACAATGCCGGCGTTCATGCCGTATCCGCCGTGCGGAGGGTTGCGGTGAGCTGATGGTGTTTGGATTTAGTCTTGTCCTTTTGGTTGGTAGGGGAAGGCTTGAAGAAGCTCACCGGCATCACCTGCTAGAAATACCCTCAGATTATCAGTATGGTATTGATCTGCGATGCTAAAGTTGGGAGTCCATTCGCTGTCAACTAAGATCTCGTCGATTCGAATACGATGTTTGTTTCCATCGGCACCTAGAACCCGGTATACGATTTCACGGGGGTCAGTCTCGGCTTCGTCGAGCAGGTGTACGGGAAAATGTGCGGTGAAAGTATGATTGTGATCCTGGTCGATGATGAACCCTCCATTGGAAGCGAAGATGTGCCAAAAACGACCGAATGGGAGTGTTTCGCTCAATTCGCGAGATTTGAAATGCACGAGGTGGAATTTTATTGGCCTGGATATTGGTGGCCCGAGGTCAGCGTCTCGTCTCTTGAATTTATGGGATATGGATTGAATTTGATACTCACATTGGCCCACCACGCATTGCAATCCCGGCTGTGCGGCGAACTCGACTTCCACCCCCGTCGCAACCGACGAGATATCTCCCGCGAGCTGTGTGAGTGTTCCCGTCGAGATCGGTGAAATTAACTGAAACACCGTTCTCGTCTTCGTTGTGAGAAGTATACTTCCACCCAAATTTCGCGGTGATACTCTGCCGTTTAAGGAGAATGTCTTTCATCCATGCCTCGAAGATGATCTGTGAGCATCGTTGCTCTGCTTCAGCTGGTTGACTCCCGTCGTTCAATGTGCGGGCTTGCTTATCTTGTTCTATAACAGACGGCAATTTCTGGTGAAAGGTTAATACATCAAGTTTATCAATCGAATTGTATTAAATGACAGCTCGGGACCCCTACCCATGTACTAAGCAGTTTCCCTTTCGAATTAATTTGCGTGACGAACTGCGAGTCGAATCTTTCAGTCCGAGCTACAGCACCAGCCTGTGCGCGATAGTCATTCGCTAGTCCCAAGTATCGGAGGAGTTCCATCGAGCGAGCATTCGTCAGGTCCATCTTGGGCCACTTGGTTGTTTCTAGATTCTGCTCGGCGATCAAACATGGTACGTTCAACCTATCCAGTTGATAGGCAAGTATCATGCCGATGGGCCCAGCGCCGGCAATGATGACGGGTGCATCTTCCTGCATTGTTGTTTAAAGGGTATTTGAGCTCGATGGCTTGTTTGAATCAAACCGAATGTGGAGAAGGAAGTCCAGATGAGCGGATCGGCCTGTCTTATTTAATTTTCGCCCTGCGAGGAGCCATGAGGGAGCCTACTCGTTCAGCCGCAGACCACATAGGGTCTCCATGGGTGGGTATGTTCTATCCAACGACGGTTGGCTGCATGCGAGTGTCGAGGCTATCCGAGGGGTCTGTGAGCATGCTCATTTGTTCAATCTTAGGAAAGCTGGTATGACATGACGAGCTTTTGTAGAATTATCTAGATGGGTAAAGTGATACTTTAAGGTTTAATGAGAGTGGGGGTTAATTGGTTATAAGGAATCGTACGTGAGCAGTGAGGTTTTGGCTTGTTGGGCTAGACCGCATAAAGGCAGTGGACGAGGAATAAGCAAATGTACTATCCATGCCAGTAGTTTTGATGGTGTGAAGCAGCCCTTACCGCATCTTGCTTTTGCCGATTCAAGCTAATACTCAAAAGAATTAGGAAAGTAGAGTCCTATTTATTTTAGGACCTAAATGCCTTCTAATTATTGGGTCTCTGTTTGAGTGGTTTCTTTCTCGGTCCCCGCTTGAGGCACAGGTACAGGCACAGGTGGAACAACAGGCTTATCAACACAATCAACCTGAACAACCCGATGCTGAACCCGACCCTCGCCAGTCGAAATCACAAGCGCACTCAGCTGATACCCATACAAACAAGCCGAGTCAAGCCCAATCGTATACTTCCCCACCTGCAACCGACGCTTCGCATCATGACCAAAAACAACCGTCGTCTTAACCTCCTGACTCTCCTGCCATGAATCCCATTCTTTAATCCAGCCTTCTTCGCCAAAGTCCTCCGTCGGAAGCAACTCTGCTCCCGCGGCCCCTTCACTCGATGCACGATTCAGACTCCGCATATGCATGATAGAATGCGGCTCTTGCTTCTCAAGCGAAACATTAGGAACAAGACCCGCATGAACCACGATCAAATTCTCGCCAAAAGGCGATATTAAGTCGCGGGGTAGTTCGACTCGCAAAATTAATGGTAAAGAGGCCAGCCATTCCAGGTGCCTTTTTGAAAGCTTTAATGCCGTGGTGTATGTTGCAACACCGTGCAGCACGTCATCGGGACCAGCATTAGCAGCCATGTATTTTTGAAAATTCTCCATATCATCGACGAGTTCGAAGTCGGGTCCGGAACTCGGAGTCTGAGCCGGAGCTGGTGTGGCCTGTCCGGTATTCGTATTTGGGTCCGAGTCCGAGTCCCTCTGTGCAATACTCAGGATTCCAGCAAGCAACAAACTCTCTCTTTTCGCGCGGATCTGCTCAGCCGCATGCAGGACTGCATTTTCATGGTTTCCTCTCACGGCACTGGCACCTAGCTTCATGGCTATATCGACGACGCCGGCGCTATCGGGCCCTTTATTGACAAGATCTCCGACTAAGATCAGGTGGTCGCCATTGTGTTGGTCGAAAGTGACTTTGTCTAAAAGTGATGAGAGGGATTTTCTCATCCCGTGTATATCGCCGATAATGACCAGGCGTCCACGGGCTGGTCTGGCTTCATTTTCTGAAGCTGATGGACGTGTCTGTAAGATGTGGGTTGTCGGGAGGTCTGAGATGAATGTTTTAATTGGGAAGATTTTCTTCGCGGGTTTTGCAGTGGCCATCTTTTTTCGATGTTGCGGCTTTTATATTGCGTTTAGCTGAAAGGCGCGATGTGGGTGGGGTTGCTGATATGCAGGTTTGATAGGAGGGCGTCACAGTATGTGTGGTTGGTAGCCCTTTTTGGTTTAGCTCCTCCTCTCCGCCCGACATAAAAGACCTGGCCTCGTCCTCTTAACTTCTCTATATGTTCAAAAACAGGGCTGAAATTCACAAAAAGAAAAAATAACTGCAGGTTTGGGGGAGCTGCTGTTGAAAAATGGTCCATGATGAATATTTTGGAGAAAGAGCTCAAGCTAGTACTTGTCGGCGACGCACGTGTTGGCAAGGTAAGGCCATAACTAGTTACTGGTAGTATTGTCTAGATCGTACAAAGATAACTAAGCATAAGTTCTACAGTCAAGCTGGATATCCTACTTATTAGATGGTTTCTATCAATCTGAATACACCCCGACAGATAGCTACAATTGCGAGAGAATCTACTTCTCAACTGTAAGTTCTATTTGCCTCTTGTACCCTACCACCAATATCTTCTGATACGATGGACATCGGTTATAGAATATCGGGTGCGCCAAATTCAATTTCTGGGATCTCTCTGCATCTTGTACAGCTCAAGATAGGGCTAAATGGATAGAGAATTGTGATGCTGCTATTATTATGGTTGATCTAGCAGACCAGGCGAGTATTGAAAACGCAGTCTCTTGGTATAGTAAGTGCCAATCCTCTAATTTCTTTTTACTATCAAACTTTTTAGTCAACTAATATTTGATCATATAGAAGATCTTATATCTTCCTAACACCCAGCTTCGCTACCAGTTGCAATCTATTCCTGGAAGGCTTATAAAATGACTGATAAGCGGGCAATAGATCCAACAGAGATCTCTTGGTCTGATGAGCTGGGCGACACACCGTTTTTTCACGCGACATATCTAGATCCCGATGAAAGTTCAAATAAAGTTATTGCGAGTCAGTCTAACAGAAGACCTATTGGATGGATCTTGGAACAACTCACGGGTCGGGTCGAGGTGGTATGTCTCTCCACTGCAACCCTTTTATCGCAACATACGCTTATCTTTTCTTTAGGAATTTCTCATCGTTTACTCCCCAGATGAATCTATTTCTCGGGCCTTTGACCCTGAGTTTCTCAAACAAATTGCTCCTGAGACATTCTCGATGATTCTCGACGACGACGAGGAGAACTTGTGATTGAACGAAATTCCGGCTCGCTCCCCTAAGAACGAGGGATTTTAGTTATCCGGTTTCAATACGTGAAGAATACCTATTTTGGACCTATAAGATTACCATATCGATATTTAGAATTTAGTAAAGACCAGAAACAAAACAATATCATATAAACAAGAACGAATCAAAATATGCAGAAATAACTGGACGCATCCCCCTCTCTTCAACACAAAAAAACAGTACGCAACAAATCTCAACAAAAGATTGTCATAATCTCTCAGACAAGAAGGGATCATATATCCCTATTTAATATCTTAAAGATATCAACTTGAAACCCCAGATATATAACGGTCAGCGAAGCCCCACGCTCCATGGCCGCCAATCAAACAACATGGGCCTCAGAAGCCTCTACACCCTCACTCGAAAGAGCCGGAGAGTCATGAATAACAAGGTGAACAGGTCGTTCTGGTTCATCCGTCTGTCCCGCGCCGGGCTGTTGCTCGTTTGCGGGCGGATGAATGACCGAGCGGCCAATGCGGAAAATGGGCGGGTTCGGTGTCGATGAACGGACACCACGCTTGCGAGATCGGAAGCTATCATCGGACAGCGGGATGGCAGTGCTATGTGTGGTACGTGAGTTGGAAATAGGCACTGGTTCGGGCTCGTCGATGCTTGTGCTTATGGCGCTTGAAATTGTTCGGGGGAGGTTGTAGCCGGCTTTTCCGATGGGGACGGATAGACCGTGTACGATCTTGGAACGAGTTAGTATCGGTCGTTTTGGGGGGGTGGGGGTGATCTGATCTGATCTGATTTCTTGGGGAAAAGGAAACTCACAATGCTGCAAATCACCAAGAACCATACCACGATGTTCACGGCGTCGGCGACTCTTTGGGCATCCTCTCGGGTTTTGCCGTCGACTTTTATGTCGAGGAGGAACTCTCTGCTGATTGAAAGGTAAAAGATCGCGCCGACGCCGATAGGACCGAAGAATCCGACAAAACATGCCTGGGAGATGTGCTCGATCTGGTGGATGTATTTGTGCATGGCGAGGACAATTGGCAATCGGCGAACGATGAGAATGAGGATTCCCAGGAAGACGAGGCGGTACAAGGGGATGATGTCGTTGTTTAAGAAGGATGGCCAGGGGCAAACAGCGCCAAACCACATGAAGACAGCTAAGTTGAGCAGCATGTCGATGGTAGGTTGGAGAGAGTCATCCATGGTTTCAAGGCGAAACCAATCACTAGAACATGGGTCAGAAATCTCATCTCTTAGGGCTCAGTTTTCAAGGAACAACGTACTCTTGCGTGAAGACATTTCCGGCAATAAAACATGCGAGAAGATCATCGGTTCCGATAAGACCGCAAGTTCCCACAACAAATAGCTAGATATAGAGGATTTCCGAGTTAGCAAGACAACATAACAAGCCATCTCGATATTTCAAAACTTACTGCGAGCGCAATTGCGAAAACCAGAAAGCTCTCCCGGTCCACGTAATGCTTTTCTTCCGCCCAGTGAAGTAGTTTTCTAGCCAACCAGCCAGTAACAGTGCCATAAACAACACTGAGCAAAATGGTATAGACCCAAGTTTCATAGAACCATAAACCCATAGCCTTCCCTCCACCGCCAGTATATCCCGCCCCGTTCATACCAAGATACTTTAGCAAGTAAATGCCAAAGAAAAGGAACGGATACCCAAGACCATCATTAGCACCGGACTCGGCGACGATAATTCGCTGCAGTGGGCGGGGGACATGCTTGTCGGCGAATTTGCCTTTGACAATCGAATTGGATAAAACAGGATCTGTGGGTGTCACGCAAGCAGCCACGATCAGAGCATGCAGGAACTCGAAGTTTGGAATCATAGCCCATATAACGAGACTACTGCATAGCCACATTGCAATCATTCCAGGACCCAGAAGCAGCGATAAACTCCGCCATTCGATCTGCAGGTACCGCTTTGGCAATTGCACTCCGGCCAGGACCAGCTGCACGCCGAGTACCAGACGTGTGAAGTGCAGGGTGATTGCATCGAGGTTTTCCTGCGAGTGCAGCGCGTAGTCTGCGGGTCTTATGAAATTGGCTGCATGAGGCGAGAATGCCACGCCGGCAAGCAGTGAAATCACTAGATATACATCAATACTGTGAACTGGGCTATTGGGTTTAAATGGTGAATATTGCCCCGACTTACGTGCTTCAGAGAGATAGAATTGCTCCTTGCAAAGATAAGAGACAAGTCCGAAAAGAGAGACGAAGCCTCCAAGTGTCGCGCAGACTATGTTGAAGTTGATCAATGCGAGGGTCGGCATGTTGGCCCCTTGCAGTGTGCGGCACAATGTGCAACCTGCGTGCTTATACGCTGGATTGCCTGAATATAAAGCCGGATATGTCTGGTTATCTGGTTGAAATGGGTTACTCGACAGATGCGAGTTCAATGAGAGTCAGATGAGATCACGATCACGTCTGGTCAATATGAGCCGTGCCACAAAGAGTATGGGCAGAAACAGCAAGCGAGTGTTATTCAATCATGGATTGGATAGTGAGAGATGAGTTTGTGGAGATCATATGGAAGAGTATCGGTCGCCAAGTAAGCCAAGCCACGGTTGGAGAAGAAGCCTTAGGATTGCAGATTGCAGATGCGGTTGTTGTGGAGGGGAAATCTTGGTGTTGCGGGCGGACATCGGCGGTGATTTCCAACCCGCTCATTCGCCAAGATCTACACAACTTTAGCCCGATCTACACAAGTTAAGGACTTTACAGTTTAACCAAATGGCGATGGTACAGTATTTTTCCATGGCGTTATTCATGATTACTTCGAGTTCAGAAATCCTCCTCCAGCAGCTCATCAGGCAAGTCGCGACTGGCTTCCAGTGCCTCGGCCTTCTCAGCGACACCTCTGTGAGCACCATTCACAGCCAACCGATCGGCAGCCTCGTTTCCAGGATCTTTCGCATGGCCTTTGACCCACTCGAATAGCGTCTTCACTTTCAGTTGCCCTCGTTCTTCGATATTCACGAGAATAGATTCCACCAGGTCCTTATTTTCTACCGGCTTGCCGTCTTTCGTCGTCCAGTTATTGCGCTGCCAATTCTTATACCACACCGTTACACAGTCAATTGCATATCGGCTATCCGTCACGATCGTTACATCGCGATGGCGAGGAGCAATATCCAAAGCACGGATAATGGCTGTTAACTCCGCGCGCTGGTTGGTCTGGCGATTGCCTTTCAATGGCTCCGAGACATTTCTGCTAGCATGACGAACGTGAGTCAGAGAACTAACATCCTTGAAGGCGAAAAAAAAGAAAAAGTAAATAATGAAGGAACAAAACAAACCTTGAATCTCCCGGTCCAAAGAAAACCCCAACTCCAGCCGATGCCAACGCAGTGCCATTTCGCAATGAGCTCCCATCGGTATATATCCGTAACATCCCCGGTATCCCGCTCACTTGTGTCTTGGTAGCCACCTTCTTCGAAGCATCCTTGTAAACGACCTTGCCCGTAGCCGGGTCTAGCATAACATTCGGATCAAACCCATCTTCCGCCCCGCGCGGCAGTGGCCCATCTCCAGCTGGGTATTCAATCCCGTCTGGATCTTTGGGGTTCTCACTTTCGGCTCCATGGGCGCCGGCTGGTTGTTTGACGTCTCCGAATCCGACCGCGGGTGGGACCCTTTGTGCGCCTCCTGCTTTCACGAATGCCTCTGCTTCTTCCCGGGTGGAGAATTTCCGATATCGCGGCCTTGTCACGCCGCGGATTTGTTCTTGTGCTGTGGCCCAGTCTGTGTACACTCCGGGCGCGCGACCACGCTGAATGCCGTAGAATCTGGGCTCGGAGCTTTGCGCGGAAGCTCCGCTAATCCTGCCGCCTGTCAGGAACGCATTGGCGTCTTCAAAGGTGAGAAATGATTGGACTATAATGTTGCGCGTGAATTTGTTAGCTTTATTAGTTCCGGGATGTAGTTTCGGGAGGGCGAAAAATGTTCAAGGCCAGGCAGTGCATTGAATATGCGGGCCTGGGGGGGCAACTTACAGATTGCGCCCTTGAATCCTGTAATTTGTGCTAGACAGTCTTGCCACCCTTCATAAACACCCGGTGTGAATCCATTCTTGACAGCATAATATTTTGTACCGCTCGTTCTTTTGCGCTTGGTGCCCGCGGCCGGCGAGGCAGAGGGTCGTGAACGCGGCGAAGCTTTCGATCCGGGCGCCGGGCTAGGCGATGGAGTGGTCTCGTTCATGGAGTCGGTCTGGTTGTCGCGAATTCCCGTGAAGTGGGATATTGTAGGAAGAGGAGAAAGAGAGGCGTGGGGTCGCGTATGGAGATTCTGTCGCGGTTGCAACCCAGTGCGAATTATCCAAGGTCGCGCAGTGAATCGCGGGCGACAGCTCAAAAGGAAACTTTGGAGCCCCAGTATTGGAGCTAAAGAACGGACTGGAAGGTAAATTGTGAAGACCCCGTGTTTTGGGAGAGTCGAGATGTTATGCAGTGAGAGGGAGAGAGAGGAGGGAGCTCTTGATGTGTTTCAAAGGTAACGAGGGGGGGTCGAAGTCAAAAGGAGGGGGGAAGGGGGGAGACCTTGCCTGTTTGGGACTGTCGCAGTGGGAAAAGGGCAAGAGAAATTTTAAAAGTAAAATATTTAAAATAAAAGTCAACAGAAATTCATATCCAACGGGAAATAGACAGCGACTTGTCTTTTTGACCTTTTAATATGCAAGTTCGACTTGAGAACAATCATATTTTGTTCATAAGAAGTGCAGCTCGACATCTAGGCTTGGAGATGGCTATTTCAAGCTCACACCGTGAAATACTGCACAATTATTTCACTATGCAATCCAGACTATCTTGAAAGCTTTCAAACAATCCTCGAGCTAGATGTTTGCCGTGATTCTCGCCACAACCTCCTTGACTTCCTGCTGTATACCTTTAATCAACTCGTCCACAGAAACCACAGCATCGATAACTCCAACGCTTGCACCACTATAGAAGTTTATTAGTCGCATTTCACACCACCAGGAAGAATAATTCAGGCCACATACGCCCACACTGTTCGTCGATGGTCTTGTCCCATCTTTCTAGCATCATTATACCGCTGGATGACCTCTTCATCGGTAACACCGGACTGGGAATCCGTATAGCTGATTCCAATCACAGCTCTCCCATCATATTGCGCCGGCCAAACATCAGTTGATTGAAACACGTCATGCTGGACCGATTTGACCGTCGAAACAGCACCGTCGGTGGCCGAGACGATTGTCTGCTTGATTTGCTCTGGTGCAGGACACTCTGCAGTCGCGACGAACTAGATTCAGTCTGTCAGCTTGTTTCTCTCTAAGATTCACAGCCCCTTCTTACTCTTGTTCCCATAACAATTCCATCAGCACCTATTTGATGCGGTTAATATTTGCCCAGAGACCATCAACAAAGACGTAAGATGTATCACTTACCAAGCCCTAGAGCGGCAACACACCCTCGCCCATCAACAATCCCTCCAGCCCCCAAAATAGCAATACGATCAGAAGCAGACTTCGCACGCACTGCATCGCGCACCTCAGGTAAAAGAGACATAAGACCAGCCCCCTGCGCCCACTGATGCCCACCCGCATCCGTACCCTGCGCAACAAGAACATCCACACCCTCATCTATAGCCTCTTTAGCAGATTGCACAGTACCGACTTGAACGAATATCTTGACATCCCAGCCATTCTGTTTCTGAGAATCACGAATAATTTGGACGAGGGATCCGTGGTCGATATCTGCTTTTGGGAAAGCTAGCCAGATGGCGGCGACCCGGTACTTTGCCAGGATGGTGACGGCATTTTCAAATCCCACGGGACTGAATGTGATAAAGCCGACGCCGATGGGTAGGGTTTCTGTTGAGGTAGTTCCTGTAATTGAGCGGGTATGTACTAGGCTCTTCTCTAGGTCTGACAGGTGTGTTGATTCGGGCTTGAAGTTGAAGCCGCCGCTGATGAAGCCTGGATGGGGTTAACTAAGTGATCTAAATTGACTCCGTGTTGTAGTAATAGTTTCGAGGTTTATTCTTCGTGTTTGGCTTAAGAGGACATAACATACCCAGACCACCAGCTTGGTTGACGGCGTTCGCCATCTCAGGGTCCGTGAATCCGAGCATCGGGGCATTGGCGATGAAGGGACTGGTTGTGTGGGGAAACCACTTCTGCAGAAGCTTTTTAGATTCAAGGGCTGTCATTTTGCAGTTTATAACGTTTCTCGGCCTGATTATACGTTATCTTGAAAGACGTGAAAGGCGATGCGGTCTTAGGATGATGGTGGGGTTCCGTGAGTCTCCGCCCCTCATTGTAAGATCTTACGGCGGTCATATAGTGTGATTTAGTGGATAGCTGGCCTAGTTCTGTCAGCTTGAAAAGAATACATTGGTGGATTTAATAGCTCTTCCTTCATCTTCTTCTTTGTTGGGCAAGCAAAAAGATGAGTAGCATCATAATGCAGTAGCCAATCAATGCTGTATGTAGGACAGAATATAAAAAGACAAAAAAGAAATTGAGAATGAATATGGCGCCACCCGGATTCGAACCGGGGCCACCTCGGAATTGGAAATTGCTACTATCCACTATAGGACAGTAAACGACCACAACGAGGCATCTTAACCAGCTTGACTATAGCACCTTATTTGATGAAGAATGACACCAACTAGTGCAACATAAGGCAAGACTATTTACTACCCCATAAAAAAAGCCAAGTCCTATCAAAACATACAATTTTCTGCCATTTAATTTCCCTCAAAATAGCTGCCATTTTTATCAATTTTTTTCTTAATAAATGAGCACGAAATCTACAATTTATTCACTCTGCTATATTCAAGTTGTTGGTGCCCAGGTGGCCCCATGGTCATGGTCATCAACTTTTAGTAGCAGAGAAGGCTGCTATGGCTTAGAGCCTAATCCGTGAATTTACTAGTATTTCCAATGTTGGCAACCTTGTAAACCGCTAAATCCAATCTTTATTCAAAGTAGATGCTTATTAGTAGCTATTTTAAATTGACCTATAGCTTCAAGTTGTTTCCAGCCCCCATCGAGTCACCTGACAGTTGAGTTGCCTAGATGCATGACCCCTCGTCACCTCAGCTGGGCGCTAAAGATGATCTTCCGTAGCTACGTACTCTGTACAATCAGCATATTTCAAGGCTGCGTCACTCGAGACCTGGAGTGCGGCGTGGAATTATGGCATCTAATAATTTTGGTCACGCAAACAGAGGACTACAGATCGGAGTGAACAACGCCCCTATTAGTACGGAAATCTATCAGTGTATGTTGACTCCACTCGTTCAAAATAAATTTTTCACTGACGGTCAACTTTTCATAGCATACACAATTGAAGATATCGACCGATTTTGCATGCAGAATTTAGCTTGCCCTGACTCGTTTGTCGTCAAAAACCGACTCAAGGCAGCCAAAGACAAACTGCACCGTCAATCGTGGGAATGGATTCTTCAAACCCCGGAATATCAAAGTTGGATGGGTGATTCAGAAATTTCTCTGCTCTGGATCAAGGGCGGGGCAGGGAAAGGAAAAACCATGATGGCGATTGGTCTCATCGAAGAGCTTTCGAAGCAACGCGAGAATACGGTAGCATATTTCTTTTGCCAAAACGCTGACCGAGAGCTCAATACCCTTGAATCGATTATCAAGGGGCTGATCTTAGGGCTGGTTAATCAGAACACTGAGCTGAAAGCATCTCTACGACGTCGATGGGATACCCAAAGAGAACGTTTTACTGAGGACTGTACCTCATGGCGAAATCTGTGGGACATCCTGTTCGAGATGCTGGCGAGCCAGTGCAAGCTCTCGAGTGTCTATTTGGTCGTGGATGCTCTTGACGAGTGCCAGGATGGTGGCATGGCTGAATTTTTGAGGCTTATTGTTCGGAATGGCCTGGACCAGCCAAAACTCAAATGGCTCTTGACAAGTCGACCGTTGGATAGTGCCGAGCGGGCATTACTAACAGGGCATGAACAAACACAAGTCAGCTTAGAGCTCAATTTTTCGTCCATCTCGCAAGCTGTCGACGCTTACATATCCCAAAAAGTGGATGAGCTGAGTGCTTTCCAGAGATACAAGGCACCACTAAAAAGCGAGATAAGGTTGGAGCTCTCTAAAAAGGCCGAAGGAACTTTTCTCTGGGTCAGTCTAGTGTGCAAGAAACTCGAGAATGTGCCGCAAGAGAGAGCTCTAGGAACCATCCAAGACTTACCACCCGGTCTGGATGCGCTTTACGATCGGGCATTAGACCAACTGCGCGACAGCAAAACAGACGATACAAAAAAGTGTATGCGGCTCCTGAAGGCGATGATGCTTGTATATCGACCTTTGAATGTGGTTGAAGTCTCAGCTGTTACAGGACTAGCCGACGAAGACAATGAGGGATTAGTCAATCGCTGTGCATCATTTATAAGGAGACAGGCAAACAAAATTGAGTTTGTTCACCAATCTACTCGAGACTACCTAGCAGAGGAAAAAACCCAGTCAATTTTTCAGCTTTATACGAGCTTTGGACATCATGATATTCTCCAAGGCTGTCTTTCTCAGTTATCTGAGCGCCTCAAGGTCAATCTGTTAGACTTACCGCGACCCGACTCTACCAGAAACCCATCGGAGCCACTGAGCCAGGAAGAAACAGTCAAAATATCTTGTCTGGACTATGCAGCTACATTTTGGGTGCGCCATTTCGAAAATGTCGATCATGCGATCAATCAAAGTGAAACTCTGGAGAACGTCAGAGTATTTCTATACTCGAAGTTCTTGGAATGGCTTGAATATCTTAGCCTTTCGGGCAGGCTGTCTTTAGCCCCTGGATTTCTTGAAACATTGGGACCCTTAACCAAGGTTAGCTTACAGCTTGCAATTATTCAATTGGATTTGTGCTTACAATATTTACAGAACGACACTTCAACTGCTGGATTTGTGCGAGACGCCGCACGTTTCATACCACGACACTACCACACTATGACGCACTGGCCACTTCAGATCTATAGCTCTGCTATCTTTTTCAGCCCCGATTCAAGCATCGTGAGGAGGAAAAATCTGGACAAAGTTCCAAAATATTTGCGCCAAGTCTCTCCTGTGGAAGATAGGTGGCCTTCAGTGATACAGACGCTAGAATCTCAATGGACTGGTATTGCCGCATTCTCACCAGATGGCAAGTGGGTTGTATCAGGCGATGAGATGGGAAAGTTAACCCTATGGGACTCAGTAGGCTCTCCCTCGAAAACATGGAAGGGGCATAGATCAGAGGTCCTTTCAGTCGCATTCTCACCCGATGGCAAAAGAATTGTTTCTGGATCCAAGGATCATACTATCAAGCTCTGGAGCTTGACGGGCGCTCTTGAGAAGACACTAAATGGGCATTCAAAACCAGTTCTTTCAGTCGCATTCTCACCAGATGGCAAAAGAATTGTTTCTGGATCCGGTGATCATACTATCAAGCTCTGGAGCTTGACGGGCGCTCTTGAGAAGACACTAAAGGGCCACTCGGGCCGAGTTCAATCAGTCGCATTCTCACCAGATGGCAAAAGAATTGTTTCTGGATCCGATGATCATACTATCAAGCTCTGGAGCTTGACGGGCGCTCTTGAGAAGACCCTAAAGGGTCACTCGAGAAAAGTTTGTACAGTGGTATTCTCGCCGGATGGTACAAGAATTGCGTCCGCGTCCTGGGACAATACTTCGAAGCTCTGGGATTTGATAGGTGGGCCTGAAGATACTTTTCAGCACCCAGAGTTCCATGCTGCGACCTTCTCGCCTGATATCAAGCGTCTTGCATTGATCAGTGGTTCTTCGGCAATCAATATATGTAAAACTGCAGATGATTCAGGGGAGAAAATCAATGGGCATTCAAATCCCCGCGATGTTACTGGTCTGGAATTTTCGCCCAACGGCAAGCAAATCGCGTCTGGCTCCGGAGATGGTTATATCACACTGTGGTGTGCTGCAACAGGCGACCGCCAGAGAGTTTTCGAACATCAATCAGACAGAATTAACCTTATATCATTCTCATTCGACGGTAGTTATGTCATTTCATATGATTATCGTCGCATTTCAAATTATATTGTTCCTACAATCAATATATGGAACACCGAAACAGGAGAATCGGAGAAAACTATCCAACAGTCCCCGAGTTTAATTCAGGCAATCTCATTTTTACCTGATGGCAAACACTTCATATTGAGCCGCTACTCTGAAGCTTTTAACGACCAAGCCGCAATTATTGAGATATGGAATATAACAACAGGTGAAAACAGAAATATCATGAGACACCCCGAGCATATCATTGCACTCGCAATTTCACCCTGCGGGAAATATATTGCATCAAGCTCCAGAATATCTACCATAAATCTATGGAACATCGCCGATTTTTTTAAAATCTCGAAGCTCAGGGGCCGTTTCTTCAGAAGACTCTTGAAACCTCGACATCTCGAATGTATTGAGACATCAGAGTGGGTCTACAGCATGAGATTCTCAGAAGATGGCCAATACCTGCAGACCGAATATGGAGCAATCATGCTTAAGGATGCCGGCTTAAAGCCGATTATTTTGACAAGTCTCTATATCCACGACCAATGGATAAAATATGGAGATGACATTCGTTGTCTTCGGCTACCAAAAGACTACGATGGCCGGCATTGGAAGGCCCATGGTGATCAAGTGGCTATTGGACTTGATAATGGCGAAGTCTTTGTGTTGAATATCAGGAGAAGTTGCGTGCGGTCAATGTTGGAGCAGACTCTTGGCATGGGGGTTTAGAAGATTATCCAGTGGATTTCTTCTAGATAAGAAAGCCAACGGATGATATACGAAGAAAAACACTAAATCAAATTTCACAAGAAGTGGGAACTTGCACACTTGGGTCGAGTCTCAGCTGAGCGATCATCTCGTAGGAACCTGTGCCCGCCTGGCCTAGGGAAGCTATGCTAGCCAGGGGCGCTCATTTAAAAGCTATAGACGCTCAGATATCCGCAATAAGTGAACGAAAGGATATTTACTTGAAAACTAGAGGATGCTATATATTTCAGTTATTATGCCTAGACTGACAATTAGATGAATAGTGTTTACAGTCACGGTGCTGGTGGTCAATCCTGAGACTGGAATTTGCATCATAAAACCCTATAAAATGACACATCTAGACCGAATTATAAACATTTCAAGCCCGGGCCGCAGGAATCTTTCATTGGCTGATAGAAAATCCGAGGCTCGGGTAAGTAGCGAGAACCGAGTCGTTGCGGCGAGTTTCGCCGACAATTTTGTAGCGTAAACCCAAATATTCGGGTTGAATCCTACTCTGCTTGAATTTGGCATGTTATAGGAATTGAGGGATTAAGAAGTTTATAGTCGGGCGAAACCCTCATAATTTGATCCCGAATCCGTAGACAAATACCATGATGGAAAAAACGAGCACTTATAGCCCTGGGGCTCTTAATTCTTTTTTGTTTGATAGAAGCGACAATAATAAAAATTTGGCCTTATATGATTCTGTGTTTTATCCATCTCACAAATATATTAAGTCCAAAAGCTGATGGGTCTAGCTACTTCAAGTTCTATACAAGTCTTGACTGACAAATACTAGGCCCTCCATTCTTCTTGGACTTTGAAGTTAATTAATAGAATCAAACTGATAATCGGACGCTTTCTACCTAGCAGAATAGGACTATCGCTTGGCTACCCCGCATCTGATAAACTTCATTGGAGACGTCATGGCCGCTTCCAGTACTCATTTATACCACCATTACTTCCAAAACAAGGATCCATGTGAGGAATTGGAACATTCCAAACAGACTCAAAATCCCCAACATGATCTCCCCCTTCCGACCATCCACAAACCAAGTCGCGGGGGTAAGCCCCCATCATAGTAAACCCCGAAACCTCAAGCTCTCCAATAGCCTTCCTAGAATCCTCAGATAACATAGGGCCACCTCCAGCCAAGCCTATTGTATCTGAATTCGGCGCAGTGGGGTTATAAGACTTATGCGCAACACCGGCCGGAACGAGAAAAACGTCACCGACATTGGCGTCGGAGTACATGGCACCATCTTCTGAGGCTGTGCCGTATGTATGATTATGAGCGTCATCTCCAAAGTCTGCAGTGCCCCAACGAATCTTGCCTGGGCCGGATAGGACTATCATCACTTCGTGTGTGTCGACGTGGTAGTGTGAGCGCTGATAATGGCCATATGTCGCTACCCACTGTGTATCCCATCCGTTTTCTTTGAATGTGTTGAATGCGAGTGTAGTGTCTACTTTTCCGTCACGGATGAAACAGCCCTTGTAAAGCAAAAGTGGCTTTGTGGAGTTTGGGACCAGCTTTGTGGGTTTGATATCGTAGGTGATTATTTGTTGGGCCATTTTCATTATAGAGGGGGCTTGTGGAATATTAGACAATAGATACGAGTCAATACCCACCCGCATCCCTGTTGGATTTATAAGTCGCTAGAAGTAGTCTGACTCCGAAAGAAGACAAATATCCCGATCGTGGCGATTATGGGTACTTGTGTCGGAGCCTGGCTTCACACGCATGCACTCGGGGATTTTGGCCGTAGTGGGGTCGTCAACCCCACCCCATTATTAAACAACTTAGGATTATAACTAAAGCAGTATATCGTTACTCTTTCGTTAAGTTAACACTGTTTCTTTCTTGATACAAAGAAAAAGCCACCGGTCAGCTGTATTTGAATAAAAACAATCCGACTGTATTAGATGAAGGGAAATTTTCACCTCTTTCGGGTTTGGCCATGGTTAAAGCTATGGTAGTCTGCGATGCTAAATCCAGGTGTGTTTTTTAAAGCATTATAAAATATCTCTATCAGCAAGAATAGTTGAGGTTTTCTGCCTCGCACTGTGGCCAGAGGCTATTCGTGAACCTAATGCCTTCCATATATCCACGTTCCGCTTCAAAATTCACATAACACGCAGCTCCAGCCTCTTGACACCTCTGCTGTAGCCCCTCAACCTTCACAATGGTCTCTGGGGTACTGTTTCCATCGTATATCTCAATATAAAACGTTATCCTGGGGAACTTCGCTGAGGTGGCTATCTCCGCCAAGTCATCCAACACGACGCAGAACTCCCCCCCCACGCAACGTCCAAGACCAATATCTCCAGCGACGAGGGAATAACATCTCTTATATTCTGTTTAGGTAAATCTTGTTCGTTGTATCCCACCAGGTTGGATAGGCTGAGACGGAGAAACTTCAACGCAGAAAAATCGACAAATGATCCCATCCACTCCTCATCATTCTCACCGCCTCCTCCGAAGTCATCGTTCCCAAGCCAGAAAGCCTCGAGTGTAGATTTGTGCAGTGAGAGGGAATCGTATATTTTGCGGGGCTGGAGGTCACTGCATGAGATCGTTGCTCCACCATGGATGATCCGGAAAGACTTTAGTGCTTTGCAGGCCTGGATCCATTCTCGCATTCCCTGCTCGGCATTTGTTGCTGAGAGATCAATATGCGTTACATTTGAGCATCGGGGGGGGAGTTTGACAGTCTTGAGGAGCTCAATAGGGTTGAGCTCGTCATTCTCATCCTCCACGGGCACCGAATCTTCGTCCTCGTCCTCCTTGTCAGACTCCGAGACTTTCCACCCACTGACTTTGCGCACAGATGGAAATCTCAAAAATGGATGCATCTTATACGATTCGACGGCATTTTCTGTATCGTACCAACACATATTGACTTCTTCGAGGTGAGGAAAACAAGCGCCTCCATCTTCAAGAGCCTTTTTGAGCATCCTGTCGACATGAGAGGAACCGAACGGGAATTCAAAGCCGATTTTCCGTAGACCAGTCAATCGCGGAATGAGCAATGCCACCCAGGCATCGTCGACAAACGTCTCGAGATCGTGTAGCCATTTCAACTTCTCTTCTTCGGTGTAATCAGTTGCTTCGCCAACTAATTTTCGAATAAGATCGCCGTCAAAGTCGAGTCCATACAAGGCTATTCTTTCTTCGGTTCTTGAGATTTCTTCGGGTCTATATAGAGTGTCCCAGGCCGCAAGTGCTAGAGATAGGACATAACCGGCCAGTTTCGGGTTTCGGGTCACGGTGTAGAGAAATATTGGGACAGCATTCGGTTTCTGTCCTCCGAGGGTCACGTTCGTGTAGAGTTTTCGTTGGAACACGCTGTGCATTCGACGCGAGGTCGATATCAGGCGGGATATGTCCTTCTGGTTGAGGTCACTTCCAACCAAATGGAGGAGTTCGAGCGGCAGTTCGATTAAAGACATTTTTTTATTGCGATTTGTACTTCGCTTATCACTTGTGTAACAATGCAGGTTTATAAACGTATCGTGATGGTCGCGCGGAGGTCGATTTGGCGGCTCTTAGCGTAGGCGGATGTGGGGGGCCGATTCCATATTGATATGGATGCCTGATATTTGGCCAAAATCACAGTGGAGTCGACTAGATTCCGAACGAAAGGGTAGAAAAAAAAATTGAATGTTTAAAAAACAAAGATAACAATACAAAAAGACAAAAACAATAGGAGACTTGGTAATAGCAGCCGAACGCGGTAACCACTGCGCCACTCCGACCAACGTCGGAGCCAGGATTCGAACCTGGGCACCCAAAGGAATTCGGTGAACTTAACCATTGCGCCATCCTATTGTTAAGACCAAAGACGCAGTTTTTGCATATATGTCCTCAGCGTGGAGAACACTATTTCTATCTATATGTGATTTTTTTTTTACTTACGCCATACTATTCCTTGTTCACATCATCAAAATAAATCCTGATATTGTTTAATTACACACCTAGCTTGTTTATGATGGAATATTCCTGTATTTCCTAGCCAAAAGTCTCAGATCCAATATCCAAACTACTGGTATTATACAATAAATGTTACTCCACCAAAAATATATATGCTAGTAGCTCCTGCATCTAAGTGGGTAAACAAACAATCAATTTGGCCACGACGGAGGCTGTCTGGAATAGGCATAGCCATTCTGCCTAGACTCTTAGCCCAAGCCAAAAACCTCAAAAATTTAAACGAGAAAAAAGCAACGACTTTACGAAGCGAGGGACGAGTCCACGTGAGTGGAAGATCATTCCCCTCCGCTCCCCTCCATCCCCATGACCACATCTATTTTCAATCATCCTCAACCTCAACCTCAACCTCAACCTCACCCTCACCCATTTACAACTGGCAGTGACCTTGGACGAACACCATCATGTTCGAGGTGGGACTAGATTCGCATCCTCCAGGGCTCCCCCGCAGTATCTAACTGACAGCCGTAGCGACGAGCCGCCGATCGATATCATCTTCGCATGCACCGAGCCCGATCGGCCGTGCTGACAACAGAAGAATTGGTCGAAGTACGAGCAGCGCAACGGACCTTTGAAGGAGCCTACGTCCGCACCGCACTCTCTCTATTCTCATTTTCGCTAGCCGTGCTGAAGATCTTCACCGCCGAGTTTTATAGCATTGGCGCGCTATTCGCTGTCTATGGGGCGGGAGTCTTGATGATCGGGATGTATCGTCGATCTCAACGGAATCGCCAGTTTTACTACGAAATAGGGGAAGATGGCATCCACCGCCATAAATTCCGGACTAGTGGGAACGCGGTCGTGATTCTGACCGCACTGAGCATTGCAGCATACGTGTGCTTGATCATCTTAACTTTAACTATGCACCACTGAAAGGGGGTGGTGGGTTGTGGCAGAATCGCATCGCATCGCCCTCCCACTGGCAGTTACGTCTGGATCTGGATCTGGGGCCCCGGGGAAGGGTTAAGTGTAACGGGATCTTATCTACACTGTATGGGGCATCCTGCTATTATTGGATTCTTATGCGGTGATATCTGGATAATGTGTGACTCTTCGACCCCCCCTGCGTGATCGCCAAGTCCGCCAAGCTATTTCGTACCACACCATTGGATATCAACCACCTGTTGGCAACGACGGAAGATCGTCGTGACTGTGACTCCGCGGTAGCTTACAGTTAATCGGAGTCCGAGCTGCAGTTGCTGACAAGCCGTGAAGCCGCCAAGGAAGCCGAGTATGTCCCGCGGAAAGGGAGGTCCCTGGCCCGAGCGGTGAATTGCATGTTGGACAAGGCGTCCCGAGAATGGACTGGTCCTTTTCTTTTTTTTTTATTCGACAAACACAGTCTGATCAGTCTGATTGGAATCGGTAAATACGAGAAGTGATGGTCTCAGCCGGGGCTCAGCTTGGCCCGTACCCCTGTGATAGGGGTGATGGGATACTATATCCATCCACATATGGACACGTATGGATGCACATGGGGATAAACACAAGCCAAGCCAAGCCGGGGATGAAGATTACCCTACTTATGCAGTGGATCTCGGTGGATAAGCAGGCATGCAAAAATATGTACTCCGTATTGATGGACACAGGGATGGAGGCTCGGCGAGTCTGCTCCGCCATGTTGATTTGGGCTGGGAGGGTCTTGGGCCAAGCATTCTAGGCTGAAGATTGCATCGATAGTCTCGTCAGGCCTTCCTTGCCAGTCTTCTCCTTTTTTTTCCAGATCGAAGGGGGATATATAGAATCTCTCAGACTCCATCTTTCCACATCTACAGACTACTCATTAGTTCGTCATTGACATCATTTTGAAGATGGCCCCCATGCCACAGTGATCCACCAAAGCAAGCCACACTTTGAAGAGTGGACTCGACGATCGCCATCCTTTGTGAACAGTGACTTCATTGAGCGTTTGTATGGTGGGGGTGGCTCTCTCGCTTCTGGAAGATTATATTTCGTTGCATTCAATCTCCCTTTCACTACCTCAGTTAAAGAAGACTTTGTGATTCTTTGTGGTTGTTCATGTTTATATGGTTCCTCCATCATCCACCTGATTCCCAATCGTCTGATTCAGTGAAACACGCCACAGAACACCACATCACCAACAAACGAACCAGTTCCATTGCTTGCCACTGACCTGTGTTGATTCCACCGTCTTCTATTTGCTGTCTGTTGTCAGCTTTCAGAGTTCGTTCTGTTATAGTTCGTGTTGTTTGTTGAAAGTGAAAGTGACGTTGCCGGAGTTGAGTCATCCGGCCGCCCTCTTTTTCTTCTCTCCCCACTTTGTCTCCCCCCTCGAGGCCCTTTCATCAGATTCTTGAAGCCCATCGCTTAAAAGCCCTCCCTTATCTCGAGGGTTATCGAGATATCAAACCATTCACACCGTCCTCGATCTACCCCGCAGGGGATGGCACAACACTCCGCTATCGCGCGGTCGGCCATAATGACGTCTGCCTCGTCGCCAGATTCTGCAGAGCTGGGCGATCAGAGGAATATGAACCAACGACCCAACGGCTTCAGTTCGACCACTAGCGCCGCCGGGTCGGGCAAAGAAGGATCATTAATGCCTCCTCCGAAATCTGTGGTCGGTAGAGCGCTAGGTAATGACCTGCATTCCGAGAAAACATCGCAGGCGCCCAAGGGCGGAGTCGGAACCGCCCTGACTGACACTCCGATTTCTACCGCACCCCCGTCTCCACAGATGTAAGTCTTTCTCGTTTCCTAGTCGTCCATCTGTTCCCGAAGGGTACCTGGTGCCTGAATATCCCCTTCTTGAGCCTATGAGATGTGTTACACTTGATCGGCGCTGTACGCCTCTTGTCTCGGGTCCCGAGGCTGAGGCGTGTCCCTGCGGAGCCATGCTGCGTTGCTCCGAACAAAGCCAGATCGGGCTTGTTTCCCCAGATTTGATCTTTGCCGGAGGGATGAGCCGTGGTGTCCAGTCGGGTGATCGACTCAAGTTTACGCTCTTTGCTGCCTTTCCTTTTTCGGGGAAAAACAAGCTTTATTCTTTTCTTTTGTTTTTGGCCTAGACCTCGCTGACTCACTTCCTCTTATAGTACGGGTTTAAGCAACCTCAGTACTCCCAGCAGCCGAGTCCGGGCAACTACACTTGATATTCCCGGTTTGACCAAGTCCAAGGTCTCTCCTGATGGCCGCATTGCTCAACGTGATGTCGGCGCAAAGCTTGTCATCGTTATGGTCGGCCTCCCGGCCCGCGGCAAAAGTTACATCACCAAAAAGCTTGCTCGATACCTGAATTGGTTGCAGCATGATACCCAGATCTTCAACGTCGGTGAACGTCGTCGTGTTGCCGCAGGCCGGTCACCTTCGCCAGCCAAACCTGGCCCAGACCATGAGAAGAAGGCCAGCCCCAATCTCCACAAGGACCTTCTCGACTCAGTGCGTCGGCTGAGCGTTAGTGTTGGAACTATGAACCAAAATGAAGCCTCGCCACCCGAGAGTGAGAATGAGGCAACACTTCCACCGCCAGTTGTCCCGGCCAAGATCCTTGTCAACGGCGAAGAGCCCGAGTCCATCTCAAAGAACGGGAGTATCGTCGTTCCTTCCACCGACACTGGCCCAGCCGACTCGATTCAAGACGAAGAGGCAATCAATGAAGCTTCCCCAGAGCCCATGGACCAGACTGCCAACTTTTTTGATCCTCAGAATCAACGTGCTGTCAAACTTCGCGAGCAGGTCGCTCTGGATACCCTTGACGAGCTGCTCGAATACATCATGGAAGACGGTGGAGCCGTCGGTATTCTCGACGCAACCAACAGCACCATGGAACGCCGCAAGGCCGTCGTCGACCACATTCGCAAACGCGCTGGGCCTGAGCTTGGCATCTTGTTCCTGGAGAGTAGTTGCGTGGACAAAGATTTGCTAGAGGCCAACATGCGCCTGAAGCTCTCCGGACCAGACTACAAGGGGCAAGACCCCGTCAAAGCCCTAGAGGACTTCAAGAAGCGAGTTGCCCTCTACGAGAGATCATACGTGCCGCTGGGCGAATACGAGGAGAAAAACAATATGGCCTACATCCAGATGATCGATGTTGGCCGCAAGGTCGTCTCCCATCAAACTCATGGTTTCCTCTCTTCACAGGTCGTTTACTACTTGCTCAACTTCAATCTGTCTCCCCGCCAGATCTGGATCACAAGACATGGCGAGAGTGTAGATGACGCGGCCGGCCGCATCGGCGGAGACTCCGGTCTTAGCGAGAATGGCAAGCGCTTTGCCAGTGCCATGACTCGCTTCATCGACCACCAGCGACGGCAGTGGGAGATCTACCAGCGCCAAAAGGACCTGGTAGCACACTTCCCACCTCGACCTGGTGACAGCACGCCCCCCCAACCCGTCCTGGATCCCCCGTGACCGCCCACGCAATTTCTGCGTCTGGTCCTCAATGATGCAACGCTCGGTCCAGACGGTCGAAAACTTCAACGAAGAGGAGTATGACGTGAAGCAGATGCGCATGCTAGACGAACTCCACTCTGGAAAGATGGAAGGCATGACATACAAGGAGATCCAGGAGCAGTATCCCGAAGAGTATGCGCACCGTAAGAAGGACAAGCTTTTCTATCGGTATCCTGGTCCCGGTGGAGAAGGCTATCTGGACATCATCAACCGTCTCCGCACCGTTATTGTCGAGGTCGAGCGAACGACTGACCACGTCCTGCTCGTCAGCCACCGGTCCACTGCACGCGTTCTGCTGTCCTATTTCCGTGGTCTGAAGCGTGACGAGGTTGCTGACCTTGATGTCCCTATGGGTATGCTGTACATGCTGGAGCCCAAGCCGTACGGCACAGACTTCAAGGCGTATCAGTACAACCCCGAAACCGACTGGTTCGACTTTGTCCCGGAGTATGAGCTGCACCAGGTGGGCTCGACCAAGGCTTAAGCAGTCTCAGTCTTGTCCGATTTTATGACCTGCTATGAACCGAACTGTCATGACCTGCCCTCAACGATCAGATGACCTGACCTGACCTGACCTGATATTGAGCCGCTGGTCAACACCCACTACAACTCCTCGTCACTCTTCATTTGCTCCCCCGCTTTGTGCTGGTTCTTGGGCTTTGTATTTCTTATGCCCGGTCCGTTTTTGTATTTTACTCCATTCCGCCACCTGCTTTTCCTCACTGCCCTCTCCTCTCTTTCTTCCTTGCGCTTTCTTTCTTGTGGCTATGATTTACCGTGCATAATGGGCGTTCTATTTTATTTGCTTCTGCTTCTTTTTTTCCAACGCTCGTGGTCTTTGCATGTGGTTGGCGTTCAGCGGTTTCCGACCAACAAGGTCAAGAGACATTCTGAATCTCCAAACTCCAAGCACAGCCCAGCCCCAATCGTGCCCCAAACACCATCTACACGAGCACAGCACACATAGATATCCCGTGAACGATGGAAATATCGCTATCTCATCTCTTCTCTTGCTTGTCTGCCAATGGTTTGCTCTTCTCTTCGTTCAAGATTACAGTCAATGCACCATTTACGAATCCACAAAGATGAGCTATTGTAAACTTAAACTTGAACTCCTCAATACCTAAATCCGTATCCGCACCCAGATCCAGAGCCCCAGGCCCTTAGAAAATGCATCCATGTTCAATCCCATAGTATACCACCAGGGCATCCTATACCATACCGTAAACTTTTGAACTTGTGACCATATGATACCTAGGTATGATATCAATCAATCAATCTTCCCCCTAACAACCGGCGCCCTCAACAGCGCAAAAACAGCCACAGCAACACAAACCATCGCCCCCCCACCAACACTATACGCAACCTCCCTCCCAGCCCACCAAAAAAGCGAGCAAAAGAGAACCGGCCCCGTCGCCCGCCCAGCCTGTCCCCACCCCCTCAACCGTCCCATAACAGCTCCCCGATCCGCATCCCGCGCCTCGAAACTCCCCAAACTCTTCAACCCCGTAACGACCGTCGCGCTCGTAATAGCCAATAATCCACCAGCAGCGTACAACCCACCAACAGACTCCACGCGCGCGAGGAGAAAGAATGAAGCCGCACATGCAATGACGCCAATTCGGATCGTTGTCAGAGGAGGTAGTCGGCGCACGACGGTACCTTGCAGCAGGGACGCAATGAGTCCCATCATCGAGAGAAGACGGCCGTTCAGCGCGGCGGGACTGGAACTCGAGTTCGAGTATAACGTCGCCGTGAAGAACGGAAGCGAGAATTCCAACCCAGCAAACGGAAGCAAAAACATGAAATGCAGCGCATTCAGTATAGCGGGATTATTCGTGCCAACGTGAACTTCTCCCTTTTGCTTTTCCTTCCCCTGCACACCCTTAGCCCCGACCTTATCCTCCTCCTCCTTCCGAAGCAGCGTAAACCGCGGATGCGTCTCCGGCAACGCAAACCAAATATAAACCGTCTCAACCAGGATGAACGCCAACGACACCCCCGCCGCGACAAAGAACGGATTATCCTTCACGACATCCACAGCCCCCAACGCCGCACCAAGAACCGGACCAACCGTAAACGCAACGCTAAAACAAGCGCCGATAAGCGCCATACTGCCGCTGCGCCCTTGTTCGGTCGTCACGTCGCCGACAATAGCGTCGGCTAGTTGGACATTTGCCTCTGAGAGACCGCCGACGACGCGGGAGGCGAGGAATGTGCGGAAATCCGTTGCGCTGACCCAGAGTGCGACGCTGGCTATGTTGCCGGTCATGGAGAGGAGGAGGGCGGGGCGGCGGCCGTGGCGGTCGGATAGGTGGCCTATGATTGGGGCGGCGAGGGCTTGGAGGAGGGAGAAGAGGGAGCCTAGGGCTCCGCCGAGGAGGATGATGTCGTAGCGGGTGTCGGTGGGGAGGGCGAAGGCGGTTTTGTAGGCGTTTAGGTAGTGGAAGATTGTTGTTAGGAGGGAGGTTGGGTTTGAGTCTTGGGCCCGGTAGAATGTCAGGAGGGAGGGGAAGAGGGGGAGGATGAATGTAAATGATATCTGGTGAGGTTAGCCGTTGCTTTGGGTTCTGGAGGGAGGGGAGGTGGTGGTGATGCGATTTCGTACCAGGTCTAGGAGGAGGGAGATCATCAAGACCTTTAAGACTTGTTTTCGTTGGGCGCCAGCGATAGCCATTGTGAATTGTGTGGGCGCTAAGCTGGCGCCGGGAAAAGAGTGTATGAAAAAGAGAGTCTGTGGAAGAGTGTTGTTTTGTGCTGGGGAGATTACAAGAAGAAGATCAGATCAGATCAGATGAGATCAGATCAAAGAATAGCAAGGTGGCCGAAGTAAATAGTGGAGCCCGTCGTCATCACCCCTGCGATGCATTTCATTTGCCTTTTTAGCTGATCACCTCATTTACCATAACATAGAATACATTGGAGGGAGAAGAAAAACAGGGAGAAAATATGCAACGCTCAAGAGAGAGAGAAAATTGAGAATGGGCGCCACTTTTCGCAGGGGAAATAATCACTCCGGAAAAGAAAATTCGTGGATTTCGTGGATCCGTGATACCAGACCAAAAAAGGAGGGATTAGAAAGAATGGCCAGGGCTCAGCAAGGCTCATCAGGGCTCAGAATCGTCTATGCTCTTCTTATTGCTCGCCAGGAGTAGCAGAAGGCGAACCGTTCGCTCCACCGCGTCCACGACCTCCGCGACCACCACGACCGCGGCCGCGGAAGTCTCCACGGCTGCGACCTCCTCGGTTGCCCTCACCCCGACCACGTCCGCCCTGGCGGTTGTTGTTGTTGTTGCGGTTGCGTCCACCCTTAGCATCTGCTTCCACGTTCTCGGTGTTTGCGGGGGTCGCCTGGAGGCCAGTATCGGTCTCGGCTGGGTCACGAGGGACATTCACCCATCCGTCCGTGGTGGCTGACGAGGTCATGGAATTGCCATTGTAGGATCTTTCCGCCACGGCGTTACCCGCATCGGAGACCAGGGTCTGGGATGGGGGTGCCAGTTGGTCAGATGTCGGGAAGTTGTCCTGCGCAGCGGCCTCGGCGCGGACAGAGGTATCCTGGAGCTCGGTCAGGCCAGCATTGGCGAGGGTAGGGTCCGATGTGAGGGTGGTCTCTGTCGCGAGTTCAGCGGGCTCGGTGGGAGCGAATTTGTTGGATGCCTGCTTCACGTCGCCGACTTTGGAGAGCTGTTAGTATAGTGAAAGATACGAACCATGTCAGAGCACCCTGAGGCAGAAACACTTACAGCTCAGATCCAGCAAATCACCCTCAACACCCTGGATCTTCTCATCCGCACCATTAATCAGTTTAATCATAGACGAAACGGCATCCTGGTTTCCGCCGTAAACCTGGTAAAGCACGCCCTCGAAGGCGCGGCTCTCCAGAGCCTCTGCGTCACCGTCTCGTCGGCTGTTCGCCGCAGCGCACAGGAACTTGCTAACAGTGAGCAATTGCTGACGAAGAACCTTTGCATTTGTTTCCGTAACATCGGCGATGGCATTTGCGCGCACAGCCTCCAGCTCCTCCTGGTGTGCCTTCTCCAGGGCAGCCTTCTGGCTCACCAGTCGCTCCTCGTACTGGTCAGCGATCTGCTTATAGTGCGCAATTTGTTCTTCAATTTGCGCAATGCTGGCCTGGAGGGCAGGTTTCTTCAAGGCTTGCGCCTTCTGATCGTTGTTAATCTTCTTCTCTTCGACCAGCTCGTCGAGCGATTTGCCCTTGTTCTCGGCGAGGATGGCGTCAACCTTGGCGGTAGCATTCTAGAGAGTACCCGCAAGAGTGAGAGGTTAGTGATATGGGACGGAACACGTAGCCAAAGCAAGCTTTAGCGTGGGAGTGAGAGGGGTGAATCAATGTTGGTTTCACATACTAGCTTCTTCACCGCATTGCGAAGGCTCCTAGAAGCGCGCATTCAGTCAGCCTCGATGCGCAGCATAGCAGTCAAAATGGTGATCGCGGCGCTAACTTTTGCAATTCTTTCAGGTAAGCGGGCTCTGAGCCTGGCAGGTCCGAAGCGGACAGAGAAACGGGGCTCTCGATCTCGGGGTCGGGCTTGGAGGTACTGGAAGCTCGGGAGGAGTGCTTCTTGAGCTTGTCGGTGGAGGCGGGAGCCATAATGAAATGTGGGTAACACAGCTGAAAGTTAAAAGGGAGAAAAGAATCTGTACAAGAAGTGTACTGAGTACTGAGGGGAATCGAGGATGGGGAGAGATGAGTTGAGTCGCAGAATCGATGCGGGTGGAAGTCGCCCGAACCCTTTCCTGAATTGGTGACCATCAGTGGGCCACATGCGCCATCACGCGACGAGCCCTTACAGCAGAACAGCACGTAGTGGGAGCCTGAACAACTATTTACCATGATCGTTTTGATAAAAAAAACATTGAAATATATTCAATTTGGAGAAACATTCGAAACTCGCATTCCCTGGGTATCTTAATTCCTTTGCACCATTACGCCAAATCAAAGCCCATCAAAGAGTCACACTCCTCCCCCGCGTCACTCTAGTACTCTTGGTACTCCCACTACACACTCTAGTACCTCCTCCCCCAAACACCTGCTATTGCTTCACCACACCAAATAGGACAAATGCATATCTCCAGCTATCCTCCGGCAATATTATCCTTGGAATTTGCGCAGTGTTTTCTAAAGTAAAAGAAAGATCTTGGCATTAGCTTCACCCTGTGATATGCACTCAACCCGAATCTAACCAGGTCCACAACATACCTCAGTAACCTTGCGAACAGCATTCGCAGAGATATTCTTTTCGCCAGACTTTCGCGATCGGATCGAAGCTTCGCGCATTAACCTGATAAAGTCAGGAATTAGCATCGTGGCAATGGGGGGTGGGTTGTAGTTGGAGTCGGGTATCGTGTAGTCGAGGCACTGCGATCGAACTGGAACTCTTCGAAGAGGAATGGGAGGAATCATACTCTTGCATGAATAGCATATAGTCGAGAAAGATCTATCCAGTGTCTCGGTATTAGCAGTGAGCGATCAAAGATCAAGATCACGCGTTGCGGCAGAGCGAGAGTCGCGATCGAACGTACCAGGATGTCGGCATTCTTGCTCACGCTCCGGTTGGAGTGTGCTTTCACGATGCGCTTGACCGTCCCTCGGGGGTACAGCTTCTGAGTTGCTGCCATAGTGCTGGGCGAATTGCTGGGAGGGGATGTAATGTAACAGAGTTGGGGAGGGTTGTTTACTTCAACTTTGGAGATGTGGGGGGAGTCCGATCTCGATTAGTAATCTATTTCTACAGTATCAGCTATTATGAGTATGAGTATATCCAAAAAGAATCAACCCGACCTAACAAACACCGGACTAAATGTACACCCCATCCACCTGTGCTCTACGCATTATTTCAGTCGTCGCCGAATCAATCGCCATGCTGCAAAGGCCGCCGCCGACCCCAAAGTCACGCGCCACGCAAGGAATACGTAGATAGCCACTCGCAGCCGCTGGTAATATCCACGCAGCATAATCCCAACAGCATACGAAGTTCCATCCGAAGCACGATCAGAAGGTCCATAATACCGGCCCACCCCAAGGCCGCCAATTCCAACCTCATTATCATCGTGCTTCGAGATATTCGAGCCTGGGGTAACCGACAAAGCGGCCGTATCAGCATCCAAAGCCGTATCACTCGTCCGAGCCCCCGATTTCACCATCCGCATATTCCGTTTCCGCAAATTGTACGTCAGAATACTAACAATAAACCGCAAATCAGGCGCCGTAAATGTTGGGTATTTCCACTGTTGGACTGTATTATGCGGAGGAAGCATATCCAAGAAATCGGCCAAGATGCCCAGCGTAAGACCCCAGAGCAGCAGCGGACGATTGAGGTCTCCGGAATCAGCCTGGTTACTCAGGGTCCATGATTTGAAGCGCTGAAGTAACGACAGTCCCTTGCCGCTCTGATCGTCTGGTACGAATCCCGGGATCGAGGTGCACTGCACCGTCTCGGCGGGGAGTAATCGGACGGCTGAGAATTGCATCCAGCCTAGCATGGACCGGACGGCCAATCTAGTCAGGAATCCACCCTGTCTCGCGAATCGCTGGGACATATCCACATGTTCGACCGTGCGAAAGGAGGACGACAGCAGTGCGCGCAACGGGATCCAATGCGTCGAAGCTACCTCCGTGGGTTGCAGCCGCAGCATCGGAGAATCACTCCGCGTCGTGATAAACACGAAAGGGCAAAGAACCATCAACCTATATAATCCGCGATTAGCGTGAAGCCAGAAAGATCCAGCAAGCCGGCCGGACTATAGAATAAACATACGGCACCGATCCCCAGCTGGTGGTGACCACCCGCTCGGGCAAATTACCCACACAAATACAATCATCTGTCGTCAAGTCCCAGCCAATTTCCTCAGAAGCTTCCCGTATAGCAGCGGCCTTGTCATCCTCATCTTCGGGGTCTCGCTTTCCGCCCGGTAATGCGACATGGCCGGTCCAGCGATCCCCTGGGCGCGAGGCGCGCTTGATGAACAGGACCTCCGGATCACCGTGCTGGACCCAGGGCTGGGAGAAGAAGTCGTCCAGTCGGTCTTCGACGGATAGATCTGGGTCTCCAATGTCGATGTCTGTCGCGCTGGGCCAGTGGTTGTATGTTGGGCGGATGCGGAGGATTAGGGCGACGGAGGCGCGTTTCTTGCATAGGGGTGGGTTGGGGACGTGTGGGTATGGTCGTCGGTGGAGGTCGGTTAAGACATTGTGGAGGTGAGGCGATAGGCCTGGGGAGGGATCGGGTTGTGAAGACTCCATTGTAAGAATGTACGGAGTATGGGGAGGGGAATCTTGATGGGGTCTGGTCTGGTCTGGTCTGGCCGTGATAGCGTAGGCCGAGGCTGCCCCACTGGGACTGCTCCACATGGACCTTCATTCCCCATTTAGGGTACTCTATAGGAGAACGAGTATTAACAAAATACTTAAAAGCTATTAGGCGTTGGAAAATTGTAGTAATATAGTAGCAAAATAGTTAGTAAGGTCGAATAATTCTACAATAGTTGTAGGGAACAAGAATAGTAGTAGCACTAATGCAGTAGTAGGCCACTACTATAGTTGATACTGGATATCATAATAGAACTAATATAGGCCACTATATTAGTATAGTTACTAAGATGCTTACGACTCTTGAACCCCATCGGTAGGATGACCAGGTGCGGAATTACATTCAAAATACGCATTTCTTTCGCTGGGAAACAGAATAGCCTCAAACTTTGTGCAAATCATACATAGACGTAGTTCTGATGCGGCTATTCAAGCCCATGGTTTGGTATCATTAGCCATAAACGGAATCGGAGTAGCATGATTACATAGATCAAGTAGGCGAAACTCTATTTTGTAGCTGGTCCGCCATTGTCCTATTCCGTATTTTTTTCTTTCTGTCTTTGACCTGTCGATCTTGCAGCTTTCCCACCAGAACCTGCGCCCAATAGCCATGGAGTATTTACGATCTTGGTTTAAACATCGCCAGACACGCCAGTCTTCGGAGGCAGTGCCTAGCTTCCGGATAATTCGCCCTAAGATCTACCGGATGACCACACTACCCGGCCTCCCATCGAAGCTGCTATTAGAGATTATCGACTTGCTTCCACATGTTGATTTCAAATGTCTGTCTCTCTGCAATCAATGACTCTATAAGCTATCTCCAACATACGACAGTCCTTCTTCTCTTACACTTGCCAGAGCCGAAAAACTATCAATACTAGCCCGGCTAGAGAGAGATCTGCCAGAGTATTTCGCTTGTTATATCTGTCAAAGGCTCCACCAATATGACGGATCTGAAAGCTTTGGACTAAGCGGAGTAGCACATAAGAAAACTTCCAGACTTCCATGTGATAACAAAAGTTATAAATGGTGGGAGGAAGTTAGTGCAGGTACAAGAATGAGTTTAGGAACCCATATTAACTTTGGCCATTCACGAAACCGTATTTCCTATCACCAGCTGAAACTTGCGATGAGGAGATATCGATTTGGTCCAATATCTGGTATTAATCCTGAATCTTTATCATATACACAAGTTCGCTTCTACCGTCACCCCTTACGAGTCATTCCATGCTATCCACCGAGGATAAGTCCATTTATTCCTACGTTATTCTCGATAGAAGCACAGATATGCCCCGAGCCTCTAGGTCTTTATATCAGAATGCAGGACATAATACTCTTCGACACATGGGAAGATTCAAAAGTCGTTCCCGAATCAAATCCAATCTGTATCTATAAGATCTGTTTTCACACCAGACTTTCGAGCAAAATCTCTGACTTGGATGCACTAAAAGATGGGAAAGATTCACATATTGACTACATCTGCTCCAGATGCAACACAGTCTGCGTGATTGAAATCTTACAAGTTGAAACTGAATCTAATACTGAACCTGGATATAAGATTGAACCTGAATCTAAGATTGCCCTGATCATGACAAGGTGGGTCAATCTCGGCCCTGGTCTCGATCACGAAGACCCATTATGGAGAATTTGTGTGGGTTGGTCCTCAGCTCCTCGTCCGAAGCAGCTTCCCCAGCCTATGATGACCAAAAGTCCCCGCCTTTGCTGCGAAAATCAAAGTCCCGAGTCGTTTGAGGAATTACGGACTCGCAATCTGTCCTATCTAACCAAAGGCAGATATAGAAAGGGAAAACCTCTTGTCAGTCTAGGCCAATGGCTTTGGTACATTCCATACAAAGAGCCGTCAAAAAAAGGGAGAGGGAATTTACTTTGAAAGCTCTATGGCCTTAAACATGCCGTCGGAACCAGTCCAATCTCGAGGTATGCCCGAAATGCCCATTGAAGAGTGGAGTGTTCTATGGTCAATACGCAAACCCTGATAAACCTGAAACTAACTTCAAAATACTCGCCATTTTAGGTGCGCACTTGCCTACAATTGCTATATGAAAATCGAAAGTTTAATGTTTTTACTTACTCCCCCGAACACATGGGAATTGACACCCGATTTGGCAATCCTGTAGCAAAGCAACAGAAGGCCGAGAATTAGCAGGGGAAACAAAAGCTCAGTATCTAAGCAAGTAGCTAATCTAATTTGGTACCTAATCAAGAAAGAATTCCTTTGGGTTCCAAAGATAGGGGTGCGTAGGTTAGCACGTAGAGAAGGAAGTAGCGACCAGGTAGACAAAGGTTCACTCACGATGGCTTCAACTCCCACTTCTTCTTCTTCTTTCTTTCTACTCGCGTCGCTACCTGTTTTAATTACCGATTAAATTACCAACTTTCTCGGCATTAATTCTCTTTTCCTCTCTCAAATTCTTTCCCGGTCCCCCAAAATGGCTAATCAGAGCCGGGTGGCTCTCCTCCTCCTCCTTCTCCTCCTCTTCCTTCCCGTTCAGGTAAGCCGTTGTATTGCGACGGAGAAACAGCTCAAGCGAAGTGATCAAGTGCTAACTATGTGATATTAGATAAATTCGCGTTACCACCATGGATGCAGTGGGGATTCGTCAGGTTGGCTGCCTTCCTACTCATCATCGAAAAGATTGGTAGATTTTTGGTCTGGCTCAATGATGAGGAGGACTCGTCATGCGATGATGGCAGTTTGGGGACTTGGGAAGGTTTCCTGGAAGTTGATTCCAAGGGGTTTAAGGCCATTGGCCGGGGCTTCATTCTTACCTGGTCGTGTGTTGTTTCTGGGGTGGCTGGGTACGGGAATACTATACTATCGCCAGATGGAGAGAGCAGTCGAGGACCGATACCAGCGAGAACCAGACCGATCGAACCGGGAGATACGAGCTTACCCTATGTGTTATTGTGTAAGTATTTTTAATAACTGACGTTGACTGCTGGGGTCTCTTGGGGTTATAGTATTTAATTAGCAGTAGAGGAGCACCCCCCTTAGAAATAATCTTGATGGTGCCACTAATAAGAATTCCTAGGTACCCGTAGAAGTGGACACTCTTAAGATCAGTAAATACTAGTAGATGTATAGAGACAAGCTGATTGATATTCTAAATACTAGATAGATACTAGTAGTAGGTAGTGGCAAAAATCAGTTATTCAAATTCATCTTGTTGGCACCATGATCTACACAGTGGAAGCTTTGAACTCAGGCTTATATCGTACTAGTTGAAGTTTCATAAAAGTTCCTATGATCACATTAATTGCGATCCCTTGACAAAGTTTTTCAAATTCTCAGCCAACGGAAACACAATCCGCTGATAGATCTCCTCCTGCATAGTCTCATCATCCAGAGTATAACCACCTTTCCAGCGCCAAGACAAACACTGCTCTACCACATCACCGTACAGGGGCCCGCTTGATAATTCCACATAGCGCAGTAATCGAGTAGCAGTTTTGAGATTGGAGGTTGCTTCGTTTTCATCATGGTCTTCTGCTGTGCGAAGTTGCTCGAGAGGTTGACAAAGCGAAAGCTCGACCAGAACAAGACCCAGCGGGAAGAGTATTTCGTTTCGAATTAGTGCCGAATTCGCTGCACCCCTACACATCGTCGAATCTTTGACCGGGTGTGGGGCATTCAAGGCTAATGTGGGATGTCCGATATTGCCTGTGGGCTCGCGGATGAATATGATATCGCGTGCTCGCCAGCGGGATTGAAGCCAGTTTCCATGGAACTGAAGAACACTGCATGCAAGATTGGCGGCTAGTGTGAGGCGATCCTTTTGGCTGAAGAAGACTGCGCCGTTCATCTGAGCTTGCAAGAACGATGATGATGTTTCTAGAAGTTCGGCCAAAGATTGTAGCTTGGGGCTGGCGGGGAGTTTTCGTAAATGGTACATGAGGTGTTGCTGGGTTCCGTCCATAACACAGCCAAGTAAATTCTTCTCTTCGATTCCGGATTTCGTGGCTGCCATTGTTGATAGTGTGAGGCATATGCTGTATATTGGAGGAGATGGAGGTTTTTCTTCAGAGAGTAGAGTCGTAAAAGTATCCTGCATTGAAAAGGATACCTTGGTCTTTCTTTGTACTGAGCTTTTATGGGCTCTTATCGATTGAACGGCAACAGCCTCTATATTCACTGCCTGCGGGGTTGGCTGGAGGTAATCTGATTTTGCTTCAATCTCATGAGCCTTGCCCAGCGTCCCGGAGATATCATGTGCGCTAGGAGAGGCAAAAACCATCCGAAACCGAGCTGAGAGTGGCTCTATCTCAATGTTGTCCTCAATGGGAGACTGGCTGCCAAGAAGAAAGTGAATCGTATGTCGATCCCGACAGGTGCATTTCCAGCATTTGTCGTTGAGAATGGCGTTGTGTAAGCTCTGTGCAAGTTTTCGACTTCGCTTAAGCTGTGGCAGAGAGCGCTTTGATATCTTTCGCTTTTGTACTTGGCTCCGGTGCTCGCTTTGTTCGGTGAGATTGGCCAGTTGTTCGTTTGCGCTTTTAATCTCACTGAATATCCTCTCATAAATGCTTTTAGAGAATGTGTCCTTGAACTTTTTGACTTCTCGATTGAAACTACTCGAGTCCTTCCAGAAGACCTGGATTTTGGGTTATCAGATTAGTCAAGGTTAACTTTATTTGCGCGGAGACCTCTTTGTGGGATGGAGGTGCCACGGAAGATACACACCTCTACTGGCATCTTGTCCCAGCCTAGCTTGCGGTGTATCTCTTCGAGAAGTGTCGAAAGTTCTTTCATAGTTTGCATGAATGGAAGATAATTTCTTCCTAGTTTCTTTTTAAGAAGACGCTGTACAGTCGCCTTCTCCCATAGAGCCTTAATTTCATGAGGTTCAAGACTGTCGATACCATCATCAAACTCGACGACCCCTTCGAGAGATCTTTCTAGCGTATTGATAAAGGAAGCCTGCTGTGATCCGAGGTTTGTGGCATAGTGGTCCAATTTGCTGCGGTATCGCTTCGTTCGAAGATCACCCAGTGTCTCAAGACCTTGGACATAACTGTCCAGCTGGTTAACTATCAACGGCAAAATAGCGAGAGCGATGCCAGCTACTTCTATGCCGGACATACCGTCGGCTAAAGTCGATACCGCCCACGTTAGAAAGAAAGGATGAAGGGAGGGAAGGAATGCTGTTTTAATGTAGCTTGGGGAACAGTAAGAGGAGTTGCCCCTCATTTCAGCCCCAACCCCGCCGTCGAACAATCCCTGCCAATCTCATGACCGTCAGCGATGTCTAGAATTTTCTCCCCAATGATCCTCTATGCTTGACTTCTTCATGTCGCCGCTCTTTTATCATGGAAGAACACGCCGCGCTTCAGCAGCCGCACACAACGGGTATCCCCATAGGCAAAACAACAAGCCCCATCTCAGCTATTGTTCAGAATTGTCTCAGGCGGCTTGGCCATATCATCACATCCCATCGACTCGATGAATATAAATCACAGGTCTTACCAGAGCTATGGTCGGACGAACTAGGTCGGTTGCGAGTTTGGACGGCAAACCTGGGAGCGCACCAGACAGGCCAGTCGTCGCTGGACTACCGACTGCGCGAGGCATCGCACCTGAAAAGCCAGATCCTCCGAGTCCTCGGTCGTCTTCAGCGAACGATTCAAGATCTGGAAAGCCTCCCGCAGGAACCAGACGCACTGGAGGAATTCTCAAGCGAATCGGAGGACAGCGAAGATGAGGGCCAGACCTTCATCCAGAAGATATACCATTCCTTGCACGACACTATAAACATACTTTTCGAAAATGCGATGTCAATACGAAGACCTGCTCAGCATGACAGAATAATCGGAGTCAAACGGTCGGAAACCGCCGGCTTTGAACAATGGGACAGACAGCACGTCGCGGATAAGTTTCCCCAGCTGCAACACGATATTCGAGATCGACTGGGGCTAGCAATATCCCAGCGCCGAGCCACGCTCAAGTATCGCGAACGGCATCACCTCAAGCTCGCACAGGGGCTGGACTCGGTGGAAGACACGTCGCTATCGGAAACAGTTGCTACAAAGTTGATCATGAGCCGCGCCGAAGATGATAACTTTGAGCTACAGTCTACTGCTTCACAGACCTCTTATGCGCAAACTATCATGAATGGGGGAGAAGGTATGGTTGTACCGCCTCCTCCTAAAGGGAGCCTGGATGGAAAGCCTTTCAACTGCCCCTACTGCTTTCTTCTCATCAAAGTTAAAGACAGGCGCTCCTGGACACAGCATGTTTTCCACGATCTGATGCCGTACGTATGCGTCTTTACCGATTGTCGAACGCCGCATCGGCTTTTTGAAAGTCGTCGCGAATGGAGCGCCCATTTACAGAGTCAGCATTCGATTCCGGACGAGGCGGGTAAAGTGGTCCAATGTTCTCTTTGCAGTGCATCTGTTGGTTCCGCTAAACCATTCGAACGACATCTCGGTCGGCATCTGCAAGAGCTCGCGCTTTTTGCTCTGCCAAGATCTTGTACAGACGAAGAAGAAGATGATGATTCACATGTATCGATTGGGTCAAAAGTCTCGGCAAAAAGCCTAGAACAACTTGACTCGGACGATGATAATGATGATGATGATGATGATGGAGAGACTGCCATGTTGACAGTATCCCAGGATGGCCAAGAGACCCAACCCCCAGGTCCTTCAAACCCGTACCATGAAATACTGGAAAAAATGAGAGGGGGGCATGAAAGCACCGACACATCCGACATTGATTCCGATCCCGAGAGGATACATAATACTAGTACTCCTTATGAAAACCAAAAGTGAGTTCTTCAAGTTTTGAATTCGAAATATACCCCAGTCAGTTTTCAGCGGCTAAATTACTGCAAGTCAACTCGAATCTGAGCCCGGTATCCCAATTGACCAAGGATTGCTTGATATGATAAAAGAAACACACGGCGAGCCCGGTGGTGAGCCAACAATTGATTCGGTAAAAGATAAAGAAATCGAACGATTGGAGAAATCGATCCGGGAAGACAGCGAACCAAAAAAGGCCAAAGAGACAGCTCTGAAAAAGGCTGCTGTTGATGAGTGGAAGATCGAGCAGGAAAAGGCCAAGCAGAGGGCTAAAGAGGCCCAAAAAATCAAGGACAAGGAATTCCGTGAGCGACTGCGTGATGATTTCGGATATGGCGACGAAGAAATTGAGAAAATACTCGACAAGGAGAGACATAAGGAGAAATTCAAGCACAAAGAGCACGATACCATTAATAAGGAGAAAAAAGATGCTTGGATCAAGGTATGATGAACTGATCTTATTGATGCTAGCTACTGGAACTATGGCTAACTATAATGTCAACTAGGTTCACCGCAGACACCTACTCCCCGAAACCTTGTTGGCGTACAACTTGCCTTGGGACTGGGATGAAGTAAGCAGCAGCTCTATGCAAGCACCCATTCCCTCCTTCACTACTGATATCTACTACAGCACGACTCCAACTACATCATCATCAAGAAATGGGTTACCGAGGACTTCCAGGAAGAACTCTTTGCCCACTCCCGCCGAATTCGCGAGGGCAAGGTCATTCACTCGAGCACCTCAATCAACCGGCACGTCGCCAGCCCCCGCAGCTCCAAGAAGCAAATCAAATTTGATTTTCGCCGAAGCAATAGCCCTCTTATCGGCGAGGAGTAATTTTCCGAAAGGAGAAACGAGCCTATCCAACCCCCCCTTGAAGCGGAGAGTATACTTGAGAACAGGAGGTCGAAATTTTACCACGGCACCGGCCGGGACATTCGAATCATAGCCGAGAACTCTCGTGGACGACGTCCGCAGCGTGCTGAGCAGTATTACGACGTTGAGGATGAAAGCCAAGGAGAAGAATTGGAGGGCCAACTCTCAGCCGTTGAGCAATACCAGGAGGCTAGGGCAGGCCGCTCTGCCACTGCTGCGCTACCTGGCGACAATGGCAGCCGAAAGAGTAGATCAAACAGCAGCCGTGAAAGCGCAACCGGCACCAAAACAGGAGGTGGAAATAACATCAGGCTGATGATGGACGGAATGCAACTCGCACTTAAAGAAGAGGCGGTCCACGGAAAGATGATTAATATTCGAGGTGATGACACCGGCGGATTTCGCCTCGGTCTTGGGGGAAATGCAAACCGCAAGCCGGAAGCTCGCAGAAGCAGAAGTGAAGAAAGAGACGAACGCGAACGAATCGATCCCGAGATCGAGATGGCCCAAGGATATACGCGCGAAGATGAAAGAAGGCCCGGGCAGGAAACCCATGATGAACTTCTAGAGTTTTCTCATGGCTCCAAGGGCGAGTTCAACTCGTCACAACCGGAGATTTCGACTGGAAAAGTGACCACTGAAGATGGTGATGATGATTCAATCGATGATGAACGAGGAGGGTCTAGAGTATCGATATATCTTTGTTGTCAGTGCTCAGGACTGGTGAATATGTACTTGTCAACCGAACGATGTCCACTCTGTGGCCACGGGAGATGCATGTATTGCAATGCGGCTTAGTGATAGATTTAGCGTTTAGTTGAAATCTTTGAATTTCGGCATCGACAAAATCAGTAGGCAGATCCTGCCGTAATGAATATCTATTCCTTTGAAAATATAGCCACAGTCCAATATCCATGCAGAACACTACTTTTTTCCTTTTTGCTTGGTTAAAATCACTCTTGTAATCGGGTGAGTTAGCAAGATGGCTGAGAACAATAGGTTCAAATTGGACCTGCAGACTAGTGTGTATGAACTAATTCTTAAGCCATCCCCAATGCGAGAACCAGGATGATATTCAATAGTTTGCAGGGTATTAGCTAGAATGATGCATAAGTGCCAAGCAGCATAGGAACTTGGACCATGCATGTGTAATCCTGGATGCATGGATGCGCATTAAGGCAGCCATAAAGCTTCTTTGCCGCTTGGCTTCTAGTATTAGGTGCAGCCCGATCCTAGTGGGGTGTACTTTAACCACTAGTATCAATCTGCTAGGTAGTGAAACTATCTTTCCTAATTGTGATATAGACAGGTTATACATGGATCTATTTACTAGTTTTATGTTTATCTACGGAGTGGATATTTATTTCCAATAATCAATTTGTACCCTTGGAATTGAGTGAGTGCATCTACCGTAAATATGACATTCTCGGCAAATATCGCTCTCGGGGAGGACAATCCGCTTCCCGTGTGGAGCGACCCTCGAGGCGAATTCTGGGTGGAGCCCTCATTCTCAAGAGGGGGAGAAACTAGGAGTTTGACATTGTTCTATCCTATCTAATCATCCAAACACTAATCAAGTTGGATAGTAGTGTTTTTGGTACTCGAACGTACTAATACTATATAGCATACCAGTCCTACACTATGTGAAGATATAGGGTTTACGGTGTAGTGACTGTATAAAGTCAATGCATAGGCTAAGTATGGCTAGATATGGCTAAACATGGCTAAAGAGTTATACTAACTTAATCTATGCTAGACTGAGTTTAGCGGGGAGTCTAGAGTGTGTCTGCTAACCTTTAGGAAGTGTGTCTAAGTGGGTCTCTGATTGGCTGGTTGCGGGTAACGCAACCTCAGCCAGCGATGGACGCACGTGCTGCAGCTAGCTGCGAAGCTACTTCCAAAAGGAAGAAGGTGTAACTGCGCGACTATCCATCGTGTTTCTTCTGCCGTCTGCATTTACGGCTAGCTTCACTTCCCTCGGGAGTAAAATTCGTTAAGACTTGGATCCTTTGCCTTATCTTTCATCAGCTCTGACCTTTCCCTTCCCTTCCTTCTCTTCCCGCCACCCCCCACCCACTCGGTACTTGGAAGTGACACAAGGTTGCCAATCCGTCCGCTTGACTCTGCACCCTCTTCCCCTCCAGTCTGAGGCACCATGCGGTTCGGAAAGACCCTTCGGAAGGCCTTGTACCCCCCCATGGAAGGGCAATTATATCGACTACGCGAAGCTGAAGTCCTTGCTACGAGAGCATGATGTCAATGACGAGCGTGACGATGGCAGTGACTCCGACACCAGTCTTTGGACCGAGCAAGATGAGGAGGCTTTCGTCCAGGAACTGATCAACGTGCAGCTAGACAAGGTCAATGCCTTCCAATCGCAGACCTCGCAGCAACTCCGAGAGCGCACCTCCGCCTGTGAGGCCAAGCTGCGACCGTTGGCCCCGGCTGCCGATCAGGAATCCCCCAGCGATGGTCCCGAGAAACGCAGAATCGCCTCCGAGGCCCTCCAGGAGCTCGACAGCATTACAAAGGAGGTCAGCGAATTGGAAAAATACAGCCGTATCAACTTTACCGGCTTCCTCAAGGCGGCCAAGAAGCATGACCGCAAGCGCGGCGCTCGATACCGCGTCAAGCCCCTGCTGCAAGTGCGCCTATCTCAATTGCCCTTCAATTCCGAGGACTACTCGCCATTGGTCCACCGCCTGTCCGTGATGTACTCTTTTGTGCGTGAAACCCTGAGCCAGGATGTCGTCCAGTCAAAGGAGCCGGAACGCGGCTTTGGTCGAGATGTCTATTCGTCCTACAAGTTCTGGGTGCACGCCGACAACGTCCTCGAGACCAAGACCCACATCCTGCGCCGCCTTCCAGTCCTCATTTATAACCCCGGCACCTCCAAGGACGTGCATAGCCTGCCAGATGACCCCACGATCACCTCTCTTTACTTCGACAACCCCCAGTTCGATCTGTACAACCAAAAGGTTGCCCGTGCTTCGGAGGCTGGATCTCTACGCCTGCGCTGGACTGGTCAGCTGCGAGATAAGCCACCCATCTTCCTCGAGAAGAAGATCGTCGCCGAAGATGATAGCAGCCGGGAGGTCAAGGTGCAGCTCAAGGAAAAGCACATCAAGGAGTTCTTGGACGGCGAGTATCACCTGGATAAGAAGGTACACCGCATGGAAGATATGAACAATGGCGAGTCGGCCGAGGCCGAGTCTCTCAAACAGAATGTGGAGGAATTGCAGTCCTTCATCAAGGAGCACAACCTTCAGCCTATGCTCCGGGCCAACTACACCCGCACCGCGTTCCAGATTCCAGGTGATAACCGCATTCGCATTTCTCTCGACACCAATCTCGCCTTGATCCGGGAAGATTCTCTAGATCAAGAGCGTTCTTGCCGAGACCCCGCCGAATGGCACCGAACCGATCTGGACGATGCTGCCGCTTCTTACCCTTTCAGCGCCGTGAGAGCCGGCGAAATTGTCCGTTTCCCTCACGCTCTTTTGGAGATCAAGCTGCGTGGTAAAGCCCATGACTCCGAATGGATCAATGATCTCATGTCCTCCCACCTTCTCAAAGAAGCACCTCGCTTCTCCAAGTTCGTCCACGGTGTCGCCCAGTTATTCGAAGACAACGTCAACAGTTTCCCCTTCTGGCTTGGCGAATTGGAAAATGATATTCGTCGTGACCCGGAAACCGCTTTCCACGAGGAACAAGAACGACTGGCCAAGCGAGCAGAGGAAGATATGGCGGTCGGTAGTTTCCGCGTTAGTGTCAGTAGCCCAGGCACACATATGCTCTCGGGATCTCCCTCCCACCGATGGACGGAGCCATCTCGCCGTCGACCCTCTGGAATGAGCGAGGGTGTGCCTCCAACTAAGCCCCGCATCTCCGCCGTTGCACCCGAATATCGCGAACAAACAGAGCAACCTGCTGCCGAGCCGTCCGAGGATACCCCGATACCCGCCTACAATTTCTCTTCACTCCTACAGTCTTTGACCCACAAGTTCCAGAACTGGACAGGACAGCAGGATGAGGTCTTGCCGCCCGGCGTCCGTCATCCGGGCGTCTGGATCAAAGACGCGGGACCCGTCCGCGTGGAAAGTAAAGTGTGGCTCGCCAACCAGCGAACATTCATCAAGTGGCTCCACGTCAGTATCCTGCTCTCGACCTTGTCTCTGGGTCTGTACAACGCTGCTGGAAAGCACAACCGCATTGCACAGGCTTTGGCCATCGTCTACACATTCTTCGCCATCTTTGCCGCCGTTTGGGGCTGGTATATGTATGAGAAGCGCGCTCGACTCATCCGCCAACGCAGCGGAAAAGACCTGGACAACATGTTCGGACCTCTCGTCGTGTGTGTTGGTCTGGCGATTGCCCTGGTCCTGAACTTTGCCTTCAAGGTATGTACCAGCTCGACTCAGCTTCCCCTCCTCTTTTCCCGTCTCAATTCTAACACTTCATAGTATCAATCCGTGATGAACCAAGCCCGCGATGCTCAACCCCCCCGTCTCAGCCCCTGTCACCAACTCTTCTGCTTTCGACACTGGCTCGATAGCCTCGTGGAGACCGAGCTACAATGCGCAGCAAGTCCTGTAAACGCTCTCTACTTGCCAGAAAAAAAAAAATTGTTACCTGGGCAGGGGCAGGTCCCTTCCTAAAGTCTGGAGACACTGTACTTCACTCAGCTCTGTACTGTATATTGACTCTGGACTTGGACTCTAGGGGCATCGACGATTGTCGGGCTGTTGGGTTGATTTTGTGAATTTTTTTTGGATGCATATATGGAGCCAATCGGTGTACTTTATGAATAGCTTGCATGAATGATATTTCGGGGCAAATCAACCAAGAGGGAGCCGACTGTAGTAGTCTAATAAAGCGTAACATAAAACGTACGGCATAAATATCTTCAAATTTTCGTGGATGCCTGCCACCGCTTGGGTTGCCTGTATAAAACCCGCCTGACAAACGCCAGTGGATACGCTGACAAATGACGTGTTGGAAGCTTCGGAATCCAGCAGAAAGTACGAAAAAGACCACCGAGGTATAAGTCAAAAGCACCAATTTAACCAAAACCCAAACCTTTAACTTGAACCTAAGCCCCTCCCCCTCTCTCACCCTTCCCGTCTTTCTTCCATCTCTCTCCAAATACCCCTCCGAAGGCATTCCTCCCGCCCAAAATGACAAACTTCAAGATCCAAATCATCTCCGACTCCGTCTGCCCGGTATGTCATGCCCCACTCCGTTGCATACGGACATAACCATCCCATCATATCCGAAAACCATATTCATACATCTTCTACACCATGACCTCCCCCTCCCTTTAGAATCAAACTAACAGACAAAACAGTGGTGCTACGTCGGCTTCAAACGCCTATCCCGAGCAATAATAACCCACAAAACCCAACACCCATCCGACACATTCAACCTAACCTGGAAAGCATTCTACCTCAACCCCGCCTCACCAACATACCCCGGCGAAAACAAGCGGGAAATGTACGCGCGGAAATTCGGCGCCGAGCGCGTGGCGGCTATGTTTGCGCGCCTGGCCCCCATCGGCGAGAGCGAGGGTATCAAGTTCTCGTTTGGCGGGAATACGGGGTCGACCCGGGACTCGCATCGACTGATTTGGTTGGCGGGGGAGGTTGAGAAGAAGCAGCAGCAGCAGCAAGCTGGTGCTGAGATTGGGGGGATTCAGACGCGTGTTGTGGAGAAGTTGTTCCGCGCTTATTTTGAGGAGGAGAAGAATATTACCGACAGAGATGTTTTACGGGAGGCGGGTGTTGGTGCTGGGCTGGATGAAGGTGCTGTGAAGGAGTTGCTTGAGGGTGAGGCTGATGAGGGGGGTGAGGAGGTTGATGCTGAGGCGGCGGCTGCGTCGGGACGGTTGGTTTCGGGGGTGCCGTTTTTTGAGGTGCAGGGGAAGTATGCTGTTGAGGGGGCGGATGAGCCCGAGACGTTCTTGGAGATTTTTCAGAGGGTTAAGGATGAGGAGTAGAAGGGAGATACTGGCTCGGGGACGAGGGTAGGATTTATGGCGTTGATATTGATGGATTCTGAGTCTTATTTCTTTTTGATGTCCCTTTCTTCTAGTAATGCTGGTTACACGGAGCTAGCCATCTGATGTACGATGTACTCTGAAACCTATATTTGAATAACTAGTCTTTTCCAATATCCCTAGTACCTTAAAGGTTAAGTTTGTGTATAAAGATTGCATCTTCTGGAGTCACATTAGCACCTTTGTCAAGAAGCATGAGGACTATCTCACGGTAGCCCTTCACGAGTGCTACTTGAATAGCATTAAATCTGTCATCAATTCCACCTTTAGCGTTCACGTCAGCACCATGGTCTAATAGTGTTCGTACCACCTTGCCATATCCTCTCCTTGATGCTGTATGAAGTGGATGGCCATGTTTCCCCCACACGTTCACACAGGCACCATGATCTAGTAGTAATTGGACCACTTTGTCATGGCCCCATCTTGATGCTGCAAGAAGCGCATTGCCATGTTCCCCCCGCACGTGCACATCGGCACCATGATCTAGTAGTATTTGGACCACGTTGTCATGGCCCCTTACTGATGCTGCGATAAGTGCAGTACCATAAAATCTACCCTGGGCATTCACATCGGCACCATGATCTAGTAGTATTTGAACTACTTGGCCATGACCGTTCCTCGATGCTTCAATAAGAGCACTCCTAGATATCCCCTGCACGTTCATATTGGCACCATGATCCAGTAATATTTGGACCACTTGGTTATGGCCGCGGTGTGATGCTTCAAAAAGTGCATAGCTAAATCCCTTCTTTGCGTTCACACTGGCACCATGATCCAGTAGTATTTGGACCACTTGGTTATGGCCGTAGCGTGATGCTTCAAAAAGTGCATAGCTAAATCCCTTCTGTCCGTTCACATCAGCACCAAGATCTAGTAGGAGCTGAACAACGTCTTTGTGACCTCCAAAGGAGGCTGCTTCAAGTGCACTGTCAAATCTTCCACCTTGGGCATTGATATCAGCACTGTGATCAAGTAATATTTGGACAACTCTTTTGTGGCCTTCAGATGCTGCTGCTTGAAGTGCATATGCGTAGTATCCAAACTGGGTATTTATAATGTCTTTTAGACCTCCAGTCTCGACATGAATGGCCAGGAGAGTTCTTAGGATGACCTCTAGCCCCAAAAACGACGCATAATAAATGGGAGATAAAACACCATTCACGGGCCTTTGAAAATCGAAAAATGACGTCCGTGGATCGTCAATCATGTATAGCCTGACCCAGGTCATGAATGCGTTGTTGTCATTCTGGAACAACCTCAACAGCAATTTTTCTGTTTTTGGGTTTCCCTGAGAAGATTGATAATAGTGAAACCAATTTTCGGCAGCAAATTCGGCCAGAGCGAAGACATTGAGCTTTCCTCTGTCCAAAATTCCATCTGATAAAGTCGGGTCTAAAAGATAGACAAGGCAGATTTGGCTTAGTTCGGTATTCGCATTCATTATCAATAGCGAATCTTTCTGCTTTCTGCTGTCGGATACGATCTGACTGAAGGTACTCCTTGACGGAGAAATGAGCAATGCGAACAAGTGGACTCCTTTCATCAATTTCAAACACCCCTGGTCCATCGACTTCTCCAGGGCCCGTTTCGAAGATCTCTATAAGCCCAAGACAAATATCAACAAGGTCATCTGGCTCATAGGATCGGCCCTCACGATCGAGGCATTGCGGTTCTTCGTTAAGCTCTACAGCATGAGCTTCGATCAACTCACGAACGGTGAGGGTTTGTCTAGAGAGACAAAGCACTGTCAAGGTACGCTTTACGTCCTCGACATATGTTTCGTCGATGGAACATAATATGCGCTCGTAAGTTTCGTCTAGATCGCGAGGCAAAGAGTGTAAACATTTGTCAAGCTGGTTTCGGTTTCGTGCCTGTCGACAAGACCTCAGTTGGCATTCCGCATATCTGAAACTGTACATAGCTGGCATCAGTACACTAGATTAGGAAAGTTGCACTGAATTGGGTACTCACACTCCCTGCGCACCCTCTGTTATTTTGCTTTGAATCTCGCCCTGTCGCACCTTCCATCTCTGAAGATCGGGGTCATTTTCCAGCCGATGAGATACAAAATTCGATATATCATCATCAATTCCCGGATTTTTCATCAGGACAACACATTCAGAAGAAGGGTCTAATGATCGACGGATGTCATGGTAATCTCGACTTGTGACTAAAAGATGAACATTTGGCAAGCTCCAGTCACGCAACACCTGTATGACTCTCAGAACATCATCTCTTTTCCCCTGATGATCTCGGGGACACTCATCCAACGCGTCGATCAATACATATCCGTCCTGTATTCTTTCTAGGAAATTTCGAAGAGTTTCAAGTAGAATTTCTTCCGAAGGCGCAGATGACTTGGACAGTAAACGTAGTTCCTCCAGGTCCTTTTCACCGTCGTGGACCTGCACCGATAATTGCAACAGCAATGCACACAACAAGCCATTAGAATCCTGCTTCGACTCATCACTAAAAGCAAAGTAGAAATACGCGATTCCTACATTTCCGCGATTCACTCTCGTCTCGCAAAACTTGAGTATGTGGTGTATTATAACCGAAGAGAGGACTGACTTCCCACACCCTGCGAATCCGTTCAGCCAGAGAAACGAATTCCGCTCTGCGAGCCAGTTCGAGAATTGATCACTGTTGATGAACCACAGTCCCGTTTCTGGGTGGTGTTTCTTGAAGAATGTGTTCTGATTGACAGCTGGATCCGGCGCCTGCAGCCAGGCACGAATTGCGAAGGATACTTGGCTTGTATTCGTTCGTTCGAGGAGAGATTTGACTGCTGACATTTTGTCTTCGATACGACTGTGATCTTTGAACTGTAGCACACTCAGTGCGAGCGTCAAGTTCTCGCGGATTTCGCCGATATCTTCTTCGATTTTCACGAGTGTGCTTTTTCGGAATGGATAGGTTGCGCTGCGGCTTGTGGCTTTCAAACGACCTTTCAAGCTGGTGTCCGCAGCCGATTTGGCAGGGAATTTCTCACACTCTGCTTGGAGGTCTTGGATGATATCATGGCAGCTCTGTGTCGACTTCTCGACTTCTTGAAGTAGATCTTCTGCATTGGGTTGAGACTTACGTTGTTGAACTGCAGTTTCTAGGACTCGGAGAATGCTTTGAAGGATTTCTATGTTCTGGATGATTTTTGCAATATCGGCGTCTTTGCTCTTGTAGTTTGAGTAGAAATCTACCAAGGTTTGCGTGACTTGGATACTCAATGAAAGGAATCCGGCGATGCCAGCTGCGATCGAGAGCGGATCGCTCATGGCGGTAGGTGGAGGCCGCTTTGTTCTTGTTCGCTTGACTTTTGAATTACTTAGTAGGGTTTCGGCGATTTTTAGAGAACGAAGCTCAGAGAAATCGGTCGAAATCGACGAAGAACTATCAGACGGTCTTGATTCAGCCTCACTCGATGCCCGATTCCCCTCGTATTAGGACACGTGATCCGCCGTGCATTAATAGTGTGTTTGGTTGTCATAGACTTCTTTTCTCTTCTTTTTTTGTAGTTAAAAGATGCTCATAGAATCTGGCTTCGATTGAAGTGTTAGAACGAATTATATGCTATGTACATATCGCGACAAAGATTGGAGAATGCTCGTCAAATAGGCTTTCAGTATTCCAGAGAGGAGATGTGTAATGCAAGAGTACAGCGCAGGCTCTATCTGAGTCCTGCCGGGATCGAATCGGATGGGAGAGTTTTAGTTCAACATTTCAACATTCAACATTTCATGACCGACCACGATCATGTCGTGAACGACCCGGACCTAGTCCATAACCATGACAAGACTCAATACAGAGCCCAGGCCTAGGTGCCGGCTCAAGCGAGCCACGCGCCTTACCAATGAGCCAATCAGTCAAAGTCACGAACGTAGCAGTCCGGTCCTCGCCATCCGTCGCGTCATCGGCGTGTTCAATCGTATGCGTCAAGATACGGCCTTCATCATCGAATGAGAAGACAAACAGCCCGCTGAATTGTTGTTCTTTGGATAATTTGAATATTGGTTCGTCGCCGCCGAGGAGTTTGCTTAGGCCTCTGTTTGTGCCGTTCTCTGGTGATGAGAGGTGACTTTGCGATTGTGATGCGGCAGAGCCGGAGGTGGGGGAGGAGGCGGCATTGGCGTTATTCGTGTTCGGCGTATCGTGGAATGGCCTGCTATCGGTTCGAGGCTCCGTTTTCCACCGCACGACTAGTCGTTCGTCGCCGCAGTCGTGCTTGTCGCCGTGTTCTGGGTCGAGAAGGGTCCCGGCGCGGACTATTCGCTCGCTGAGGATTTGTAGCTTTACATTGCCGACAAGTGGTACGCTGCTCCATGCGACTGGTACTGTCCACAGTGCTGCGCGGTATAATGTGCGGCCCTTGACGGTGGGGAGGTGTGGGTGTGTTGAGGGGAATAGGTGGAGGTTGACGCTGGGAGCGAGGATCTCGGGTGGGAGAGTATTGTACAAGATTGTAGGAAGGAGAGGTGACAGTGTTCGGAGAGCTGGAAGAAAGGAAAGCAATAAGTTTCCCGGGCTTCCCTGGTACGTTTTGCCAATTCATTTCTTTGTACTTACTCTTGCCGAGCTTCAATACCCGCTTGTCTGGAGGCTTATGGTTGTTCTTTTGCGGTTCGTCTAGTCCGTCGATGCCGGTGCGCACCCGTGTTGGGGAGAAATATGTTATTGGGAGAGGTGTTCCTGATGCTGGAGCTGGAGATAGCCAGGGTTCTTGGAGAATACCATGACGTGGGTGGGCGAGTGGTTGGCGCGGCGTGAATGTGAATGAGCGGCCCGCGCTGCATCTCGATGGACGCTGCGCCTGCGCCTGTGTCTGTGCCTGCAGCGGCCGGAGAGAAAGACTACGCGAAGGTGAGGCCAGGTTAGGCATTCCGCCGGAACGTATAGGGGCGGCGAGGGTCATGCCATGAGTGTACTGGGAGAGTTGGAGAGAGTTGGAATTAGAAAGTTGAAATGCGGAGAGGTCTACGATCATTTCCCGGTTTCGCGGGCCAATCGCAGCGCGCGGGTATACAATACAACGAAAATAGGGCAACCATGGGACATTACAGCCCTGGAGAGTAATCAAGGATTCTTCGATACAGATTGAAAGGATAGAAAATAAAAATTTGACATATAATTTCGTACTCTGCGGTTAATTTCATGCTCTGTGGTATTCTATTCCTCAGGCCAATTCATCATCATCATCTTCCATGCCCATCACTCGTCGCTCAGCCAAGTCGCGAATCTTGTCCTCCAACACGCCGCGTCCAAAGCGCTCAGCAACCTTAGCTGCTGCCTCAACCATCTTACCATTGCGATCAGTCATGAGATTAACCAGCTCCAGCGCCTTCATACCACGTTCCTCGCCCTCTCTGCATTCAATGGCCAGCATCTGCAGCAGAGTCTTGTCAAGCTCCAACTCCTTGCGCGCCAGCTCCGCACGCTGGCCAGAGGTTGCATTGGTTGAGGCCAGAAGGTCGCGGAACAGTGAAAGAAGCAGGCTTCCTCGGACAAAACCTTCCTCGAAACGGCTGCCTTGGTCGGCGTCGGCGCCATCTTCCGAGGGGTCCTTTGGCGGGTTGCTGGAAATGGGCAGCTGGAAGTCAAACTCGCTGAGAAGGGGCCGGGGGAAGTATGGGTTTTTGTCGCCACCCTTCAGAATGATACAGTGGAATTTCCCTTGGGCGACGGCGACGGGCCAGTAGGTTTCTTCCTTTTCGTCCACCCGCGAGACGGGACATTTGCTTTGTATCTAGAAGGGGGACCCATCGGGCTTGCCCGGGTGTGCGCCAATGTTGAAGGACAACCAGTACGCCGGTTGAATCATAGATACATGGGTCCTATTACTTGTTAGTTTTGTTGTTCATAGTCTGGAGCGAACTGGTATGGGTGGGTAGCAGGGGACATACACCACTGTCTGTGAAAAAAACACTTTGTAGTTGAGCTCCAGGAGGCAGAGCAACCACATCTTCATTTTGGCAGATCTCGTCGCGCTTGACGTTCTCGACGGTGTAGTGCAATGTCGCATACCGACCATCGGCGGATACGGACCCATTTCCAATGGTCATGATGTAGTCTCGCCAAGCGGCGCATGTTACGGCCTGGCTCTTCTGTCGATAGACCCTGAACGGTGTGCCAAAGAGGGTGTACACTCGTACGTAGCCCTTGGTCGTAACAGCAACAATATAGGACTCACTGAGTGCGAGAGCTAGATATTTGTCAGAATAATACTGTACAAAGAGGTTAGAAATCACATACCTCGGACCATCTCTCCCTCTGGCAATTGAGTACGCCAATCTGCTCGAGTTGTCCAAGTCTCATGCGGCCGGTAGAAAATTGTCGCAGGACTACCGTCAGATGGGTTATTAGAGAAAAGCGTGCCGTTATCATCTGTTCTTGTTAGACTTGTTATTTGGCCATGATGATCTCGACTTACTCAGGCATGCTTTGTCGTATTGGTAGGGGTCGGTAAAGTGGAAGTCCCGATGAAGCTCCCGGTCATAAAACTCGACAGTAACTGTGTGATGAGTCTCCTGGTCAACGGTCCAGACAGCACCAGTCAGATTCAAGCCTAAAAATGGGTTAGCAGAGTTCAAGATTACCAGATTGGAATGCCATACAGAGATACCGCCTGTTGCCAGCCCATGGTGTACTACCAGGCTGGAGTGGCGGATGGCATTTGGGCTGAACAGCTCCCGATTGCAAACGCTTGCTATCAGGACCATCGAGGTCATCGAGATGGTCATTTGATCGCTTTCCGTGGAAGTTCAAATCCTCAGCATAGCCGGCTCCATCATCATCGTCGACAAAATCCGCCATGTCCTCATCTCCGCCAAGAATATCATCCAATGAATCGGGTGTTCCAGCTCGGACCGGCTTCTTGACTGTTTCCCTGGACCTATCTGCCAATGTGTGTGGTAGATTGTTGGAGATTTCAGTCAATGGCCCTGGGAATATAGGAGCTGCCTGCAGGGATTTCTGGAGTTGAGCTTCATGGCTCCTTGGGACGAAATTGTCGTGGATGAAGAGTTCGCCATCGGAGGTCGTGAACGACAGAGAATTCTTGGTAGGATGCCAGGCAATGTTGATTACATTTCCAAAGTCATATCGCTGCACGATTTTCTGGGTCTTCGTTTCCCAGAGAACGATCTGTTTGTCCGCTCCAGCCGAGACCAAAAGAGCTCCATTGGGCGACCAGCTAATCGCGGTAATCTCACCGGTATGTCCGTTGGCGAAGGTCTTTTCCTTCTTCCACGAAGAAATCGAGTAGATAGCGACGTCCCGGGTTGCCTCTGCAACGGCAAAGGCTGTGCCGTCGGGGTGCCATACAGCTCTCGATGTTGCCTCGGAATCCGGTTCGAGTTGGCGAATTACTCCATCAAGTTTGTGGACCAGCGCAGGCTCCTCCTCAGCCAGAGAGTATATATAGAGAAGACCGTTTGTGCTGGATACGGCAATGAAGCGGCCATTGGGATCGAAAGTGACGTGTTTGGCGGATTTTTGTTGTTCGCGGAGGTACTTGATTTGCGACATGTCTTCGACCTTGACGATCTTCACGGTGAGATCACTAGTAATGTTAGCTTGTCGTCTTAGCATCATGCTTTATTAATTGAACTCACTCGCTTGCCACGGCCACCCACTCTCCATCTCTGGACAGAGCCAGATCACGGATTGGCAGCGCGCATCGTGTCAGGATAGGCCCCGACTTGCCTGTAGCTGCATCGTACTGCCAGACATTGCCGTCCTCGCTGCCCATGACGAAGTATTTGTTCTTTTCACAGGTTAGAATTTGTATACCACTTGAGCAGTGTTCTTTCGGTCATACCGTCGCGGCAACACCGACATGCCCGTCCATCCCGTCGTCAACGGTCTGCGGTTCTCCATCTTCATCTACAGTGTAAATACGAATAGCCGAGTTCGAGCCACCGGTGATGATTCGTCGGCCATCGGGGGTGTATGTTAGGACTGTCGTCCCTGGGGTGTCTAGACAGAGATAGGCTGGTTAGTAGGAACCTCGCGTCAGCTGCAATTGCGACGCCAACTTACGGGCAGGGCGCCCTCGAGGGCGAACAGCATCCGAGCTCATTTTATCAAAGCCTGCGAGCAATTACTCGGGTAAGATATCGCAGGATCAACAATGGCGGGGATTCAATCGCAACTCAATCGAAGACCCCCTCTGGCGGTGTCCGGAGGTGATCGACGGGAGACGCGCGCGCGACGCGCCCTCAAGGGATTTAACCTAATTGGGACAGGGCTTAGGGCAAGGAAGTATACAACATCTAATTTCAATATATTATTTGATTATTCGTAACATTCAAATTCGTTCAATTATTTCTTTCTATAAAATATTATTCTACAGGACCACTCGCTGTAAGGAAATCGAAATCAGTGCCCTGATGCGCCTGATTTACCGACCGCTCATACAATCCACGATACCCTCGCTTCTGCTTTCTCGCTCGTACCGGTCCAGTTTCAGCTTCAAGAACCTGCTTCCGCTGCAAGATACGCGATTTAAGCAGCTCATCGGAAATATGCAGATGCAGCCGACGACTTTCGATATCGCAAGTAATCAAGTCCCCTGTTTCGACGATGCCAAATGGGGAATCTGGCACCGCGGCTTCTGGGGAGATGTGGAGGATGATGGTTCCTCCTGCAGTTCCTGACATCCGACCATCTGATAATCGCAGCATATCCTTCACGCCTGTCGATGCGAGCTTCGTTGGAATCGGGATCAGTCCAGCTTCGGGCATGCCGGGGTTTCCAATTGGTCCGATACCTTTGAGTACCAGGACACTGTCCTTCGTGACCTCAAGAGCGGGATCGTCGATGCGCAGCGCCAAGTCTGCTGAGTTCTCGAATACAACGGCGGGTCCGGTGTGTGTAAGTAGGTTTCGGTCTTTAGAAGCTGATGCTTTGAGGATTGCCCCGTTGGGTGCAATGTTGCCATGCAGAACGGCCAGAGAGGAAGAAGGGAAGAGAGGGTCTGACAGGGGCCTGATAATATCCTGCTCAAATGCAAACTTCTTTGTTGGTACTGAGTCCAGGACCTCACCGAGTGTTTTGCCGGTGATTGTCATGGCAGATAGATGAAGTAATGGTCGTAGGACTTGTAGTAATGCCATCATGCCTCCTGCATTATGGAAATCGTTCATATAGTTATCACCGCTTGGCTTCAAGTCAATCAGTAGCGGTGTCTTCTTTCCAATTTTCTCAAATGTATCCAAGGTGATCACGCCTTGGAGCTGAGGATGTCTGTTCGCGATGGCGAGTATGTGAACAACGGCATTTGTAGATCCGCCGATAGCTTGGAGAACGGTGATGGCATTCAAAAATGACTCCTTTGTCAGGATATCCTGCGGCTTGGTAGATAATTTCGCTACTGCTACCGCATTCGCGCCGGTTTCTTCAGCAATACGTAGTCTTGCAGATGATACTGCTGGCGCAGATGCACCGCGAAGGGGCATCATTCCCAGAGCTGCAGTAACACAGGCCATAGTACTAGCAGTGCCCATAACACCACATGTGCCAATCTGGAATTCATTTGCGTTAGCTACAGTATAGAAAATTGCCGAATTTCAAGACAACACTTACCGTTGGAGCAAGTTCTTCATTAATTTCCGAGATTTCCTCGACATCAATCTCGCCCGCTCGGAATGCGGCCCAGTTATTGCGGCAGTCGGTGCATGCACCGATTCTCTTGCCCCGGTGACTACCCGGCATCATAGGGCCGGTAATCAGAGGAAGAATAGGCTTATTGGCAGATATTCCGCCCATCAGCTGTGCAGGAACCGTTTTATCACATCCTGAGGAAGTTAATCAATACCATTCTCGAGATACGCAGACAGCATGAGTGCTGTACATGGGTGACTAACCTCCAATCATAATACAAGCATCCAACGGCTGCGCCTTAATCATCTCCTCCGTATCCATACTCATAAGATTCCGCAAAAACATACTCGTCGGAGACGAGAACGATTCATGAACGCTTATAGTCGGAAACTCAATCGCCAACCCGCCATTAAGCTGCACGCCACGCTTAGCAGCCTCGATAAGCTGCGGCACATTAGCGTGGCAAGGATTGAATCCGGAAAACGTGTTAATGATGCCAATTATCGGGCGCGAAAGGGCATCTTCGGAATATCCGAGTGCTTTGATGAACACTTTTCGGAGAAATAATGAGAAATGCGCGTCGCCGTAGGAGGTTAGGCCCTGGCGCAGACCCGAGGTCGAGGTTATGGGCTTGGTGAGGTCGTAGTCGCCGTTGAGCTCCGCTTCATTTTCATTTTGCATGATGGGAAGAGAACTTCCAAGAGGAGATTCTCGGTGGAAATGGTATATTTAAGTGCCTATATCCAATCCGCGCCTTTACAATTGCGAGTACAGGAGCCAGTGGGGCTTATATATGCGTATTCTCTGAGTGGATGGTGTCATTCGGGCCAACTCCGACGGATATTATTCCGTGCGGATGGCTTCCGTCTGAGAGCTCATTCGCCCCGCGTTCCACTTTCGACCTGGCGCCTCATGAAAATGCGGAGTAAATGGTTGATCTCGTTTTTTTTGGTCAAATTTGAGATATTTGATTCGTCAAGTGATATTTCTTCGGCCTTCTCGGGCTCGGTGAGATGACAGATCGCCGAAGACCACTTACCTACTTGCTGGGCTTTGGGAGTTCTATGAAAAGGGAATTTTCTCTTGCAGTTTATAGATGAAAAGTTGAAAAAAAAGGTGAAAATGAATCGCTTTCTATAGAAACATGCATTTTTGTATCAAGATAGATCTGAGCCCGAGGAAGTAGCCTAAACAGTCGGCTTCAAGTTTACCCTGATATCTCTCGCCGGCTGAGAAGACCCCCAGGTCGGCCAGTTCTTTGGAATTTTAAGATCCTTGCCATCCGTCGACGTGATATTCCACATTGATACTATACCCGCAGTAAAAGCCAGAATGGTGCCCTCATAAAATTTGTTATCCTTGGCACCATACAGCCCCTCCGCAATGGGGCCGAGAATATTTGCGTCGACCTTCTTTCCCCCGGATGCGGGGTCTGTCACAATGAATCGAAGCGGATCATACTGGTCTGGGTTCGAGAAGCGCCGAGGATCGGTCTGGTAGGCCACATGGGGCATGATAACATTCTCGCCCTTTCGCATCTTGTAGCTGCGAGGCTCCGTTGCATCGTTCGCTGACTCAGTCAAGGTCAAATCTGATTCCAACTTTCTGAAAGATACGCCAACAGAGTGGAGGCGGATAGTCTCGAGGTAGCATGCTTTGAACAATGGACATGAGTCTAGGACCTTTTCGAGATCGAGGCTGAGACGCGGGGGTTCGTCGAATGGGAATCCTGTCTCTTCCCGGGTCGGCCGGGATGATTTCACGCATGGGGAAAACTCCTTTCGAATCTCCTCCAGAAGCGCACTGTCTGCGAAGATGTGAAGAACAGTCCAAAAAGTGATCTTGCTTATGTGTTCAAGGATGTCCCAGTACAAGGACAAGTGGCCGGCGGCGCTCGCATTCGCGGTCAGGTCGAGCTTTCGGAATGTGCGCATTCTTTCCTTTACGAGCTCAGAGACATCGTCAAGGTCGCGAAGCTCGAGCCCGGGATCAATTCCATCATCGACTGCACAGAATGCGCGGTGGAACACTGATGTGATGTGGATGAGTTTATCACGGGTGGAATATCCCCCAGAGACACGCGGAGAAGGAAAAGCGCGGGAAGTTCCAACAAACAGCGTAACGAAGCTAGTATCCAATTTCCACAAATCCTCGATTACCATCGGGAAGTTCTCGAGGAAGGCCTCACCCATCAAGAATGTGGACATGTTGTGGCCCACAAAGTTTCGTACAAGGGCAAATAGGTTCGCCTCGCACAGAGACTGGTTCTCTTCGTCTAGCGACACTAGACTGTCACGCTCCCATGGGGTTTGGTCGACAAGACTTTTGCTGAAGGTGACCAGGTTTGGAATGTTGCGTTTAATTAGACTAGTGATAGCGGTTGATGCATCGTTCACAAAAGATTCTTTGTTGAGCATACCAGGAACATCGTCACTGATTTCACTGTTGGAAGTCTGTTGCAAAGTCTGAAGTAAACTGCGATTGCCAAAGACGTTTTGCAAAGCCTGGTCGAGCGCGAGGGTACTCGTTGCATTATGAGAAGACAAGATGGATTTGGTCATTGATGGTGAAATCACGGTATTGTGAGTCTCGCCACGCATATAGATGCCAAATACAGACTCATCCATCGAGTCCCTAATAGCTTATTAGAAAACGAAAAGGAGGCAGCATCGTCGCTGAGATTGAAGACCAACCTTAATGACTCGAATAGACTGGCATGATTCCATGCGAAGAAAGGGCTATTACCAAACCAGGGGAACCAATACGGCGCCAATCGCGTACTTCGAGGTTCCGCAGGATCTTGAACACGCTGTCGGCCCCGAACCCCACTGATGATGCGAGTCGCGATGCAGAAAAACGCCAAGATCGCAAAGAAGTTGACCCAGGATGCCTCGGGCAAGCTGTTCTTCACAGTCTGGATGTGACTGCCAGTGTTGGATGGCATTTCGTACTTCCAATCGTCCTCCATGATTGCGATGGGGTGCACTGAGACTGAGAGAGGAAATGAATAAACAGTGCCGATTTATGGCCCGACGCTGATTACAACAGCACCAGCACACGGTTCGGAATGCAATCGACCGGAAAATCAGTTAAAAATTGAAATTTTGAATCATCGTCGGGTCTTCATGGACAGGTTTGTGTCCGAGAAGGCGCAGCAGGGGAATTCGGCCAGGTGGAATTCGAACTGCTTATTCATCAAAGTCAGCCTCACAACTGAGGCATTCTAAGTATAGACCAGCCCTACAGAAAGCTGCATAGAAATAGTCCAACACTTCAATGGAGCATGACTGGAATAAAAATAGGTAAAATAAATTATGATACTCTTGGGAACCGATCGTTTGTTGAAAGGGGATTTGACTATTCACTCATGTTTTACAAAATAATCACAGAGCCACCACATACTATGTACATCCACCTATCAAGCATCGACTATTTCTCACTCTGCAACATCTTTTGCAAAATGGCACTATCCCGCTCGTACTTGAGTATCTTAGTTTGTGAGCCCTGGATCTTGCCCAACAGCCACTGGATGCGCGAAGTGAGCTCCCAAGGATGTTTCGGCAGCGACCCAAGCAATTGCAGCTCTTCCTCGTATTTGCTAATGCCCTTGTTCTCGCTGCTGATGAGTTGCCCGAGAATCAATAGGTCAAGACGGCCTTCCAAGGTCTTATTCTCGATAAGACGCTGGAATGCGGCGTGGTAAACAGGCTTTCCAGGCTTGATATATCGCGGGAATCCCTTGACAGATCCGACGGAGATGAGTTCCGCCTGTTCCAAAGCTCGAAGAGTCGTCTCGCCATTGTCTTTGAACAAGTCTGAAAGGAGAACCTTGTTATAGAGCAGAGAACCATCGTTGGACTGCGCTAGAGATTTGATGATGTGCCATGCTTGCTCACGACTCCATTGGGGTGCGACTGTAGATGTGTCCGTACCGAGAATGAATATCTTCAAGATTTCAGAGGCTGACTGTTCAATGATACGATCCACAGCGGCTATTAAATTTCAGCGATGACTCGTCAAATACTTCATGTGAGAGACAAACCTTGGGGACTTTCTCCAACTTCGATGCGATGTGCCATGAATTCGAGATCGGTCACACGACCGCCCAGAACTCTAATGCAGTCATCCAAACCGGCAAGGTTCCTCACTTCCTTTGGTTTCTCTTCATTCTTATCGTTTGAGCCCTCAGTATCCAGGTGGCTTAGCACAAAGCGACGGCCCACCTCAGGTGAGCAGTCGCCCAAGCTAACCGTACGGTAAACCTGGTTGGGAAGTGCCTTGCTCAAGGGCTTCGCGAATGAAGAATCCGTAGTCAAGAAGATGACATGGGCAATATTCGCAGTAGTTAATCCGGCCGCCCACTCGGTAAGCTTGTCAAGAACAACACTGTCCTCTGCATCATAGAGAAAGTTGTCAATGACAACAACAGGCCGTTTCTCCGGATGAGTTTCAAGATACTCATCCTCACCCATAGTAGCATCCTTGTCATCCTTTCTCCGGCCCTCAAGAGCGACTTGCTTCATGGCCACCGCTGTGTTTTGCCATATCTTGCTCAACTGGGCATCCAGTGTCTCCGAGAAACCAGCCTTGGTACCAATCATTCCTTGTGCAGCCAGATCGATAAAGCTACTGATACTGTTCATCCAGGAAAAGATAGGCCGATAGCCAACTTGGGACGCGGCACGAGAAATCTTGGCAGTATCTCCTCGAGCGTCTTGGATTTGTTTGCAGTCGATGACAACCTTGTATTTATGATTTTTCAAGGCTTGATCCAAAACAAGCTCTCGCTTGCCAGAGCCTCGTGGTCCATGGACAACAATGAAAGTTTCCGCTGTATCAGTCAACCAGGCTTCTAGTTGAGTGATATCTTTCTGTCGGTCTTCCCAAATGGCCGTGAGGCCCCGGGGGTCTGTTTTGCGCTGTCCGAAGTAGGTGATATTGGCCTTGCTGGCTTGTCGACGAATCCAAAGCAGAACGGCATTTTCTTCGGCATGAGCCGAAGCTTTGATTTTCATTTTGATGAAAAAGGTCCGAACAGGATCGAAGACGATGACCGTGATGGCTGCAATCAAAGCTGCTAGAGCAGGAATCACAATTCGGGGGTGGTTGTAAATCCAGTCCTTGATCATAGATAGCTTGATTCTACGCTCGTAGTTGATCCTGAACTTTGTACCAAACTTGCCCCCACCATCCACCTCTGAGACGATGTAGCCGTGCAGGCAATTTCTTGCCATTACCGCGAACCTCGGTCGACTGAAGCGTAGTGTAGCATACCGGGGCTCGAGTTTTGAGTCTGAGGGTTGCGGGTGTATATCCAACAATTTTCCATATGGGCGGAACAGACTGTATAGAGCTTCCTGTGTTAACTCTGTTGCTGGAGCTTCACTTGTGCTCGGTAGAAACTCGACTGTCAAGGACGCGCTGGGAACTCGATATAGATCCTCAATCCATGGCCGACCTTGAACCAAGTCCGCATCTGCCCTCTGAAATGGATTGAACCAGGGGCGTATGGGAGATTTGGCGAGGTGTTCTTTTATTGCTTCTTGTATTTCCTCATCCTTGACGCCAGGTTTGCGCGCATACTTGACGAATGCTCCCCCTTCTTTGTATCGTGTGATGACTTCCTTGATTTCCAGATTCAGGGACGGTGGAATTGCACGTTTCACTATCTGGGTAGGGTCTGCTGCGGCTAGATCGGGGTGGTTGATCCGTTTCAGAATTCCTTCGAGGGGTTGGATATGACTGAGTGGCCCCCGTAATAGCCATTGGACCCTATGTGGGAAGATGTCTGGATATAATTAGGAAGACTGTACCCACGAGGATGCTGATAGCTAAAGCACTCACTGTTTACATAAATTATGCCTTCATCATCAGCCAGTTTGATGTGCCCTGACTGAATCGAGGAGGAAAAGCGAATGTTGTTAGGCAAGCGGGGAGTTGATCCCCACCCCCGGCCAGATGGCTGAAAGCCAGCTCTGGGCCGGAAAAGCGGAGCTCGAACAGCTTGAGGAATTCTTGCAAATGCCACTGGCATCATATTAACATTTGTGCATATTGAGGCTGTTGGGTACAACTTGGGAGAGGGAAGAGGAAAAGGTCTGGATCGGTCGCTGCAAGTCAAAACCAGCCATGCATTTCCAAGCTGGATGACGTCGTGGCTCAGCTTATCGTGCGCTATCGGGCCACGGGGGTCCACTGACACGTGACCGTAGGCCATTATCGCCGGAAAACCGCGTCGGCGCTCTCTGGATCGCGAATTGAAGCAAATTATCACAATATCCTCCGCAAAGATGGGCTGGTGGTCACAATCGAGTCCTCAAAAGGACAACAATAATGAATCACAACCCACAAACGCACCCGAGGTTCCGCCACAAGCTCCGCCTCCAAAGCAGTTGACCCCCGATCAACAAGCCGAGCTGGAATTCAGCCAGATCCTGGCTGATCTGCGCGCGGAGGAGGATACATTCCAGAAGAAGCTACAACAACAGAAATCGGATCCCAATACCCCCGATCAACCCTCATCAGCCATTGCACCCGACTCCCTCTACCAAGATTCCATGTCCTGTCGTCAAACCTTCGACTATGCCTTTTTCTGCCAGTCCTTCGGAGGCCAATTCGTCAATGTTTATCGATACGGAGAAATGCGATCGTGCAGTGAGCACTGGGATAATTTTTGGCTCTGTATGAAGACCAGAGGATGGGGAGATGAGTTGCGGAGGAAAACTATCCGGGACCACAATCGCAAAAAGGCCATCAAATATAAGACTGGTCCTAGCAGTGAGGATATCTGGGATGTTCGTCTCGAGCCGGCTCAAAACGCCTTCCAGGGAGACTTTGCTGCGCTGGAGCGGGAGATCAAGGCGGAAGAGGAAGCAGCACAAAAGGCAAAGGCGTGAACGCGTTCGTCTTGGAGATCTGAGCGAGGCGCTGGCCTCTTTTTTATTGGTCATATCATGAAATGTAGGTATATTCTGTTACTGGCGTGAATCTGTACATGTACATTAGTTTGAAAGAGTCAATGACACTCTCTACTTTGGAAACTCTGACAAATATCGAGTTGAACTATATCCCCGAAGACTTGTTTCTATGCTAATTTATTAATGGCAATCCTGGGAGTAGTGTAGCTTTGTTATAGCAGATAATAACTTGAATACGTTTACTTCTTCACCACAATTTGGTTGTGTTCTATTACTACTAGTACTACCTAGATAGGTATTCTGGCATCTATACACATATACTATAGTACAAGAGGTATCTCAATAACTGTCTGGTCAGCTACCATTTGTTCATTCACCGATGCTTTGTAGTCAGAAAATCAACTTTGCTACCCAGTGACAGATTCTTCAGGGCTTCGAAGAAAATTGGAGTACAAGAAGATTACATAGACAGCTCTCACACTTATTACATTGTAAACAATCATTACAGGGAAATAGCCGGTGACCTCATAAACACCCTGTGGGGAAAAGAGGCAGCCTCTGTACAACAACCGTATTTTTGTACTCATCTCTTATGCCCTTTCTCTCGACTTTTGAAGCTCAAAAACATGCACTATCTCGCACACCCCTCTAAGATTCCTGCACTTTAACTTCAAATAGACCTCGACTTTCCGAGGTCCAAAGCGCAAAAGGGGTGATATCTTGGAACTCAGGGCTGGCACCGTCACGGGGACCCCACTTGCATCGGTCACAAACGAATCACACCGCGAGGGGCCTCCCTTACTGTTGCGGGTTGTTTTGATCAAGCTACACCTTACTTTGCAGACCGTCTCTTTAAACCCCCTCTCTGTCACCTACCTCCCTTGCAACTCTCCAACACTCCACATACCTTCACATCATCATCACATATCTATACAATGGGTGACCACGCTACCACCAACGACCCCTCCAACGCCACCTTCGAGCAGAAGGGCAAGGGCAAGGACGTCCAGGACCAGATCGCTGAGGACTCCAGCGACGAGGAGAGTGACCAGGAGCTTGAGATGGTGAGTCTTTATCCAATTCTTCCCAACAGAGAGTTCTTACAAATGCAGAAATACCTTGCTAACCTGACCACCATCTAGGCCGGTACGCGACAACCCCTCCACCCCTCCACCTTTCAAGCGCATTTGCCACTTTCCCAGCCCCTGCCCACCGCAATGCCCTTCTCCAGCAGCCTGCAGCTGTCAGACTCTAGACTTTCATCCAATTCCCGTACCAATCCGTGATATATACTAACGCAAGCACAAACACAGACGAGGACGAAGACGACAACAACCTCGAGCCCATCTCCTCAGAGAACATCATCCAGGGTGGCCGCCGCACACGCGGCAAGGTCATCGACTACGCCGCCGAGGCCGAGAAGAACAAGGATGAGATGGAGGACTCCGAGGATGACGAGGACTACCAGGGTGGCGCCAACAACGACGACGACGATCAGATGCGCGACTAAGCGCCTGGTCCTGACGACAAATCTCAAATGACATAAGTCTCGGTTTGGAGGATTGGCGCTACGGATTCCAAGGGAGGCTCTCTTGTGCGCCTTGCAGGCTAGCATCTCATCCACGAAACGTCATGGCTATTGTTTACCGGTGGCCATGACTATGAATTCAATGAAACGAAGTTCGCTTCTACCCTTACTCTCTTCTATTAAGTCACATACTTTGATAGAACCTCGCCACGACTAAATGCAGTGTGATTCCTGGCCTGTAATCTGTAAGAACAATGCGCGTAGTTGGTTGGGTTGGATCGGGCTGGACCTAGGCTGCGGCCTCAGTGCCATACTGTACCAACTGCCCGCGAAGACAATCTCCCCGAACCGGAACCAGACAAAGAAATTCATTCTTCAGGACAAAATCACTCCAAAGCCCATCTACAAAGGCCACAAACAATTAATTGTACTGTTTCGCCTCCGAATCCCATTGTAAACAACATCTGCGTCATCACGTGCAGACACGCTTGAGGCGAGACCAACAAGCTTTGGCCACCTGTTTTTGTCCGCAAGCATCGAAGAAACCCAACAACGCCAAATGACCAAATAAAATCCCCGATCTCACGAACCGCGCAATGCTTCCGACCACCAACTAATAGAAGCAATACTTCAAGAAACCGACGTCTGGGATTTCCCGATAAGAACCTCGGTTCAGCGCCGACCCATCAACGACCGCTATGGCTTCACGGTATGTAGTATAGCCACCCTGCCTGCCACCCTGTCTTGACCGCGAGACAGTCCTGTCCTGGATCACAACCCTCAGAACCGTGCTAACAAAGTGCACTAGATTCCCCCGCCAACGTCCCTCGAACAGCCTCTTCGACTCATACGGCGGCGAGTCCCGTCCGGCGAGCAGGTCGCCCGCACCGTCCGGAGGATATGGATACGGAGGCTACTCCAGCCCCGCAGGAAGTGCCCACGGCAACGGAGACGCTTCAGGACCTACATTATACCGGAGCGCGACACCAGATAAGAAGTGAGTGGAACATTTCCCTGGCGAGCTTTGAGGCAGATCTAACGTATGCGGGGATAGGGGCCACTACTCGGATGCGGTGCTCTCGTCACTAGAATCACAAAATGACGCCGAGGTGGAAGGGATAAGCTCAAAGGTTAAAATGCTGAAGGATGTAAGTGATATTCCTCATCTCGCTTGACTCCAAAAGAAGGCGAAGAGAAGAGCCCTTTGTCTTCGATCGAAGCTAACAGGACACAGCTCACGATTGCCATCGGCGACGAAATCCGAGATACAGCGCACATGACAGACCTAGAGAACTCATTCGAGGGGACCCGAGTTCGACTACGCGGGAATATGAAGCGTATGCTCCGCATGGCTGAGAAGACGGGCGTTGGGTGGAGGGTTTGGCTTGGCTTCATCTGCGCCGTCTTCCTCTTGTTCTTCTATGTGTGGATCTTCTGAGGAGTTGGGGTTGCAGGGGACTTGTTTTATATGGACCTGATTTTCTTGTCCGCCATACTTAATTCTTCTACTTGAGATGGGGCTGGCTGGCTTTGGGCTGGCTCTTCTGCTTTCCTGGTGGTGCATACATACAGTTCATATTTGTACTTTTGGCTCGGGTGTTTGGAGTTTTCTTTCCTTCTCTGGGTACCACCAGGTGTATCTTTACATCCCTTGATTCTTATCAATACTATATATATTCTTGTTGATCTCTATGGTGTTTTTTAGAATGTTGGGTTTTTTATTTGGGTGCAAATCGCCTACATATTGTATAAGCAGGTCCGCACGCTGCATTTCCGCATTGCAAGTAGATCACGATAATGCTTCTATGAAATTCAATAACTCTGGAACCATTTCCCCTAGCACTTCTCGATCATTACTAACTACACAAAACTCAATCCTTGAATTTGCAGAATCAATAGCATACACATTGCAGCGAAGGCTTGTCATAAGTACTATCATACAAATCTAAATACTAAAACGCTCACAGTAGTCCCGTTAAAACTAAACTCCAGTATGCAAGGTCACGCATAGATGCAGACTCGGACTCCCAGAAACGCCACGAAAGCAGCGCTCTCACTCAGTTAAGACTATCACGAGGCCCACCAACATGACGAGGGAATCTCCGACCAAAGCCACTGCGACGACTGCTCTGGCTGGTAACCGAAGCACGAAGATCATCCTCCTCAAACATAATGCTACTCGAATCCAAGGCATCACCCCCACCACTCCACCGATTGATAAACCGGCGCTGAGCCTCAGTCTCCCGCTCCCTCCGCAGCAACGGCGGCGGCGGAGGCAACCCACCCCGACTATTCGGCGTACTGGTGCGGAAATTGCCATTCATTCGAGGCCGGAGTGAGCTACCCTGCTGCTCAGCATTCTCGTCCCCATCCTCATCCCCTTCATCCTCATCTTCCGTATCAGTGTGCTGCCACTCGCCCTCCTGCTCGGACCCATCCTCCGCCGCGTCAGGAATATCATCGTCCAAATCCCGACTAGCCCCCTCACTCCCCGTCATGAAACTTTGCTGAAAGCCCTCATCCGCGGAGGGAACGTCCGCGTCGAGATCAGGCTGATTGTCGAAATCCTCATCAACCTCCTCCTCATAGAGTGCCGAATCATCGTAGTCGTCCTCGGGGTATGCCTCGGGAATATCGTCGTCCAAGTCCCGCTCCATATACCCCTCTTCGTCGATGTCCTCGCCTGATAGATCCTCGCCTTCCTCGATCAGGCCCTCCGCCTCGGGGATCTCGTCGTCTAGATCGCGCTCCATGCCTTCGTCTTCTTCTTCCGCTGTTAGACCTAGGTCGTCTTCCATTATGCCCTCGTCAATGGCGCCCATTTGGCTCTGTGCTGCGGCGAGTGCTTCTTCGCGCTCGGCTTCTTCTTCTTTCATACCTAGCATTGTCTTTGCGCAGCCGGCGGGGCGGATCCAGGATGAGCCGAAGGAGGCGATGTTTTGCTTGCGGAGGCGGAGGGCGCGCTCTTCGATGGCGAGGGCTGAGAGGCTGTTTGCTGGGGAGCGGGAGGGGAGGAAGGCGCGGTGGCTGGTGGTGTTTGGGGCATTGCGGCGAGTTTGATTTGAGGGGTCGGTAGTGGATTGTTGGGGGGGTTGAGGATCTGTATGGGTTTGAGGAGCCGAACCAGAGCTCGTGGGCCTGGTTGTTTGTTAGAATATCTGTCTGAAGTTGGGCTTGGGCTTGGGAGAGGGTGGGACTTACGTCGCGGGGTGTGATGAATGGTAAAGAGAGCATTTTTGCGCAGAGTTTTTGGCTTGACGGATCTGTTTATATCTGTGGTTTCGGCGTTGCGGTGTGATTGTCGTAGAGGTGAGAGGTGTTGCGGTTGTAGCAACCGCGATCTGCGTGTAAAGGCTAGGCCAGGTGGGAGTTCAAAGACTCATTGCTGGTAGATTGAATGTGGAGGTGTTGTTTCAATTGGGGTGGGACAGTAGTGTAGTCAATTGCCCAGGTGTTAGTCGAGTCGAGTTTAGTGGGGTACTTCGATTGAAGGTTGTTGGAGTCAAGCTCGACGGAGCTAGGGCGGAGAAAAATGTCGCGGGGGCTCCACCGCCAAAAACACTCGATTGGCGCGCTGCGGGGCGGAGATCGTGCTTAAACATGAACATATCAGGATGTTATTATTAGTGTAAGAGTAGGGTTGACTTGGTGAATCACTAATTCACACTTGAATCGAAGTGCCTTTCGTCTCTGCCTTTTTGCTAGATTTCCTTTCACATTATTTATTGTTCGTATTCGCTTATCATCAAACATCTGAGCATGAGGATCTATAGATGCGGTACTCGAGGCTCGTTGGCTTTAGTATATTTTCAGATTTTAAACCTCCAAGTCTTATTTACTGTCAATCAGCAATGCCTCCAATCGTGGCCATTGTATATCTATACTTACTACCTAGGTATCAACAAGTGCAGAACAGCGACATGAGAAAACAGGGATGATTGTTGACCCAAATTGAGATTTTACATCTATCTAGTCATTGTCAAATTCCTGCTTAACGCTGCCATTGCTTTTAATCAAGCTCAGATATATTGAGTCCCACAATATTAACAATCAGCAATTTCCTAAATAGATCATTGGTAGCTGATAATGGGACAGAAACCAGCACACTTGGTTACTAAGGAGAAGAAAAACAGAAATCATGGGATTTCTGCCATAAATAATTTCTCCGACAAGATAATTTTGACATATTCCATTATGAGTATCTGTGGGGGAATTTGCTATTGCGCTTATAAACAGGAAGAGAGAGAAAGAACCTATACTAATTCCAACCCACTTCCACTGACGTAGTTAGTTTCAGCAACTCAAGTTCAAGCGCTCTTTCCAGAACCCCAGACAAAGAATCTAACGCCAAGAAACGCAATTGAAAAGCTCAATAGTACCAGCAAAACAGCAATGAGCCCTAGCGTTCCAATTCCAATAGTGAATGTAGCACAGACAAAATGGCCACGCCCAGACCAAGCGGTGAAGTTTCCATTATTCAATTGACCTACATTCGAGGCTGAATTGGACAATGGGAGAATCCACGTCGATCACTTCATCCAGCCAAGACCTGCATGTCCCTCGCCAATACTAAGCCGAGCCCCTTCACGTCGCACGAAAATAGCGGGAACTGGGAAGAAGCCCGCCAAGACGGCGCGGAATTCCGGTCTCAATCGCTAGAGGAGTCTCGGCGGTGCTCCCGTACGGAGTACATACTTGGCTGTATTGAATTGAATGATATGTCAAGATGCACTGCGTACATGCAAAAGTACGGAGTACCCCGTACAGAGATGTATGTGTTTGTACCTACGTACGTACTGATGCGGGGGCTACAGGGGTGTGACGGTGGAGGTAAGGCAGGTCAGGACTAACCCGAGATCTCCCGATATTCGATATTCTACCCCGTCAAACAGCCAATGCACCGGTGAACCCAATGCGGATGGGTAGAGGTCGGGAGAACTCGGGCGACATGTTGGCGAGAACACTTGTCGATCAGGAGGAAGACAAGGGAACAGGCAACCTCGGTCGATGCCCCACGAACGTCTTATGTTTGTCGGGTGTCCCATTGGACGAGGGTCATGTGATGTCAATGTACAGCGTCGATCCACAGTGGAGAGCATTGCACATCCATTGGATATGTGTATAACTCCGAGCTGTTTCATATGCATACATGGTAGTAATGATGTCCCTAGGCACTTTGTAGAGTGTGTTTTTAAAAAAAGTAGTATTCTTACTCCGTACTGTGTTCTATGTTATACTATAACTCGTACAATACTGTAAGTAGGAGTAAGTGGACCCTTGAATCCCATGCAATGCATGTACTAGTACAAAGTACATGGAGACTAGAGTGGCAAGTCGGGTGCTAGGCGAAAACAGGAGAAACGATCCTCGTACTGGATCGGGTGTGCAGAGCAAGGACCTTACGGTAGCTAACCGGATGACTTTGGGGTTATGTATTCCTATTATCAAGTTGAGCTTATCAGAGACACCCGCTTCACGTGTCAGTTTTCTGACACGAGGATCTCCGGAGAGCATCCTCTCCGGGTGAAGGCTTAACTCCGAATTGGCAAGTGGACGTCATTGGACGGGGAAAACGAACAAGCCGGTCCCGTTTGAAAGTGCACGGTAGGTCCCTTGGGGCAAGGGAAGGGGGGGATCCCCAAGGTTGCCATGATTTACACGGAGAAGAAGTCGGGGAATGTATTGGACAAGGGAAGGGGCCAATCCAAAAGCAGAGCAAGACATACAGCATACCGGGGCATGGCTGGGCAACCCCGATTTCGGTGCTTTGGCTTAGTCGACCAGATCCCATGGTCGTATTATTGGATGATCTGTCCATCAAAGTACCAAAGTCGGGTACTATTGGGTTGGAGGCTCGGGAGAATGGAGCTCGAAATTGATCCCCCGTGGCGCCTGTGGGCAGAGGAGTTGATTAAGCACTGTATCCTTGCACCGCCCCACTCGCCCAGGCCACCGGAATCGTTTTCGGGCATTCTGGGGAGAGAGCAGTGTAGAGTGTAGAGCAGAGTGTAGAGTGCAGAGTGCAATTCAATGTCTAGTAAATATATATCCGCAGATAATCTGTTATAATCCTACAGCTACAGCTACTAATAGCCTAGGATACTCCGTCTCCTATATCCGCCGTACCGTACGGTACCCACCAAATCTTGACGTAGTGGAAACCTAATCGTTTTGGCTCAGCGGTTGCAAAGCAGCATCTCTGATTGGCCCGTGGGCCCCTTATCTCGACGGATTTGCTGGTAATCATTATGATTATCATTACTCGACCCGCTGGCAGAGCTCCAATATCAGGAATGCCTCCGCTCTCCGCTCTCCCCCTCCACCTTTCTGGAATTGCCCGCTTTCGTCCATCTCGTCGTGTCAGGGTTTCTAATCCGTAAAGAGAAAAAGAAAAGGAAAAGAAAAAGAAGAAAAGAGGGCAAGCATGGGTCCTTTGTAGTAACTAGTCGTAATGATTGTTCAGCTGTCTTGAGCAACTCCCTCTCTCTCTCTTTCTCTTTCCCTGCCTACTTTCCCCGACCACTAGGACGCACTAGCTCTGAGAAACCAGGTAATACCAATGGCCTGAAGTATCCAATATTGATCCTCTCGTCTATTTGCCACGGCGTGAATCCCCACAGTCGTATTTTACCCGTCTTGCTTGCTTCGGAACTGCTTCCAATCCCCCGGACCTGCAGTGCCGTAATCGCAGCCCAGCCCTGGTCTTTTCTCTGGAATTTTTTTTTTTTAATTTCACCCCTCCTTTTTTTTTGGATCTCTTCTTTCTTCCCCTCTCTTTCAATCTTCACTTTCACTTTCGCAGACGCAGGGTCTCTCATATTGCATTCCCTCACCCGCGCTGCGCCTGTGACGACATCGCTGCTATCGCAACCTGTTCCCGCAACATACGACTGACTCTCTCCACTTCCCTCCCCTCAATCTCCCACTCTCTGTCGGTCCCCGACGGAAGAATGGGTCTTAACTTGGAGGAGCTCTATGGACCAGATCTAAGTGAAGAGCAGCCTCCGCACGAGTATTCGGAGTACCAGGCCAAGCAAGGCTTTGGCTGGGCCAATGCTCTGCCCGAGAAGCAGGGTCTCTATGACCCCGAATATGAAAAAGATGCCTGTGGTGTCGGTTTCGCAGCGTGAGTGCACCCTGGATCAATCAACAGGCAATTGGAACTAACCTCCTGCGCCAATTTTAGTCACATCAAGGGCAAGCCGAGCCATAAAATTGTCAGCGATGGTAAGTTGCCGCAACCGCAGCCGCAACCTCATTCACCTTGCCTGGGATAAATGGAAACCCGACCGGACCTGCTGACATTAGCCTTCTTTTCTAGCGCGCAACCTGCTGTGCAACATGACCCACCGTGGAGCCGTTGGCTCGGATGCGCGAGACGGTGATGGTGCAGGTGTAATGACCAGTATCCCGCACAAGTTCTTCATCAAGAACTTCGCTCGTGAGGAGGGCGTGGACCTGCCCCCGCTCGGCCAATATGCCGTTGGCAACCTGTTCTTCAAGCCCGACGACGAGGCTCTCAAGCAATCGATTGCCAGCTTCGAGGAATTGGCGATCTCGCTTGGTCTACGTGTGCTAGGCTGGCGTGAGGTTCCCAGCGATTCGACCATTCTCGGCCCAGCTGCGCTTTCTCGAGAGCCAATTATTATGCAACCGTTTGTTGTACTCAAGTCTGCATACGGCGAGGGCAACAAGCCCGAAATTACAGATACTGATAAGTTCGACGAACGCACCTTCGAGTTGCAGCTCTTTGTTCTGCGAAAGCGTGCTACTCATGTTATTGGGCAGGGTAATTGGTTTTATCTCTGCTCGCTGAGCAACCGGAACATCGTCTATAAGGGTCAATTATCTCCAGTACAGGTTTATCAATACTACCACGATTTGGTCAACGTGGACTACGAGGGCCACTTCGCCTTGGTTCACTCTCGATTCTCCACCAACACTTTCCCCTCGTGGGACCGCGCTCAACCTCTGCGATGGGCCGCTCACAACGGTGAAATTAACACACTGCGAGGAAATAAGAATTGGATGCGCGCTCGTGAGGGTGTCCTTCGGTCTGAAGTTTTCGGCGATGAGCTCGACCAGCTCTACCCCATTGTCGAAGAAGGCGGTTCGGATTCCGCCGCATTTGATAATGTTCTAGAATTATTGATGATTAACGGTGTTTTGTCTCTCCCCGAGGCCGTGATGATTATGATTCCCGAGGCGTGGCAGGATAATCCAGCCATGGACCCATCCAAGTCTGCTTTCTACGAATGGGCAGCCTGTCAAATGGAGCCCTGGGATGGTCCGGCTCTATTCACTTTCTCGGATGGCCGATACTGCGGTGCGAACCTTGACCGTAACGGTCTGCGCCCCTGCCGTTTCTATGTTATGGATGACGATCGTATCGTCTGCGCTTCGGAAGTTGGTGCTATCGATATCGACCCCGAGCGCGTGGTTCAGAAGGGCCGTCTACAGCCTGGAAAGATGTTATTGGTTGACACTCAGGCTGGGCGAATTATTGATGACGCCGAGCTGAAGCAAACCGTCGCGAACCGTCAGGACTTTGCCAGCTGGCTGGATAAGGAGCTCCTGAAGTTGCCTGCTATTAACAAGCTGCTACTAGATAGCAACGTCGACCTCTCTTTCGCTCTCGATGACAACACTGTGCAGAATGACCCCCGTCTGCGGGCCTTTGGCTACTCCTTCGAGCAGGTCAGCCTGATTCTTGGTCCCATGGGTGCTGACTCTAAAGAGGCGCTTGGCTCCATGGGTAACGATGCTCCCTTGGCTTGTATTGCCCAGCAGCCTCGTCTGCTCTACGAATATTTCCGCCAGCTCTTCGCACAGGTCACCAACCCACCCATTGACCCGATTCGTGAAGCTGTAGTTATGTCTTTGGAGTGCTACGTCGGGCCTCAGGGTAACCTGCTGGAGATGGATCCCTCGCAATGTCGCCGTCTGCTGCTGCCGTCTCCCATTCTGAGCATCCCGGAGTTCAACGCCCTGAAGAACATTAACCACGCCCATAGCGATTGGACCGTTCGTACGATTGACATCACATTCGATAAGAAGAAGGGCACTCCTGGCTACCTGGACGCGTTGGATGCCATCTGTGATGCCACTACCGAAGCCATTGAGAACGGTGACAAGGTTATTGTTCTCTCTGACCGTGCTACCTCTGCGGATCGCGTCCCTGTCTCTGCTTTACTGGCTACCGGTCTTGTTCACCATCATCTTGTTCGCAACAAATGGCGTTCTCTGGCTGCTCTCGTCGTTGAGACCGCCGAGGCTCGTGAAGTGCACCACCACTGTGTACTCCTGGGTTACGGTGCCGATGCGATCAACCCTTACCTTGCTCTGGAGTGCATTCTGAAGATGAACCGGGAGAACTTGATCCGAAAGGACATCTCCGATGAGAAAGTAATCGAGAACTATAAGGCTTCTTGCGACGGTGGTATCCTCAAGGTCATGAGTAAGATGGGCATTTCTACTCTCCAATCCTACAAAGGTGCCCAGATTTTCGAAGCCCTCGGTATCGACGACAGCGTCATCGATCGCTGCTTCGCCGGCACTGCCAGCCGTATCCGCGGTATCACCTTTGACCTGATTGCCCAGGATGCCTTTGCCTTCCACGAGCGCGGATACCCCTCGCGTGACATCGTCGAGATCCCTGGTCTTCCCGAATCCGGCGAGTACCACTGGCGTGACGGTGGTGAGGCACACATCAACGACCCGGTCAGCATTGCCAACATGCAAGATGCCGTGCGGTCCAAGAACGACAAGTCTTACGAGGCCTACGCAAAGGCAGCACACGACTCAATCAAGAACTGCACACTGCGCGGTATGCTCGAGTTTGACTTTGAACAGCGCACGCCTATCCCCATTGACCAGGTTGAGCCTTGGACCGAAATTGTGCGCCGCTTCGTGACTGGCGCTATGTCCTATGGGTCTATTTCGATGGAGTCTCACTCTACCATCGCCATTGCCATGAACCGTCTTGGCGGCAAGTCTAACACCGGTGAGGGTGGTGAGGATCCGGAGCGCAGTAAGAGAATGGAGAACGGTGACACCATGCGCTCCGCCATCAAGCAGATCGCCTCTGGCCGTTTCGGTGTGACTTCGCACTACCTGGCCGATGCTGATGAGCTGCAGATCAAGATGGCACAGGGTGCGAAGCCTGGTGAGGGTGGTGAGCTGCCTGGTCACAAGGTTGTTGGCCCCATCGCTCATACTCGTCACTCCACACCTGGAGTGGGTCTAATTTCTCCACCTCCGCATCACGACATCTACTCCATTGAGGACCTGAAGCAGCTCATTTATGATCTCAAGTGCTCGAACCCCCGCGCTCGTGTTTCTGTAAAGTTGGTATCCGAGGTCGGCGTTGGTATTGTCGCCTCGGGTGTCGCTAAGGCCAAGGCTGACCACATTCTCATCTCCGGTCACGACGGCGGTACTGGTGCCTCTCGCTGGACTGGTATCAAGTATGCCGGTCTTCCTTGGGAGCTGGGTCTCGCCGAGACTCATCAGACTCTTGTTCTGAATGATCTTCGTGGTCGTGTTGTCGTTCAGACTGACGGTCAAATCCGAACTGGACGTGATCTGGCGATGGCCTGTCTGCTTGGAGCTGAAGAATATGGTTTCGCAACCACCCCCTTGATCGCTATGGGTTGTATCATGATGCGAAAGGTATGGTAGTTATTTTTTTTTCTCTTTCCTGCTCGAGTATTTGCTAACTTTTCCAAGTGCCATCTCAACACATGCCCGGTTGGTATCGCTACCCAGGATCCTGAGCTACGCAAGAAGTTCAACGGCACACCCGAGCACGTCATCAACTTCTTCTACTATGTCGCCAACGAGATGCGTGCTATCATGGCCAAGCTTGGTATTCGCACCGTCAATGAGATGGTTGGACGTGCCGAGCTGCTCAAGGTCCGCGATGACATTCGCAACGCCAAGCAGGAGCGCGTTGATCTCTCTCTGATCCTCACTCCAGCCCACTCTCTTCGTCCGGGTGTGGCTACATACAATGTTCGCAAGCAAGACCACCGTCTCCACACTCGTCTCGATAACAAACTCATCGCTGAGTCCGAGCTTGCGTTGGAGAAGGGCCTCCCTTGCCGAATTGAGTGTGATGTCGTCAACACTGATCGTGCCATGGGTGCTACTTTGTCCTACCAGATCAGCAAACACTATGGCGAGGCTGGTCTACCCCAAGATACCATCCATGCCAATATTAAGGGATCTGCCGGTCAATCGTTCGGTGCTTACCTTGCCCCTGGTGTGACCCTCGAGCTTGAGGGTGACGCCAATGATTACGTTGGTAAGGGTCTATCTGGTGGCCGTCTGATCGTCTACCCACCTCGCGGAGCTGCTTTCAAGGCCGAGGAGAACGTCATTGTCGGTAACACCTGTCTTTACGGCGCTACTCGCGGTACTGTTTACTTCCGTGGTGTTGCTGCTGAACGTTTCGCCGTCCGTAACTCCGGAGCCACAGCTGTTGTCGAGGGTGTTGGTGACCACGGTTGCGAGTACATGACTGGCGGTCGTGTACTGATCCTCGGATCTACCGGCCGTAACTTTGCTGCCGGTATGTCCGGCGGTATCGCTTACGTTCTGGACATGAAGCAGGATTTCCACTCCAAGGTCAACTTGGAGATGGTTGCAGTTTCTGGCATCGAGGATCCTAACGAGATTGCCTTTGTCCGTGGCCTTATTGAAGACCACCACCACTACACTGGATCCGAGCGCGCTGCCCGTATTCTCCTTGATTTCAACCGAGCCCTGCCTCGCTTTGTCAAGGTCCTGCCCGTTGACTACAAGCGTGTTATGGATGAAGAGGCTGCTAAGGCTGCCGCAGCGAAGAAGGCTGAGTTTTCTCTTCCCCTGCTTCCTAGCAAGCCTGCAGAGAAGCCCAAGGCCCACGCCGATGAGAAGAAGGCTGAAATGCTGGATATTGAGGACAGTATCAGCGACTCCAAGGCTGAGAAGAAGCGTTCTGCGCTCATCCTAGACAAGACTCGTGGTTTCATGAAGTACAGCCGTCGCTCGGAGAAGTATCGCAACCCGACTACTCGCACTCGCGATTGGGCTGAGTTGTCCAACCGTCTCAGCGAGGACGAGCTCAAGTACCAGTCGGCCCGTTGTATGGACTGCGGTGTGCCCTTCTGCCAGTCCGACACTGGTTGCCCCATCTCGAACATCATTCCCAAGTGGAACGAGCTGGTCTTCCAGAACCAGTGGGAAGATGCTCTCAACCGGCTATTAATGACCAATAACTTCCCCGAGTTCACTGGCCGTGTTTGTCCCGCTCCTTGCGAGGGTGCCTGTGTTTTGGGCATCAATGAAGACCCCGTCGGTATCAAGTCCATCGAGTGTGCTATCATTGATCGAGGTTTCGAGATGGGATGGATGGTCCCTAAGCCTCCCAAGGTCCGCACCGGCAAGACCATTGCCGTCATTGGATCCGGCCCCGCCGGTATGGCTGCTGCCGATCAACTCAACCGTGCCGGGCACTCTGTGACCGTCTACGAGCGTGCTGACCGTGTCGGCGGTCTTCTCATGTACGGTATCCCCAACATGAAGCTCGACAAGAAGGTTGTCCAGCGCCGTGTCGACCTCATGGCCGCAGAGGGTATCAAGTTCGTCACCAGCACCGCCGTCGGTCCCGACAGCGACGTAACCCTCCAATCCCTCCGCTCCTCCAACGACGCCGTGATCATCGCCACCGGCGCCACCGTCGCCCGCGACCTCAAGGTTACCGGCCGCGAACTCGAGGGCGTCCACTTCGCCATGCAATTCCTGCACAAGAATACCAAGTCTCTTCTTGACTCCGAGCTCGCGGACGGCGAATACATCTCCGCCAAGGACAAGCATGTCGTCGTCATTGGCGGCGGTGATACTGGCAACGATTGTATCGGTACATCCGTCCGCCACGGCGCCAAATCCGTCACTAACTTCGAGCTCCTCCCCAACCGCCCCCCCGAGCGAGCCCGTGATAACCCCTGGCCCCAGTGGCCGCGCATCTACCGCATTGACTACGGCCACTCGGAAGTGAAGACGCACATGGGCCGCGACCCGCGCGAGTACTGCGTCATGTCAACCGAGTTCGTCGACGACGGCAGTGGCAAAGTGAAGGGTATCAACACGGTTCGAGTCGAGTGGACCAAGAGTGCCACCGGTGGTTGGGACATGAAGACCGTCGAAGGCAGCGAGCAATTCTTCCCCGCGGACCTGGTCTTGCTTTCTATGGGATTCCTGGGTCCCGAGGACCGTCTGCTTGGCGATGAGATCGAGCGCGATCCGCGCAAGAACGTCAAGACTCCGCCCGGTCACTACTCGACGAATATCCATGGTGTCTTTGCGGCGGGTGATTGTCGGCGCGGACAATCGCTGATTGTCTGGGGTATTAATGAGGGGCGCCAGGCTGCGCGTGAGGTCGATGCTTTCCTTGGTGGGATTAGCTCGCAGCTTCCTGTTACTGGAGGTATTGTTCGTCGGCCGGCGATTGATTCTGTTCCGAGAGTTGCTGAGACTCAGGTAGTTGCTTAAAATTGTGTCGGGTTTTTATTTTACTGGCTGCTGGAATGGATGCGCTACGATTGACGGGGGTGGCTTATGATTTATGAAAGTTAAATATTCATTCTCATTCTGACGTGGAAAAGGAAAAAGTCTGAACAAAATGGTATTTTGATGGGGTCATTTCGGAAGGGTGGGTGAATTGGTTCATGAATGTTTCTGATTATCATTGACTTGACGAGTCTTTTCTTTTCATGCGTGTCACTGCGGTTTTCTTTTTTTATTTACCCAGCAGCGTTTCTATGGGGGGTGTTTAGAGCGCTCTGCAGTGCTCTTCTTTCTTTTTTGATGTATATACTCCCTCAGGTTGTTTGTTATACTTGTATCCATGAATGAATGCATTTTATAATCAAGTTATTTCTCTTCCCTAGTTCTGGTGGTATGACTACAAAGTGCAAGTTGCATGAGTGGATTGCAAGTCCGAGATATCAATCTGCTCCATGGAGGTGCTTTTTTGAAACAGCAAGTCATACCTTACCAGGAAGAACCATGTATGCAGAATCCCTTTGTTCCGCGCAGCTGTGCACTTCTCTTTATTGAGTTCGGATGAATCAAAGAAATGCAAGAAAAAGGAACAATAGCTTTTCAGAGACCCGGGCATCTTCTCCACTAAAATCGTATATAGGGGAATGAAAACATCCATCTTCCAATGGATGATAAAGAGACGATGAAAGCTGAGCGAGGCATTAAATGCACAAAAGAGGCGGACTCTTGCATTGTGAAGACCTTCTCACAAAGCCATATGTCAATCTACCAGGCATCGAGTCAGCTGTATAAAGACTCCAATGTCGACCATCTCATCGAACTACTCACATACCCGAGACAGTCCTGGACCAGCACAAAGATATAGTGCTATCCAGTACTGACAGTCCAGTCTACAAAGAAAGTGATCTCTTGCACAGATACTACTCTACGCACATCTCTGTTAGCTGACTTGGTCCAGATTATACTCATCTACTACTTACTACTACCTTTGACATTCACAGAGACCTCACAATATATACCCCACCTGGCAAACCAGCACAACTACAACACAATGCCTCGAACCTCCTTCTCTAGCGGAGGATATGTGCCCAGCTTCGCCCGCCCAACAGCCTCCTCACAAGCCCGACGCGATTCAACCCAAACACCCACCAGACAAACCGACACGCCCAAACTTCCATTCCGCACACCGTTCGTACCATTCCACCCCTCCACCTCCCGCCCCCTATCAGCCATGAGCGAAAATTATAGCCGTCGCTCATCGATAGCCCTAGCCCACCCCGGCCGTGCTTCAATATACCCATCCCCTGCCGTCTCTACTCGTGCATCGATCTCAACATCATCAGCATCTACTCACCAACCCTCGTCTTACAGACCACTGGCAACTAGATCAATCCGCAGTCCAACGTTGACTCGAAAAAAGCTACCCCGACCCCCGCCCCAGCCTCAGCTACGACTAAACGAAACCGAGCTAGAAAAGCGCCTACAAGTCGTCGCGAAGAACCGCTTCGAAGAAGGTCTCTCGCAGCTAAATGATGATTGGCAGGAAGAAGAGGAGGAGAAAGGTAGAGGTCAAGGTAAAGCCCCAGCCAAGAAGATATCTAATCCTGCTCCCTTGGCCCCGGGCCCTATATCAGCCCTACACTTGAAGGCCACCGCCGTCCCGGCGGTTCTGTCCAAAATAGAAGTCATCTGCGACAGCCACAGCCACAGCTCAGACTCAGAGGAGAGTTTCCACACAGCGCTGACAACCTGTTCGGAGGAGAGTTTCCATACGGCGCGGGGGTCGGATAGTGATGGGGAGGCGGAGAAGGCGTTTTTGAATGCGAGGGAGATTTGTATGCATTGGGCGGTGCAGCTTGATAGGCCGGTGGATGAGAGGGATGATTCTGTTATCGGGGATATTGCGGGGATTGGGAGGGAGTGAGATAACTACTAGTACCTACCTTGGTAGGTATAGTATATTACTAGTACTAGATCTACATATTGGAGGGTTGTAATATATAGAGTGTTCGCGTTTTATTTGGTGGGTCTGGTAGGATAGATTGATTACTAGAATTGTTATTTTTGATGTGGTTTGATTTGTTTTGTGTAGAGTAGTCCTGTACTAGGTAATTACATATGCCTATGTATACAACAGTGCTTGCATAGGGCAGCTTGGCTGGGCTGGTCTATCAAACCTTGTTGGGCTGGTTTTAGGCTTTGAAACTATGAAACGTGGATAGGGCAGTGAGGCTCGGCGTGAAAACCAGTTTTAAACCTGCAGGGTTGAGTCTTTGTGCAATTGAGTATGTAGTTCTACCTAATTAGGTGACGAAATGAGATCAATTTTACCTCATAGAAAGTACTCGAAGACTGTCTCACAGGGTGAATGAGATCAAAGGGTTTGAGCATTGGACACACTGAATGTACTGGAAGCAACGGGTCTTTTTGTTTCATTTCTTTTTGAAACAAAAAGAAAAGGAAAAAGAAAAAAGAAAAAAAAAAAGGATCTTAGTCTAGAAAGGGCTATTCAGCGGGTATCTGGGTCTCATGGCATCATATTTCAAAAGTGACTCCATTGAAAGACAATAAAACGGAGACCGTGCGACAAAAGTGGAATTGGATGAATTCACTCTGAGGTCACCACTGTTCATTGGGCGGGGGCATATCATCATACAGAGTTGTGACCGTACTGTATTGTAGTGATTACTGTAGTGACTCCCACGAGAGAACCACCTGGATGAGACAGGATGTATTGTATTGTAACATATGCTGTACTGTGTATGGTCGAGGGGGCAACAAAGAGTCATCCCGCGATTACATCATACACTGCCCCGCCAAAAAAAAATAGCTTGCTGTAGAAGACAAAGACGAGAGTGCAATTGATATGCTTGTAAAGGGTTTGGAGTATGATAATAATAGGTAAAAAAGAAAACAGTGAATCCGCTAGACCAACCTGGAGCTTTTCAGAAGATTCCTGAAAGCAGACGAGTGTGTTGCTAGGGTAGCGAAGGTCGTGGAATCGGATGGATACCCATGGAAGCTGGTCTCGACTAGAAGCTTCTGAGCAATTCACCGCTCACTATATAGCAGGATTTCGCTGCCCTCCCCTTCCCTCCTTTTTTCTCTTCACTTATCTTGATAACTTCTCCTTGTACACTACCTTCACGAATTTCCTTTCCCCCCATTCTCCCAAGTTAACGAATACCTCTTTTCCCTCCTACACACACATTCACAATGGCTCCCGCTGTCGGTATCGATCTGGGTACCACCTACTCTTGTGTGGGTGTCTTCCGTGATGACCGCATTGAGATCATCGCCAACGACCAGGGTAACCGCACTACCCCCTCGTTCGTTGCCTTCACCGACACCGAGCGTCTCATCGGTGATGCCGCCAAGAACCAGGTCGCCATGAACCCCCACAACACCGTTTTCGATGCTAAGCGTCTGATCGGTCGTCGTTTTGCCGACGCTGAGGTCCAGTCTGATATGAAGCACTGGCCCTTCAAGATCATTGACAAGGCCACCAAGCCCGTCATCGAGATTGAGTTCAAGGGTGAGGCTAAGCAGTTCACCCCCGAGGAGGTTTCTGCTATGATCCTCGTCAAGATGCGTGAGACCGCTGAGGCTTACCTCGGTGGCACCGTCAACAACGCTGTTATCACTGTCCCCGCCTACTTCAACGACTCTCAGCGTCAGGCTACCAAGGACGCCGGTCTCATTGCCGGTCTCAACGTCCTCCGTATCATCAACGAGCCCACTGCTGCCGCCATTGCCTACGGTCTCGACAAGAAGACCGAGGGTGAGCGTAACGTCCTGATCTTCGATCTGGGTGGTGGTACCTTCGATGTCTCCCTGCTCACCATTGAGGAGGGTATCTTCGAGGTCAAGTCCACTGCTGGTGACACTCACCTGGGTGGTGAGGACTTCGACAACCGTCTGGTCAACCACTTCGTCAACGAGTTCAAGCGCAAGCACAAGAAGGACCTGACCACCAACGCCCGTGCTCTCCGTCGTCTCCGCACCGCTTGCGAGCGTGCCAAGCGTACCCTCTCTTCCGCTGCCCAGACCTCCATCGAGATTGACTCCCTGTTCGAGGGTATTGACTTCTACACCTCCATCACCCGTGCCCGTTTCGAGGAGCTCTGCCAGGACCTCTTCCGTGGCACCATGGAGCCCGTTGAGCGTGTCCTCCGTGACGCCAAGATCGACAAGTCCTCCGTTCACGAGATCGTCCTCGTCGGTGGTTCTACCCGTATCCCCAAGATCCAGAAGCTCGTCTCCGACTTTTTCAACAAGGACGCCAACAAGTCCATCAACCCCGATGAGGCCGTCGCCTACGGTGCTGCCGTCCAGGCCGCCATTCTGTCCGGTGACACCTCTTCCAAGTCCACCAACGAGATCCTGCTGCTCGATGTTGCCCCTCTGTCCCTCGGTATCGAGACTGCCGGTGGTGTCATGACTCCTCTGATCAAGCGTAACACCACTATCCCCACCAAGAAGTCCGAGACCTTCTCCACCTACTCCGACAACCAGCCCGGTGTCCTGATCCAGGTCTTCGAGGGTGAGCGTGCTCGCACCAAGGACAACAACCTGCTCGGCAAGTTCGAGCTGACTGGCATCCCCCCCCGCCCCCGTGGTGTCCCCCAGATCGAGGTCACCTTCGATCTTGACGCCAACGGAATCATGAACGTCTCTGCTTCCGAGAAGGGCACCGGAAAGTCCAACAAGATCACCATCACCAACGACAAGGGCCGCCTGTCCAAGGAGGAGATCGAGCGCATGCTGTCCGAGGCTGAGAAGTACAAGGCTGAGGATGAGGCCGAGGCTGGCCGTATCCAGGCCAAGAACGGTCTCGAGTCCTACGCCTACTCCCTCAAGAACACCATCACCGAGGGCAAGCTCCAGATGTCCGACGACGACAAGAAGAAGATCGAGGACAAGATCTCCGAGATCATCTCCTGGTTGGACAACAACCAGACCGCCGAGAAGGACGAGTACGAGTCCCAGCAGAAGGAGCTCGAGGCCATTGCCAACCCCATCATGCAGGCCGCCTACGGTGCTGCCGGTGGTGCTCCCCCTCAGCAGCGCGCTGACGGCGAGACCGAGGAGAAGAAGGACGAGGAGGAGCTTGACTAAAAGTCTCGCTTTTGAACACTTATTTTCTTCTTTTTCTTTCTCTTTTCTTATGATGATGGCTCAGTCAGCCCTTCTTTTTTCACGTTTTGTTTTACGAACTTATGGGATATCGAAGTTTTTCCTTTTGCGATGATTGCATAGAACCGTGGTTATCTCTTGCTGGGTTAAAAAAGTCCTAGCGAATTTCAAAATTTCTTAATTCAAATTTCACTTTCCTCTTGTAGACATGTAGTCAATTGTAACTCACTAAGTCTCGACTTCAAATTGTATACCTTGTAAGTTGAACTCTCTTCTCTTTCTTCTGTTGCAGATTTTTGTATGGACGGACCGGTATCGGCCCCGCCAAGCCATCTCAACGTAGAACTAAACCTTGGCCTTTCTAGAATCGAATTCTACTTCGATATAACACTCACGTAGACACCGCAATTGATTCCAATCAACAAAAAAAAACTCACCCTAATCATTCATCAACATTAATTCAACTAGTTCCGCCGGCATCCTTTCCAGGAGACGGGCAACCGTTCCCAGGCACTACTAGTCATTCAAACAATCACAATAACCTGCCTCTGCACATCAATACGCTCCCTCTCATATGGAGGAAGTCATTGTTACGTTCTCTGTCTAATCAACTTTCTATTTTTCACTCCATAAACCCCCAAACCGGACGTATTATGAGTCCTATTTCGACGCGCATAAAAGTCCACGTCTACAACCCATACCAACCAGACACTATAACTCAAGAACCCCGTCTAATAATCCTGTACAGCTTGGCTTAATTCCCCTCCAGTGGACGTCGAATTGTCTTGCGCCAGTATATCTTCCAAATGCCGATGTCAGCATGTCCGAGTTGACGATCATCGGCTCGATTCCAGGATATGGATACCTAGGTATCTATAGGATTCTCGACAGCCCGCATTGCAGCAACCACAGTAATAAATCCAGTGTTCTACCCGCCAATCTAAAGACCCACGTTAGAATGAATTTTACGAGGCTGTTGATTTGTTGGAGATATCTGGAGGATAGATGCTGCAAGTTGGTAACAAGAAAGATGGAGTAGGGCTGGCTAGGGCAATTGTATCCATGTACCGGGGCTACGATAATAAAATAGAGGGTCCCGACTGCGATTAGAGAATTGAGAGTCCTTCCCTAGTATTGAAATATCAGGGATATGCTATTCCAGGGCGACGGGATACCAATCTCGAGCCACATTCCGCACATGGGAAGATAACTATATGCTGTATGATGTAGTCAAGAGATCAGTCCCGCATCAGCCACATGGAAGTCAATACGCCAAACCCCCTGAATTAAGATAGGGCCATAACCCAGAAACCAAATATTCATTTCTTTAAAACTCCTAACCCCGGAAATTGCGCTTATCAAGACACAACTCATGACATACGGATGAATCCCCCATTGATCCGATCCGATTTGCTTCCTGCCGGTTCATTGTTTCCACGCCCGAGGACCAGTCATGGCGTATGCAATCGTCATAACGATTGCTTTTCGTACAAGTAGGGCTTTAAGCAGCTTGGCCCCCCTCCTCAAACATTTTTAAAATCCCCATTCCACCACCTTTGTAACCGTTTCTGGCCTAGCTGCACGACAGCTCCGTATCCGATTTCCGGAGCTTCGGGGCTCTTGTCGATTTGGTCGCGGCGGATGCGCGTTATGGCTGCCGTCATGCCCATTGTCAGGGCGAAGATTGGGTCTCCTATCCTGTTGCGGTGTTAGGGATGGGTTGGATCGGGGTAATGCGAAGTGTAGTCTGGTGGTCAGGGTGGGGGAAATGAGGGATTCTGGGATAGTGCGCGTGTGGGTGGGACGATTCGCATGTTGCGGCTATCTGCGTGGCGGTGGACGTACCGGGAAAGGAGGTATGCGGCCATGCTGAGCTTGGGGTTGGGGGTGGTTTTGTAGTAGTTTCGGGGTTCTTGCGGCCGCTGCGGATCGCGGATGCGGAGGGTCACGTGTTTATATCAAGGTTGGAGGGTGGCTTTTCCAGGGAAAGGGAATGGTATGGGAATTACATAGATTTTGAATAGCCCTGTTAAATATGGAAATAAGCATCCAAGGAGATTTGAACTCGTTCAACGCCATACTAGGTACTAGTATGGGAGACAGAACAACAAAGGGAAGCACCTTAGCTTTGAAGTACGGTACCTAAGGCACTGCAGCAGGTAACGCGGCCCGCCAAATACTACTATTTTACTAGTAAGAGACGGTAGTAAGTTCTGAAGATTGATATTTCTTGGCTGTAGACTAGACTCCCGTTGGAACAACAATAAACCATGTCTATAAGGAGGAAAAAAAATACACAAAAGGTCCCCTGAAAGCCGGGAAAAGCCCAAAAGACCCGAAATGAAGAAATAAAAAAGGTGGGGAGAGTGTTGTCGAATAGTTAACGCCGCGGCTATAAAGAATCTTTCATGTACCGAGCTCTGCTCTGCTTTATACAACCTGTCCGAAGGCAGGAATCAGAGTCTGAGCCAGCCAGAAGCTGAACACCAGCTTGGGACCGGTCATCAGCAGCTTAGGGGTCAGACCCTTGAAGAAGCTGGTGGCGCCCTCGTTCTTCATCATGTTGGAGATGATGCGCATGCCGGACTCGGGGTTCTCGAAGTTGCGGTTTTGGATGCGGGTCTTGATCACGTCAAGAGGGGCGGATACGATCAGGGAAGCAGAAGCACCGGCCACGGAGGCAACGAAGTTCTGGCCCCAGGTGGCCTTGTTGTAGTCCGACAGACCGTAGATGTACTCCTTGGCGAAAGCAGATCCACCGAAGAGCTAAGATGGGACAAGAATTGTCAGTGAGCGATTTCACATGTCGGGTGGGTCTCAACTTACAGCGAATGAACCGGGGGCGTTACGGGCAGCGGTCCAACCGGCACCACGGTACAAACCCATACCCTCATCGGAAATGATCTTGAACAGACCACGGCCGCGGAAGGCCTCGGGGTTGGTCTGACGCTTGATCTTCAGGACGTCCAGGGGAAGCAGGACGATCTCTCCAATACCGATCAGACTAGGAATTGCAAGTTAGCCTTGTGATGTCCTCTGTAGGAATGGGGGTTGAATATGCCATACCTGCCAGCAGTCGCGTGCATGATAGCCTTGCCGTTGCCCTTTCCGAAGGCATTGTCGAAAGTAGCACCGTGGTGCTCAGCAAGGTAGTCACGGGCGAATGGCTGACCACCGTACTTGTAGATACGCTGGAGAACCTGTAGAACGAAGAAGGACAAATATCAGCCGATTGCCCTGAGAGTCTGACCAAAGCCAAAGTGTATCGTTGTCGAAAAGTGAAGGGAACGAACCTTGTAGCCGGCGGCGTAGCCCAGACCGGGGAACATGGAGGTGAACTTGCGGGCAAGCGGGGCATCGGCATACTCCTTGAAGACAACCTTCTTGAAGTCGGCAGATCCAACGATCTGGAAGAATTGCAGTCAGCAACTAATTGCGGCGCATGATGGATTCGCTATCTGATCCGAACTCACCTTGGTCTGGTTGCTCATCAGCCGCTTAGCGGTGGTGTCGACCTAAACGCAAAACATATTAGAGATGAAGGGATGGCGTAGACGTTCAATTGGGATTCTCGTACGGGGTGGAAGACCAGCAGCTCGGCGATACCAGCACAGCCTAAGTAAGAAGCAGATTAGCCTTGGCCATCGGGGAAGTTGTCCATGTGGATAGGGTGCATCATACCGGAACCGAGGAGACGAGCAGTGGCGGATTCCTTCTTGACATCCTTAGAGGCGGCGCCGGCACCGGCTTGGGCAATGGGAGACATCTTGACGTTTGTGAGAGGTGAGTAATGAACCGAAATGCAGCATCGTCCGCGTCCTGGATTTTTTGAGAGCGCGAGTGGGTCGGACTAGTCCCGTTTAGGGGCCGGAGTCGGAGGGCCGACCAGGTACACAATACTAACTATACTGTTGAATACAGTAGTATGTATACCACCATTTAGACAGGGAGTTAAGAAGGAGAAGCAAAAATATAATTAATCGCGTTGATCATCATCTGCTAATACTCCTCCGGTTATTGACCACTCTCAACACTGTGCCTGTACTACCCGCTTGAAGCGATCGTACGATCTTCTCTCGGGTGGAGTCGTCACATATTCTTTAGCAAGAGAGAAGCTAGATTCATTCAGTCAGCCACAAGAGGCCCGGTTGCTCTCATCTACCTGAATGTAGCTCTGCGTGCTACAAATCCAGGGTTTAAACCCCACACACGCAGAAGAAGCATAGACGCCCGAAAAGTGTCAGAGATTTGACCTAATTTCATTTCTTAGAGCAAAGGCATATGGCCTCGTCACCTAGCAAGCAGAAGAAGAATAAAAAAATTCAAGATGTGTGAACAACTCCGATTAAACGCCGCATGACCGTGAGAACCGACACCGTTTCAAAAGGTTGCATGAGTCTCATCTGCCATGATCACTTCAGCCGGCGGGCATCGGATCACCCGCCAGAAATACCCTGCGCAAGGGCTATTCGGTGGTAATGTCATGATGTATGAGAGCAAGTTAAAAAAGATCAACCTTTATAGGTCGCCGAAAGTGTTCTCCCCGGAGTACCTGAGTTTGTCATTGAGTTAGTATTTTGTTTGGGTATGGCCAGCGAGGTTGGAAAGTCTCGAATATGGAATATCGAGGGAAACATAGAACATACGTGATGTACAGGAAACCATCTTCGTCCTTGTGCTCTTCGTAGATGCTGCTCATGAGCGCGGCGGTGGGTGGCAGAACCTCGTCAACGAAGATGAAGATCGCCTTCTCGGGAGAGAGCTTGATGCGCTTGCGGATCACATAGACGAACTGGCCGACGGTGAGATCTGCGGGGACCAGATACTTCTTCTTGTCGATGGTGGCGATGTCTGACTTCTCGACCTTCTCGCAGATGACCTGTATCGCGATCCGTTAGCTACCGAACAAGCGGTGAGGGGTGGAGGGAGAGTAGGATGGATCTCGCAAAGGGTAGGACATCCTGTTTCAGATGAGGCCATAAGAGATTTTGAGTCAAGACTTACTGGGATACGGTCGGCGTACTTCTGGCGAATTCGCTCGGCCTCGGCCTTGCGCTTCTCGAAAGGGTGCTCGTCCTTGAACTTGGATCGCATGGCTGATAAGGCGATAGTAAAAGCGGGTCTGGTGGGGATGAAGCTTGGGAAAGCCGGAGATGGGTGAGAGTTGAGGACGGAGGTGTGTAACTCGCAGCGGGTGGACGGATGGAGTAGAGGTTGGATAGATGCAGTTGGAAGAAGAGAGGGGGCTTGTCTGAGAGTATCGATGACAAAAGGGACAACCCCCGCTGACGTTACCGTATTACCATCAAATGGGAGGGGGAGGCGGTGAGTCAGGCGCTGCTATCACTTGACTTGTCATCAGCTTGTGGCTATTTCTAGTCATTTGTACAATAGTAATCACTGACCTGGGAATAATGCACATTTAGTTTATTCTACAGAGTACTCCACCTGTCTACTGGTTTCCAGTCTACTATCATCTACAGTCATGGTCCCGGCGAATCCGTATCATCATCGGGATGCCCCACAACACACCGGCGGAGTATGTCGGAGCCTCATAACCATAAGCTTGTTATCTTATTCGTAGAACATTTGCTTCCATAGTGCACTTGACGCTATCAAGGCAACAGCTCACGAAAAGAGTCATTACTGTGTATCCGGTCGTTAGTTCATAGAGTCACAGACTCACAGCCACCACTAGTCTCCACTATTCAAGGCTCTCAGCAGCAACAGAGCTACTTCCTCGCCGGTACTGATGTATCAAATGAGTAACCGGAGTATTTTACAAGTATGTGATTTGAAACGTCTTATTTCAATATTCGACTGGACCTCCATACTTAGCAAGGTACCCGATTGTACTTCATAGGCTGCCAATAGTTCCGGCATGTGCTTACCTCATCCAGACAAACAAGACAAACGCAACTTGAGGGCGCGCGGGTCCGAATTGAATCCACTTCGGAACTCTGGAGATGTCCGGACATTGCCTGATGTCGTACGAGATTCTAAGAGTTTCATGATCTTTTATACCCCTCAGAGTCCGGACTAACTTCAACTGCATGCACGTCGACACTTGAATCAATTCTTCCTCGCAATCGTCCTCCCTCACCCCGGCAATCAGCCACGCGAATACCCTCGGTCCCGTTGCGAAAATGGCCTCGCGGTCTTTCATGCCTCTCCGGAGGTCCCTGGCTCAATTGTCTGCACGAAATGCTCATATTCCCGGCCGCCATGCAGGCAACTCTCTCCGTCGGTATGCGACTGAGCAGGGACAGGGCTCTCGTCAGAAGCAGCAGTTCACCGTTTGGCGACCTTATTTGCGACTTGCCATCGGTGTTCCTTTCATCGGCGCGCTCATCTACTCCATGGTAGGCAGAAAGTATCTCACGCGCCGCAATATTCAGCTATTAACCTCATCCACAGGCCACCGGTGAGATTACCGAACTCGATTCGCCTTCAATTGTCGAGCTAGACGAAGCCATCAAGAAATCATCCCCCATTACCGAGTCCTCGCCCATGCGCCTACGGATGGAAAAGCTCATCAAGGAGAACCAACAGAAGATTATTGAGGAGTTGGGCAGGATAGATGGCAAGGAGTTCAAGACGGATACCTGGTCCCGTCCTAATGGTGGCGGTGGCATCTCCTGCGTGCTGCAAGACGGAAACGTCTTCGAGAAAGCCGGTGTTAACGTCTCCGTGGTGTACGGCGAGCTTCCACGTCCCGCTATTGAGAAGATGCGCGCCGATCACAAGTCCTTCGTTGGTGCTGACGTTGACTCGCTGACCTTCTTTGCTGCCGGTCTCTCTCTGGTTCTTCACCCACACAACCCCATGGCGCCGACAGTGCACTTGAACTACCGATACTTCGAGACTTCCGACCCGAAGGACCCCATCAATGGCGACAAGAACTGGTGGTTTGGCGGTGGCACCGATCTGACCCCTACCTATCTTTTCCCAGAAGATGCCCAGCATTTCCACAAGACCATCAAGGAAACCTGTGACCGACACGACGCAACTTATTACCCCAAGTTCAAGGCTTGGTGTGACAAGTACTTCTACATCCCTCACCGCGGCGAATGCCGAGGTGTCGGCGGCATTTTCTTTGACGATCTTGACGCCAGTTTCCTCAAGGCTTCCAGCAGCTCCTCCTCCAACCCGCAAGAAACTCTCTTCTCTTTCGTCTCGGACGGTCTGACCTCGTTCCTGCCATCCTATGTACCCATAATCGAGAGGAGAAAGGACATGTCCTATACCCCAGAGCAGAAGCAGTGGCAACAGCTCCGTCGGGGTCGCTACGTGGAGTTCAACCTCGTCTACGATCGCGGTACTAGCTTTGGCTTGCGCACACCGAACGCTCGTATCGAGAGTATCCTCATGAGTCTCCCTCGTACCGCGAGCTGGGCCTATATGGACCCCGTCTCTGGCACCAGGACCGAGAACATGGTAACTGATGAGGACGAGCTTGCAGAGGATAAGAAAAGCGAAAAGGAGCTCATGGATGTGTTGAAGCACCCTCGTCAATGGGCTTAATCTAATTTGGCCGGTGTCGTTTATTGCTGGGGAGGCAATCTTTTCACACATCCGGTTCCTGTACCAAAATATTTAAATACATTGATCATCTTGTCCCTTATTAGAAGGAAGACCCTTCTTGTTTTCGTTTATGTACATTACTTCCCACATTACTTCCCACAAATACTTTGATCCTCAATTAAAACGCAGGTCTATACACTTCATTTTTCGGTCCCTTTTTCTGTCTATTAGGCGATTTCGAAAAGAAAGCTGACCCCTTGACTCCTCCTTTACTACTTGAAAAGCTACCCCGTGACGCCAAGTTCTTCGCAGTTAAACCGAATTTGACATGATCGAGGGGAATCCTCGCAGATAGCGCGGCGCTTCATAGCGGCAATCGGCTGAGCAGTGCTCCCTATAGTTCAGGGTCTGCAACCCCTCATGAAACTAGTAGTATACTACTAGTACCTTAAGGTAATTTAATACTATCCACGCTACTGGCATACTACCGCCAACTAAGTAATATTAAGATCTCCTCATCCTACCTCCAGCTATAAATAAGTATGCTAAGGCTATTTACGCAATACAACCCATGATACTCTGCGTCCAACTCTGGAAAAGGAATACTGGTAATTTTGTAACGCTGCTAGCTTAGAAGGCTTTCTGGACCGGTTGCCGCTATGTACTTTATGAGAAAACGGGTCCATTTACCCCATTCGACCAAAAATTGCGCACGCACATTTCAGCACTGTACGATTGTATTTTTGGCTTAACAAGTGGTGGAGCCATTGTCGGCTTCAATCCCGAGGATCGGGAATCCCGATCCTTGCGCCAATGAGTGACGTCGACGCAGCCGTGTATTAGCAATCACTGCAGCCCTGAACATCCTTGATGAAATTCGTATGAAAGATCAATTCCCACATGGGCAACGATTTCCAATATCTTCATCTTATAACTTCAACCCGTCAGAGAAGATCAGCCAGAAATACGATAAGATGCCCACTGGCAGTTCAGATATGATTCGACGCCGTGCCTTTCGGCGAACAGACAACTATATGCCTGGTAAACTTAAACTGAAACTCGTGGAAGAGGTATTTCCTCCGCTTGAACCGACGTCAGTTTTAATCAAAGTTCATGCTGTATCTCTCAACTACCGTGATGCAAATATTGCGAATGGAGGCAATCCGTGGCCGGTCTTACCAAACGGGATATTATGCAACGATGCAGCTGGCGAAGTCATTGCCATCGGGGATAAAGTCAAGAGGCTAGTAGTTGGTGATAGGGTCAGTCCTATCACTGATACTAAGAATATCTCCGGTCGAGAGATCGGTCGTTCATGGCTTGCTGCGGATGAAGATGGGGTTATGGCAGATCATATCATTTTTGACGAAAATGTTCTCTGTAAACTACCAGATCATCTTGACTGGAATGAAGCTGCTACGATCCCCTGTGCTGGTGTTACTGCATGGTCAGCTTTGAAGGGAATGAGTATTGGACAGACTGTTTTAATCCAAGGTAAGCAAACCCACGCCCTGAACCAGTTTCACGACTCTATTAAAAGCAAAATAACTAACCTGGGTGGTAGGCACTGGAGGCGTAAGCGTCTTTGCGCTCAAACTTGCAAAAGCAGCCGGTCTCCGAATTATCTTGACGTCTTCGAGCGACGCAAAACTCAAGCAAATGTCAGAGCGATACCCCGGAATTCTGACAATCAATTATTCCAGCACTCCGGACTGGGATCAAGAAGTCATGAGACTTACAGCCGAAGAGGGGGTGGACATTGTTGTAGAGAATGGAGGGACAGGATCTTTGGTCAAAAGTCTCAAGTGTACGCGACGTGGTGCTGTAGTTAGCCAAGTCGGATATCTGTCGAAGCAGGATCCTGCCGATTTGCGAGAACTGGTTCCTACTATCATTGATCGCAGGGTCACACTTCGAGGTATCAATGCTGGCTCGAAGTATGATATGGAAGACTTTTGTGCTGCCCTTTCAGCGGCGCAAACTCGTCTTCATGATTTGATTGATAAGATATTTCCTTTTGAGGAGGCTGAGGATGCGGTTGAATATGTTTGGCAGGGTAAACAGGTTGGCAAGATTGTACTACGTCTTTAGTTGGATCTACCGCTTAAATTTTTTTTTTCTCAAAATAAAACCAATTATTTGTAAAGATCAAAATCATTGTACTAGCAACATCGATGATGCTATTTGTCTAAATTAGCAAACCAGCTCATTAGAACACTTGATTAGATCCATCCATACCCCGCGTACTGTAATTATAGAGCAGCGCAAACTATCAAAAAATCAAACATTCCCGAGAGTCAGTCAGGCAATTCCAACAAATATCATGCCATATTTACAAGAATTTCATCAAATTTTGACCAAAGTCTAGCATAAAATGTACATTGCCGTGGAGTACTCCGGAAAGCCCGCAAACATCAACCTCGGCCCGCAAGTCTTGGCGCCCCGTGACTTCCCCAGCTATTCTCCTTGTCCACTCCGCGGCTACGCAATGCATCACTCTGGATCATGGAGACCGTTCGAAATATATCAAGTCCCATATCGCCAGCGATGCTAGGACCATCGAAGTGGCTCGCACACTATGAAGACTTCGTTACCAAGAATTCCAGCTCTGTTGGACAAGTCGAGTCCGCCTTGCGGTCGCTGACCTACATCATCCCTGGTGAGTGCGATCCCATCACGGAATACTATCGCTTAGGCGCAGAGGAACCCCAACTCACATATTTATTTCACTCATCAGGACGCTATCGTGAATCTGAAGTTGCCTCAGAATGTGGTCAGTCTACACTCTACACATCTACTAGTCTCTTTGAAACGTTTCTAACCAGATCATATAGTCCATTCCGGAGTCCAACTCCTGTCCCTTTACCATGACTCCCTCGTAGAGAAAGTCATCTCACGGCTTCCATCAACCGTTCCTCGACCAACGCCGACCCCTCATTCACGATATACGAAGTACTGGACCTCCCGCTCCTCTTTGTATCGCCAGGTAGCCCTCGCGCTCCAGATGCTCCAATATACAGAGCTCCTTTGGGAAATGGCGGCGCGCCGGCGCGGGCAGAAGACTAGATGGCGCGTTGTCGTCTTCATCGAATTCGCCAAAGCAGTCTGTCGCATTCTGCTTCTTCGCTTGACGAACTCGAGACCCTTGGTCAACCCCCCGCTTCCCGAGCGCGAAGTTGACCCAAGAACAGTGGAGCAACCGGAAGAGGAACAGAGCGACTGGAATGGAATGGAGACTCCCACTAGTGAAAAGTCATCTGATTTGAACTGGACGATGCCTCGCACTGGTCTTTCACTTCCATCACTTCCGGACGTGAATGACGTCTCAAATTATCTTATTTCCAAGGTTCTCACTGCCGACGACATCAAGCCCCCCAAGACCCTTTTGCACCGAGTTACTGGCCAAGGACAGCTGGCGGAGGTTCTCTATATTCTGCGACCAGTGGTCTATGCCTTGGCGATGCAGAAATGGAGCAAAGATAAGCGGAGCTGGAGGCCCTGGCTGATCGGCTTTGGAATGGAGTTTGGTTGCCGACAACTGGCCAAGCGGGATTTCCGTGAACGTGTTGCAGGGGGCCTCCGAGGCTTGACTGGACTTGAGCGGGAGGAGCTGAGAAAACGCGGATGGTCCATGGGGTGGTGGTTGATGCGAGGTGCCTTTTACGAGAACATTACCAAGTATGTTGATCTTTCCTTATCCCCTCTTGAAGCACACACTAACAATACACCAGGTCCTGGCTGCACAGCCTTACTGGCAAGATGAAGGGTAAGCCGCTGTTGGACATGGTAGGCAGCGTGGTGGAGGACTACGAATACTTGTGGGATAACTACTACTTTTCAACTGCGACGCTATGATGGGATTCTCTTTGCACTCTCGACCTTCTTCCATGATACCCAGTTTTAAACCCTCCACCCGCGGGGTTCAATTTAATTTTCTCTGTGATTTATGACACTTGCATCAGACATGTTTTTCCTATGTTCTCTTCTTGATTCTGCGTATGCTTGATTGGAAAGGGTATCTTCATTGTTTTATTAGCTTCATTATTAATGCTAGACAAATTCATATCGTTATAAGATCTCGGCTTGTTTTTGACCAAACCATTCTTGCAGGCCACTTTGTCCTCCTGTGGTTTTACTCGGACCTGACGAGAGAAGAAAGTCGCTAAGCATCCCATTCCCATCCTCATCATCATCGACCGGCCAGTCCACCCGTGCTCCACCTTTCAGTTCCAGCATCTCTTTCGCAGTCCCCCAGCTGAAGCGGCACTCATTGCCCCAGCCAAAAACAGGGTCCATGTTGCGTCTGAGCCACCCGGTGCACTTGGAATCTGAGGGATAACCACTACCCCATCCCCCAGGTGTTGTTTCCAACGACTGCTCACTCAACACAGCCTCATACAGAACTTCCAGGGCAACATCACGCGTCACCTTAGCCGCCACACTAGCAGCGCTGACACAGGGATATAGGGAATCCGCCTTCTTCGCAACAGTAATCTTCATCGATGGAAAAATCCGCTCCAGTTTCTGCTGGTATGTAGCCGGATTACCAATAGTATCGATATAAACCTCTTTGACATCCACGCCACGCTCCTCAACAACGCCGCGGATGATCTCAATGGTAGCATCCATAGCCTGCGCATTCAGATTGTAGACCGCCGTGCCGGGCTTCATCATCCCGGAGCCAATATCGCGCGCGGAAAGAAGCTTGATGGCGTATCCGCAGGACTCGTAAAGGTTCTCGCCAGGTGTATTGAGGAGACGCATTAGGTTGGCTCGAACGCCTGGTGTGAGGACTTTGCTGTCATCGAAGCTGTGCTCTTCGGCTAGGAGGGAGTGGTGGAGATCGAGTGGGAGGTAGAATGCGCCGTAGACCATTGGTCCTAGGACTGGGCCGCGACCGGCTTCGTCAACGCCTAGGACACATGGTGTAGATTCCGTCGTGGGATTTGTGGGATTGGCTTTGTCGTGGGGTGTGATTGCGGCTGGGATTGGGGTATAGTAGGCGTAGGAATCTCCCGAGAGCACATGCTCTTTTTCCACGCTGGGTGGAATGAAGGCGAGATCTTGGGGATCGTCGACTTTTGATTTTGCTACCATGGTGAGAGGATGTGAGATTTGAGATTTGAGATGTGAGATTAAGGTCGAGGAAATAGTGATGATTTGACGTGCGGGTAATGCGGTATGCTCGGAGGAAGGAAAGACGCGTCTCCGGTTTGGTTGGCGCGTGGGCGCGGCGCGTTTTCCCTTGCAGTTTGCCCCCCAAATTCCCGTCGCATCATTCCTCTCCCCTCCACATCCACACACCCACTTGGCTGCAGGTTCAACCTAATTTCTCCATCTGCCTTGTCGCTATCCCCGCGAATATGGCTCGCGGACTCGGGAAAGCTCGCGAATATGATTACTCCAACGTTGGAACCGCTGGACGGTGAGTTGTTCATTCGACAATTGCGCGCCGAAACTATACTCTAACACATATGCGACCCCAGACGCACTGGACTTACCCTGAAAGAGGGCCGACGCGACGAGCATGGAATGGAAGAAGTCGATGGATTATTTTCATCGCCCGAGAAATCGCCTGACAAGGTGAATGGCTTCGACGACGAACATGATGATTCTATTGGCTCTGATATGTCTATTGAGGATGGTGAGTTGGAAAAAAAACACGCACAACAACCTTCTCCCCTCCCCTCGCGACTTGTGAAAGGCTCCGAGCTATGTGCTGATGTCTCATTTCAACATCTAGACAATGCGCCGGGCCCTATGCACTTTCTCAATGCCTCCAATCGTTCCCAAAACTTACCACCGCCATCGCAATCACCAGTCAAAGGCTCTTCCCGAACTGTGCGGAGATCTCCAGAAGTGCAGTCCTCACCAGAACCCGAGCAAGACTTTTCAAGCCCTTCTGAGGGCAGAAGTCTACTCGCTACAAATAGCAATGTGCGAGGAGATCCGTCTCCGCTGAGCGCCCGCTCGGTCAATGCGGGTCCGAAGAAGGGAAAGAATAACTTGCAGAAAGCCCGGGCGCTCCCCGAGACAACCGAATTCTCCGACGAAGAATATGACGAAAATACTTCATTTGCCGTTCAAGATGATGTTGAAAACAGCTTTGACCAGGGTAACGACACTGTGATCCAGGACGAGTTCCCAGAACCCATCGAGGAAGATTTGGACGACTCGGACAGCGACCATGCAGAAGCCCCAGAAGAACCACGACAACTCGAAAAAGCAACCAAGTCAACGAAGGGCCCTGCGTCCAAAACTACCGACAAGGGCAAAGGCAAATCGGCCGCTGGTCGGCCAGGTCGACCGCCTAAGGCTGCTCGCGCTGCTGATGAAGAAACCACCGAGGCTAGACCTGCCAAAAAACAGAAAGTATCGAAGGAAGCTCAACCACGAGAACCACTGGACCCGGAATTGGACCGCGTTGTGGAAAATTACTCCCAACGTTCTGGACCATTGAAGGGCCGCAGTCTGTATATTCTAAAGCGCGAGAACCCAACCGAGGATGTCTCCACCCACACTCGCTCAGGGCGAGTCTCTGTCAGGCCGCTTGCATACTGGCGCAATGAGCGCTGTGTGTACGGCGACGGAGAAGCTGCAGAGGGCCAGCGGTACCCGCTCTCTACAATCAAGGAAATCATTCGCACTGAAGAGCAAGAGCCAGAGAACAAGGGCAAAGGAAAACGTGGGAGGAAGTCCAAGTCAAGCAAGTCCAAAAAGCGGAAGGAAGATTCCGACGAGGAGGATGAGGATATGGACGAATGGGAGATGAAGGGAGGCATTCTTCATGGCATTGTACCGAAATGGGATCCTATTGCAGGCACCACGGAAGAAGAAGTCACAGGTAAGAGTCAACCGGGCGTTAACGCGCTATTCCGACAATCTCTAACCAGTCCTTATCATAGATATTATTGCTTATGCCCCCTCTGGCATCGAAACAAAGGACGTCAAGGGATCTTCGTTCAAATTTGCCAAATTACTCAGCTCCTCCTTCATTGGATCGGGTGTCCTTGACCTGCCACCAGAGGGTGTAAAGAAGCCCAAAAATTCGAAAAAGATGCACATGGTATTCTACGTCTGCAATGGCCGTGTTCAAGTGGATGTTTCTGGTGTCCAATTCAGCGCAGGAAAGGGCTGCGTTTTCCATGTTCCCCGAGGTGAGTGGCACTCTCAAGAATCCCAACACGAATCGTTTCCCCCCCCCCCCTGTAACTATCACTAACGACGGATTGACAGGCAACATTTACAGCTTCCAGAATCCTTATCAGAAAGATACGAGGCTTTTCTTCACCCAAGGGTGTGTCCCTGATGAGAATTCCGAGGAGGACTCGGGAACTACATCCCAAGCCGTTGAGCAAGGTAACTCCGATGGCGAAGCCGCAGCCGGTCCATCCAAGTCCAAGCACAAAGCAAAGCCCGCGGCCGCTCGAGGTCGCAAGGGTAAGCAGAAAGCTGGGAAATAAATAAGTTGGCTGTTTTCATTTTGCCATTGATTCTACTTCATGTCGGTGTTGAATGCGTCACGATACCTCCTCTGCTTGGTTTTATTTGAATTGTTTCTAGCGATATGTATTCTCCTGTAATTGCTAGCCCCGGTGTCGGTTTTATCCCATTTTTCCCTCAATCTACTCTACTATCTCGATTAATTGGCGACGAGGGTCACCCCTCATCGAAGGGATTGAGTAGAGTCAAGTAAGAATAGAAAATCATTCACAAACATGTCATAATAATATTCATTTCTATGCATCCTGCGTCTCGCGTGTCTCACGTGTTCGATCTAGATCTCCTCCATCAAATCATCAAGCTCATCATCCAAATCCAAAGGAGGAAAATCCCCAATCTGCACCTTATCAGGCTTAACAAAAGCACCCCTCTTCTCTAGACACTCAAAGTACCGCTTTCCCCCAACACTCCCATCATTCTTCCCCGTCGGCTCGTCCAACTCAATACCAACCCAGATAGGCTGTAACTCTGCAGGAATCTCGCCCTCCCGCTCCATCTCCCGTCCCGCACCAGTAACAGGAATGCCCGGCACAGGCCCGACAAACCGAACCGTTCCCCGCCGAATATGCGGCGGCGAGGAGGGCAGGATAATAGCGCGTGCGGAAACGGCGATGCCTGTACATGAAATGAGCAATGAGACTAGGCTTGGGCACTGTAGCGTGGCGTGGCGCGGCGTAGTAACGTACCTTTAGTCGAAATCTCACTCCGATCCTTCTCGACCTGGTTGCGCAGAGACTCTTCAGGCGAGAGGGCGGTTGGATCGAAACGGCCGAGCTTTTGGTTCTTTTTCCAGGCTAAGACCGAGTTCGGGAGAGCCTCGTATGTCGAGCTGGGGAGCTCGTATTTTTCTTACGGAGGATAGGTCCGTGTAATTTGGGCGCATGGATTGAGGGCGGGAGTCGTGGACCTGCGAATGTCAGTCCAGTCCAGTCCGCTCCAGTCCACTCCAGTCTTGGATTGGATCGGGTCAGGGACGGCAAGGGAAAGGAGAAACATAACATACCTCGATTTCACAGCCTTTCATTAGAGCCCACGAGTTGAGGAGTCGGTCCTCGCCTTCCATCCATTGGGCTGGGTGGCCGGGGCTCTTGAGGCGGAGGGTTTGGGAGCTGGGTGGGACGCCAGTCATGGTTTCCAGCTTGCTTTTTAGCTGGGTTAGGGTCCATGTTGGGGTTACGCGGCGCTCGTTGAGGAATCTTGGTTCTGTGTCGGTGCCTCGGGCTGTTGATGCCGCTGTTATGACGACAGATATATCTGCCGGTGTAGGCTGGAATGCCATTTTGAATGGGGGTTGATGGGGGTGATTTGATTTATGGGATCTAATTGTGGTCAGCGGTGGTCAAATGTTTGAAGGGTCATTGAGGGTTAGGAAAGGGAAGATAGAAAGAAAGATGACCTCGTCCAGATTAGGCTGGTCGACAGAAGAGAAGAGAAGAGAAGCGCAGCGTGTCTCAAGGCACCGGGGGGATAGGTATAGTCTATCTTGACACACTCTCTCCCCCCACCCCCCCTCTGGCCATTTTGATATTGCCTTTCTGGGAGACGCAGATCTAACGTTCCCCAGATCTTACAGCCGGGTATCATGTCGGACAAAGATCTTGTGTTCTCACCAACCAGACAGGGTCTCCCTAGCCCGAAACAAAGCGATGGGGTTGGATGGTACTCACAATTTTAATTTCAATTCCAGGCGCGCAGGCAAGTCGCGATAACTCCTGAAATGTGCCGTCGCCAACAAGGTGGAAACCGCGCTTAGTCATCAAACTTAAGGACTGTATGGAGTTTTGTGGAAATTTCAACGCCGACTGCAGTCGCTGTTTGATGTGAGATTTAATTTGTTTGAAAACATTCTGATCGGAAAGCGGGCCTCTATGCGGGAAACGATTTAAGTTTGAACTGGGCCAGCACTTCCCGGCTTTGTCTTATGTTTTGTTTTGTTTTTTTTGCTGTCTTTACTAAAGTCTAGTCTACATATGTACTGTCAGCCTGAGTACCTGGGTACGCCTAGTTAAGGTGAACGTTTATTGTCCGAGTGGGTACACGAGAAGTCACGTGAGACTCGCTTGGCTTCGCCTCCCCGCCAACAACCAGTCCAACATAACTGCTAGTAATAGTATCAAAACCGCCATTCCGCCATGGCCGACGAGTACGAGCAGAATCACGTACATGAAGTGTATCAGCAGATTGCTGGGCACTTCTCCGCAACCCGTTTCAAGGTAAGTGAAACCTTGCGCGAAGGAGGTACCTACGACGCCCCGCCGCGCCGCGCCGCGCGCAACGTCAATCTCCAACTAATGAGTTTTGCATCGTGACAGGCCTGGCCCATCGTGGAACGATTTCTTCAGGCGCAGGCTCCCGGGTCCGTTGGGCTGGACGTCGGATGTGGCAATGGGAAGAATTTGACTGTTAATAAGGATGTCTTTATAGTGGCGTCGGATAGGTACGTTTCAAGTCTACATCCAAGTTCAAGTTCAAGTTCGGTTCTAGTTCTTGGAGGAATATCTCTGTGAGGATTCGTATATCATCTGCATTGTTTTTCTATAATTTGTATATGGAATGATTTTTGGTGTGTGTTTTCGGTGTGTTTTTGGGGAGAGTCTGGTTCTTGACTTTGTTTTTTGGCTTGGCTTTTTTTGTGGTGGTTTAATTGTTGGATGCGATGATATGACTAGTTTCCCTTCTCCATTCCTTCTCTTTGCTGAGAAATTCAAACCGATCTCGGTATCGATAATCGATCCGGTCCTAACTCGACGCTGCAGATCGGAAAATCTGGCGCGCATTGCTATCCAGCATCAGCCGCATTCCACCGTCGTGGCGGATATCCTCCAGCTCCCGCATCGGGACGCGTTCTTTGACTTTGCGATCTCAATCGCAGTCGTCCACCATATGTCGACCCCGGAACGGCGGGTCGAGGCCGTTGCCGAGATACTGCGGACTGTAAGGCGGGGCGAGGGGTCGGAACCGGGGGGGCAAATTCTTGGTTTATGCCTGGGCGCTGGAGCAAAAGGATAGTCGTCGTGGTTGGGATAAAGGTGATCCCCAAGATATCATGGTTCCTTGGGTTCGAAAGTCCAAGTCGGACCAGGGCCAGGAAAAGACCTTCCACCGGTACTATCATCTGTATGAGGAAGGGGAGCTGGAGCGCGATATCGAGCAGGCCGGTGGAGTGGTTTTGGAGTCCGGGTATGAGAAAGATAATTGGTGGGCTATTGCGACGCCCAAGCCCGCTTCCACTTCTGCTTCTGCTTCCGCTTCCTGAATGGAAACACAGTCACATTGTCGTTTCGAAGAACCAGCCTCGAAAGTATCATCATCAACGTGGGACGGTGCGGGAATGTGGGGAGAGCGCCGCGCCGACAACGGCCCCCTCCTAATCACAGTGAAAAGGGAAAAGAAAAACAGGAACAGTTCGGCGCAAAAGGGGGGGGCAGCAAACAATTCTCTATGCAATTCATGGCCTCCCACAAATCACGGTATACCTCCAGCCGGCGCTATGCAATTCGTATCAATCAAAAAAATAACAAAGAAGGAGAAGGAGAAGCACAAAGGAAAGCCGTTCAGGCATGATCGTCAAGTTCATCCTAGGGCAGGGTTCGTGGGGGCATTCCCAGATGAGGACCCATGAGGCCTGGCGGGGGGGATTCCCATCTCTGATGGGCGTCCGATTCCATAAAACTCTCTTGGCGGGGGCGGGGCAGGTGGTGCATATGCGGGCACACCGGCGGTCAGCTCTTCGAGGGACGGCAGTTGAGGTGGCATGCCGGGAGGGTGACCGGGGATAGCGCGTGAGAGGGAAGTCTTTCGTGGTCGGGATAGAGAGGTGCTCGCTCGACGAGTTCTGGTGGTGGGGGGATCAATGGCAGTGCTGGATAAGGAAAAGGGCACCACGCCTGCGCGGCGGGCCATTTCCTGTTCTCCCTAATTGCCAGTGCATGGCTTCTGCTGCACGCCATGGGATGGCCATTTCCTCCGCGACCTTAGACCACATTTCCGCCTTGAATCTATTCGACTGTTAGCTGGTTTTTCTTCTTCTCTCTCGCTTTTTTTCTGCTGAAATTGGATTACCCCATCCCCATCTCTCTGATGGGTTTCGGGTGTCTTCTTCTTACCGTTCGTACAGCCTTGCTAGTTTGTTCTTCTTGTCTTCGTCCCACTCGCTCCTGCGCTCAAGGTAGTTTTGATAGTGAAGGCGACAACTAATCGCGCTGCGGCCAGGCAGTCGCTTGCTGATATCCTCCCACTTCATCCCGCTGCCCCGCAGCTCGATGATAAGGGCGTCTTCTTCGGGAGACCATTTGGATTGCTTCTTGGCCGGTGACTCGGCTGTGTGCGCAGGTTGCAACCGCTTTGCCGATCCTGTTGGACCGGTCTTGATCAGCGGTGGTGGGATCACGCTGGGGGATGGGCCTGTCAAGACCGGAGGTAGCCCCGAGAGCCCCGAAATGGATCTGGGTGGATAGAGAGACGTAGGAATGCCCGGGGCTTCATCCTCATCTTGGGGCTTGAGTAGCAGTGAGATATCCACTTTGGCGGGCGGCAAGATAGGCCGATGTTGTAACGCAATCATATGCGCGATGGGGGGGGAAGGGCCGGGTCTTGTGTTGGAGTAGATAGAAAGGAACCCCCCCTCCGTAAACGATAGGTGAGGGGGAGAGGAAGAGAGAGAAGAGAGAGGAGGAGAGAGAGAGAGAGAGAAAGAGAGGGGAAGAAGAAAATAGAGAGGGAAGGATAAAGGCGAAAGTTGAAGATGAAGCTCGTGACAGTCTAGATGACGACAGAGTTCTGACTTGCAGAGGCACAGGGGAGAATGTATATCTCTCTATTTTTTTTTTGCTAGGGCAGGCAGTCTGTAATGATCACCACGAGGATCCACGTTCAAAAAGCTCCGGGCTTGAGCAGAAAGTCAAAAAGAGACACAGTCTCGTGCAACGAATGGTGAGGTCAGAGGAAAGCCGTTGAGAGGCGCGCGGCAGAATGACGGCTGAAGAGTACCGTGGAAGGGGAGAAAAGGTGAAGGGTGAGTTTAAGGTGTAGACAAACTAGAAGATGGAATGAAAAGGGCGGATAAGAGAAGAGAAGAGGGAAAGGGAAATCATCAGGAAAGAGTCCAGAACGTGAAGATGAAACGAGATGTCGATTGGCAATGACAGCTAACAGCCGGGATGGAGAAGTGTTAGATGGTACTGTATGGTAATATAGGGTATAATAACAATAATAATATTATTATATTATATTATAATAATAATATGAAAAGGGAAATTATAATAAAATAAAATAAAATAATCCCGAATAATCAGCAGAGCCACAATATCCCCGATCCACTCAGCAGTGCTGCTTTTAATTAAAGATGCTGAGCGGTCAAACCCTTTTGTTTCCCCTCTTTATGACATTACACTGTTTCTGTTTACTTACTGTTTATTTACTGTTTACTTACTCTCTCTCTCTCTCTCTCTTAGCAGAAAGGGCAGAAAAGAGAGAGGAGGAGAGAAACAGAGACGAAGTCATTGTTCTCTTCTCTCTGTTCTCTACTCCCTCTGTCCTCTTTATGGTATACCTTGGGTACTACTATCCACCTCATATCTTCCTACTCCTGGACCCGCATCATCCTGAAATGAGATGAGGATGCGTAACGGACACTTTAAAGGCCGCACTGGCCAGTCACAACGGGCGCCACGGCCAGCGCCGGCCCAGGCGCTAACCCGCCCTAATGCCATGCCGTTGCGACTAAAACCCTCCCAGGACCCAGATCGCAGGCTAACGGCGCTCCACTAAAACTAACGCAGAATAGCCCATTGCTAAGGCCCATTCCTGCCGGGATCTGGGGTCTTGCGCGTCAGTTCTCATGTTCACGTTCCCAGTCCCACCATTACCTGTTTTTTTTTCTTTCTTTTTTTTCTTTTTCTCTTTTTTTTTTCTTTTGGGGCAAGCCCCGAGCGGAGCGGTTTGCAGCCTCAGTTTTTGTGTGACCACTCGGGGATTTTAGCTGGGGGCTTGGCTGTTTGTATTCCATACCGGCAGGCACTTAGCTCCTGTACATGAGTTGGCACGAAGTACGGAGTGTTTGGTTCACCAGCCAGGAAAATCCCCTCCTTCTTTCTCTCCCTGGTTGATCCTGTGGATCCCTTCCCATTTCCTGGTTCAAACACGCAGGGACTTTTGTTCGGGATCACTTGGTACTTAGTACTACCTTAAGTACAGCGTACATAACTATGTACTAATAATGCTGGAGCTGGAGTCTTTTAGAGTAAGCTACGAGCTATACTCCGTAGTCTCGGTTTCGATCTATAGCTTCCCTTCCCTAGCTCCCTAGCTAAAACCAAAAATCTCAAGTTGAAGAGCTGTATGCTGTATGCTGTATACTGTTACAACACTACAGCTCTGTACCCAGCCCAGTTCCCAACAATCCGATCGCATCGAAAGGGCAGTTCTTCCAGAACCCCCCCTCCCCCTCCATCCGACTCGCACCGTTCGCAGCAGCTCGCCCGGTAACACGGCGTCGCAATGAATTTAGAGGGGGCCAGACCCGCGCGAAATGAGGAAAATGGTCTAGAACGGAGGCCCCCCCCCCCCCGGTGTACAATATGCCCTTTTCTTCACAGTGTACGGAGTACTCCGTACTAATAACTGAACAAGTAACAAACCGTGGTCGTGATCAGTGGCCCCCACATCCAAAGAGCAAGGAAATTGGCAAGAAATTGCAAATGAAATTACAAAGGGCCGAAGCCCATCCCGAGAGGGAAATGAGATTCCCGAGATTTAAATAATCCAGGGACCAGCCCATCTTTCGACATGAGGGGCAGAGGGAGGGAGGGTAAGTGTACTGTATGTGAACTGTACACACCAGCCGAGGCTAAGGTCTCAGAGCACGAAAAAGGCACAGAAGAAGGAAATGCTACCGAACCGCACTTTACGAAGGGAACGACGGGGCCCGTTGGCGCGTTCCCACCAGATTAAGGGACTGGTGGGTCCGCCCTACACTGAATTGAAATTGGATTGGATTTGGATTGGCATTAAAATTGAATTTGAAATTGCTTGAATTAAATTGGTTGGTATGGACTACTCTGGTAAGGGAAATATACAGAGTACAGTACCTACCTCTCTACCTACTCATGATTCAATTTTATTCTTCTTCTAAAGGGTGCTCAGGTATATGCACGGATGGGTCCTAACCTAACCCATGACGATAATAACACAATGCAGCCACCCATTTATTCTCCGTGATTGGGTCGATGCAAGCTGCACGCCTAGCACGAGCCCCAAGTGGCAAAGCCACCGATGCTCTGTTCTGCTCTTCTCTACTCTGCTCTGCTCTGCGCTGCTCTACTCTGCTCTACTTAGGTTTATGTAGGCTTAGGCTTGGCTCTCGCTCTCGTTCCAAAGTGGCGGTGGAGAAATAGAAAAAAATTAAAAATTAAATTTTTTTTAATTAAGGCAAAAGCAAAATAGAATAGACAACACTTGCATCGACGCAAAACAGCACAGCCAACGCACCTGCAGTGTTCTTCAGTGCTCGAACACGAGTTCCTCGCCAGGCCCCGAGTAAGGCCGATTCTTGTCTGGTTGTGGTTCTGGTTCTGGTTCTGGTTCTGATTCTACATAGTTCTAGTTCTACTCTTTGTGTTCTATTCTGGTGCGCTCCGCTACCTTTGACATAGGTAGGTAGGTAGGTAGGTACATGTAGCTTACTCCGTACGTAGTCTGGGCGATCCTCAGTTGCCTGAAACACTGGGTTAGTAAAGTCTATGCGATGATCAGCGGCATATCAATTATACAGTAGAGTATACTCGAGAGGAGATCATAGACCATCATAATTATGGTTATGGCTATAATTGTAATTGTAATTGTAATTGTAATTCTAGTACGGTGGTTGGTTTGGTTTCTCCTATTCCTCTGACCCCCTATTCCCACTCTCGCTGCCCAAGGGGGAGAGATGCCGAAGCGGGAGAAAGGGTGCGATGAGGCGGGTCGGAAGGACGGGTGATGGGTATGGATATGGGGATTATGAGGGGAGGGAAGAGGAGAGGAGAGGAGAGGAGTGGAACAAAGAGAGGGGGGGTTTGAGCCAGTGCCGTCCGGCATCGACGGTGTAGATTTCATGCTTGTACAGATGGGGCGCGTTAGGGAAAGAATGGGGCAACGGCCGCGCCCAAAGCTCCATTCTGGTCCGAAGCGAGGACGATCCGTGACGATCCCGTCTGTTCTGCTCTGCTTGTCTTGTCTTGACTCGGTGGACTCGCCTCGACTTGGCTTGTCTCGATTCGAGTGTTCTGCTGCTTCGCGGGAGGTTACCAAGGTGGGATGAGGGCATAAGACCTAAGACATCTAAATGGACAAGCTATCATCTTGTGACGGTATGCAGGGGTTTCCATTGCGCCAGGAAAGGTAAAGGACAGAGAACTCGTCCTTTTCACACGTGAAGCTTGCGGAATGGCACCTTGGAGTGTTACCTGTCAGGTCTGGGTCTAGCTTGAGGTGTATCCATTCTCTCGCAAGACACGCCAGGTTCGAAATGTGTAATCCTCTCTCTCCCTCCCTCCCTAACCTAACCTACACGAGCCAAGGACGACCAGGTGGGGAGGGAGGGGGGGGGGGCCAAGGGCCAACGTTGGATCATCGCGACTATGACACAAGTGGAAGTGGCCGACAGAGCTGGTGGCGGGTTTTCTACTTCTTCTATTTATTGCCATAGAGTGATCGCCCTAAATGTCCGACACATCCACCGGGGACCCGGTTTTTCGCCTGACACTTCATTTCCTGGCTGTTTCAAAGCCGCGGGGGGAGCAGGCACCTTTCGCTCTCAATCAATTTCGATCATCCAATGCCGAGAGGACCCATCGATCTGGCGGTTCGGAGCCCCGTTCTTCTGTACGATGAATGTAGTCTATATCGTGACCTTGAAGAACCGGGATGATGGTGGGAAATTGGTTTCTCGGAAGGGCCGACAGGAACGGAGGGGGGTGAGGGTCCACTTAGATCATAGGCACCAGGTGGCAGAGCTGAAAAGTGGCGCCCAACCGTTTGACGGGGCAGTGTCCTCTCAACGGTGGATCTTCGGTAGACGCGAAGAACGCTGCTGTCACTTTTGTGTACGGATAAGGGGCAGGGAGGTAAAAAGGACGAGTATTTTTGGTTGTCTTGGGTGACCGTTGCTTTTGGATGTATCCAGTGATGATCCCAAGAGGATCCCAGGGGGGGGGGGAGAAGAGGGGGGGCGTTAGTGGAGGAGAGAAGGGAGGAGGGGGGAAGCATCCTCCGTACTCCGTCATGGAGAGAAGAGAGAGAGAGGAGAGAGAGGAGAAGAGAGGGGCTCTGGCAGGGAGCAGCAGAGACAAGATCGCTCGATGTAGCAGGATATGCAGCTCGGTCTAAAGACTCGGCCGGATCTTGCGACACGATCGAACGACCAATCACCCCTGAGGCAGTCCTTTCGTCAGGCCTACTTTCTCGTGCTCCACTCATGGCGGACCTGAAACATCTGGCCTTGTGGGGAATCCTCGCTGGGACTCGGAAGCAAGTAAGCTGCTGGGGCCAGGAACCGGTTCATGGCTGACGGTCGGGACCAAGGTTACCTGCGTAAAGTCTTGGTACGGCTTGTTCTCACTTTCCGTGGTGCTGATGGGGTCGGTCTTGGGTTTAGCCTTGGATTAGCCCTGGATTAGCCCTGGATTAGCCCTGGGTCTCTGTCTCTGGTTTGATTTCGTTTGATTTGGTTTGGTTTGTACGGTGGCGACCGTTGGGCCTGCCAGTTCGAGGAACTGAACTCGTCGATCCCAGTCGTGACAGTCGATGCCTCATATTCGATGGGTCGAGACTCCCCTTCTCCATCAGAAACAGAAACGTCCATAATTAAAGGAGTCGGGGGGGGCGGTCGTCCCGGTTCTAGGCTCTCTCTTGCTCCTCGGGTGCTTCTGGACCATTGCGGAGTCTGTTGATCGTCATTCACGGGGCTCGCTCCAAACCAGGGTTCGGAGTGACAGCCCCCACTGAAGGGAGAATTCAAGGCAAATATGACAGGTTCGAACTGGGCTGGACCGTTGCTCGTGTGCCTGGTCCCTGGTTTGCGTGGCGTCCATGATAGGTGTGAGGCGAGAACTGTACCGAGTACATAGAATATTGTTGGTGTGAAAGGTGGAGAGACAGAGGGAGAGACAGAGAAGAACACAGAAAAAAAAAAGAGAGAGGAAAACACCCGGGGCTTGCGATATGGACGATCGAACGATGTGGTAGAATGCTGATTCTTTCAATCATTTTACCCTGTCCTTTCTTTCATGTGTGGTAAGGGAGAGAATCCTTTGTATGAAGTATCGTATACTAGTGCGCACCCTACCCCAATAGGCGTAAAACTACCCAAGTATACAACTTTCTTTGACTTATCCATCCCACTCATCCCACTCATTCCAGCAAGACACTCGTAGAAACACCTATTTCTTTCTACCAGTTCTTCCATTCTTCTTTGAACGATGAAAAAAAAATAGAGCAGACACGCCGTTGGATGGTCACATCGAGGCTTTGATGCCAACAAAGAAACCCATTTTCGTTCAATCTCTTCAGTAGGAGTATTCAAAAAGGCCAACATTTTCCATTAATACTTCCAGAGACACAGGACTCTGAATATCTCTTTTCTCTTTTCTCCCTTTCTCTTGTTTTGCTGTTTCACTACATCATCGATCATGACTGATCCATTGATTGGAGGTCTTGTGGTCTCTGCTCCGCTGTTCTCAACTTCTCCTCCCCCCAACCCTATGGGACCACGAGAACCTTTACGCAATACCCCCGCAAATATAGAGGCATCGGACAAAGAGCTTGCCAGGCTTGCTGCCGAAGTGAGAAAAGTTGCTGGTCGCAAACGAAAGCAGAACAGGCGCCAGACAGCCATTTCCAGACGAGTGAGGAGCCGATAATCAGCCCTATATCTATACCCATTTTCCCAATCTAACACCATCTAGAGCCCCTTTGTCTCGTTCTGGGATAGCTGGGCAGCCGAACAGACAAAGGTCGGTATCCCAAACACTGGGGACTTGTGCTATCGGAATGTGATTTTCCAACTCTTCGCGCACTCTCCTGCGATAATTCACTGGGCGTGGTGGTATAGTAGACATCATGTCCCAGAAGGGTCTGCATGTGATATGGGAGAGGAAGGATCCGTTTGTGAGACCCTGCCTTCTCCATGCCTTCTTGAGCAGCTATTGGGATTCTCGGGAAGAGGATCTCGACGACAAGGTTCAGGAGCTGTGGGATGCTATTTACCAGAATTGGAGGAAAGGGGACGATGAGAAGAAGGGCCAGCAAGATCCTGCGGAGTTCTTTATGGAAATGTACTATCAGATCTTGGACGATGTTCCATCCGCACTGTAATCTATCCTCTTGGTTCCACACGTCTCACTGCTTTGCGTGATAAAGAACTAATTTGTATCTTTTAGTCAACATGATTATTTGGAAATCTGCGACACTGACCTCGTCACCGGTCAACAGTGCAAGGGAGAGAAATGCTGCAAGGACACTACTTACCAGCAGGAGTCCGGATGGCCTGTGTTGTCTATTCAATTCGACCCGGAGAGCAAGGTTAAAACCGTCGAGGAGGCAATTCTAGCACATATAAACATGCAAACTCTCGCTGGGCCCTGTGGTGAGTGTGGATGCAAACAGATGCAGAAAGAATACATCTCCAAGCCGTCCGAGATGTTCGTCGTCCAGCTCAACCGCACCGGTGAAGGCGGAACAAAGATCGACAAAGCAATCGACTTCGAAGGACACGTGAAGATCAAGGGAGAGCATCTAGATCCACGAATCGAGTCAGCATCAAGTCATAATATCCTCTACGAGCTGACCGCGGTGATCCTGCACTCCGGCGCCAGCGTCGACCAAGGCCACTATACCATCATTGTGAAGGGTCGCACCAATAAATGGACCTTGATCGATGATGAAAAGGCCATCCCGATCACGATCTCGGATTTCTGTAGAAAGCCTCAGACTCAGAAGGATGCCTATATATTCGCATATACCCGGTGGCCCCGGCAGCCGACTGAGGAGAGAATGATCCGAAACCAGAGGATATATACCGTGGACAGAATTGAGAAGCGCCTCCAACGGCAAAACACCTCGTTGCCGAGTGGCAAGTTCCGTCAACCTGAGAGCTATACCAAACCCCAAGGCGCCTCTGGTAAAATTAATCTCACCTCTAGCCCGTCGGTTCAGTCAATTTCAAGCAATACCACTTCAAGCAATGCCACATCAAACAGGTCGCAGGCAAATTATTCAGCCCCGGCTCCTCCGACTCATAGAGCAGCAGCAGCAGCAGCAGCAACAACAGGGCAAATGCAGGCTCCGCCAGTGGGGTATGTAAGTCGACCATTGCCTCCGAAAGACCTCAAGGGACCTCTCATGGGCCATGAGAGTTTCCAAATGCCTGTACACTGCGGAGCAGATTTCCCAGCCCCTCATAGTAACAAGAAGGGCTTCCTTAGAGTTCAGTACATTGAGTATGAAGCCAGTAGTCAAAAGGATTCTGGTAAAATACAATATGAGATTCCGCTTGACTTTGCCGTGCGCGGATATCCAATTAACGTCAAGGAGAATCCAATGGAGACTCCTCTTAATTCGACACTGAATACGATTTTAAAGCGTCAGAAGTCTAATGAGGATATTATGTCGGATTGAAGCCCGGGGGTATAAACCAGTGTTGTTGAAGAAGTGGTCTATTGGATATATACAATCCAGGGTTCCAAGGTTGTCGAACATCGATTTCAAGATCCTGAATAACTTTTATTTTTCCAATGCATACCATTTTTGTTATTTTATATCTAGCTCTCTAGTATATTTAGTCCAATCGATTCAATATTTCTGTTTTTCAAAAACCATCTCTTCAGTTAATACTATGGTATTGTAGTCGAGTCTCCCAAACAGGTTGCGCGTCCCGGACGTCCTCCGCTCCTCCACAACTCGGACACGCACGCCTCACACGTGGAAACGGATACAGAAGAACCAAAGGCACCCATTCAACCAAACAGATGGACCTACCATCCAGCAGAAGCTTCGTCGACCATCTGATCACAGAACTAGCCAGCTTCGAATTCCCAAGTGGGCCAGAACAGCTTCGAATCCAGGAAGGCTCCCAGAACCCGTTTGCTAGTCTACCTGCAACACAACTAGCCAAAGTGAAACCAATCATCCTTACTCTACACTGCCTCTTCCCAAACGACCTCCTCCCAGCCCTTGACATCCTAGACCGCAGGCTAGTGCAGCGCCTTGTGCTTATGCGCACCGAAGACCAAGACCAAAACCAAGACCCAGACACGGCAGCAGCCGTGCCTGACCACCACGCCACAGTCGCAGATGGAAACACGACGCAAACCCCGGAAGATCCCCGAAACAGCCAAACTAGGAACCCACACGATGCCATTTTCCTAGTAACATCCGCATCGGCAGCCCCACGTCAAACGGCCGTACCAGTGCCCGGGGGAGCAGGAGAAGGGAGAGGAGGAGCTTCAACGCCAACGCCCACGCCAGCCATGCAAGACCCAGAAAAGGGCTACGAAGTACGCCTCAATGCGTGGAACTGCACCTGCCCCACCTTCGCCCTCTCGGCATTCAAAGATCTAGATTCCCGCCAGGGCTCTGGCTCTGCTTCTGCTTCTTCAACTACTATGCCCGAAACCCGTTTCCCGGAGATGAGGGAGATGCTGCTTGGCCGGGATGCGCATGCGCATGCACTTCCTGTTGTTTATCCGTTTGGTGGGACCCTTACGCGTGATACGGACAGGGGGTCCCCGCCGGCTTGCAAGCATGTTCTCGCTTGTATACTGTTTGCTCGGTGTGCGGGTTTGTTTGGTCGTGGGGACGACAGATTGGTTTCTTTGGAGGAGATGGCTGGTTGGTGTGCTGGATGGGGTGGGTGAGGTGAGGTGAGGCGAGGGGGCATTGTGTGGCATGATAACTGAACTGAACTGAACTAATATCGTACATTGCTGCAAGCGCTTTGAGGCTTCGCGCGGAGGCATGAGGCTTGTGCGGGTGAGATCGTGATTATGTGCGCTATACAGATGGGGTCTAAGACGCTCCGCTCCGCTCCGTTCTGCTAGCTTTGCGATGTCGAAACGATATGGTCAGATAATAGGTGAATGGAGGTCTCACTGGACGAACTACACAGGCTACTCACTAGCCCTGGATGTGTTACATGTCCAAACTCATGTTCAATTTCCCAACAAGATATCCTGCCCAAGGTTCAGGTTATTATAGGAGACACCGCGAAGGAGAAAAGTTGGAGCTACGCTGGCCGCTCGCTCGCCATGGAGCATTATTACCATGGATCTACTCAGGTTACCCTGCGGATGGAAGATGGATTGTCGCCTGGTCATCGTATCCTTGATTATCCGTACTATACACTGCAAAGCCGCAGTTTCTGGTCATTTCATATTGACGGGCATCATTCCTCCGATTAAAAAAACAAATGTCTAAAAAGGCCATCTTAGCTCTTCTTCTTGCTCTTCTCGGACGCATCTTGTTCCTCCTTCTGCTCGCCATTCGCCTCGCCAGTCTTCTTAGCATCCTTGTCACCCTTGGCCGCGCTCAATTCCTGCTCCCGCTTTGAGTCATTCTCCTCCTGCTGCTGTCGGTTTTGGATCTTGTTCTCGATCAGGTCGTGGAACGCTGTGATGGCACGGATCAGACTGCTGATATAGATGGCCATAAGCTGGTCATTCGTCTTGACGCTCATAGCACGAGCCAGCTCGCTGTTCTCGCTCTGGGACTCCTGCTGTGGCTGCCCGCTGATACTGGGTTGCTGGGCCGGGGTGCTCAGGTTGGGGAGGAGGTTGAAGACATCTTGGAGGTTTCCGAGAATTGCGTGGTTGATGGGGAGCTCGCCGTCGAGGACTTTCTGGAGGTATTGGCCGATATCGCGTAGCCGAAGGTGCAGCCCTTGCAAAGATTGTAGCTGTGAAGTGATACGAGTAGAAAGAGTGCCAACTGCGACGTCTCTGATATCCCGGAGCAGGTGCTCCACGCCAATCTCCTCGGCCTCCTCGGCCTCGATTATCGATGGGGTGTGTACGAATGTCTTCGAAGTAGTTGTGCCGTCCTGAACATGGTAACAAACGTGGTTAGCTGGCAGAACTCGCGGAATACAATTCCAGCTCCATCGACGCTGAAACTACTCACATCCTTGATCTCATCCACAGCGAAGTATGCATCTGTCGGAACGCCAACTTCCTTCGGCTGGACATCAACGATGACAAGCAAAGGGTTGGGGGTATATTTCTTAAAGAGCTCGTTGATCTCCAGATCCGAAGCGCGCAGCTTGGGGCCCGAGTGGTACCAACCAACCAGCTTCTCGCGGGCATTGATCTTCTTGAACATGTCCCTCATCGACTCAACGAAGTTGTGATCGAGGAACCACACGGAAGGGTCCTTCTCATCCTCCTCAAACGGAACTAGATGGGAGAAGGAGGGTCAGTTCTTAATTGCTTGAAACAGCTGGCCGCAGCATCAACATCAACACCGAAGACTTACCTGCGAAGCTGTTGGATACGCGCACATTGCCACCCGAGTTTTCACCCAGAAGAACACCAACAACACGTTTCCGGGTGCCCTTGGCTGTCCGGCCGTAGTGATCGGCGACGGAGAGCAGGACTAACGGAGCAACCGTGACGGAACGGTTGACGAGGGATAGCGTGTCCGCCGTAGTGGCAGGCATGATGGAGAGATGTGGAACGAGATTTCAGAGAATAGAAGAAGCTCGGGAGAAGGAGGGAGGAGGAGGTGATTGATTAAGAAGGGGGGTGTCTTTGAAAATGGATGGTTCGCAAAGCAGGACGATGACCGATGATGCTCCCCAAGAGCTTTGGGGGTGCGCCACACTACATCAGCCACCGGTCTCGATATTAGCTTAGTCATCGTTGCTGGGTGGCTGGCATTTGTATTTTACCGGGGGAGACAGATGTGTAGATTTAGAAATAATAAATAATAATAAATGAGGCCATTGAGATATATTAAAATCAGATGAAACCATTAAACTACCATATCAATCATTGTCAACACCAAGCTTTGTGCTGTTTTATTGAATCCGGTTGTTGCGCATCGACCGCATACTACGGCAGTCCGTAACCGCCACTGATACTGCTAAGATTTCCAAGGTTATTACTACTAGTGGTATTGACTACTAAAATACTCTGACTAAATAGTAAAATAGTAACCAGTAGATACTCCTCCCTAGTATCCTACCTAGGTAGGCACTCTCTAGGTTTAGATCACCTACTAGTATCTCTATACTGGCTACACCCCCTACCACCAGCCAATACCCCAACCTCTGTTTCCAACAGTAGCATTGAGTAAATATGATGCAACGTCCTGTCTATTTTGCAATCTAAACTAACTATTCTTTTTAAACTATTTGGCATTCTTGTACTGGAGATAAAGAGTAGGACAGCGATGTAGGCGGTGGGGGAATTACTGACCTATGGACTGCCGTACTACGTCGTTCACAGCCGCTCCGAACCTCGGGCGCTAAGATTCCTTCCCCTTCCGTTTCTCCATTTCTCCATTTACCCGTCTCTCTTCCTTTCCACCTGCAATCTTCGACTCTCTCTCCTCTCCTCTCCGCTCCTCTCTCCCTTTCAATCACAATGGCTCCCATCACAGAAGATGTTGTCTCCGGTCTGAAGGACACCATCCACAAGCTCGAGTCCCGGGTTGTCGACCTGGAGAGCCGCCTCGTCAATGGCGACAAGCCCAAGTCGGTCACCGAGCAGATGCGCATCATCCTGATGGGCCCCCCCTGGTGCCGGTAAGCATCCGCCACAACTGAATCAATCCAATGGCTATTAACGCGTTGTCACAGGCAAGGGTACCCAGGCCCCCAACATCAAGGACAAGTACTGCGCCTGCCACCTGGTAAGTAGCCGATATCCGATGGTCTTCCGCCATACACATGTGAATTTGTCTTTTCTAATCGATCATTCTACTTCCACTAGGCTACCGGAGACATGCTGCGTTCGCAGGTCGCTAAGAAGACCGACCTCGGCAAGGAGGCCAAGAAGATCATGGACCAGGGTGGTCTCGTTTCCGACGAGATCATGATTGGCATGATCAAGAGCGAGCTGGAGAACAACGTCGAGTGCAAGAACGGGTATGTGGATCCCCCCCATTTGTTGTTTTGTTTTGTTTTCCTACTTCATCAATTGTTTCCCTCGCCTCGCATTCTACTTTTTCCGACATCTCCGCGTCGATATCCGACAAACCTTCTGAGATCGAGAACTAACGCGCATCCACAGTTTCATCCTGGACGGTTTCCCCCGCACTGTCGCCCAGGCTCAGCGTCTGGACGAGATGCTTTCCGCCCGCAAGCAGAAGCTCCAGCACGCCGTTGAGCTCCAGATCGATGACGCCCTCCTCGTCGCCCGTATCACTGGCCGTCTCGTCCACCCCGCCTCCGGCCGCTCGTACCACAAGATCTTCAACCCTCCCAAGAGCAACATGACCGACGATGTTACCGGCGAGCCCTTGATCCAGCGCTCCGACGACAACGCCGACACTCTGACCAAGCGTCTGGCTACCTACCACGCCCAAACCGCCCCCGTCTGCGAGTACTACAAGACCACCGGAATCTGGCGCGGTATTGACGCCAGCCAGGAGCCTGGCCAGGTGTGGAAGAGCCTCCTGGGTGTTTTCCACAAGAACTAAATCTACTCTATGGGATGTGGTTTGGGGAGGACAGGCACCATGACAGCAAAAACTTTAACGAGTGAAGGTGCCAGGGACAAAAATACAGGCTGACCTCGTGTGCGCGAGCCATTTTTCTTTTGTTTCGGTTTTGGTTGGTGAGCGCATAGGAGGATCGGGCTGGCAGGATGTTCACATATAGACCGCTGAATAATAGTCCCTCGGGGCCATGTATAGTATGTGTACTTTTGTTGGTACTAACTACTGTACTGTTAACGAAAACAGCTTCATGTTGTTACTATGTATGCTGTATGCTTTGTAGGATCCACCTCAGATAACTATTCTGACTTTAGGTTATATTATGGGTTACTGAGATAGTTAGCACTGGCACATACTCAGTTACCTACCCGTCGGTATGAAAGTAGAGTTATGCCTCCTAATATAATCCCTTTCCGTAGGAATACACACACAGCACCTAGGATAGGGTGTTCAGACCGAAAAGGGTGGATCTGGTAGACGCACGTGGATAGCTAGTATCAAAGTGTGGCTGAATTAGGTTGTGGATTCTTGAATTAAATTGACTTGAATTGGACCTAGTAAATAGTAAAATTGCACTCGAAGGGACTTCAGTAGCCCCCATAGACGTCAAAGCACTAAAAGACAAGAGAATCCGATTGTGTTGAAAAATCTCGGCGCGAATTAAGATATCTCCGATTGGATTTGTCATGGATCATGGATTGCCGTTCTCCGGCCGACCTTCATTCGTCATACGTTTCCCAGAGCCAGCTGTGGTAAGTGTACTTGCGGTAAGTCTCCATACAAGTACATTTTGGAATGAAGATTCCTTTGGGTTTCCTAGTTTCCATTTGCAGAGACAATCTGGTCTTCTTCGATCGTCGGATTGTACTCGGAGGACTGTGCCGAGAGAGTATCTAAACATTTAACTGGGGCCTCGGCGGCGAATCCACTAGGTTCATGGTTAGAATGACATGATATCAAATAGACGAGTTGAAAGGTGAGAATCATACTTGATTAGATCTGCGGCGATCAAAAAAGGGTTAGTCTTGAGCATAGTCCTTGCATCGTCGTTGACCAGTGTGGGGGATTATGTAGGCTGGTACTTACGGTATTCATGAGTAATGACACCTCCCTGGAGATCATGCGTTAGTTTTTGGAGAGATCAAGGATTGAGGGCATGCGCGGCATACAGAATCCTTGATTGAGGCCTTCGCCTCATCGATAACGTTGGTGGGTGTGCCTTTGGGGAAAGTAATGATGACGGACTTGAGCGACTGGGCCAGGGCCAGCGAGAGGAGTCCCAGAAGAACAAATAGCAGCTTCATATTGGATCAGTAGCTCAGTTTGGATGGCAGCAAGTTAAACCAGTTAAACAAAGTAAAGTCCAGAGGAGATGGAGTGATTAAAGGCAAAGTAATAGAGTTGCGCTGGCGTGCGTCATGCGATCCTGAAGTCACATGACATGGGACCCAAGTCTTCCAGTTCCGATTTCCTCTTCATTCAACCATTCAGCCTTCGTCACAACCACCCTCACCACCCTCACCACCCTTACCCTCTCCCCTTTCCACTTCTTCGAGCGTTGCATGAATACCCCCTCAATCCTTTATATCTAGGATTCTATCGAACCCGATCTTCCAATCGTTACTCCTACTCGGCGTTACAGCTCTCCACCCCTCGGCGGATCATTTGACGTGGAGGAAGGCAGTTGGACAAGTGCAGGATTTAAGTTCGGAGGGACAAGCGTGTTACTGTTCTATTCTTTTTTCAAGTCTCACGAAAATAGCTAGCAAGCATTTACCAAGTTTCGACTTTTCCCTCCATCTCGTGTTGGTTACCCGTGCTTTTGACTCGGAAAGACAAGCACTAAGAAGAACGAGCATTTGGTGATAGTCCCAGTCCATTGCACATCAAAAGAAGATCCAAGAAAAAAGCAGAAGAAAAACAAGAGAAAGGCAGATTTTACAAGCCAGAAAGAAAAAAAAAAGAACAAGAACAAGAACAAGAAGAAGCACAGGAGAGACCTTCAAGGATATCGCCGTGTAATCGGCCGCATAGACGTCGGCTGGGGTGAATATCTCCACTTGCGCAACTGATCTTACTCTTCCTTCTCTGCAGCACTGCCATTCATTTACTCGATTCATATATCCCTTTCATCCTCCACTTCCACCATGTCCGGCCTACCATCTGATGACCTCGTCGAGGATTACAAGATCTCTTTAGAGGATCTCACCACCAATGACCGATTCCAGATCAATAACCTCACCGTCATAGCTAGAGAGAACACCGAACACGCCATGGCCATCTCTAGAGTCTTGGAGAACCATATCGGACAGGTAGGTCTTTCATCCATCATATCCATATTCTATCTGGCACGGGTCATTGTTCCTGACGGCCATTGTAGACGCCTCCCATGCAGAAATTGCCGGCTCTCTATGTAGTCGATTCCATTGTCAAGAACGTTGGAACTCCCTACACTCTGTTCTTGGGACAACACATGTATCAAACCTTTATGAATGCGTACGCGACGGTTGATCAAGCTACTCGTCGCAAGCTGGACGAAATGCTCAAGACGTGGAAGGAGCCTGTACCTGGCTCACTGGACACTCGTCCCGTCTTTCCCTCCGACATCACTCGCACCATCGAGAATGCTCTGATTCGAGCACGCACCGCTGCCATTGAACGAGAGCGACCCCAGGTCCAGATTAATCGCGGTCGTGGAACGCCTACAGGCCGGTCCAACAACAACAACACACCACCGCAAGGCACGGCTCGTCCGCCACCCCAACATGCCAACAACGGGCGTTCCATGCATACATCGGTAGGAGATCTCGCCAAATTCTGGACTACGGCCCATGCTTATCATACTGTCATCTCGCAGACACCTCCTCAAGGTCATCATCCCGTGGAATCTCTGAATCGAGATCTCGAGGCCTTGATCGCTGCTGCAAGAACCAACTTTGCCAATAGCCCCTTTGACCCTGCTTCCCAGGCGCGTTTGAAAGCGCTACTTGATCTCCAGGGCATTTTACAGAACCAGCAGCTCACTCCAGACCAGCTAAAGCTCGTCCGAGACCAGATCTCCGCTATGGCAGCGTCGAATACAGTTCCCAACGTGCCTGTGGCAGCACCTCCAGTTCCAGTTCCAGCACCCGTATCAACACCGCCAGCACAGCCCTCGTCGCAACCCTTACAAAATCTTCTCAATTCGTCCACCCTCGCCGATCTCATCAAAGCAACGGCAAATCGACAGCAGCCTACTCCACCCCCACAAATCCCCAATGCTTTCCCTACGATGCCCCAGATTCCAGTTAGCAGTACGCCACAACCTGCCGAAAATCCACTGATTGCCCAACTTCGCGCGCGTGGCCTGCTTCCTTCTCATTCCGCGCCGCCTGCGATGTCTTCCAGCGGCACACCGCCAATGGGAGGATCTATGCCATTTTATATGCCTGGTCAACCACTTTCTACACCGCCAGCCCCGACACCACCCCAAGCAGGTGCCGCATCCATGGTTCCTATGAAAACTGCGTTCATGAAATTGTAAGTCGAGTCCAGATCACCAATACCGTGCGCATTCGTACTCATACTAATGAAATTAGTCCCCGGCTCAACCTTGTGGTCACTCTCTATGACGCAAAGTCAAACAAATGCGGCACCTGTGGGCGTCGCTTTCCTACGACGGCAGAAGGCAAGGAAAAGAAAGCACGGCATTTGGACTGGCACTTCAAGACTAACCAGCGTATGGTTGATGCTTCCAAGCGGGCCCAGAACCGCAGCTGGTATGTCGATGAAAGGGTATGTAATCACACAATTCACCATTCCTCTTTTATGTGTGGCATATCATACTTACTATGCACAACAGGACTGGATTAAATCCCGCGAGGCTAGCGATGACTCAGGCCCGGCCGACACGGAGACCACAACCGATGGAGAAGTTGGAGCAGATGGCAAGGCCTCAAAACAAGGACCGCCCAAGGCATGGATCAGGGCGCCGAACGATGCTAAACTTCGCAACACCCCTTGTCCCATCTGCCAGGAGATGTTTGAATCGACATGGTCTGAAGATGTCCAGGATTGGATCTGGCAGGATGCTATCAAGGTTGCCAGCAGAGTCTATCACGCTAGCTGTTATGCCGAAGTGACGGCGAATGGCCCAGTGCCGCGCAGCTCGACACCGCAAGGACGAAGCGGTACACCCGACTCGGTCCTGGGCAAGCGGAAGGCGGAGGGCAATGACTCTCCGGGACTTAATGTGCGGATTAAGATGGAGCCTGCATGAGATAATTTGTATAATAAAAACAATCGTGTCCCACAATTACGTCCCTGTCGAATAGAATTGTGTAGTATCATGACGTTGCTTTGCCCCGCTCGGCGCATCTCCGCTCATCTCCTCCCCCACGTACCACATCCCAGACCCTGCAACCCATAAATATCTCCGAAACCCATACTCTGTATGACTTGAACACTTTCACCTACAAATAAACATCCAAACGTTCAATTCACACATCATGGCACCACACACCGTCCGATGGGGTATCCTGGGTACGTCGATATCATTTCTCTACCTGGGCAGTCCGAAAACAACCAGCTAACTCTTATTTCAAACAGCTACCGGCTGGATCGCAAGCAGTACATCTCCCCTCCACCCAACAATCGCGAAACCAAGCCATCATCTCATATAATCTAACCAATTCCAGCATTCGTCCGCGACCTCCTCCTCGACCCAACCGCCCGCGACGCCTCCGACGTATCCCACCAAATCGTCGCAGTAGCCTCCTCCTCCTCTACAACCAAAGCAGAGCAATTCATCTCAACCCTTAAAATCCCCTCCCCATGCAAGGCATATGCCTCCTACGAGGCCCTAGTCTCAGACCCAAACATCGACGTAATCTACGTCGCAACCCCGCACTCCCACCACTATCAAAACGTAATGCTAGCCCTAACGGCCGGCAAAAACGTCCTCTGCGAAAAAGCATTCACCGTCAACGCAGCCCAAACAAAGATCCTCATCGAAACCGCCCGCAAGAAGAACCTCTTCCTTATGGAGGCCGTCTGGACCCGCTACTTCCCGCTCAGCGTGCAGATTCGGGACCTGATCAAAGCTGGCGAGATCGGCGAGGTGCTGCGTACCGTAGCCGACACAAGTTTCAGCGACGACGTCGAGGTGCGATGGGGCACGGAACATCGCATGGTCAATCGTGATTTGGCCGGTGGTGCGCTTTTGGACCGTAAGTGGCGATTCAATTTGCTTTGCACAGCCGTCTATGCTTGTTTGGTATGGTATTGGGCTAAAACTAACTTGGTCGGCGTCGGTTCTAGTGGGCATATACTCCCTAACCTGGGTCTTCCAAACCCTCTACCACACTCTCCCCAAGGATCAGCGAAAGCCACCAACAGTCACCTCGCAGATAACACCCTACCACCTAACAGGCGCAGACGAAGCAACAACAATTCTACTAAATTTCCCAACCAGCACGCCCTCCAATGGCGCCCACCCGCGCCAATCGCACGGCGTCGCAATGACGAACCTCCGCGTCGCGGGCGACCCAGATGAGGAGGGGACCTCTGGCGCGAATATTCGTATCCAGGGTACGTTGGGCGAGATCCAGGTCTTTGGGAACCCGTTCCGACCCGTTCGATACCGGGTTATTCCCAAAAAGGGCGCTGGGAAGGGTCAGGTCCGCGATGTGGAGTGTGAGTTTCCGGCCGGTGGGCATGGGATGTATTGGGAGGCTGATGAAGTTGCTCGTTGTTTGAGGGATGGGAAGGTTGAGAGTGAGGGGATGCCTTGGGAGGAGAGTATTGCTATTATGGAGGTTATGGATGAGGTGAGGAGGCAGGGTGGGTTGAGTTATCCTGAGAAGATTGAGTCGGTTGAGTATCCGCTGCAGTTGTGATTGAGTTGGACTGGATAGAGATGATATTCGGAGATAATCTCTAGCTGATGATCGTATTGATTTAAGCTAGTTATAGAAGTACTTAGAGAAATGGGAATAGATTGATCCTATGGGTACTACTAAGTGGATACTAGTACTCCCTTTGGCTATCTGAGTCCTTAGTCCAGTATGGTGTCATGGGTATACCGAGACGAGATGATCGTGACATCGGACACCTAGCTAAGTAGGTATATACCTAGGTAGGTAGCTAACAGTAGTTACTAGTTCACTAAGTAACTACTAACTACTAGTAGTTTAACTACCCTACCTAGGTAATTAGGGAAATTACAACCACTAAGGTTCACTATGTGATTTAAACGTTCGTATTCAAGCAGCAAAGGGAGTCATAATTAGAGACCGATATTATAGAGAGAGTAATTCAAATAAAGATCTAGGAGACAGCGGCGTGGACGGTCTAGTATTTCATAATTTCGTCTTCCCTTTACGAACAATAGGAAACTCGGGGAGACGATCATCCCGCCGCTAGCGACGTTCTCGCCCCGAACGCGCCGCGCGTGGATCCCGCAACTTTCCCACACCTCTTCAACCCCTACGCATTGCTAGGAATGTTGTACCCGCATCCATTCCTTTCGAATTAATATTGATACCCAATCATCTGTCATGGCGTCTGAACACGCCGTGACCCAGGCCTTGTTGGAATGGATCAACAGCTTTTCCCTGGGGAAAACCCTCCGCGAAACAGAGGACCTGACAGACGGGGTTATCCTTTGGGAGATCCTCCAAGATATTGACCCGCAGTACTTCCTTGACGAGATCCCTGAGCGCGAGCCCGGCGACCACTGGGTCGCCAGGTGGCAGAATCTCAAGCACATCTACAAACTCCTATCCAACTACATTCGGCACCAGAACAACGACGCCATACCCCCTGGCCTTGACCCGTCGCCCGACCTCGAAGCCATTGCCGAGAAAGCATCAGCAAAGGAGACGAACAAGCTTTTGAAAATCCTCTTGATTGCTGCCATTTACTCGCCCAATGCCGCCACCTACGTCCAGACGCTGCAGGAACTCAGTACCCCAACACAAGAGGGTCTCAAGGAGATCATCCAGGAGGCACAAGATGGCGAACATGAACCTTTAGACGGGGTCGATGAGTTGAAGGAGGAATTGACCAAAGCCGACCACACGGGCGAACTGGAGCTCAAATTCGAGGAGCGCGTTGGGAAGGTCTTGGCGGAGAATGATCGCCTCACACAAGATAAAAAGGAGTTGAAGAAGGACCTCGGGGATATGCACAACCGCTTGGCCCGTTTGCAAGAGAACAATGATACCCTTCAAAACCGATTGGCTTCTACGGAGGACCGGCTAGTGACATTGAAATCCGGAAAGGGGGATCTCGGGTTCAACGCCAAGGCATTGGAGAGCAAGACACGCCAGCAGGATGATCTGATTGCATCCCAGGAGGCTAAGCTCTCTGCGGCGCAGGACGAAATCGATAGCCTTCTCATGACCGTGGAGTCATTAAAGGTCAAGAACCAACGCTATCAAAAGCTGCAGGATGATTACGATGAGCTCCGGACCGATCGAGACCAGCTAGCCCGCAAAGCAAATGCCGCCGAGAAATACCGACAGAAACTACAAGCCAGTCAGGACTTTGAAAAGGAGAACTCCACTCTAAAAAACCAGATCAAAGATCTTCAGCAACAACTGAAAGAGTCGGACTCGCAGCAAAGGTGGACATCGGAGCGTGATGTGGAGTTGGAAGAATATCGCAAGTTGCTACCCCAGCTCGAGCAGGAGTGCAATGAGATTCAAAATCTCAAGAAACAACTTGAATTCAACAACCACGCGCTCACCGAGCGTTTAGAAAGTGCTGATGAGCAGCATGAACGAGACGACGCCTTGATCAGTGAACTCCGTGAGCGTCTTGGCGAGCTGGAGGGTTTGCCTGGCACCTCGTCACCTGGATCCGACACACCGAAGATGCAAGGAACACTTCACAAAGACTTTGAGGCTATTGAATCTCAACTGTATGTTCATCATCTTCATATAACACCCGAAGGTGTGCTAATCTTGTGCAGCAAATCCGAGAATGATGAGTTGAAACGGGATTTGGAAGCATCGAAGCCGCCATCGACTAGTGTAGGTTTTCTACGCAAAACATGTCTTATGGTTCCGGACATGCTAACAATGACTAGCTCGGGGCACACTCAGAAGGATTCTCTGAAAGCTTTAATGCGTCTGTGCAACTTGCCCGTACCAACACTACACAAAGGTATGTCTGGTGATAATGGCATCTTATTCTTCATCTTACTAATGCCAGTTGCAGCGATGACTATTGGAAGTTATATGAGACTTATACCAGCAATCTCAAGAGGATTGCAGAGATTCAGGATTCCCTGGATACCACTAAGAAGGAACTGTCCGACGCACAAACCAACAGTAAGTCAACATGCTCCAAAATCACCCCCAAAGAACAATCTAATGAAGTTTCAGTTGGCCTTCTTGACTACGAAAGGAGCGATATGATCCGTGAACTGGAAGAACATAACTCAGCTGAGCTGACCAAGCTTCGCGGCGAATGGGGTTCTCTTTCTCAGAACGTGCACCACTTGGAAGCCGAGGTCGATGCCAGCCAGACCTTGGTGCGCGAAGTGTGCGCCGAGCGAGAGGATCTGCGTAAGATGCTCGAAGACAAGCAGAATGAGATCAGTGCCGAGGACCAGGAAGTCATGACTGAAATGCAGATGCTGCTGGGAGAGTTTGAGACCCACAATAGCGAGAACGGCGAGACGCCTCAGAAGTCAAGCTACGAGCTTCTGAAGCAGTGTGCCAGCGTATTAGAGAAGAATGTTGAGCGACTGGCTCAGCGCGCAGAGGTAAGTTTCCCAACGAAACGAACCGGTACTCGTGGCCACTTCCTAACATTTGAAAAGTATATTCAACAACAAAACGAACTCATCAAGTCTCTGCGCGAGCGGATGAAGAAATACGAAGAAAACTTCGACGACGGCATCCCCAAAGAGCGTGAAGTAAGCTTTTTAATATCCCTCTTTGTTTCTATTAACGAATCCCTCAGCCCAGCCCAAACCAGCGTGCTGACCATCCTTCTCTTCCAGATCGAACTCCAGAGAGTAATTGACGACCAGGCCCGTGAACTCAGCCTCGTGAGCTCGGCCTGGTATCACCTCCAGAGCCGATGGCAAAATAACAACATGACCGTCTCTCGTTTCCGTCACGGAGCAAATACGGCCGACCTCCGCGGTTGGCTGGCTAAGCAAAGAAGTGTCGTCGCTGGCCAGTAGTTAACCCTTGAGTCAAGTATACTGCAGGCCAGGCCACTTGAGTCGTCGAGTCACTCATATGCTCGTCGCTTCCGTTTCTGTTATTATTATTTTTCGATTATATCCCCTGCTAGATCCCCCCATATACCTTTCGAATTTTATGCTTGGGCATATAGAATGCGTCGTTGTTCGCGAACTATATTCAATGTACATTTTATCATTGAGGCTATCGCCTTGAGTCAATCGGATAAATTCTTGAGAATATCATACCTGACCCAGTCGTTGAACATCTGGGCTGATCCCCAGGAGTCTATGAACTCCGCGATAGGAAAGATAACTCTAATAAGGTATAGGACTACCTTTTAAAGTGGGGTATAAAGGGGACCCATTAAACAATCGCGCCTCTATGAACGTTAAGGGTCGTATGTAATAATAGACTGCTAGTGGGTATAATACATAATTAAAAAGAAGCATCCCCTCAGTTCATCTCACTCATCCGCCCAAGTCCAAAGACCCCCCGGCCGCATCGCCTCCCGATACCTCTCCTCGATCTTATCACGCTCCAAATTCCCTGCAGCCTCCCAGTCCGCCTCAAGCTCCTGTGTAGTCGGCATCTCAGTCCGCCAGAACCCCGGCGGCGTCCGTGCGCGCTGGTGAGCATGCCGGTGTTTGCCGTACTGGTTAGCGATAACGCGGGCCTTGGCTTCGATGAGTAGACGCTCGCGGTCCTGGGGACTGAGTCCTTCGAGACGATGCCGTTCTTCGCCTAGGTATTCTTCTAGTATTTGTTGGTTTTGCTGCTCTGCGTTGTTGGTGGGGAGGCCGCCCAGGCGAGCCATTGCGCGGAAGCGGTCTCCGCAGCAGCCGGGGCGTGTGCAGCCGGAGAGACATTTGCGGTCGTCTTTTTTGCGGACGACGGTGCTGTATGCGTAGTCCATTCCTTGGTTGCCGGCTGGGTTAATCTTGAAGTGGGATAGGTCTAGGCGGTGGAAGGGGAGGGATCGGTAGGGCTCGTCTTCGGGTCTGATTTCGGGGTATGATTGGGATTGGGATTGCGTTTGGTCGGGTTGAATTGGTGTTGATGGTTGGCGTTTTGAAGACCCTGCCTTATTTTGATTTCGATCTGAGCTTGAAGGAGTTGCCGCAGCGTGTGGAACTTGGGGCACTTCGGTATGGGATGGTGGTTCGGGTCTTTCGTGAGAATTTGCATTTGACAGAGCCACTGGGATGTTTTTCGAGGGTTGTTTCTTGGCTTGAGCTTGATTGTCAAGGTCCTCTTCACTGTCCTCCTCGGAGTCACAGATCTCGGTCTTCACTAGTGTGGCATGTTGACCTTTAACCTTCTGTTTTTTGTTGGCAGACTCTCTGTTCAATCGCCCACCTATTCTGGAATTCTCACCAACGGAGTTTAGCATCGGAGGAGTTTGCGTTTGAAGGGATCGACTGTCGTCCTCATGCCCTTGGTGTCCTTGGCGAGAGGCCACTCTCCGAGACTTTCGCTTGGTGGGCGTTTGGACAGTATGGCCAATTGCGTCTAGATCCTGGGTACTTGGGAAATGCTGACCAGGAGAATGGATGGAATTTCGTGGCGGGCTCGACGATATGGGCTCGTTCTTGACAACTCCAGCTCCAGAACTCTGGGGAATTGTCTCTTTGGGTTCAGAAGAGTTGGTAGACGTTACTATCCGTTTCCGTTTACGATTCTTGATGTCGGGCAAAGGAGGAAGGGTGTCAGAATTTCCTTCTGATGGTATTGAATCGACGCCATATTGGCTCTGTGCGAGGAGAACTCCTTCTGACTGGCTGTTATCTTCCGTCTTGACATGAACTCGTGTATCGGTTAAGGAAACCCCGGTTAGGTTAGGGCGGTTTGTTGTAGTAGAGGTCGAGGAAATGGAAGTTGCACGATTCATGAGACTTTCATTAGATGTCATGATTGTGGCACCTGCGGGACCTGCTGGAATATACGTCTTAGTTCCCTCATTCGAAGCCTGGGTTCTTCGAAATGTGACCGGTGCACCGTTGAGTATAAGTGTAAACTCGTTTCGTTCCAGTTGTCTGTCCCAGTGGCGTAGCTTTTTTTTATGCTGAAGGATCTTTGTCTTAAGACTGCCCCAGCCTTGAGAAAGCATTTGAAGGTTCGCATAGAGTGCTGAGTACTTCTTCGTGAGGATTTTCTTCAACTGCTCGACATTGTCATGGTCGATTGTGGCCCATACATGCTCCGGTGCAAACTCCTTCTCTAGGTGATTGAGTTGATTGGGGAGTTCCAAATCTTCAGGTTTGCTTTCAAAGTGGCACAGCTCCTCCTGGAGGGCGCTAATGTGTGATTGAAGCTCTTGGTTTCGATTTTCTGTAGCTTGTTGAGCCGCACTGGCAGCTGTGGCATTCCTTTCGGCTTCTTCTGTTCTTTTTTGGAGATTGGCATTTTGTAACTCCATATCTCGATAGGCGATATTGAATGATGCCTCACATGCCTCGGCGATGGAGGCATGGAGCTCCTTTAGAACCTCCATGAGGTGTTTATCTGATCAACAATGTTCATGTTCAAGTCCCCACTGACGCGTGCCTAGAATGGCAACGCGGGCAGTCACGTAATCCACGTGATTTCTTATCAAAGAGCCGATAAGGGGGGGCACTTGACGTAGCCCCGAGTTTCCCATAACGAAATGGGTGTTTCTCTGTATATCCTCTGTTTGTATTCTCCCCATCTCGTGAAGGAGACCATGCAAAGGAGTTTGTTAATCTGATCAGAATGTCAAAGCGTCGCAGAGGTGAGGAGGTCCAGTCCGATGCGCCTTTTTCAAAACGACGCCGAGACTCGACTGGTGGTCCCGTTGACCGCCTGTCTTCGTTGAGCAATGAGCTTTTGCTTCATATCTTGTCGTTTCTTCCAATTTCATCTCTCGGTGTTTGTCAAAGGTAAAGATTTTCGTCTTACTATAAAGTAGCAGTTTCAGAAAATATTAACCGTTCTATCTCAGATTATCCCGTCGTTTTAATGCTCTGAGCGGAGATTCGGAGATCTGGAAAAGACAATATTATACCCAATGGGTACGCCCTCGAGCTCGCCGCTTGGCAAGTGCTAGACGGGCTAGCTCGACCCTTCCAAATAAGACGGAATATTCCCCCAAAGTATCAACATGGCTAGGTCACGGTCATCTGGCTAGCAATGTAAACGGGAAGGCCACGAATTGGAAAGGCCAGTACCGTCTCCGACATAATTGGTCACGGGGAGTTTGTCGACTAAGCGAGGTCAAATTTCCCCCCTAGGCCAGATCCGCCCAATCTAGCCAAACTATGCGCGGGATTCGTCTTTACGGCGGACTCTGCACACGGTCTTCGGGTTTGGGCCGCAAAGGATCCGGCAATTTGCCTGGCAACGGCCCCGTTCTCGGAGCGGAATGAGTCTTCTAAGAGCTCTCCGACTGCTTTGGCTGTGTGTGACCTGCAAGAAGCACAAGAAGTCGTCGTGGGGTTCGAGGACGGACATTATAAACGTTATATCATGAATCCCGAAACGTCTCAGTTGGAGCTACGGTCTTCCCATGCGGGATCTAGTCAAGGGGCTATTACTGCGATGGCATTATCGTCGCCATATATCTTAATGGTGTCGCATGATAAGATATTGTCTTTGCACTGCCTCGATTCTGAGCAGCAAGATTCAGCGCAGCCGGGAGAAGTGTTCCATTCACAGGAACTTGCATCCCTGAAAGCAGACAATATGATTGCACCGATGACCCTTTGTCTTCGAAAGTCGACTTTTGAAATTGTGGCCACCATCGTGTATAGTTTCCTCCACATTGGATGTGGATGGTCCCTGGGTATACAGGAACTGCATTTTAGCAAAGATGGTCAGCAGCTTGAGTCCCGACTTACAAGCACTGTTGATTCACAATACGGCATCGGCCCATCACGAAATCTAGCACCATCTGTCCGGCGACGCCACTCTGCTACAGCTGATCCTGAGCCACTGGGACATTCAAGTGCTGAAACCCCAGCCCTGCCATCTATCTTGCATAAGCAACCGCCAACTTCGATGTCCTACTCTCATCCTTATTTACTCACCTCGCATGCGGACAATACGTTGACCATGTATTTGGTGGTTTCCAACTCCAGTGAATTGTTCGTGCGAGGAGGCCAGCGCCTTTGGGGCCACACATCTTCCGTTTCTACCGTACAGGTAACGAATCGTGGGAAAGCGATTTCTGTCGGCGCTCGAGGGGATGAAATCCGCATCTGGGAGCTTGAGATGGCCATTTCATCCCTGGGTACAAGTCGGCCGTTCAACGAAGAAAGCAGCATACAGGTTAATCCTGAACACGAACACAAAGAGGTAGTGGAAGGCCTGGGCCTGGACCTGCGTGATGACTACTATACATCTACACCGACACCGACAGTGAGGAGTCGTCGACGAGAGATCGGTGGGTTGGAGCTAGATTCAGATTCTGACAGGGCGCAAGAATCTCCCACGCTCGGCCTTCATGAATGTGTTGGATTTGACGAAGAGCGAGTTTTTCTCCTCCGAGAGAAGACCGTTGGTACACAGCTACTGGAATGCTACGATTTCACGTAGATGTACCGCGAATGTAGGAATTTTTGGAAAGTCTTGGCTTGGGGTGTGATTGGAGCCAACGTACCCATGCCATGACCTATGAATTTCTTTTTGGGCCTGCCCTTTGTTTTCATCCTCCAATTGCATCACATCATACGGTTGCCAATTTGGCTCATTTGATATGGGTCAAGGGGGAGCACCAACGCAGGTCCAGGATCGCCGGGTAGCACAAGGTACCCATTTTACCCATTTGGCTCCTCCACGAACTGGGGACCCTTGCGGTGTTCGTGTTCCCCTGGCTATAAAACCTACTCTGCCCCATATCATGGAGCTTTGCTGTTTAAAGTCCCCTCTGGACCTTCTATCTTGAAACCATCCCCACATCCGGACGTTGCCGAACATTTCTACATATCTCGAGGTGGCTTGGCATTTGGGCTATCCACCAGCTCTGGTAGGCAGATGGACTCATACTGATGACTATTATGTTGGCTAAAATAGCGCCCGGTTAGATAGGAAGGCATTTGCAATGACTGTGCACCTTCTGAGAAACCTATCGGGTGACCTACAAGTCATGACTTCATGGACATCAGCATCTTGCCGTTGGTCATGAAAAGATGCCTGCACCATGTCATACTGTGAAATCATATTCTATGAGATCCCGCTTGATTGGAATAAATCATCAGGGTCAAGATTGAACGTGGATGACGGAGCTCATCAACCGAGAAAACGGTGGCATGATGGGGGGAGTTCGGGAGGTCGTTAGATGCAGGACACCCAATCAAGACTGGTGGATTTCCCAAACATGAACAAATTGACAAACACAAAAAAAATAAGAAGAAGAAGAAGAAACACATCTGCTGTTTGTGTTCAATTGTCAGAGAAAGACATTCCTCTGAAACTCAAGCGGGTTGTGCCGAGCGAAACGAGCAAGACACTCTTCTTAATTGAGAGCGGGAAGTTTTCTCCTTCCCCCCCCGCACTACAAATTTCCTCGTTCCTCTCTTCCTCTTCTCACCCCTCCAACCACTCACATCACTCCTCATCACCAACCCATATACCCCCCCAAAACTCCGTCAAAATGGACCCCCGTGCCAACCGATCATGCTACAACTGTGCGTTTCTTCGTCCCCTCGAATACTTTATATGGCCTTGGTTGGAAGTGGCTCGCCTATGGCCCACAGTGGGATCGCTCACGAGATGTCCAATCTCTCGCGTGAAATCCTCACTGGAAGCTATGGCAGTCGTTTGAGCTTTCTCTCACTTTCCTCGTGTCATATCCTCCTGGCTTCAATGCCTGAGGGTATCCCCCGATCGCACCTTGATGTTTTTGACTGACTTTTTTTTTTCGCTTTCGTTAGGCGGTGACGCATCCCACCAGGTAAAGACATGCCTAATTTCCTGGTTTTGAACAGCAGCTTGGGAAAAAAAAAACAAAAGCTAGCTGGCTGTTTTGAAGCTAGGAGATGAATTACTCGGTCATTCCTCGAAGCTCAAGCTCACTGGTTTTCTCATCTTTAGGCCAAGGACTGCCCTAAGAAGGGAACCCCCACCTGGTAAGTGAATTCTGGTTGCTGGTTTATCTCCCCGCCAACCCCAGCCATATCGATGACAGTCCGAAAGCTAACATTTCTGGTATAGCTACAACTGCGGTGGCGAGGGCCACGTCAGTAAGTGATTCCGCGGAACCCATCAATCATCAACCGACCCCCGGTGGTCTCAGTGGTGCACGGCAGAAGCATCTAACATTCCTTTCTTCAGACCGTGACTGCCCCCAGCCCCCCAAGGAGCGTGCCTGCTACCGCTGCGGCATGACCGGCCACCTTTCCCGTGAGTGCCCCCAGGGCGGCCAGGGCGGTGCCCCCGGTGGCTTCGGTGGTGCCCCTGGTGGCCAGGAGTGCTACAAGTGCGGCCAGGTCGGACACATTGCTCGTAACTGCTCCCAAGGCGGTGGTTACGGTGGCGGCGGCTACGGTGGTGGCTACGGCCAGCGCCCCCAGACCTGCTACTCTTGCGGTGGATTCGGCCACATGGCCCGTGACTGCACCCAGGGACAGAAGTGCTACAACTGTTCGTATCCCCCCTCCCTTGCTCGGTGCAAAGACACTGTCTTTGTACGTCTTTGTTTCACTCAAACTAACCTCAATCCCACTATCTAGGCGGCGAGGTTGGCCACGTTTCCCGTGACTGCACCACCGAGGCTCGTGGCGAGCGCGTCTGCTACAAGTGCAAGCAGCCCGGCCACGTCCAGGCTGCCTGCCCCAACAACTAAAAAAAATTGATGCGGTGAATTGATGCGGTGTTTTTTCCTCCCTTTTCATCCCACTCTTGGTTGTGTGGGACCACTCCGATAATTTCTCTTTTTTTCTCTCTCCAAATTTCCAACGTTTCTTTGCATGCGATACGAATGATCTGACATGTCTATTTTCCCTGGGTTCTTTTTAACTTTGTATTATCACTCAACGGATTGAATCACGAACCATGGACTTTTTCTTCTTCGCATGTTTTTTCTCCAACCTGGCTGCTACTGCATTTATGCTTTATCTGATCTGATCTGATCTGGGATCTGGGTTTCAAATCTTTCCGTTTCTACGTCAACTACTAGCGGGCTCTTTCTCGCGCGGGGAAAGTAAAAAGTGAAGTGGAGTGCAACTGGCGATTTGGCTTGCAAGTGATGAATGGGTATGGGGTATGGGATTCTTTTTCTCTGTTCTGGGCGTCTTTACAGGAGATATTTAGGTGCATGGGGAAAATGCATATCGACTTGTCCAACGAAGCTTCGTCTTGTGTAGTCTAAATGGTAAAGAGAACGAATATTGTACTGAGTCCCATCTCGTCCCTCACGAGCTGCAGCTGCACATCATGGCTCTCTTGTACTTGGGCACGTCTCCGCAGAATCGCTCTTCCTCTGCAGCGTTGAGTCCCCATGAATCTTTGAACGGGTCGAGAGACATCTGCATCACCCGGTCCAAAATCTCACGGTCTCCTTTGCGCTCCACGCGCTCGATAACTTCGTCCAGGATCCAACCACGCGGCACAAACTAGTAAATCAAAAGGGTTAGTCCGTTTCATAGGCCAGCGTGAACAAATGATAAACTTACATTCGGATTAACAGCCTTCATAGCAGCCTGTCTTTCTGCATCATTGCCAGCACCCCAGTCCTCCAGCACTCGCGCCCGCCAGCTATCAAGCCACTTAGCAATACGAGCTCTAGCCGACTCATCCGTCTCACCCAGCCCGCCAAATCCATCAACGTGGTAGAAAACAGACGCAACTTCCTTCCGCTGCTCCTCAGTCTCCAACCCCGAAACAGACAGTCCCGAAAGCCGGCGGAAAAAGTGGTTGAAATCCAACTCCAGCGCCTCAAGCGTATCAAGCATTTCGGAAAACAGTTCCTGGAAATCAGACTCCTTGCCCGTCTTGAGTCCGAGCCGCTGGCCCATTAACCGCTTATACTCGTTCAGGAACACGGCCTTGAACTCCTCGCCGGCCTGCGAGATGATTGTTTCCGCGCGCGCGATGACCTCGGCTTCGATGTCGGCGCTGACGCCGTCTTTTACGAAGACTTCGTCGTCGACGCGGTTTCCCGCGCCGAGGAGTTCGCCCAGGGACTCGCCGAGTCGCACGAGGTTCCACCAGATTATGCTGGGCTGGTTCTTGTAGGAGTAGCGGAGCATGTGGTCGTCGTGGTTGGGCGTGTATGACGGGTCGAAATTATCCATGAAGGCGAAGGGGCCGTAGTCTAGCGAGAGACCGTAGATGGAGGTGTTGTCTGTGTTTAGGACGCCGTTCATGAATCCGTATGCCTGCCATGCGGCGACGGTTTTGGCATTGCGCCGGACGATTTCGCGGTATAGGCGGGCGAAGCGGTTGGAGTCGACGTCTTGGATTGTTTGGGTCGTTTGCTGTGGGATGCCGCGTGGGGGGGTTGTCGATTTCTGGGCCTGTTTGGCCTTCGACGATGGGGAAGGCAGAGGGGAGCTTTTCCCAGCCTCCGAAGACTTCTTCTGCGATGTAGGTTGATAGTTGGCGGATTAGGTCGCGCTCGCCTCGGACGCGGAGGAGGTCGAATGTTCCGATTCGGAGCCAGCTTTCGGCGAAGCGGGCCACGATTGCGCCGGGTTCTAGGCGCTCTCGTAGGACTTTTGATTTGGGGAGGAGGGTTAGGGATAGGGCTCTTGTTGTTGGTATGCCGAGGGCGTTCAGGGCTGAAGGTTGTTAATAGTTTGCGCTTGCAATTTGGAAAATGTCCCTAGGTTTGAAGTACCTTCAGAAACGACGTATTCTCGGATGCTTGATCGAAGGACGGCCTTGCCGTCTGCGAATCGGGAATAGGGCGTCCTTCCTGCTCCTTTCAGCTGTAACTCGTAGCGAGTGTTTGTCTCGGGGTTGGTGCTTTCAAAGAGACTGATTGCACGCTGTCCAGGAAATGTTAGCCAGGATCTCTGTGGAAGATAAAAGAACCACAATATCAACGTACTCCATCTCCCAATTGTCCCGCCCACGAACCACTGGAAAGAAAAGTGTCAGTCTCGAGTAATCATTCCAGTGACAGAATTTGTTTCCATGTGTACTGTACTTACAATTGCCACCCTATATTCATTCATTCATTCATGTTAGTGGGATCTCATTAAATGTATAGACTATCGCCAAAACAGGGAAACTCACCACCGTAGCACTGTGCCCAGGGATAGACACCGCCGCTCTCCTCAGTCCAAGAGATCGAATTGCCTGCAACTAATTGCTGCAACTCAGCAGTCTTCTCCTCTCCAGCCTTCAATCCCAGATCCTTCAGGGCTCTGGAACTCACGCCGAGCAACTCCGGCGTCTCAGCGGGTTCCGGACGAACGTAGGTAAACAAAGCGCCCCTAACCATCCGAGGACCTAGGGGTCTCCCGAGGCGCCTTGTGCGAGGCCTCTGGTGTTTCGAAAGCCGGATCAGCCGGTAGCTTCGAAGTAAAGACATTTGATTTTGGCAGGTCGGCTAAGGAAACCCCGACGCCGCTGCCTGTTGAGAGATGCGAGACCATTTGGTTTAACCGGTTCCGAGTCCGGGTTGATGGCAAAGGACGATGAAGAGCTTGGGACATATATCGATGTGCCGGGGAAAAGCGGAGTGCGCGAATCGAGAGCATATAGGATTGTGTGTAGTATCCCCCAAGATGCTGGACCTGGAGATAGCTGGATATATGTCGGTCTTAAAGAAAAAAAGGACCGGGAGTTGAAGTGACATCACATTAATAATAACAGCCAAGTCGACCGAGTCTGGGCCGCGCGGGGATCGGCTTGGGAAAACTGGGGAACTTGCGGAATCTACGGCATAACTTGCAAATATCCCCCACTCTCCGCCTCTTTCTTTTTCTCTTTCTCTCCTACGATCTACTGGTTACGTGAATTGGAAGACATTATCTATCGCAGCCATGACTAACCGAGATATTCCAACATTGAAGCTGAATGACGGTAGCTCGATCCCTATCGTGAGTTGAATATACTCCAACACAACACAACACACTAAACCTCTTCCCCTCACTACCCCTCCTCCTTAACGTCCTCCTCTCGAACCCCTCCGAGTCTAATTATCGCATATATAGCTTGGATATGGAACTGGCACTGCATGGTACAAGACTGCTGGCGACACCAGCATCAATCGCGAGCTAGTTGACTCTGCAAAAAGCGCCGTGAAGCTCGGATTAAATCATCTCGACGGAGCCGAGGTCTATCGAACCGAAGAAGAATTAGGTCAAGCTATCCAAGAGTCCGGCGTACCCCGAGATCAACTATTCATCACCACAAAAGTGAACCATGCTCGCATCGGAGACATTTCCACAGCAATTGATGATAGCTTAAAGAAGCTCCAGCTCGACCATGTGGACCTGTACTTGATCCACGCACCCTTTACCGCGAAGAACGAGGCCGAGCTTCAGGCGGCATGGACTGCTATGGAGCAAATCAAAGCGTCAGGAAAAGCTCGTTCTATTGGTGTGTCCAATTTCCTGCAAAGCCACCTCGAGACGATTTTGAAGACTGCCAAGGTCATTCCCGTCGTCAATCAGATTGAATACCATCCATACCTTCAGCATGGGGACCTGGTGCCCTGGCAGGAGAGCAAGGGAATCAAGACGGTCAGCTACTCTGGTCTTGTACCCATCACTCGTGTGCCCGGTGGTCCTCTGGATCCGCTTCTATCGGGCTTGGCGAAGAAGTATGCTGTCAATGAGTCTGAGATCTTACTGCGTTGGACTCTGGATCAGGGATACGTGTCGATCACTACTAGCAGCAAGGAGTCTCGGCTGGCGGGCTATCTACGCGCGTTGACATTCAAGCTGACCCCTGAAGAAGTCAAGGAAATCTCTGAGCTGGGTCAGCAGAAACACTATCGTGCATACTGGCGAGAGAAATTTGCGGATGATGACCGGTCGTAACTTCAATGCGATCAAGTTTAGAATACTATCATCATAGAATATCATCCCAGCGTGCCTTTACACTCAATGATTAAATTTGAAGCCCAGAGTCTTGGTCTTGTAAGCTTGTTAATAGATTTCGAGTAGTGTTCATTCAGATAGAAATGGTTACTTCTCAAATAGACCCCCCCCCCTTGGTGTCTTATAAATCCTTTGTTGCTTGCGTGATAGCCGACCGAAGATGATCCACCCTTTCCCTCTTGGTCTAATATCATTCACAAGAAATGGGTTTAAAGGTGAATGAAAATGTATTTAAATAAGCTATAGCATAGGATACCAACTAGTAGCAAGTGCAGTGCCAGTCAGTAGCTATACTATTTCACTATCAAGTCCCAAAAGCGGCGAGGCGGGCAGCCCCGAAAAGGGAACCCCGGACGGAATCCCCATCTCTTTCCATTTCCATCTCGACTTTCGACCTTCATTCACCTTTACTCCCCCCCGTCCAACCCTCCCCAAACACACCTCGGTTATTTCCTCTCCTCTCCCCCACTGCGAGACTCTTACTAGAGACTACGCGCTCTAAGATGCCCTGAGGTGATCTTCCTCCGAGGCCCGCATGCTATTTACCCGCCTCTCCTCGATGTTTTGACCCGCATTCGATTCCATCCTAAGCGCATGCGACTCGCCGACTCGCGTGGCCACCCTCCCTTCTGGCAATTTCAGCTCATCGTGTCCTCCTCTACAAGCACAACTCAATCCTAATCGATGGTGAAATATAAGCAAATCGCAAACTCCGCAGATTGCGATGTCGGTGAACGACCTACCCCCCTCTGCGGACCCAACGATATCCCATACCAATCAGCCATATGCATCTGATCTCGAAGATCTCGACAATCGACTAAAGCGCCTATCGGAGGACGTTTTTCCTCTTCACCCTTACCTTCTCACTCTACCGACGAATGCCCCATTTCGTCTGGGCTCCCGTTCCGCGAACAATTGGGCTGTTGGACATGACCGGCCGTTCACCTCGGACGAACAGCAGCTTCAGTATATGACCTTCTTGACACACGACAGCGGCGATTCTTTGCTTTTGGCTGTTGGCGATTGGTCGGACGAGTCTGGACGCATGATGGCCGATCGTCCTAGGATCACAACCACAACCGAGAATTCTCGAGACGCAGTCTCCAAGAAGAAAATCAGCCTGAAAGATTACAATACTCAGAAAGTCACTAGCACCTCCGTCGCCACACCTACACCTCCACCTCCGGAAAATCACAGTCGAGAGCGCCCAGCACACGCGAATAAACGCGAAGGGGGAGCTAAGGCGCGCGCGACAACTCCAACCCCAGACCTCTCGATCTCGAGCGACAAGCTTGAAACAAGATCAATTCCTACAAAACCACTATCGCAACACCGATCACTATCACCCACTAAGGATTCGCATTTCTCTAAGAAACGGCCTTCGGCGTCACACGCAGATTTCACCTCAAACTCACACCCACGATCATCAAAGGGCTCGGAAACAATGCACTCCCCAAAAAAGCCGCGACTCTCCCCCGAGAAGGACCAGCGCAGCGACAACCCCCCCAACGAAGTCTTCGCGCTCTCCACGGCTTCCTGTACTTTTATCGCCTACTCTGCCACCTACCTCTGGTCCACGACTTCCCCGGTTACTGTCTCCAACCTTGCCGCCAGACATTGAGAAAGAGCTGGCTAAGATTGGCGGGCACTCTCCTGTCCGTCATACTTCCCCGAAACGCGAAAATGCTGCGATAAGGACAAAACGCAATGATGAGACTCAAAATAAGACCCCCATATCGACATACGTGAACAGCAGCAATTCGAGTCAGCAAGGCGGAGGCGGTCGTGCAGGTCCATCACTCAAAGACAAAGACGCGGTTGCGCCCAATCCACCAAGGCGCATTGTGACTCTCAAGTATGGGAAGTCAAATCGGAAGCTTGTCGAAGGCCTTCTTAAGTTTGCTGGGAAAAAGAAAGCTTATCCGACGAATTCTACACCTAGCGCGGACACGGATCCCGATGATGTCTCCCACCCTCACGCTGAAAGGAGGAGAGAAGACCCCAGCCAATTGCGCAATAGTGTCTCGTCCAAAAAGATCAAGACCAAGGCTAGACACGAAGCTGACGAGACCGTCGGCTCTAACTCTGCTGCTGGTCGAGCCCGAGAGCGAGATGCCAAGGTGTCCATCGACAAACCTACCACCCCAGCATTCCATCCACCAACCCACGACCGAACCAAACAAAACACACTGACGCCAGTCAAGGACCTCAAGGGCATGGTGTCCCGCCATGGCGAACCAGGTGATGGCGACGGCAAAACACCAATCAACCTGACAAACAAGCGATACTCCACGGACCTGGGAGTGAAAGGATCGCCCTCGCAGCCAGAAAGCCGATCTCGCGACAGCGATCGTCGCGCCTGGCGAGATGAGTTCCAAAAATTCAGCGGTATCGGTCGAGAATTGAAACACGCCTCAGAGCGTTATACAGCCATGACAGGACCTTCAATTGAGGACGAGAAATTATCCGTCGTCACCGCTATCGAAGCAATCCTGTCCTTTATACTTGCATTCCTCGCTGATAACCAGTGCAAGTCCCTTGCGCGACAAGGCGGTGATTCCTCATCGTGGGTCTCTATCCTGGCTTATTGGCGCGTGGTCAGGAAAAAGAGCGTTGCATATCCGGTATTACATGGGCTCTCTTTACTTCTTGGCGCTGTATCGTACGAGGCTATACATGCGTTGGATCTTGAACGTCTTGCTCTCAGTCCGTTACCAGGAGAACACACCCCGGCCCCTACACCTGGTGCCGGCGGCGGTGATAGTACTAGTCATGCTACCCCGGCCCCGCCAGACGACTACAAGAAAGCGTGGGAAAAGATCTCTGAACTGAGAAATCGCCTTCCGGAGTGTTATCGGGAGTCCCAGAAACTTTGGCTGGAAGGATCCAGGAGTCTCTCTGAAGATGTTCTCGGTCAAGAGTTTCCCAATACCTGGTCACGACGATCGCATAATTTTGCTGAACGAGGCAGGATACCTCTACGAGCTGGTGAATATGCCGGTGACTATTTCCTCCCTCTTGGGGGAATCACTCAGCCTATTGAGATTGTGCGGTTTAGTTGGTCGATTCTTCATGAATGGTGCGAGCAGGAGGGCATTCATTGGAATGAACGGCTCGTTCTTTGAGTTTTGGAATAAGACCAACCAACGTCGCCACCTTCACTTCCACATGACGTTTTCTCCTCTCCTCTCCTCTCCTCTCCTCTACTCTTGCCCGACTTCCCCTGACTGAGGCGTGGGTAGTTGATGTAATTGGCCATGCGGCGTTTCCAGATTTCTTCTTAGTTGAGTTTTGCTTTGCTTTTTGTCTTCATGATACCATACCACAAGCGCTGGAATTTCAATTCCGATTTCAATTCATCGGGTGTACTTATTAAGATATTTGAGACGGCACGATTGATATGAAATATCGATGTCTAAACAATTAACTTGGATTCTTTCCATGCCTAGCGTAGTGAAGAGAAGTGAGGATGAACTTGAAGGATCATGATATCAAATGCCATCGCCACCAGTTCTGGCTGCGGCTGCGACTGCTGCTGCTAGGACCAAACGCCCCTGTTTAATCCGCTCCAACCAGTACACCAACAAGCAATGGGGGATACGAGGGCAAAAAAAAAGAGAATCAGTGAAACAAAGACAAAAATGGCTCGGGAGAAAAGAAAAAAGTCACAAGAACAAGAATAAAGAAAATCGCTCAGTAACAGGGATGAAATGAGGAAATAGACCCAATCTGACTAGACTAGACCAGCCTAGTCTAGCCTAAACTTCATGGTAATCATACTCAGGTCGAGCGCCATGGTCTTGGTCACTGAAAAGCCACCCCGCCTCACGACAGTAGCGTGCTTCTCGACCGTATATGCCCACTTCACTCGCCCAGCAGATAACCGATGCATCAACGATGTCGGCAATGACACTTTCGATCGAGCCTAGAATACTCCACCCGATCGTTCCGGCGATTAGGCCCACCACGTAAGCGTATAAACTGCCCCGTATCGTGCCGGCTGTGCTGGAGCTGGACATCGTTAGGTTTCGCGCTGTTGTGACCCAGCCGCCGAAGCCGAGAGCTAGGGACATCATGAAGCGCGTGGCGTGCAGGATCAATTTCGAAAGGCGGTATGAGAGTAATGATGTCGAGCCTGCGCTAGAGCGAGGTGAGGGGGAATATGAGCTGGGATGTAGAGATGTTGTGGCTGCTGAGGGAGCTAGTATAGTCATTTGGCTTAGGCCGCGCGAGGACGCGGATAAGGGTTGGGAGTGAATTGCCGCGTATGTGAGGGAAAGCGGGTTTGTCAGATACGTTATTGGTGTTGGGATGAGTGAGTAGGCGAAAAGGCCCAGAAGTGAGGAGAGACGGTTGGGTAGCAGGAGTAGAGGGAGTCGAACTAGTAGTCCGAGCAGCCGAGACAGACAGATGGTCCCGAATAGGGTTGTGGTCGCGTGCGTGACCGCCGCCTGAACGATTTGTCTCGAAGAAGGCGCTGGCTTCGCTAGACGGTGGAAGTACCATTGGCTCACGGTTGCTGCTGTGACGGAACGTTGAATACCTGCGATAACACCAATCGACCAAAGGTAGAATATGACAAAATATACACCCAGCCACCAGCTGCCTAGATCGATTATGAAGGATTTGGGAGCTGCTAGATGGCCGCCGAGGAATACGCGAGTGAACATGAGCATCCAGATCCAGGTCCAGCAAACCACACAAACGAGAACAGCCAGACCTAGCGCAAGGAGTTCGGGGTTTGCGGCCAAAATTCGACATGAGAATTCGAGGATGCCGATTGCTTTGCCGATTGATCGGCGACCTCGGAGGACGTTGTAGGTCCACAGGCTAGCCATCAGAAATGGGACTAGGGAGCCCCAGCGCATAACCTTGTCTTGGAGACTTGTGCCATGCCATGAACCTTTGAAGCTCGAGATGAATGGGTACAGGGAGAAGGAGAAGAGGATGACAGGCACTGCGACGATAATTACGTGGACTAAGAGCCGCACGTAGGTTCGAAGAAGAGCTAGCCAGATGAGTGATACAAAAACCGCGACGAGAGTATAGATGCCAAGAAGAAAGAATGACTTGTGTAATGTCAAGTAAATAGTGTCACCCCATTTGGATTTGTCTCCGGGTGGAGTGGATGTGTGCAAGTAGACAAGAAAGGCGGTGGCAAACACACTAGCCATGGCAATCAGAAATAATTGACCCCAAAAGGGATCATGCAATGAAGCTTCTGATGCGAGAGGTGAGTTTGGCCCGGGCGAGGAGCCCGTCGAGCTCGAGCTCGGTGGCCTCGAACCATCCGATGGGAGAGCCTTGAGGTGCGAGGGGGGCGATTGCGATACAGCTGTAGTCGCAGTGTAGTCAAACGGGCTTTCGATCAACGAGGGCTGTTCTCGGAACCTTTGGATTGGAGGGTCGCCGCCAGCGATGACTTCGGATGGAGACTGATCACCGCTTCCACCTTGTCGGAATGAATCCTCCAGCCCAACATCAACCAGGTTTCCTCTAGCTTTACCGCTAGACCCCGTACTGCTTTCTATCCTCTCGGGTACAGTTTCGATACGAGAATGGTGAGTACCGGGCATTCCTTTCTCGCCACGCCATGAGCTCTTGATCCCTTTACCATTGCCGGGCCGATTGTCGTAGGAAGGGTTGCCGCTGGCCCCGTCCAACTCAACCGAATTTGTCGAATCTTCGTCCGTTTGCGAAGACTCCTTTAGGTGGCTATCGCCAAAATGTCGCCTTGATCGTTGCAAGGCATAAAAGTCGGCTATTTCCCGCTCACGCTCGGTCTCGTCATCTTCCTCCCGAAATTCATCCGTAGCGCTGTAGAACAAAGGAGCCGGTTGGGCAGAAGCGCGGGAGGTAAATGGAAAATTTGAAATTTGGGACGCTCCAGGTCGGTATGGATCGCCAGTTCTCAAAAAGGAGCGAGAGGACGGATTTCGAGAGTGACTCTGGCGTTGATTTGGGTAGGCTCGCCCGGTTCGTTGAAGGTCGTCCGGGCGAGATGCTACTCTCGACTGTGACTGGGCAAGAAAGCGTGACGCATCTGAAGACAGTGATAGTTAGCCAGCGGCAAGTATACTGTGATAGTTGAACTTATACATACATTCTGAGAACATGGCCCACTAGTGTGAAAGATCAAGTGGAGATAGAGATGGAGATGGAGATGGAGAGAGTGTGGGAGATAAGAGGAGAAGCTGCACCAGCTGTTGAGATGCACTAGGCATAGGAAGTGAAGTAGAAAATATCCAGGTAAGTCTACTTCACCAGTAGCAGTAAGGGTCAAGACCGATCAACCGATCAAAGGTCATTCACACAGGTGATGCAAGAGAAAGCAACACTTCCCGTCATCTCGTCATTCAGTCTAATCGGCTGATCCGCCCAAGTGATAGATGACTAAGCCCGATAGCTCTATCTAACGCTAGTACCCTCCTAGGCTATGGTAACTGGTTGCGACTCTCTCTTCACATCTCTTCCACAATAACACTTTGGCATTCGACACTTCTGTATCATTAAGGATACCTTTATCCTTGAGTATTATCACTCTTTGTCATATGATCGGATGATCACTGCTCACCCTTAGTCTGTCGCTACACCCGACAGCTACAACACCTCCCCCATCTCCACTTCGGAACTCCTCTCCATGTCACAGCCATGGGACTATATCGCTAAGCTTGTCTGCATCGGTGACTCTGGCACCGGCAAATCTAGTGTATGTGTTTCTCTTCCATGGCAGATTTCTTTCCTGCTCCCTATTCCCTACCCCCCCAGCGCTAAACTAACCCATAAGTCTTACAGCTTACCATCCGCCTTTGCGAGGGCCGCTTCTCCCCATCACACGATGTCACAATAGGCGTGGAATTCGGCTCGCGGATCGTTCCCGTCGGTCCACCAGCCTCACTAGAACTAGGCATCGATGAACTAGCCTCAGACCCAAACAACCCCAATCCTCCGGGCGATGACGAAACCGCCAACGCCAACGCCGGCCTCCCCAGTCCTCCGCGCAAACCCCAAACCCCACCCATCCAGAAGCGCATGAAACTCTCCTTGTGGGATACTGCCGGCCAGGAAACATACAAGTCCATCACGCGGTCCTATTTCCGCGGCGCATCGGGCGCACTGCTCGTCTTTGACATATCCAGGCGTTCAACTTTCATATCGTGTACACAGTGGTTACAGGATTTGCGTCAGATCGCCGAGGAGGGTATTGTTGTTATTCTCGTGGGCAATAAAATGGATCTGGCGGGGCAGGCGCAAACTTCTGCATCAACGGCAAACCAGAGACAGGTCACTCAGCACGAAGCTGAGGAATGGTGCCGATTGAATAACGTAACACGTTACGTGGAAACGAGTGCCAAGTCAGGCGATGGTGTGGAGCGTGCGTTCTTGGAAGTTGCCGAGCGGATTTATCGCAATATTGAAGTTGGAAAATATGATCTGAATGATCGGCGCAGTGGTGTGAAGGGCTTTGGTGCGTCGGGTGGCAAAAATACCGGCGTGCCACGGACGGTTACCTTGGGTATGGATGATGCGATGCGTAAAGGTAATGGCTGGAGTGGAGGTTGTTGCTAGATGCGCATTACCGTTTCTGCGACACTGAAAACATCCATGGATATAGTGCACCGATGGAACAAGCTAGGTCTATAAACTCCTGACGAGCACATCAGGTTATGCTAGTATTAGTAGATTGGATCCTGGAGCTACAGGACAGGATTCCCCATCACAATTAGCTAATGTAATTAATTTTGAGAACTCGACTTCATTCTACATCACAACCACAATTAAAATGAGTGGTTTGTTAATCTTAAAACAAGAACAGAATCTGGACACCTATTACATTCATGTGCTGCATGCTAAGATGCAGATGCAAAACAAACCCGAGCTTCACAAATCAAGAAGCCTCCAAGTTAATATTCAATTTGCTCTGCTCAGTTCGAAATTTTCCAGCCTGGGAGCCAGCGCAGGTGGGCCCACTGTGAGTTAGAGCCCTCCATTCCGAAAACAATCGCGCGGAAATGGACAAAGAGACCAACGATGACGACATAGAGAACGGTATACACAATAGCGGCAAGCTTGACATTAATTCGTCGGGTAACCCAATCAACACAGAATCCGAAGCAAATGATGG